ATATTTATATATATAAATGTTATAAAATATATATATATAAATATTATTTTTCATTTAATTTTCTTTTTTGTCATTTTCTACGAACAAATTTCAATTTGAACTTTCATTTCATAACATTTCAGCGATCATTTCAGCGATCGGGGTCATGTCATACCCATTATTTCATTCAATTTTTCACTGCTCGCTTTTTTAATGATTGATGTAAATTAAAATACAATTTTTAGAAATTCATGATAAACTTTTCAGTTTGTTAATGATGAGAAAATGTCCAAATTGTTAAGGGACGACGGTCAATCTGGTTTTATTATTTCTAAACAGATACACACACACACACACACACACACGCACATGCACATACAACATACATACATACATACACACATACACAACATATACACACAAAGGAAAAGTTCACATTCAATTCTTGCCACGTTTCAACAATCATTTTAATTCTTTACTAGAAAGTAAATGGAATAATAAGTATTGAATGATTGGGAAGAGAAAATAATTGCAATAGAAAAAGTTTACGAAAGATTAAAATGTTTCAAAATCACGTTCCTATATCACGAAGAAACATTTCAACGCAAAAATATTTATCGTTAATAATTTAGTTGATCTCATCTGATCCGATCAATCCGGTCATTACGATTCGATCAATCCGATTATTGTCATCTATTTAATGTTTGTCAATTGCAAATTTTACACTTCATATCACATCCATTCGTTTCGATTATTGTTCAAATTTCATCAGTTATTAATTTTAGAGTGGGTTCATACAAAATGCAATAATTTATTTGTGCATTTAAATATAACAAAAGGAACTGACATTAATTGTTACCTTGGCCCAGTTATTTGTTCAACCCGTAGCATCTCAGAGTAAAAATATAATTGTTACAACTAAATGTGGAAAATTCTCGAAGATGAATTGAAACGAGAGAACATCTTTATCCATCGTTTATACATTTTTTATTTTGTCCATCTCTTTTTCTTTTACATATCAAAATTAAAATCATACGGGGGGGCTATCATCATTATCATCTTTTCCTTCTTAAATTTTTTCTCTTTTTTAACTTTACAGGATCTATTAATTTCTTTTATTTCAAAATTTAGAATTTCAATTTTTATCAGCAATATCATTATTTCATTTCATCGTAATTTACTTCTCATCGCAAATTTAAATGTTTTAATTTGTTGAATTTTAAAGTTATATTTCAGTATATAATACTTTATAACTAAAACATACAAATTATTGATTTTCGAGAATTTAACCGCGCAAGAAATTTAATTTTACAATTGTTGTTAAAATAATTTAAAAATAATTTTAGATGGTACTTTGGAGCAATTCGACGAGTTGATGCTGAAAAATTATTACTACTAAATGGTAACGAACATGGCGCATTTCTTGTACGCGATTCCGAAAGTCGGCAAAATGATTTCTCATTATCAGGTAAAAACAAAATGATTTTTCTCATTATCATGAAATATCCTTTAGTTTTCATTCACCTACAAAAAATCAAACATTATTAATTTTAATTGTTTCCAGAGTATAAATTTAAAAATTTTAATTATCATTAAAATGAAAAAAATTCCAATTAATTCGAAGATTTTAAAAATTTTAGTGCTAATTAGATTTTTTAAAGTTTTCGAATTAATTGGAGTTTTTTTTCATTTTAATAATAATTAGAATTTTTAAAATTTTCTTTAAAACTTTTCAATCTTAGATTTATACGTTTGAAATTATTGTTGTAGTGCGTGATTGTGATGCAGTAAAGCATTATCGAATTAGACAATTGGATCAAGGTGGTTTCTATATAGCTCGAAAGCGATCTTTCCCTACGCTTGTTGAATTAATTGCGCATTATCAACGTGAGCAAGATGGATTATGCGTATTACTCAAATTTCCATGTAAACGAATTGATGTTCCACAAACGTGTACATTTACATATGATGATCAATGGGAAATTGATCGACGATCAGTTAAATTAGTTCGACAAATTGGTGCTGGACAATTTGGTGAGGTTAGTGACCATTTTATTTTTTCATCATTTTTAAATTTCTATGATTTTTTCTCTAACTCTTTTAAATCATTCTTAATTCTTTTCTTATTCCTTCTTTATTTTTAATAGTAAAAAATTTCAAATACTTTTAAGAGAACGAAAAAGACAAAATTGGCTATAATTTTAATTAAGTTGAAATAATTAATTTTTCGTCAATTTGAACATAAATTTAAGGACTATTTCACTAATTAAACACTTTCATGAATTCAGAAATATTCTTTTGTTTTGAATTTTGTAAAATTTAAAGGATACCTTAAAAAGTTGTCGATTTACGTTTTCATCATTTCATGTAAATTTTTCAACATAGCACTTTTTTCTATGCATGATATGATCTCATCGTCTTTCCTTCTATTTCTGATCGAAATTTTGATTTTCATTCAAAATTTAAAAAGTCGTTCGATTTTGCTTGTAGTTGACAGATGTATATGTAAATGTGTCTTTTAATTTAAAATAACAGTCATTTTGTCAAACCAGTTTTATCCATTATTTTACATCAACCACTTTGTCTAATCAACTTTCATAATGTCTTAAAGTCTCTGAAACATTTTTACCGGGAACAATAATTTTACCGTCGGAGAAATAGTTTTCAGGCAACATCGAATCATTCCGGAATAAATGTTTAATATACCAAATTTAATTTAAACTAATCATGCACATTATATTGCTATATTTTTGTTTACAACTTACAATGATATAGGCTTGTAAAATTAGTTACATTTGAATATATTTATATTAGAGAATTCATTAGGGTTAATTAGAACCATCTTTTTCTTTAGTATAACGGATGAAATAAATTTTTCATGTGAGCTAAATTTTTGAAAAGCTTTGTTGTATCCAATTCATTTCATTCATTTAAGCGTTTAAATGAGATTAATAATTTGACCTCTAAAGAAAATTTTGAAGAAGAAATTTTCCTTCATAAATTTATAATATTTAATAGAAATAGAATTAAAAATATACAAGCAAAAAGGATGAGAATTAAAGAACGAGTGAATCTGTTATGAATTATTATAGGTTTGGGAAGGTCGTTGGAATCATTCAACGCCAGTTGCTGTAAAAATGCTCAAAAATGGTACAACGGATCCCAACGATTTTTTATCAGAAGCACAAATTATGAAAAAATTGAGGCATCCAAAATTATTGCAATTGTACGCAGTATGTACCAAGGACGAGCCAATTTTGATTATCACTGAATTGATGGATCAAAATTTATTGCATTTTCTTCAGGTATTTTTTTACCTCTATTATATCTTTTATCTTTTACTTACCTTTATTACTTCGATATCTTTTATTCCTGTTATTTTGGTATTCTTTATAGTTGTCACTTAATAAACTTGAAAGTATTTATTTCATCTTTTTTTCCCACTAAGAAGTATAATTAACACCATTTTATGTTATTGAAATTTTCTCCCTTTTTTTTCTATCCTATCAAAATTTTTATACGGTAAAATTTTGGGTAACTTTTCCGGGAAATTATAATATTGAAATTAAATATATGAAATCATTGAAAATTTCTCCTAACCTGTAGGAATATTTCTACGGTCAAAATAAGTTTAATTGGTGGCACCGTTAAAAGGTGCATTTTTTTTTTATAGTAGAATAAATTTGAAAGTTTTGAAATATTCTCAAAAATCATCCATTAATGATAATTTTAACTCTTTTAAATTAAACTCTCAATGTGAAATTAATTCATCCCTTATTTTACCTCTCACTTGCAAGAAAACATTCTAAATATTGAGAAGTATACCATATCCAAAAAGTCTAAAAGTGAACTAATATACCATACCCAAAAAAAATCTAAAAGTAATACCATATCCAAAAAAGTCTAAAAGTAATACTATATCCAAAAAAATCTAAAAGTAATACCATATCCAAAAAATCTAAAAGTGATACCATATCTAAAAAATCTAAGGGTAATACCATATCCAAAAAATCTAAAAGTAATACCCTATCCAAAAATCTAAAAGTGAAGAAGAAATGGAATTTAATTTTCGTTAAATTTTCTTCTCAAATTTCTAAAATTAAAAAAAGGAAAATTTGAAATTATTAATATTATTTTATAATAAATACTTGCACTCTAAGATAATTAATTTATTCTTAACAACTACGAAAATTTTTTCTCTTTTTTGAATAAGTTAAAAATGAAAATTTTAAGGGTCGCGGAAGAAATTGTGGAATAGCTGAATTAGTTGATATCGCTGCACAAATAGCATCAGGAATGAGTTATTTAGAAGAGAAAAATTTTATCCATCGTGATTTAGCTGCTCGTAATATTCTTATGTCACATACATTATCTGTTAAAATTGCTGATTTTGGGCTGGCACGATTAATTCGAGAGAATGAATATGAAGCACGTGTTGGTGCACGATTTCCTATTAAAGTATTCATTATTTTTTTTCCTTTAAATTAATTTTTATTAGCAAAGAAAAGATTTTAGAAGTTTGAATTAATAATTAATAAATTTCTTCGAATCAAAAAATTTATTAATTTCATTAAAAAAATTACAGTGGACAGCTCCAGAAGCAGCAAACTATAATCGTTTTACAGCTAAATCAGATGTTTGGAGTTTTGGAATATTACTTACCGAACTTGTTACTTATGGTCGATTACCTTATCCGGGTAAAATGTTTTCGAAAATTTATTAATAAGTTACAAATATTTTCAGCTAATTAAAAAATTCTCATTAGATAATAACTTATACTTCTTTCTAAACTATTTTTAATCTTTGCTTAACAATTGTACAAATTGATTCATTTATTTGTTTTAAAAAAGAAAATTCAATTAAAGTTCAAAATTCAATGAAGTTGGGAATTTTGATTTATCCTTTTTTTCATATTTAAATTGAAATATCAGACTAATTAATTGTATCATCATTACAGGTATGACAAATGCAGAAGTATTGCAACAGGTGGACAATGGTTATCGTATGGCCTGTCCAGCAGGTTGCCCGGCAGCTCTCTATGATATAATGTTGCAATGCTGGCATAAAGAACCTGAAAAAAGGCCTACATTTGAGACGTTGCAATGGAAATTGGAAGATTTATTCACCACCGATCCAACAGAATACAAAGAAGCTGCGATGGCTTATTAAATTCATTAAGTGTTATTATTATTATTTATTATTTATTATCATAATTGCAGAATTCCGTTTTATAAACAATGCTGCGTATCATTTTCACGTACGCAATAAAGTAATTCACATTTTAAGTAAATGCAATAAATACGTCGCATTAAGAGGAATCATTGCACGTAACGCGTCTAATGATTAAGAGATAGTAACAAAAGGTATGTAATATTTGTTGGATGTGAAGAGATGATAATTGAACATGAACTTATCGAAGAGTGATAAAAATAATTGATTCATTCAATTTTAATTGCTCATGAAAGGAATAGATTAGGTAAGGAGACGATGGAATGGAGGTAGGAGAAAGACAGGAGAATGTATCGGAGGAGAGAAGAAAAACAACAGGAGTACGAAGAGTGATAGAAGTTCAGAGAATCTTCTTCCTTTCAAAACTTTTAGTTAGCTAATTTTTCAAATTGATGGGATTTTAAACGTTCCTCAGAATCTCAGAATCCTCGTCATTCACAAGTTCTTTTTGTAAAGTTAATGAAATGAAATAATAGAGTCGATCCAATTTTCCAGCTATTTAGCGCAACTAATAATATCAACATATTAACTCAATATTAGATTGAATATGATTGCTGTAACATCAGTTACATTTTATGCAGAATTATGATTGTGCACTCATTGATTGCATGCTTTATGCAAATTACGATTGTGCACTCATTGATTGCGCGCTTTCTGCAAATTCACGGCTGTGCACTCACTAATTGCAAGTTTTATGCAAATTGCAATGGAATACTGAGTGTTTTCATTGGGAATTCACTTTCCATAAGTAACATTTGTTTTCATAAGTAACATTTGTATAGAGAAGTCGTTTTTATTTTTGAGATTTAAAAGAGACCAAACTTTAAGTTTCCTTTTCTATTTTCAACGTACGTGTAAATAAAATATACGTGAAAGACGACAAAATTAGAAATTAATTAATGAATTTTTACTGCATGGAATATTCATCTATTTTTCGATCTTTCTATCCGTCTATCTCAGATATTTAAAATTCTGATAATTTGCTAATATCTTTTATGTAAAATGATAATGTAAAATTTATGTAAAATGATTATTCTATAGTTTTTTAATTATGTAATAAATAATGATCTATCTTGAAAAACTATGAAAGAACTGAAAGATGTTTGATGTTATCATAATCTGCTCCATGATCTGATCAATTTAAGCAGTGAGATTACAGAGTGAAGAATATAATAGAGAGAATACAATACGATCCAAAGTGCATGCAATATGACACCTTATTTGGGTAGTTATATAAAACTTCGCAAACAAATGCCACCATTCTCAGCTAAGAAGAAATTTATCAAATACAGCGATCTGGCACGAACTGATATACAAAATCTTGCTGATGAAGAAATTATTTTCCAGTGGTTACGCATTCGCGAAATTCGATATTCTGAATTAAATCTGGAAATATTCCGATACTTACTTGTATGAAGGCTTGTTTTCTTTTTAAAATATTTGTTGCTCAGCTCATTACTATCAGTAATGTACTGTTCTTATTGATAAAAATATATGATTAATATCGAACGAGTTTATCTAAAACAGCTTTAATCTCACAAAGCTTTGGCTGTTTTAGGTACGATAATACTTAGCCATAATATATTGCTAAGTTAATAGTACCAAATATCCTCTCCTTTCAACAGAGTTGTTTTGTAATAGCCTTAATCTTATAAAAGATTTGGTTGACTTGGAGAAACAATGGGTTTCTTGGAGACTTTTAGTTGATAGAATGAAATGTAACAATGAATTTGATCTCGGTTCATATGTCGACTATTTCATTTACCGTTATGGTGGTATGAAGATAAGCATTTTGAAAAGTCATAAGAAGTCTTGAAGTCATAAGAACCTCTTCAGAGTCTAGGCTGTCCAATACATACGTTATAATGACAACGATTATGTTCAGTTTCCTTAAGAAAGTGAGAAAGTGAGCATCATCAAACTACCTCATTGAATGTAAAGTTTGGATTGTTGGTTTGATCTGACATTTAATATGTAGCAGATCTCCTGCATCTGTTTTTTTCTGCTGGATATACGCTTCTTTATCCACACTATTATAGATCAGAGCTTGCAAAAAAAGCGAAATAGTTTTTTTAAAAAGTCAAAACCTCCAGTAAAATAAATTTTAGAAGTCTCTCATCCTCAAAATAAGAGATCTTTTTTTTTAAAAGAAACATAACAAACAAACCATTTAAAACGTGGAAGAACTGAAACCTAAAGTTTACAAAAAAATAAGCTGCCATTGAAAATCCAACCATACCACTCGATCTGATTAAAGATTTTTCCAATTCTTTTGAAATTCTTTTGCATTAACAATAGAGTAACATGTGTAGCCAAACTTTGAGACATACGGATCTGATTAAATAATACATAAATAAATTTTATCGCTTCTTCTTTTTATTGGCCTTCCCGCCACCAATTCCGCCACCCGAAGAAGACTGTGATGTTATTCCGCTACCAACTTGACGTGATTTCAATTTTGGCACCATTTCACATGCGTATAACATTAGTGACATCCCTGTAATAATGCATAAGCCAAAAAAACCACAAAGAATAACGGAATTCCCAAATCCACAAAGCATTCGTTAATACTTACTCGTTGGGAATTTCTGATCATACAGGGAACCATCATCATTTCGCAACTGCACCCGTACTCTTCCTTGAGAATTAGCATCACGATTTGAATCCAATGGATGCATCTTTTGCTTCTGAAAATGAAACAATACAATAAATGAGTCAATTAATCAGAGATAATATGAAAGCGATAAAAAAGCGAACTAATTATATCTTCGCAAAATTTAAGTTTTAAAAAAAAAAATATGATAGAAAAACAAGTTTGTTTCATTCAAAAAGTACCTCTGTACAATTTGTTAGTATCATAATTTAAAAATATGACAATTATAAGAAAGGAGACAGAGATGTGTTATCTGAATTCAAAGTCGATCGAGAAATCTATTGTGCATATTGTATTAGACAAATAATGTATGAAAAAAAAAAGATATAAAACACCTCAAGCTTCGCTTTCATGCCAGCATTCGACAAGATATCGAAGATTTCTTGTGCTGTTGGTGAGTCCACCGCCTTCAATTGACTTTGTTTAGTAGTAAAAGTTCTAAAAACGAAAATCTTACATAAATCTAAATATCAGAGTGCTAAATGATCATCAGTAATACTGAGAAAGGGAAAGAGACGAGAGGAACTGGAAACTTTCCGAAAGTTAGAATCTCCTAACTTTCTTGCTTGAAGTATACCCTACCTTATTCTTGCTCACTCGTCGTCCCTGTGCAATGGTCTTCCGAGAATTCATATATAACGGATATATGCATATCCATTTGCACTCATCACTTGGAGGTTTCGTCTTGTACTGTACAGCCATACTGTAAAATGATTATGATAATATTATGATAATGAGATCGAAATCAATTAACACAACTTGATATATGAAATTCAAAAAATAATGGTGAAACTGATAAAGAATGACGAATTCGAGAGGATGAGAAAAATAAGTAAATGAATAAGCAGAAATACGGAGGGTAAGAGAGCTTGATAAGGTGACATCAAAGAATAACGGATAATATGCTGAGGACAGGAGCAGGAAGTTTTTGTGACAATGATTAAGAAATGCCGGGGAGAATATTCTTATTGGGAAAGTTCTTATCGTTACAGGGTGTAGAGAAAAAAAGAAAGAATTGTAGGGTGTACAGGGTTTATCACGTATACATTTTGGGAAGTATACATTCCTCCCACCGGAATCTTACCAAATTTAATCCACAGAAGAGACCGAATCCACGAAGTACCAGCATGACGCTGTCGGACTTATGGTTACAACAGTTTTCGTGAAATGCTCAATTTGGGTGCATTTGGGAAATGGTGTGCGGGGTACGATGGAAGGTTGACATTAGAGTTAGAGAAGGTTGGGGATCGATTTAGGGTCAACTTTAGTGCAGTAGTGAGATATACATGTCTGTGTAGTATTTCAAGTAATTCACTCTAAATTTTGTAAAAATACATAGAGATGCGTAGTGGTGAAGTGGAATGCAGTTCGGATACGGAAGAATTGTACGATGCTTTGAAAAGTGCTCAAAATCGAAAGCAACGACACGCAGGAGGATGGCAAACCATTGGTATGCTTCAGTGTTGATATTTGGAAATTTTTTAACTTCATTTCCTAATGATATAAATTTCCTGTCTTTTATTTTGAAAACAAAATAGTAATTTGATAATAATTCAGGTTTATTTTAAAATGCATCTTTTATTGCATGTCGAAGGAATAAAATATTATTATATATTTGGCTTTTTTCTTTCAAACTATCAAAATGTTTTTCAATAGGTTTGGATCATATGCTTTTCAAAGGAATTCAGAAAAAAGGATTTCGTCAACCGACACCAATTCAGCGCAAAGCAATACCTTTAATTATTGATGGAAAAGGTTAGAATTTCATTTTCATTGATGTGTCATCAGCTTGTTGTATGCTCTTTCTTTATCCACTATTTGAAAATGAACCTCGAAATGCAAAAAGATTTAAAAGCTTTGATCTTTTTTTGGTTATTCATTTTTGCGAGTGGCTTGTTTGCTGTGCTGGATGAATGAAGTAAGGCATGTTGCAAGCTATGAAGCACTACTTTTAATGAATACTTTTAGTTACATGAACTGCAGCGATTTACTTTTATTTGCAGATATTGTTGCTATGTCGAGAACAGGAAGCGGAAAAACAGCAGCTTTTGTCATTCCGATTTTGCAGAAATTAAAGATTCGTGATATGAAAGGCATTCGCGCTTTGATTATTGAACCGACACGAGAGCTGGCAATGCAGACTTTCACTGTTGTTAAGGAGGTTGATATTTTATGCGTTTTGAAAAGAAAATAGATTCTTCGTATTGCATTCTTTTAATAAAAATCTCATTCATGTTGATTATCGAACATGTTCAGTAATTCTTAATAATTTACTGTGCTGACACTGCTGATTGTATTGAAATAGGTTTACAACGTTTAACGTAATTAAAATTTCTATCTTTTTATATCTTTTGAAAACGATTTAAATTTTCTTTATTTTCAGAAATGTTTGATCTTATTCTTTATTTCCAGTTGGGAAAATTTACTGGTTTGCGTTGCGCAGTTTTGGTGGGCGGTGATCGTATCGAGGAACAATTTCAAGCTGTTCACGAAAAGCCCGATATGTAGATCTCTTCCTTATTTATCCGAATCAACAGTTTCCCACATAGTTTTATTCAAGCATTTATAATCTTTTCGAGGATTTCAAAATTTAATTTCAGCGTGATTGCAACACCAGGACGTTTGCTGCATGTTGTTGTTGAAATGGACTTTCGTCTATCTACAGTGCAAATTATTGTATTTGATGAAGCGGACCGTTTATTTGAAATGGGATTTGCCGAACAACTTCACGTAAGTCTTTACTATGCGATGCAGAAGTAGCATTAACCAAAAGTTGTTTGTCGTTAAGGACATCGGAAATTTATTTGTTATTTCGAAAATTAGGTAGCTTATTAAGTTAAAACTTATCATTTGCATGCAACTGATAGAACTTATATGTACATACTTTCTGTCGGAGACTTTCGAGTGGCTGATGATAGTGGTAGCCATAATGTGGTTATTTTTGTTGGAAATAAGCAACCAGCAGTTTCGAAATCAAAAAACTTTTTCAGCTCTAAAAACTCTTTGATTTGTACAAAAGTGATAATAATAGTATGAAATATATTTCAAGGAAGTGTTAAGACGATTACCAGAAAATCGACAGACTTTGCTCTTTTCAGCCACTCTTCCAAAGAGTATCATTGCTTTTTCAAAAGCAGGTCTTTCGGATCCAGTTCTAGGTACTTCTTTGTCATTTTCTGATGAATGTGTTTGTAACTTTCGTCATAAATTAGCTGTTGCGCCTTGAATTTATCAAAATAAGATATTTCGCACTGCAGGCCATCTTAGTAGCTTATTTTTGCAAGAAGCAAATCTTAAGAAAATCTTCAAGTTTTTTCAAAGAATGAAGTAAATGTAAACAAAAATGAAGTTAACATTTTTTTCAGTTCGACTTGATCTCGCTGAAAAAATAAGCGAGAAACTGTCGATGGTATTCTTACACTGTCGTGCAGACAATAAATTAGCAGCATTTTTACATCTTGCTCGTGAAGTTGTAGCAGCAAGTGAGCAAACTGTTGTTTTCTGTGCAACAATGAAACATGTAGAATATCTGGCAGCAATTGCGGATAGAGCTGGAATCGACTGCGTGGTGTTGTATAGCCAGCTGGACTCTGTGGCTAGGAATATTAACATTCAAAAGTAAGAATTAGTTGCGGTTGTGATGCAAAAATTATGGGGAACAAAGCAAATTGAGTGATGATCATCTCATCGTTTGTCCGCTCTGTAGCAGCAGTTATGTGACAGTTATTAGGTGACATACCCATTTTGGTTATTTTCTTTCAATGAGGCATTTTCAAAATTTTAGGTATTTTTTTCGTCCATATCAATAAATAGATTTGCAGATTTCGCAAGAAGGAATGCTTCTTATTAATTGTGACGGATATTGCAGCTCGAGGAGTCGATATCCCGCTATTGGATGTTGCAATAAATTATCATTTTCCTCCAAAACCGAAACTTTTTATTCATCGTGTTGGTGAGATCTTAGTGTTTTACTTGTTATAAGTAAATAATGCTTCCTTTTAAGCTTTCAGCTACTTGTTTACTCTAGGTAGAGTTGCTCGTGCTGGTCGTTCCGGAAAAGCCATCAGCTTATTCGGTGCAGACGAAGTGCCATATCTGATCGATCTCTTCCTCTTCCTAAATCGTCCATTAAAGTTCGCAACAACTAATTCAGTCAAAAAAGGCAATCATTTTATAAATTTTGCAAATTTTTCTAACAATTTTAATTAACCCGATATACATGATTAATCGAAATAATGTGGTTATAAATTTTATCTTGACATACACTTCTGATATAGTTTACTTAGTCGATTTCAGATGAGGCATTGATTGGGATATTTCCAAATGGTATTATTGATAGGGAAATTGATTTTTTGAAGAATGTGCATGACAATTCGGATGAACTGGTAAGCTTTAAAATTCTTATCGACATCACTCGAGCACTGGACTTATTTGAATTAAAATTCAAATTTCAGGATGAGCTCTTGAAAAAATCAGAAAATGCTATGCAGAAATACAAGAAAACCCGTCCACAGCCATCAGCGGAATCAGTGCGTCGAGCAAAGGATGAAATCAAGGAGGCATTATTCCAGGCTTCGGTTCATCCATTTCTTCAACAGGAGTCACCGGAGGAAAATGTTAGGCAATCATTTCTTCGTGATTTGCACAATTTTAAGTCGACGACGGTATGTGGAATTTTTCCAAGCTTACTATCATGATTGAAAATAAATGCAAACAGTAGAGAAATAATAGATTACTGGATTGTATAGCCAATATTTTATTGGGTCATGAATTTACTTATATTCTTTATAGAATAAATCTACCAGCTTGTTTTTAGTGTGAAAATAAATTTTCCTCTTTTCGAGCCTGCTGATGGGCTGGGATCAAAAATTAATATATTAGTCTTGATCTAACTATCAAGGTTCGATGAGAGAAATTTTGTTTACATCTGTTAAGGCTTAATTTATTTTATTCGTAATTTGTAATTTTAGACCATCTTTGAAATTCAAAGTGGCAGTAAGGCTTTATCAGCGGCTGTTATGAAGGAGAAACGTAAAGCTCATCAGAATTATATACAATCTAGAACTGCTTCGGATAAGTTCCCAGATCTTGACCGGTCAGAAATAGCTGCTCCTATATTTGAAGCAAGCGAAGATGTTTTGGTGAGTTTAAATTTTGATTGCTATTTATCACTTTTGCGTTTTCATTTGTATAAATTCCAGTTGATATCTTTTTTAATAAATATTTTATTTTCCTCTATAAAAATAAATAATCTGGAAAACTTTGAAAGTACACTGCATATTGATTGAAATGAGAGATACAAGTTAATACTGGAAATTGCAGAATTTTTTATCTCTGTGAATGCAGTACATGATTACCATTCATGTCTATCGTACTTTATTTAGTCCTTTAAACTGTAGTTGTAGTATTGATGCTATTTTTTTATAACCAATCACAAATAAGAGTGATATGTTATCTAAATAGTTAAATTGTTTCCATAGTGGAATATGTCTTCAATGATGATTTAATTCACTGATTTGAATATAAAGTACATTTTGGATTACTTTGTGACAAATTGAACAATTATTTCTTGGACTGTTTCATGAACAAATGCACTTCAGAAAAATGCATTTCAAACGGTAATAAAAAGTACGAAATTTTCGGCAGTAAATGCTTTGGTGCAAAAAAAGTACAAGGGAAGAAAGCGGAAAGCTGATGAGCTACTAGAAGAAAAGGAAAAACATTTTATTGGTAAACATTTTACTGCTTTCGAATTTTGACATACCCTTCGTTCCTCGAAAGTCTTTAAATGTCATATTTTTAATTTAGATATAATGTTTTGGACCACTTTGTTTCGGAGAAATCAAAATTAATAGAAGGACTCAGTTAAAAATGTAACCAATTTTTTTAGATTATGCACCTGCAGAAGCAAATGCAGAACGTGGTTTGGCAGTGGATCATGATTTCAATGCCTTAGCCAAAGCAAACGTTATAGAAATTCTTGCTGATGATGAAGTTGGTTTGTATAAGCAAGAGAAACGCAAAAAATGGTTAGTTTCAATTCTTTCTTCCTAAATTCACAATTTCCGATAATTAAAAACGTTAGAAATTTTCGAAATATAACTATACGAAATATTGCCTACTTTGTGCCGTGAAAGGTTCGAGCAGGAACATGTCAAATTAATAAATAAAATCGGCAGTATGTTTTATTATTTACTGGTTTGATTTCGTGATATGTATATTTGCTTGTACCTCTTATGGGTGCTGTTAAAAACAAGTATTTTAAGATTTTCAGCGGCCTAATATAAATTGAAAATTCTAGAAATGGTTTTTTCTGTATTTCAATGTACAACATTAATTTATTATTAGTGTACCTCAAGATATCGCAAAAGTAGCTTTTTTCAGGGACAGAAAGCTGAAGAAGTTTGTTGGTGGTAGTAATGGCGATGATTCAAAGAAGAAGATACGGACGGAAGATGGAACTTATTTGCCAGCGACATACAAAAGTGGTCGTTATGAGAGATGGCAGAAGAAACAGAAATTGGAATATCAGAACAATGGTGATGAGGAAACGACTGACACACTGATAAAACAACACGATTTTAGGGTTTGCTATTTTCAATTTTCTATTAGTATATTGTTTTTTGAGCAAACTTATTGCTAATTTTGATTATATACATTTTCAGTTGTTTTTGAAGGCAATCTTTATGGAAATAATTTGCGTTTGCTGAAAAGATGCGAGATTGAAGTTGAAAAACATTATTCATTGTAAGTCTGGTGCAATTATCAATAATGGCATCTCAAAAAATCGCGATGAGGTCATACTAAAAGCAAAACCGTCCTTATGGTGTTTGAATTATCCTTTTTGAGAATTATGTTTTTGGACTTTTAGAGACGTAATAACAACCGAAAAAGAAGAGGGCGAAATAAAACGGGAAGTAAAGAACAAAGAGCACCACGTTCTGAACTGAAAACTTCTGAACAAATCCTGAAACAGAGGAAAAAGAAAGCAAGTATTCAATCATACCAAACCTATAGAAGGCAGCAAAATATGACGAAGAAAGGATTAGCGTGGAAGCGAAAGAGCTGATTTATCTTATTGAATATAACCAGTTTTACTATGTTTTTATGTAACCATTGTTTTTTATTAGCTTTGCTAAATAAAATGCTGTTTAATTGCAATTGATACGAATCACATAAAAGTGAACTTCATAATATAATGAATCATGTTTTATAGTGAATAATAAGTCGCATGAAAGTTGATTTACAATGTTTCGAGGATTTCATCTCTCATAATTAATCTTTTTTATCTAAAGTTGTTGCCAGATAACATGCGCATATCAAACAAAAACTACATCCTACTCGTAGGCAATATGGAAATGGTTCTGTATATCTCCGGAGGGGGAATTATATGATATGTATATATTGATTCGGATAAGGACGATAGTTTTTTAAAATTTCAGAGCAAAGTCAAAATTACAAAAAAGAAATATATGAAAAATTTCAGAGCAAGGCGAAAAATGTTAAAATTATTATGAACTTTTCCTAAAATTTTTCCCTAAATTGTAGTTTTTCCAAAAAGAATTTTCAATGAATGAAATCTAACTTATATTCGAAAATTATAAATTATTAATTTTTATTCATAGAGTGAGTGCAAAGTGTTGTTACATTACAGTGTCCTGTGAGGAATGAAATACTCAAACTTAAATTAGCTTAATGATTTAAACAATATATGCAGAAAAGAAATGAAACACTCATTAAGGTTGATAAGAATTTTCCAGCCTGGAATGTTATAATTTCAACTTTTTCCCTTCTCTTTATGTCATTTATTATCATTTCAAAATTTCCATCCAAACTTGTCATTGCAAATTGATATATTTAAATTTCTAATTCATTTTAACATATTAACTAACTATTTGCAGCACATATCAATTACTTAGATAAAAAAAAGAATACCTATATCGATTATACATATCGATTACTTAGATAAAAAGAAATATCACATGTTGGAATTACAAGAAATATTTTGTCTATCCTGTTGTTGTAATGCATATTCGCTTAAGGGGTTGCTATAGAAACAATGCGTTAAGAGAGCAATTTAGCTAAATGATATTATATATGGTATTATATAGGGATATTATATGATATATTATATATGGATACTTAATGATATTATATGCATGTATTATATAGGGATGAAATAAATGACCCTTGGCTACTTTTCTCTCTCGATATAATTTTTTCGGAGAATTTAAGAGTAAGTTATATAGATATACTTTTTTTGTTAATTGTAATTTCATTCTTTATACTATAAAATAATTTCTTTGCAGGAATAAAATTTATTAAATGGTAGAAATGAAAAAGTATTTGTGAAGAGAAAAATGCCACCATTAAATGTGAATGAATTGGAAGAATTATTTGAAAAAGGTGATGATAATCCTGAAATAGTTAATCATTGGTATGAAAAATTATCAGAGGTTAGTGATAAAATATTTTTGTTAAAAGCATTTTTTTTTGAAATTTTAATTAATAAAAAAATTTTAATTCGAATTTAAATTATGATGAAAATTTAAATTTAATTCCAACAATGAAAAATCTATAATATTATGAATTACTGCTATCTTATTTGTCAGTGATATTGAAAAGAAAAAGAAGAAAAATGCTAAATTCAATTTCAATTTCACATTTCAGTTAATAAAGTAGAAAATTAATTTTCTAATTTTAAATGTTTAATTTGCAATATGCAATTTGATAAAATCTTTTTTCATATTTTAAAACTTATTGAGCATTAGATTGGTTTTATTTCTTTATCTGACAAAAATGAAACTTAAATAAATTTGCATGAAAAAATTTTTTTTGAAGATATATTTTATTTGCGGGAAGTAAAAAATTTATTCTCATATTTAAATTCAATATAACATTATTTGTAAGTCGTAAATCTAAATTAAATCTAAATTTAACAATAATTTTATTTATTTTCTAATAATTTAGTATGATCCGGAAGATATCGAAGTATCGGAGTCAGTTAAGCAAATTATGAAAGCGATGAAATGGATCATGCATTATGAACATGTCAATGGGGAAGAGCTGAAAGAATTATTGGTAAAGGAAGCTGCAGAGATGGCGGAGAAACAAGAAAATTGGGATGAAGAGAAGGAAAACATGAATGTATGCTTTAGTAATTATTGAATTAGAATAATCGCTATTTAATTATCATGATCTTATGAGTTTAGTCGATCAAAGAGAATAAATAATGGAGGAGGGCTTTTATTACTTACAGTTGATCTGTTCCGGGTGTTGCAATTATTTGATTAACTATTTTAAACCGATAGAATGTACAATGTACCTGTGATGATAATTACACGGGCTTCCAGGAGCAATTTCATCATTTCACATAAATAATAAATAGCAATAATTAGTGATTAATATAATAAATGAAGAATTGAATTTGAATTTAAATTTCGTCATTTCGATACACGGAAAATGATTTGTCGTATAATTCCGAAAGTATAAATCATTCTCAAATAATTTTACAAAATTTTTTTGACACATTTTTTTATTTTTAAAAATTCAATCAATTCAATTTTTTATTTTATAGCTTGAACTTAAACTTTTACGTGAACGTACAACTGCCACAGCAAACGTTACCGATATCAGTGAAACATTTCGAACACGAATTAATAGCTTAACGGATGAAAATGTTTATTTGAAAGAACAAAATAAAGAGCGGTTGCTTATTTTTGATTTATTTTTACTTTTTCGATATGAATTAAACCAATGAGTTCGAATAAATAATATGAATATGAATATAAGAAGAGATTTTCATTTCCGATTTCCGTTTATTAACTTTTAGTTTGTATTCGGAAATTCTATCGAAAATAAAAATAACAGTTATATGAAAGATAATTATAATGGTTATTTAGTGATTGTGAATTAGCGGAGAAAAATGATAAGGTTGAAAAATTAACTTATCGCGTGGAACAACTCCAGAACGAACGTGAGAAATTTATTCAACAGGTACAATTTGATATAAATCTATAAAGTGTGGATATCTTTTGATTGACTTACTTAGAAGTATTTTAATTCTAGCAAACATTTTTGAATGAATCCATTCATGAGCTAACCGTACGACTTGAAAATAAAATGGATGAATCTATGATAAATGAAACTAAAGCATTACAATTACAACAACGAAGTCAACAAGCTGCATTACTTTCCAAACAGCTTCAGGTTCATCTAATCTTTTCTTTTTCTTTTCAAATAAATAATGATGAATTTATGGAAAATAGCATTTGCAATATTTTTTTTGTAATAAATTTTAACGATTAAAAAAAGAATATGAAATGAGAATGGTCATTATCAGGAAGTGGCACAACAGAATGATGAATTTCGAGCAGAAATTCAACAACTTTCAACAGCGCTTGCTTCAGCAACAACATTTATCGAGGATACCGCTAATAATTATCAGGCATTATATGAGCAACTATTAGAAAGTGATAAAATCATCGAACGTTTAACGAATGATAATGAATTACTCGGTAAAAAGGTAAAAGTAAGCAGATAATTTGTACAATTATTATTTTTTCCAAAAACAATTTTGATTATCTCAATTATATAATTAATTAATTTTATTGATAAACTTTTTGTATTTTAAAATTTAAATATTATAGCGTAAATAAACCATTGTATTACTGATGATATGGTAATATAATTTGAATAAATTTATCACCGAAACATATCTTAGGTCTACCTCGATAAGTGAAGAAAAGAGGTCAACTACTCACTAATAAGTTAATAGAGTAATAACTTTAATCAATTCTGCATGCACAATTGCATCATTGTTTTGTTTTACTAATTTAATGATTCGAGACAAATTTTCCACTTGCTTAATATTACGTTGTAGTACTCAGTCGCTGGTCATTATCATTTAACATTATCATTATCACTATATTATTATTATTGTTATTAATTATTATTGTCGCTGTTATTAATTATTGTTGTTATTACTAATTATTATTGCTGTTATTAATTTTTGTTAATTATTTGCTGTTACTACTATATACAATTCTCACTCAGTATTTGTTCAACAATTTACGACACAATTTGACAGTTCATTAATAAAAAATTTAAAAATCAAATTATCGGTATAATAATAGAACGGGAAGAATAAATGAATTAATGTAATAGAAAATAAATATTTTAAAAGGAAAAAAATTAAAAGAACTGTCAAGTAGTGCTAAACTTTATTGTTTTTTAAATTAATTACACAGCAATTAATTATATAACTTTTTTACATCAAAAAAATTTAAATCTATAAATGTCTAAGCTTGACTATATTTCAGCTTGATGACGAGAAAATAACAGCTGGAAAGTTGGGAAATGCTGACGAAAACTCAATTCAACATTATAAGGTATAATTTCAATCATTTCAGAAATTTCATTGAAAGATATCATCAAATGAGCAAATTTAAAAGCTTTGGTTGTTTCTGCGTGATTGCATTTACAAAGATATGAATAATAGAAATTAAAACCGATAAGTATTAGATTTTAAGAAGGCGACAAATAATTTTATGTCAATTATCCTTTATTGAAAATATTAACAACAGCATTGTGATGTTTGTGCAATGAACATAGATTTAGAAAGTTTCAGGAATTGTCATGAGTTTTAAGAAGTTTCAGAAATTATCGATATGAAGATTTCAGGAATTGTTACAGAGCAAAAATGAACAGATTGAAACATTAAAGCTAAAGTTTGAAACATTGCAAGTTTGTTTTTAGATTTTAAAAATTTAACCAAATGAAAATAGAATTGTTCATTTATCTAAAACATAAAGAACTGATAGATTTTTTGAAACTTTTCCTAATAAGCAAATTTATCAATTGCTTCGACATATTTATTTCAAATGAATTATGCAAACTTATAATACCATATATCGATCCAATCGATAAGTTTGCTAAATAATTGTGCCAAAAAAAAATTTTCACTCTTTCCATTTTAGTTTAAGAAAATTATTTTTGAAGTTTCAATTGGCAATTTCAGATTGAATTACAAGAGTTGCAAAGTCAAAGTATATTAGAGAATAATGTAGGACGTGAAAAAGAAATGGAAAAATTACGAGTAGAACTTCTCGATGCCACAAAAGTAGCTCGACAACTTTTTGGTGTTGCAGTAAAGAATAATGAAGTTAATGGATCAATTGCTCAAATGAAATCTGAAATTACATCGCTCAATGAGGTTTACCATATTTTTTGCTTTTCCAAATATTGTTTGAAATTTTTCGAAATACAAAATATTTTTTTATCTTTGAAAAGATGAAAGAGTGAAGAAGAAGAAGTAATTACAGACTATTGATAAGTTACATTGGGAAGTTAAACAACGTGAAATGGAAAATGATGAACTTATACATAATCTAGAAATGAAAGATATTGAAAATCAGAAAGTAAACATTGAACTGAAAAGGCTTCGTGAGGTAAATTTTAATTTTTATTCTTCAAAAGTTTTCCCAAAAAGGTAATATAAATTAAGAAAGCAATTTTTTTAGAAGGCTTAATTGGTACATTTTCAAGAAGGCTAAAACGTATTTTGGATGATTAGAAATGAATTAATTAGTTTATTAATGAAATTTTTGCATAATTAAGACAATTGATGGATAACTTTCGCAACAATTAAATTCAGAAACGTTTAATTTTTAATTTAACATATAAAGAATTGACCAGAATTATAATAATAGGTGTATGCTATTTTATAAAAAACATGCCAAAATTTAATTTAATTTATTTTCAAAAATTATTCATTCATTTCGTAGAATTGTAAACTTTTTTTTAAAGGAAATATTTGGAAGTGCAGAAGATGAAATTAGCCGTTTGGAAAAGCAAATTAATTTTCGAGAACAGCAGATTGAAAAATTAACAGCTAAATGTTCACTGTTACAAGTTGAATTAAGCTCTACTTTTGATGTTTCCGATCAAAAACTAGAAGGTTTCATTCCTGTGATGAATTCCGTTGAAAAATCATTAATACCGGTGCAAGACAAGGTAGATGATAGAAGTGAAATCGAACCAGCTGAAAGCCTACTGAAACCAGCTGAAGATGCTGTTAATTTTTTGCCTGAAATGAAGGAAAGTGATAGTGAATGCAAAGCATATCCAGAAGGCATATTAAAAGTTCATAAAAGGCCTTTAAAACTGAGAAAAAAGAAGGAAGAATATGAAGGAAGCCTAAAAAGTTTGGAAGCTAGCGCTATGATCATTTCATCACTTAATCACGAATTAATGCTACTCATGCAGGTTTTAATTTTAATTTTTATGATCATAAAAACAAAGTAGATGTAATTGAAGTTTTTAATTATTGTAAACAAAGTAAAATTAGAATAGTTAAATTTTGAAATAAACACTGAAAGGTTACAATAATTAAAAACTTCAACTATATTCTTCAATCTTTTCCATTCTCATTTAATTTAAATTCATTAAAAGATAAAATATTCAATTCGATAAGTTTTTCCTTTAAAGCTATTAGACGAGAAAATATTTTTCTACTGTTAAAATAATAATTAAATATTTAATTTAAAATAAATTAAATTTGGGAATAAATTCTGAAATGTTTACAGTCATTAAAAATTCCATTTTCATCCTTCAACTTATTTCATTCTTCATTTTAGCTTTATAAATAAAATATTCATTTCAATAAATTTCCTTTTCTTTTCTTTTTAAAGGAATTAGATGAGAAAGATCGCCAATTGCAACGTATGGAAAAAAGTGTAGAACATGCGGCAAATAGTATTGATGAATTAAAAGTGAACTATTTTAATTTGCAAAAGGAAGTATCGGAGTATGATATGACACAATATAATAAAACAATCGATGAGTTACGTAAAAAAATGGAATGTTATGAGATTGAAATTGAAGAATATCAGGTAAGTTATCGAATTGCATATTTGATCGTCTAAATAATATAAAGTTTCAAGAAAAGAAAAATGATCGGAAAAAGTTTATTTAAGAAAGTTTGAAATATTTATTTTCACAATAAAAGAAAGATTTACAATTCAAAAATAAAATAAGAAGGTGTTGTTGAAAAGTATTAGCATAATTTTTATTCATCATTTTAATATCAGAACAAGCTAAATTATAATTAATTGATAGCATTTATTAGTATCCAACAAGAAGATAATTAATTAATTAATTACTTAATCACATACCTAATTTTTTTTTTCAAAATAAACTTCAAGAAATTAGCCAATTCGATACGCTTAAGTGGGAATGAAATGCAACAAAAAGTGGAAGAAATGAATAGACAAGTGGTGGCAGAACGATTGCGAAATCTTCAACTTATACGAAAATTGGAAATTATTGAACGAAATCGAAATACTGAAAATGTTGAACATAAAAAAGTTGCAAGAAATTATCAGCAACAACGTTTATTACATATGAGACAATTTAAAATTGCCAACTATGAATCAGTAAATTTTTTTTTAAATTTAATTCTCTTTGAGATAAATAATATATCTTTTATAGCTTATTTAAAGCAAAATGCAACTGTTGAATTTTGTATGGAATATAAATAGGACTATTACAGCAAATTTATTTGAAAAATTTAATTCATTATATTTGAATTAATAAATAATAGACATAGATGAATAATGGCCAAAATTTTTCCTACCAATAATTTAAATTTCAGGATTTAGCAACAATTGAGATAGCACGTCTTCAGACACTTCTGCTACATTCTGTTCCTAAAAAGGATTATGATCAATTATTATTGCAACATAAACAACTGTTAGCTTCTGATGACAATTATAAATTAACGAATGATTTCAAAAATGATGAAATGGTATTGTTTTTAATTTTGATTTATTATTCAACTATGGCATTGGCAAAATTACTTCGTATAACACTTATTCTCATAAATATCAAATTATCCAATACAGGTCATTTTGTGGTACTTCAATGAATGCCAAAAAGGAATGAAGTATAAAATTCACTATCAAATTAAACTTAAACAACAAACAAGAACAAAGTGCATATTTATGAAAAGTTTTCAAGTGCTATTTATATATTAAAAAAAGTTTAAATAATATTTGAGAGAAAATAATGGAATATATTAATAGGATAGAAATTAAGAATAGGTTTAATTTAAACGTTGAAAAAGCATTGATACATATAATTAAGTGTAATTTTTTTTCAGAGGAATGAATATATCGTTGTAAATCTTTTAGAGATGAATGATGAAATAAAAAATGCCGAAGTAACAGTAGAAAACACTCATCTAAAGGTTGCAATTTTTTACTTTTCACTTTCTGAAATTTAAGTGAGAGCCTTTCTTCTTTGGAATACTTATCACTTCACTTATCTTCTGATTTTTTCAAATGATATAATAATTCATTTTTGATCAGCGATCATTTGCTTCGAAAGGAAATGTATGTATACGTATTATGCGTATTTACATCTATTTACTGTTTTTCTAATCTTCTGATAAAACAGATCCTTAACGAAGCAGTTGATTGGACAGTTATCGTTTAGTGGCTGATGTTTATTTTGTATTATTTTATTTTTAAAATTTTAATTTAGGGAATGATAAATGTTCTAAGAAGCCAAAATGAATATTGGCAAATTGAAGTGGAGAAAATTCGTGAGCAAAATACCGAAATGATGCATTTTTTGGATGATGTTGAAAGTGAATCACAAATGAAAAGTTTATTGGTTGCATTAGAACGACGTTTCCTGAAAGCACTTTCGGATCGAGCAGAATTTTCACAAAATCAAAAGTTAACTGATCATCAATTTCTGGATCAGCAGAATGAATTTGCTAGGAAAAAGCGAAGTTGGGCAAATGAGAAGAAAAAATTGATCCAAATGATCAGATCATTGCAGCTACTTTTTCAGGTTATCCAATTTGAAATTCTGATCTTTTCTTTCCAGTCAAATAATAAATTAAATGTAACTGTTAATTTTGATAAAGAAATAATGGATATCAATCTTTCTCATCTAATTTTACTTACTGCTACATTTTAAATAAAAGTCAAAGTAATGGTGTAAAATGATATGATAATAAATTTAAGCTTAGTTAACAAATTTTCTGAAATAATTTGATATTTTAATATAACTGATTGAATAAGAGTAAAAAGGGAAAATATATATTTTAAAGGGAAAGTAACAAAAATAATTTAGCGATAGAAAATTTTGAATGTTAGCAAATTATGAGAGAATGAATGAATGAATGAATGAATGAATGAATGAATCGATCATTCGTTAAGTTTCAAATAATTTTGAATGTTAGCAAATTATGAGAGAATGAATGAATGAATCGATCATTCGTTAAGTTTCAAATTGTTTGTAAAGTTTAACATCAAAAAATTACTTTCAATTTTATCAGTTAAGTTTTGCAAAAATTTATTTTTATTTAGCGTATGCGATCAAATTCAATGGAATTATTAACTGTACAACAAATGATGCAATATAAGGAAAAAATTGCCGAAATTAATTCGAATTATACTCAAAGTCAGAAATATAAAGAAGAGGTAAGTAATATTTGTTGTTGAATTCTTTACTGTAATAAATGCACAAAATATATTTTCAGTTATTTTTGCGATATGTTAAGATGATTATTTTGCATCTTTTTTTTATCAGTATTTTTTATCAATTTTGTAGCTGATAAAAGTAATCAGCAAGCAGAAGATTAAAATTAATGTATGAATTTTAATGTTAATTAATTGTAGTGTTTAAGCGAAAGTTTAAAATTGAAATTTAATATTTCTTCCTTAATTGCAAATATTATAGATTGAAAGAGAAAAGGATGAATTGGATTTGCAATTACGACATGCTGAAGCATTACGAAAAAGTTATGAATTATTGCAAGAGAATGATTATGATGTGATTAAATTGAGGAAAAGTTTACAAGCCAGCCATTTAAATATGCTAAATGCAAAAAAGCAACTTGAAAATGCTGAAATACAGGTTGATTTATTATTATTTTCCTTTCCATCCATTATATATTCTTTACTGACCACTCATTATATTCATTGGTCATTCAATATATCACACTGATCACCCAATATAGTTAAGTATTTTAAAAGAAGCAAAAAGAAAAATTCTTATTTGTTAAAATAAAAAAAGATATAGTAAATCATGTTTTGTTTTTATCGAAAACTAATTGAAAATTAATTAAAGCATTGTTTACATTAAGAAATTTTGTCTTCAATAATTGACCTCATAAAATAAACTTTAAATTCTATTAACGCTAGCAATCTTTTCAAAGAAGAAGAAGACATTTCAAAGAATTGATGAATGAATTAAATAAATATATATGAAATATTTAATTTCTAATTTATAGTGTTTTCTCTTTTCAGATGCAAAGAAAAGATGAAAGAATTCAGAAATTAGAAGAAATAGTACAGAATTTGCAGAAAGAAATAGAAGATTTATTTGCAATAACAATTAAGATATCGGACTTTGATGATGAAAATGAACGAATTTATGAAGCAATCAATCCATCTCCAATTACTGATGAACTTTTTCAAAATATTAAAAACGAAGAAACAAAAATTGAATTGAAATCAGATATTCAGAGTGTTAGTGATGAAAAAGGTAGTTCAGAAATGGAAGAATCTGAAAATATTGGAAAAGGTGAAACACCAACAGAAACTATTGATAGTGAATCTGATGTAAAATTTCATGCAATAACTGAATTGCATGCAACAGGTGATACACGCAAAATTGCTCACATTCATCCAGAGGAATATATGAAAAAATTGAATTATATTCGTGAAACAGCAAAATTATGTATTGCAAATTATAAGGTTAGTTGTTGTTGTATTGTAAATTTGAAATTTCAAAATTAAATCAAAAGAAGGAGAAAATATTATCACAATATTACTACAAAAGCATATGTAAAATTGTTTTTGAAATCTTTTATAATAAAATAAATATACAATAAAAATATATATAAATATATATATATAAATAAATATATAATAAATCCAATAAATTTGTTAATAAAACAAAGAGTTAATTAAAAAATCACACAAAATTCATTTTAGAAAATTGAAGAAAAATTTTTTCATTTCATATTTTTGTGTAATTTCAATTTGTTTCTTTTCATCTCATTTAGAAATATAAATTTTCAGGAACAATTGAAATATAAAGATGAAGTTATTGAAAAATACAAATCATTGTTGAAAATTATGCCAGATGAAAACGATACACAACAAAATATCGATGATTCAGCGCTAATTGTAAACGATTTAGCGGAACGAAAATTACGAACATCAAGCGAAATTTTATTTCAAAATTATAATAGTGATATTGAAGCAAAAGATATGGAAATAGTTAAATTACGAAATGAAATTGAACAATTTAATAAGGCAAATCGAAGGCTTACAAAAGATCTTCAACATTTTCGCAATCAAATTAAACCGTGTACTGAAATTAGTACTCAAACTGATTTACATGCAATAATGGACGATGATGAAATTGAGGAAGGAATTATTTCAAATGAAGAAAATAATTTAAAGTTTAATGTAACAGAAGAATCAACAAAAAGTATTACCAGTCAGGAACCATTAAGGACACGTACGCCATCATCATTAATAAAATCCAACAAGCATAATGTATCAATTAAAGTAAATGATACGCAAAATAATGATATTATGATGGAAACATTACGACGAGAAGAATCAAAAACAATGACAATGCGTATGGAAATAAGAGATTTAAAACAGCGTAACGCTATATTACGTATTAAAAATCAGGTTTAACATTTCATTTTTTTACTAATTAAATTTTCTTAACTTAAGAAATGTGAAAGGTCAATTTTTTTCGAATAATTAGCATTTCATTTTGAGTATTTGATTTATTGATTATGTAAGAAAATTTAAGAAAGCTGATAAGAGAATATTGAGCCTAAGTTAATTTATATTTAGGAATTGGAAAAGGCATGTGAAAGAATTCGAGTTGAAGCGCTATCTGAAATTAAGCAAAGCTATACATCCAATATTAACGACGAATCAGAAGCTATTGTTATGAAGTTAGAGTTTCTTGAAAAGTTTCATTGAATAATTAATTTATTTTTCAAAGAATATGATAGCTTTATTGGCCATATAATACTAATGATCCTATAATGAATGCAAAAGAAAAGAATTAGGCTTTTGATCTGAATTGAACAAGTAAATATTCCGAAAGTTGGACAAATGTTGTAGAATGAAATACTTCTTTTTTTTGTTTATTCAGAATTGAAATTTTCAATTATACACATTTTTAGACTTCAACAAGAACTTTCTGATCTTAAATTAGAAACTGGAAATCAAAAAAAATTAATTCGAGAACAAAAAGAAATTATTGATCGATTGCAGAAAAATCAATCCGTTAAAAATTCACAGGTTTCAAATTTCGAAATTTTCTTCATCTAGAATTTATCAATTTTCATTGTATCAGCTCTTGCTTGTTTGATTTTTGCAAAGTTATAATAATTAGGAAGAGATATCAAAGTGGCATGAGAAGAAAGCACGTGAAGGTAGCGTTAATGTACTTCGGAAAAAACTGAAAGAAATGGAACAACGTGAACAGGAAATATGCGAAAGATTGAAGAAACGTGATCAAGAAATTAAACAATTGCATAAATTGGAAAATAGCAGAAGAATTGAATTGAAGCGATTGCAAGAAATGATCAAAAGTTTGGAAAATGATAGAGAAATGAGTAATTTGGAAATGAAAATATTAAATGATCGTTTAAGAACAGCAGAAGAGACAAATATATATTTGAATCAGAAAATCGGTCAAATGAAAAAGGTTTGTGATTTTCACTATTTCATATTATTTCCTAAAATTAAAACTTAATTTTAAATAAAGTTTTATTTTTTTTTGGGCTAATCTATTCTGATATCTGATTAGATAAGCTTTACATGTAAGTGAATATAATATTGTTCTGAAGACGTTGACTAAGGTGGTAGTTCAGTTAAGTTCTATTATTGTTGTTATCATTATTATTAATTATTAATGATCATTATCAATTATTGTTGGTTATTATTAATTGCTATTATTAATCATTAATTATTATCATTTGTCATTATCATTATTAGTTATTATTAACTATTATTAATTATTATTATTATTAAATTAGCAAATTAAATGAGATGACTTCTGAAGACATAATGATTTTCATTTTAGGAAAGCAACGAATTATTATTAAGTGCTAACAATGAGAAAGAAAAATTACTGAAAGGTATAAAAATAAGGGATGATACCATTGAAATCAATAGAATCGAAGGACACAATATATCCGATGAAGAGTTACATAAGCTAAGAGAAAAAGCTGAAAAGGTAAGTTATTCTATTTCTATTCTATTTCTAACGATAACATAATTACATGAGACAATGAGAAAGATTAGAAATTTTAATATTAAAACAATAGAATGCTCGAAGAATACATGTTGGAGAAAAGATTGCATTTAAAAAAAAAATTCAGAAATCGATAGAATATTTTCAGTACGATGATATAATGAAACAGTTAATCAAGCTTGAAACGGAAGTTAAGAAACAACATGAAGAGATCCGTTTACTCAATGATAAATTAAATGAGCGGAAATATGATTGTGGCGCAGTTGCTGTCTTACGTGATAAACTTATGGCTAAAGAAAAAGTTATCGAGCAACAAGTTGTCTTTTATTTATTTGCAAATATTTCCAAAGTTTTATTTGGTCAATAATTAGTTATTTCACAATAAATGAAGCCACCTAATTAATAAATAGATTGAATGATGTTTATATTCGCTATTGTCACTGTCGGTAATTTTAAAAAGTGCATCAAATGTATGGTTACGATTTGTCTCAAAATAAGCAATCTAACGTTTCCATATATTTGTGTCAGCTACCAATGCAACCCTCAAAATTTAAATCTAATTATTTGCTCACTTATAAGCCTAAACTCTCTCAACCTTTAACATGTAGATTTCTAAGCATATGACATTGATCACTTCCATCCTTCAAATTCATTATAAACTCAATTTTCAGCAACAACGAATCGAAGAATTGGAACGAGAAAAGTGGCAGAACCTGTTGTAGCATTCATCAATCATATTTTTTCACATTTTGATATTATTTTAATTTCGTTAAACAAAACTTATAAAACTCATTTCTTCTCCTGCAACCGAGCAACAAAGTGATATTAAATGTTTTATTGTGGTGATATAAATGTCCTCTTCAATGAACAGCTAACAAAATTCATTTTGTGGGTCCAAACAATTCCAGAAATAATTCGCGCAAAATGAACAAAAACAAAACAAAATATGCACCAAAAATTAGAGTGAATTATTATTTACTTTAGCGTGAATTATTATTTACACAGGAAAAACGAAACGAAATAAGACATTCTAATTTAAAATACATATTGCTGTGCATTTAATATAAACAGCAAAATGAACAAATTATTTGACCTCATTCGCGTCTGCGAGCATATTTGGTATACCATCATGAATTGGAAAAACTCGTCCACTTTCAGGGCACTTCAATTCACCTTCGATAACTTCAACACATACCAATACGCGATGCAACTCATTCTTCAACTCATCTTCCAACTTTTCTGGCAATTGCCTGGGTAATTTATCACCTTCATCTATACTTAGCGCTGCTTCTAGTAAAGCATCATAGTTCAGCTTTGGAATTATCCGTTGCATAAACGAATCGTTATATTTGTGTTGCTTTATTTCTTTCTTTGTCGCTGACAAAATCAGTGGATAACCTCCTGTGACCCCTTTCAGAAAGACGGACGACAGGAAATTATGCATAAGTAATTTCATCGTCAATTTATCTCATATAGTCTCCTTCAAATCTGAAAGAATAATCTTCACAGTACGTTAAAATAATGTCACAACAGTGAAGAGCGACTGCTCTGTAACGACGGACAGCTCTCTGATCTGATCGGTAGTTCTTAATTTCAAGATATTTCTATAACAATATGAAACAATTCTAGCTCTGGTCCAGGATACATTGTTAAGGAAAACAAAAATAAATTTTGGAAACTTTGCAGAAATAAATTACAAAAAATCATCATCGCAAACCTTGCTGAAAAAATGCATCAAAAAAAACTACTGAATTTTCAAAATTATGGCATACGAAATCGAATAACAAAGCACTATATTGAAAAATCTCACATTCAGAAGGTTTGTAGGTAATTCATCCAAATAAATTTGAAGCCTTGCAGCTCACAACCTTACGTAAATAGTTATTTATCGTGGTATTATTCAAAGATTTGCAATTCTATTTCATTCTACAGACTATCTCGAATTTATTGAAGTTATCAGTATATTACAAGCAACAGCGTTACACTGATTAGCACTCACTATGTATCACGCTGTTCCACTCTCTCAAATACTATCTCCGGTTTATATGAATGCTATTCTGATTTTCCCATAATAGTGTCACTAAAAAATGTCACCAATAGGTCTAAAAATTTGAGCTTATTCAGTGAGGATTTATTCCAAAGTTATGATATAGGATTTATCTGGTTGGCAATAAATTCCTAAAATACGACATGAGACAGCATAGTGAAGTTAGACTTGAAATGAATCCATTAATCAAACAATGATCAAATGCTTAATTTTTAAGTAAACTCAAACGTACATTTTAAGTTCGAACAGTCAAATTTTAAATCGCTTCATGCTACTCATTACACATTAACTATACACATCGCTAAATACAAATTCAATATAAGGTACAGGACTATCGAGTAGCGTTTATGATAGTGTTTAAGAGTATATAATTAGTTAAAGTATATTTATTGTTTTTGTAGCATATATATTAAGCAACAAATCGAAGAAATGAGGAAAAAAAATAAACCATTAAATAGTTCAAAAAAGAGAATACAAAATACCGCTTAAGTTCAAGGAAAAAAGAAAAGCTGGAGCAAAAAATTCAACGAATGTCAACAAAATTAATACCAAAAGTCATATTATTGGAGGACATCCGCTTCAAATAGTGTCTAAATAAAGAAGATACAAAATAACATGAAATTTATGAAACATCTTAACACAATCTGTTTCAGTAAAAAAAAAAGGATCAGAAAAGCATATAAGGATATCAGCTAAGCAAGAAAAGAAGGCAGTTTATTAGGCAACAGAGTAAATTATTCTTTTTTTTTCAGACTAAAATTCTAAAAAAGAAAACATGACTGAGTCAGACCGGGCCTTTATCCGAATACTAGATGATTTAAAATCTTCAAAATGCCTTCTCTGACATAACATTTCAGAAACCATCTACGATATGTGGCTTAAAAAAAGTGCTGAAATTGAATTACAAAGAACGAAACAATTGGAAGTAATCAGCAAGAGAAAAAAACTGAAATGAATTAGAAAAATAAAGTTTAAACAACTAACATTTTCAAACATTATTTGAAAATGCAATTCCAGTTAACCGCAATACAATGAACAACAATTGAACCCGAGATCTAAAATGTTTTCAAACACGAATAAATTGAGAAAAAGTATAGAGCGGCAATCTACCAATATAGGATCCAACCATCCATTGTAACTGAAAGATGCATAAAAAATTTAGAACTACAGCCCTGATTTCCAGGATTTTCAAGATACTTCAATTTGAAGAGTAACAACCAGCAAATAGATATACGAAGAGACAATTCAATAACAGTGCAACAATAATACAAACCACATTGAGCACGCAATAATCCGTTAGCTGCAGAGCTTATTAAAATCATAAAGATCATCCACTATTCACTGCATAAATACTGAAGTCTTTTCAGGATTTTCTTCAAAATATAAATGTTAAACATAGCTAATGTTTTGCAAATACTTTACAAACTTTCGTTGGAATTTATAACACTATCCAAACAAAAGACAGATTTCAGTAATGTCATGAATAAAATCATCATAACACGCAATGAAAAAAAACTTCAAAGAGACAAAATGACTTTCACCAAGTTAACCACATGAATGATAACCACGGCCAACGAATAAAATAATTCCAAACAAACATACAAATCAAAATAAAGAGAAGAAGCGGTAAAATGACTTCTATCTTCTACCATATACACCGCCTATGAAATCTCGAAAATTGAATCCTTAAGATCTGAAGTGAGATCTAATTTGTTTCATCCACGCTTCTTCATAAATACTAGGGAGAGAAAAATTTATTCTATGTTTCCAAATACAAAACTGAAGTAAAAAACAGGAAATTCTGATATCATGTAAAATATCAGGTGAATCAACTAATTTTGAACTAGCACAATGATAACGAAGAAATGAGGCAATTTTTATAAAAATTGAAAGATGGATTCGAATTATTTTCGCATTCGCCGCGCTTTTAACATCTTTCGAGCAGTTGTCGATGATGTTGAACCCACAGAGAAGAAATTTGGCGTTGGTGCTGATCCCGGAATATTTCTGCAAATTCTCATTACCAGAGACAAGTCATAGAAAAATATGGAACTAAAAAATTAACGAACTGAAAGTGAGGAACACAATTAGAATGAATCTTATAGATAAACAAACTTCGTTACTTTTTCTGCAATATGTTATATGCTAGGAAAAATCTAAAAAAAAATCATGATTTGTAAAGAAGGAAGTAGTATTAGATGGAACATTGACAGAATCTGCATCAATTCTTTTAAAAAATTCTCTTTTAAACTCAAATTATTCAGATATGCTGAAAGCTAATTCCATTAAAAGTATTCTTACCCAAAAGAAGGAGTAGCTGTTGCAGGTGAAAAGTTGAATGTCGTTGAAGCTACATCTAAAAGTATATGATATACCAATATAAGAAATTTTAGACAATCTTTCTCAAATAATTTGGTGGGTCGGTAAATAAATACATTTGTAATAAGGGAATTTTTAAAACACGGGGCTAAGTATGAAAATCAAGAAATATTATAAACATAAATTCATAGCACAGGAATAAGAACTTACTATTCATTGGTTGCTGTGTACCAAATGTGAAATTTGTTGGCGGCGAAGTCGAACCAAAAACAAATCCCGCAGCACCGTTCGATGCTGCAGCACCGAAATTGAAAGTTGACGGAGGTGATGTCACTGAAGTGGTTGGCTCAAAAGGCTTCGGTGCAACCGGCATTTGTTGCTGTCCAAATGAAAATAATGAAGTGCTTGGAGTAGCGAGTGGATTTTGTACCCCCGTTTGTAAATTCCCGAAGAGTGTTCTGGAATTAATAGATCATGATACTCGGCTTGCAAATCCAAAACAAAATTTCTTGGATACTCCTACTGGCTGTATTGCGGATACCGAAAATGACAAGTGTTCCAAAATTTATTTCGAACTAGCAGTCATCTAGAAAAAGCACTAAGTTAAATCTCACTTTACCATTAGTATATCAACTGTAAAATGGATGTCCTCCAATTCTTTTCCGAAGCAAACTATAGAAGAAAGTAATGTAACATAGCATCACTTTACCCAGTAGAAGTTGAGCTTGAAGCAGTCGAAGCACCAAAATTAAATAAAGAAGGAGTCGTCGGTTTAGACATCCCAAACGATCCAGTTGCTGTCGATGGAGCTGCCGGTGAGGTTACAGGTGAACTCATTTCGACTACATCATGACCTCCTCCTGGACTTGATGCAGATCCGCCACTGGTTCCAAAAAGAGGTGCTGTAAAATTGAAATATTTTCAAGAGATTGGAGAGAACACTAAACATTCTAAATAATCCAGACATGATTTTTTCTCAGGACCCGTTATTGAATTTGAGATGCCAAATATTTACCGCCATTAAATTGCACATAGCTTTTTAAAACTCCAACGAAATAAAATCTCACCTTTGGGAGCCGAAAATGCAGGCAAAGTTGTACCAAATGATGGCAGCGGAGTGGCAGTAGTTACTCCAGTAGTTGTAACAGCAGGAAATGAAGCAGAAGAACCAAAGGTAAACAATGGTGCAGTTGGTACTTTAATTTCCCCAGCTAAATAACATTTTTTTTTTTTTAAATTTTGAAGACGAGATTTAAAACTGAAAATACGACAATTATTTTGGGCCCACCATATGATAGTTCTTATAATTTAATTTCTTCCAAGAATTATAGTCGACTCACCTGTTGTAGTATTAGAAGACCCAAACGTAAACGGATTCATACTTGCTGAAACTGGAGTACCGAAGGTGCTTCCGGACAGAGGTAGAGTTAAGGTTGTTGATGTTGCCGTAGTTAACGTCGGAAAAGAAAATGATGAGCGAGTCAAAGAAGGAACAAATGAAGCCGTTGTTCCAGAGGAACCAGAGGAAACACCAAAAGTTAATGATGCATTTGGCGGGCGAGAAGATGACAACACCAAAGTCTGTTCTATAAAAACTAAAGCGTTTGTAAAGGAACAATTTGTAATCTGCATATTTCGATGAAGTTTTACAAACATGACAAAGTATGAGACTTGTAAAAGATAAAAATTCAAGTGTTAGCAAAGATCAAGGACACGAACCCTCAGTTATTGTTGGCAAAGAATTATTCTCAGGAGCTTTTCCAAAACTAAAACACGGTGTTAAAGTGTTAGATGATAAACCAAATTTCAGCGGGGTTTCAGTATTAGCGTTTCCATTAACAACAGTATCTGAATTTTGCGCTTTCGTTGTTGGTGGAGCACTTGCAGTTGATAATAGATTCGTTCTGTCTGCAACAGGTTTCGCAGCAGAAAAACCAAATGAAATACCTAAAATTAAAAACTTACAATAAGGACAGTAGCTATTTAAAGAAAGAATGATGGAAAAATGTTAGCTATTTAAAAAAAATAAATGACTTTTACAGTTCTTTCACCCTGAAATTACGGAGCGCACTACAATAAAGAGCAGCACAATATAATAAACGGGGAAAGTAATCAGTATAATCAATGAAAATAAAACAAAAAAGTATTTCTGCGTAATTGCCGAAAGCTTCGTTATTCTTTAAACTTCATAAAGTATTCGCAGAGATCGGGAAAAGTTAAGAAATAAAAAAAAAAAACACAATACCTCCAGAAGAAGGTAGCGGTTTGAAAGTACGATCACCAAAAACGTTGGTAAATGAGCTACTTTGAGCATTTATATCTGCTAGCTTTCCACTTTTACCATTACTTTGTTTGGGATTGCCGCAAGCGATACATTTATCATCAGTTGATTTATTAGAAATCCAACATTCACTACATGTCCATGGCTGGAATAATTTTAAAAATGGACGTGAAAACACAGAATTATGAATACTAAACGGTTCGCATCGTAATCATTTGTCATGGAAACATGCTTCATGTTTCAGAAATCTAAAGCAAAACCACTTTTCCTTTTTATATTAACAACTTTACATGAACAACCAACCTTGGCTTCTATTACATGATTTTCATAATCACAGCAGATGCATTTTTCAATATCAGCTTTATTGAAAACCATACATTTCGGACAAGACCATTGTTCAGCAGATTTCTGTAATTGCTGCTTCACAGATAATGTATCTGACGTTGCAGTGCTGGTATCCGCAGGCTGAAAAAAAGATGTAGTCCGCAATGCTTGTTACATCATCAGAAAACTATGGATAAAATCAATAAATGTAACACAGACCTTGACAGATGTAGAAACTTCAGTCACCGGTTGCGCTTCTTCACTCTTATCTGCAGTATTTGGCTGACCTACAAAATTCTTCAAAACTGTAAAAGAAACAGCGATTGATAAGATACTACAGCAAATTTAATTTTATTTAAATTTCTTTCAAGAAAAACCAAAATCAAAAAGGACCTTCAATTTGTTTTGAAACACTTTCAGCTGGAAATGAAAAACCATCTACAGTCTTTTCAGTAGCAGCCTTGAACGTTGTCTCAGTGAATGATGAGGCAGACCGAGAGACCTGAAGTATACTGAAGTTTGGCAGTTCCTACAACTCTATACTTGCTTGCTACACCATGCCCTTTTATCGGTCCATAGCGAGGAGACAAAATCCTTTCATGATACTTTAGTTTTATTATATGTTTCTAACATAAAAATCTAACTTTTGGAGAAGTTTCTTCGTGATGAAAACTTGCTGAAGGTCCTCGTTTCATTGGTGGAGCAAAAGCAAACATAGCGTTGTCAATTTTGGTTGGACTTCCCTGAAAGTCAGATATATTGTAAAGTTTCAAACTTCAGGAAAACGGTAGGAAAACTATTGGTCTAGCAATACCATCTGAGAAAAATCAACTGTCCATGAAAAAGATGCCTTAAAACGAAACCCATTTCTTAACAATAAAGTGAGCAATAAAAAGTTATCAAGTTCATATTTAAAAATTTTCCTTACCATTTCATCTTTATCATTTTTCATCATTTCCTTCACTGGGCTTACTACACCCAAATCCCTAGCACTGAATACATTAGTCGATTTTGTAGACGAAGAACGTTGCGGTAATACGGTATCTGCAGTTTTGATAGCAGAAGTACATATGGGTAATTTCTGTGACACTGTCGATTTCTCTACATTATCATCGACAAAAGCTTTCTCTCGGTCAGGCTTCCTTGGAGAACTCAGAAGATCACTTTTCTTAGGCGGAAATAAAGTAGGTGATCTCGTAGTTGAAACTTTATCAAATTCACATTCGCCATCCGCCTCTGCTCGACTATATTCTGGTGTCTGAACAGTATGCAATGAAGCAGAAAAATCTGCCATCTTAATCGAATAAGCTGGGCGACTCCTGAAGGCATTATTATTATATCGCAAACTTATGAATGTATGGTGGTTTACAAAGAATCCTGAAATATTTACAACAAAATATCTGTGCCAAATCTTTCTGCGATCAAGATTTTGTTCATTAAATGGCTAAACAATAACTCCACTAAATTTAATCATATAAAAACGAATGTATCATTATAACTTATCAAAATGTATCAAAATGATATAGTACATATACTCAAAATGATATAGGATATATACTAATGAATAATCTTACGAAACAAAAATTAAAATCAATCCTAATCAAAAGTAATTCGCAGCACCCAGATTTACTATGAACCGAATAAATACAGCTACCAACCAGAACGGTGAACTCGATTTACTGGCAAGAATGTTGGATATCAATTGAGCACGTGATAAGGCGCAGGCGGAATTTCGTGGTGGCTTTTGGACTGCACCGCTGATGGCGTCATTTGCCCAACATTCTGGTCTATCCAAATTCAAAGATGATAATCGCTTCACTTCCTGTGAGACAATAAAATTTTAGAAATTACACATAGAAACGTCTGTAAAGTGATAAAAAAAAAAAGAAAGTACATTCCTCCGTTTCTGTGATTTTTCTCCCGTGTTTGGAAACGTTATGTAAACATTGCATACTTCTTCGAAATTTGAAAAAAGTTACCTTAGCGGGTGAGCTAATTTTTTCTAACTGCTCAAGAATAGCTCTTGTTTTACTGCTTAGCGATGAAGCTACACTGCTGGACGGACGTGATACTTTTGATTTCATTACTAACGAATTCAGTGGTGTGAAAGAGGAAGTAAATGATTGGTTTAGATGGCTTCGTCCAGTCGATGGTGCGTCAGATAACGACGATAACGAAAGGAATGGCTACAATGAAAATATATGAATTTCATTACCTTATTTTTTTCATCGTATAAAACCAAGTGATCAAGATAATGAAAAAAAAGAAAAAATTTACTACTCGGAACGATGATAGTGAAATATCAATATAGTTTAAGTTAGAAGAAGATATAGAAATGAACCCTCTCATCGCTAAAATCCCGCTGGGTTCTTGATCTTTTTGTAGAAAAACGATCAGAAAGAGGTTCCATCATGGATGACGTGGCGAGCGTATTTCCGATATTCGACCACATTATATCATCTTGAAAAAGGCAGCTTGTTGCAGCACGTTTCCGCTAAAATTACGGACATATTCGAGTTGATATTAGTCAAAGACAACATAAATGTCAAAAAGTAGTACAAACTTCAACGAATAAAACTATACTACTGAGAAAATATTTTAAAAAAGTTGGCGAATGAACTGTTGTATAGGATACTCTGATAAAGAAAAAAATGAAATAAAATAAACATGCAGAATCCTTACAGTCACACTTGTTGATTGCTCCTTGTCGGAAGAGGTGGTAACAGATCGTGTGGCCGCTATGAGTGTCGACGGACTCAGATAACGAACAGCGTGCCGTTTTGGTATAATTTCGCTTTCTATAAATTATATTCACTTCGCACTTCTCGAACAAAAACTTCTGAAGCTTAGAATTGAAATGCTTACTATCATGTAACCTCTATCCAAGAACGCTTCAGCAATGTTTCCTATTAATGATTCGGCTATTTTATTAGCAGGTTCTCAACTTCGATAAATGACAGCAGAAGTTTTGCAAGATTTTAAAAGCTAACTTTCAATAAATACCCCCGTTCAATAACATTATCCCATCATGATAAGGTTGTAAAGGATGACAAGTTTCAAAAAAATGCACCCACTTACAATAATTCTAGAGAAATTAAAAACCTACTAGTCTTACTTGCAGTTGGTACAGTGATAGATGGCCCAGCACATACGGTTTCGACAATAATACCGTCATCCTCTTCCCCGATGTCACTTTCGTCTTGCTCTTCATAAAAGGTGTTTCGTGAGGAATTCCGAGAATCATTCCTTTCTCCCGATGTAGCAGCGGACTCTGTTGGTGAGCGTGACCAAAGGCCCGATATATTACCAACTACTGACGATAGCCAGCCACCCGTTTTCCGCTCCGTCATTCTACACTTATTAAATAAGTTGTATGACGATTGAAAATTGAAATATATGATAATTGGCAATGAATTTTTCCACTTCAAAACCTAAAAAAAATTCCACCTCTAATTCTTTAATCAAATTATGAGAAATACACACATTAATACGACTATAGGAAGCTGCAACAATCACTAATGATTTTTATGAAAACAGAAATTTGAGTAAACACGGCTAAACGCTCGCTAGAATTTGACCTCCACGAAAAAAATTCACGGTTTCCTAAGGCCATGTTTTCCGATTCTAACGCGGCCCGTTAATGTTTAAACCTCTTCACAAACAGCCTCGTTGCATTGCAAATTCAATGTATTTTAGCAAAAGATCTTGGTGTCAGATAAATTCATATGCTTCTTTGTCAAGTACGAATTTAGCAAAATATTTGTTTTGTATATATGGATAATAACTAAATGAAAGTGAAAATCATTCGTATTTTTACTACGTATTTTACTACAATTTCCGCTGCTACTTACTGATTTGCTCATTGGCATGAACTCCTCAAGAAAAAAACCTTCAGTTGCGTGCTAGACAAATTTTCCGAAAGAAACAGTCAAATTACGAATCGAGAGCAGTGAGTCGAATTCACACTTCAAAACAAAGGTTCGATAAAATCATCGACAAAGGAAAAAGGAAAAAAAATAGTAATAAGCTATATGTAGAAGACTCTTTCCCAGATACTTTCTTCAATTCTTTCCACTATATCATTTAATTCATCATCTTAGATAATAACATGATCACATCCTGAATTTATAGCAATACATCAAGATACACGTGGAAATATCTCAATCGTCATATCCCGCATATAAATATGTAGAAATATATTTAAAAAACGGAATTCGAATAAGATTACGGGAAAATGAAAGCAAAAGAAATCTACTAGCCTGAATCAGAACTTTCCCTCCCTTATTCAAATTGCCACATGTCACCAAAAAACACAAGACCGCGACGCGACAGACGCGACGCAACCATTTCAACAAAAATTTTTGAATTAGCGCTTTAATTCGGACATGAAGATCACATTGTGATAGGCCACGCCCAACACAAATTACGGCCCGTCCCCGCCCAATTCTTTATTACAATTACTCATAGGGGGACGGCGGGGGTGCGCATCTCATCGTTCTTAGTGTTATACTATTCCATTACAATAGTTAGTTAGTTTTTTACGGTTAAAAGCGGGGACCCATCTCTATTCAGAGATGGATTCTTTTATAATCAAAAGGATAAAATATGAAATAACAAATTAACGAATGTATTTCACATTTTACATTGGATAGCAAGCGTCGCCAGGATGAGTTACAGCGTTTACTGCAAGAGAAGTACCACGTCCACATGATCTAAATGCTGTTAGAACATTGCTTGTTCGCTTTTCTATACTTGAATGTTCTTCTACCATTCACTGAACTCGTCAAAACAAGCATGTAGGTGATCGAGGTAGAAAAGAACACATTTTTATAATTCTTGATATGTCCTTTTCTGTCTCGACCACTTACATGCTTGTTTTGACGAGTTTGGCGTTCAGTGAGTCTTGAACGATTGCATCCCAACAAAAAATGGTGTATTTATCTGCTGATACAATATTGTTTATTTGTCGAAATGAGCAATAGTGTGAAGAGGTCTCCCCTTATTTGTTGCTTTCCCATTAGTCCATTTAGCGATTGCTCTATAAATTCTGTATATATATATATATATATTGGTTTAATCTAAAACAGTCTCTTTTTTTATTTCTCTCTTGTCTTTTCATATTTTTTTACCATCCTCTTCATCTTGTTGATTAGGATTGGAATATATCAAGTTGAAAGAAAATGATTTGATTCAAGGCAAGGTTGAACATGAATAAGTAGCTAAGAGTAAGAGTATTTCGTTCACTCATCTTGCATACGCTATTCTACTATTCAGAGTGAAATCTTTCTCAGTGCTCTGTCTGAAAATAATTTTTGTGTAAGTTGAAGTTTTAAATTAGAAAATACTTTTTAATGTCTAACGTTGCTTCAAATAGCACTTAGTTTAAATTTTATTTTAAAACTTCTTACAAGTCAATACATTGTCCCAAGTGAAATGGTTCTCATCAGGAAGATATAATCCCCCGCTTTATCAACTCTATCCAAGAAAACTCAGGATAAAAAATCCTGATCTAACCGTAGTTGTCTGAAAAATTCTTGTCAATTCCCGACTATCCAAGAGTAATAGATATTCTCAGTCAGTCAATTATTGTTGAATATATGCATAATTTCCTATTTTATGATTTCATCAAGTCTTTGCCATTCTTTCTCAGACATGTGAACTGAAATTGCACTACTTAAACACCTTATAGGAGCTCTTTCTTTATCATTCTATTAACTTTTCAATAAAGTTGTATAATAAATTTATCTGTTCGTTTATTTTGTGCAGTAATGGCTTTCCAACAGTTCTAACAATAATTTTAAAAGTTAAAGTCTTAATATAAATTCGGATCAAAAAAATGCATATATTAGTCATGCCTTTGTAAATAGGTTATGTTTCAGGATTTTCGAAATACGTTTGTTAGCTTTTGATATCCTCTTCACTCCTTTTCATGATACTGTTGATGAGATGGTTGGGCGATAGATTTATTCCTTGCTGTTACTGTTTGCATTCTTTTGCTCTTCTGATATGCGAAACTGGGATTATAATTACACAGGAGATTAAAGGTCAGGAATTTCACAGTACTGGATGTTATACGATGTTTGCAAAATCATAACCTGCATGGTGACCCCGGACAAAAAGTCATCTTTGATCTGTTTTTGATTGTCTTATTTAAACCATTAAACGGGACATACGTCACATGATTTTGAAATTCTATGCGATTTCATAGCATAATTGGCCTTTGTAAAACTTCACCGATAATAATGTTTGGCGTTCAATTCTTGTTTTACGTAAATACAAAGTCATCAAATAAGTTAAATTTGAAGAATTCTTAAATTTAATATGGATGGTCAATGGTAAAGAGCTAGAAGTTGGAATGCACTCTGGTATGAGTATGCAACACTTGTTCAATTATGTTTAATCCGTTGTTACTCATAAATGTGTGAATTGAATGGATATTAATCCGTGTAAGTTTTTTTTCAATAAGCTTTCAAAGTAATGTGGAATTAATATTGATTTGGAAATGAGCTTAATTTGACTGTTGGTTAATTCACGCAAATGTTTTTTTAATTGGTAAGCATAGCTTCAGAATTTGAAAGTGAAATTATCTATAACATTATTAGCGATTGAGTGGTGTCCTGAGTCCATCAAAATAACCACATGAAGTATTAATAGATATACTGGAAGACTTGATGTCTGAAACTAAACTTTTAGTTTGAGTTGTAAGCAAACTGAATTGTAAGCAGCCAATGAAGATCAAATTTTGAAAAATGAAATAATAAAGTTCTATAATCAGTGCAGTATGCTTGCAGCCATTGCATTAACTCTTTATGTATTTGTTATCGCCTTATCAAAATCTGTTCACTGCGGCGGTTCAGACAGCGTTAACAATTCATCCATTACCGATAACGGGAGCAAATCCTATCGAATTGTCAGGGAGCGGTCATTATCTGATAATGGTTAGGTTTTCAGATTCAGATTTGTTGATTACTTTGTTTAATTGAAGCTTAATTAAAATTTATATTTTTAAATATTTATTTATTAAACCTCGAAGAAAATTACTGTAATTCGTTAATGGCAGTTTTGCCTTGATCAGATGAAATAATAGAATTCTTTCGATCTCATTTTTTTTGGCTTCTCTCATACATTTCATATTTTTGTATTCTTTGTGCTTCAAAAGGCTTGGAACATTAGCCCTTTAAATTTCTCTAACATTAGTAATACAGTTCAGGCCATCTCTTTTTGCTAACTGACACTTAAAACATATGAATACTTCAATTGTCCTGTTGTAAGATACGGGTGATGATCTTGAACTGAGTAGAAAATGTCCATTTTAAAAAGTACTGAAATGAGATTGGCTTGATTTGCGAAACTCTGTAGAAATATTTTTGGATTAGAACCATTCTGCTGTGAAAAAAAAAGTGATTTACTAATCGTAGAGATACATTGACATTGTGAAACGAAGTGCATTGTCAGTACTTTTATCTTATATTTATGAAGATCAATCGATCATTTGGTGAAGTGATCAGTGTAATAAAAAGACACCTTACGAGTGATGTGAAATTCCAGCGTTCCTTCTCACTGATTTATGCGACCGACATGAAGGACTTGCTCGAAGTTGTTTCAAATTTGAACATTTTGGCTTTAAAAGATGAAGGAGGAGGAAGAGTGGCTCTATCTTAAAGAGGCATAACAACTGTTTTGTTAAAAGTTGCAAATTATTCAAAAACTTCGACATTATCTGCAGAACTTTCAAATTTTCTTTCATGTATTCAGTAATTGATGTCCTTTCATTGATCAGAAGACATTACGTTAGGTACTTGGCCATTATATGGTCATTATTTCCATGCTGTAGAATGTCATGAAAGGAAGTTTTATTACAATTAAAACATTAAATTTTAGGACCATTTGAGTTGAAATTGAGAGGAAGAAAGGTTCGTTTTCTCACCCGGTTGATGGCATTAAGGGCAAAATAGTTAAATGAGTCAAATTTTAACCGTACTCCAACTTAAATTCTGAATTCGTTTTTTCCTTCTAAGTTCTTGAAAGTCCATTCACCAGTGCTCTTATTTATTTGTTTTTTCCCAACTTTGTTTCTGCGCTATTCTTCCGAGGTCATGCGACGTAAATCTTATCCTTTCGTTCATACTATTTTTTACACTTTTTATGCTTTTTAAATCTGTTATCATTTATTTGAAGGTAGTATTTAGTAAAGGAAAGAGAAAAAAATTATACAAATTCAAAAGCATGTGCTAGAGAGATTCGGAGGGAAAGAAATAAAAAAAGAATCTAGAGATCTGATTTTTTCACTTATGAAAAAATCAGTCCCCTCGAATATGTGTGGTCACAAAATTCATGGTTAGATGTCATTTGAAACCATCTGCTCTTCTTGTTGTCAGTATCCACACCGACGTAACGCATCGAAGAAATCAGTTCAATTACACCTGCCAGTTAAAAAAAAGCCAATTGATTGGGCGGGAGGGATGGTTTGCCTTCAAACGATGATTGCAAAATTTTTATGAACTTTTGAGTTTTCTGGCATTTAAACCTACTTTGCATTTCTTTGAATTTTAAAAGTTTGGGTTTTTGGTGTCAAATATATTTCAACGATCTTATTAAATTCCATCTAATGAGCGCGAAAATGTTGCTTGCACTAATAGCATGCAGTAAGGGCAAGAAAAAACATAAAAAAACATTGAAATCAAGTGCAAGCGAACTGGATGAGAATAGTTATGTGGGCAGTAAATACAGAAAAAGATAAAACCATAGCTTTTATGTGATTGTAATACTTCAAATGATTGAAATGATCAAAGAATGGACCGAATTATACAACACAACATGAGCCATTTGATTATCATTCGATTGCTTTAGCCCACTGTTTTTTTCTTCAGTTAATTTGCTATAGAAAACTGAAAAATAGCATAGAGACATTCTAGTTCCAAAAAAAGTTTTAGTACAAACTATTTTTTGCGAATAACACAATCATCTTATTATCGAGCCTGAATACCAAATCATGCAGGTATAGAGATTTGTTGGACAGCTTGAAACATTCTGGAAGAGATGCATTAACAGATCCTTATTTCTATGCTTCCGTTTTTTAAATAGAACTGACATGTTCGGATATGTTTTTCTTTTGGAAGTTTTTGCTAAACTATTTATAACATAACCCTATCCGATTATTGTAAGGCAAATATGTCAAGTAAAAACAAGGTGTAGTTTGGTTTCACTTAATTGAGTTGTTACGTCGGCAAAAGATTTGAATTTGTTTGTGTAGCAATTTTAAGTGCTTGGTCAATATTTCGTTGAGAAGGCAATACCAATGTTTAATTACATATGTATATAATTCGTTTGAAGATTTCGAAAAAAATTCTGTGATCAGAGATTAAGGCTTGTTGTTTGTTATTTGTTCCCTTGCACTTGTAAATGGACACAATGAGTTTATTCGTGGAATCATTCCAAAATCACCCTTCAATACAAGATTGCGGAAATAATGAAGGTGCATTCAATCAATCCATTCATTCATAAGTGAGATCAAAAAAAAAGTTTTTTATGAATATCGTTAAGAATCGATGTTATTCCTGAGAACATAATATATATATGCTTAATTTTGAGACTGATAGTTTTGGCAAAAATAATTTTGAATTTTAAAAATACATATCATTCACTGTTCATGTAATAAATAACAGCCATTATGTGTTGACTAAAAATAGGACAAGTTTTTTGGTAATTCAGAAAATGCTGTTGGTTGAATTCGAATATCATTGAAAATATGCAAAGTTATTCTTACTTTAAGATTATGGGTTCCTTTTATATTGGGTTCTTTGTCTGATTCCTATTGGCCCTCAACTTTAGAATAGGCAAGAAACCGGTTAGTGTTGTGAGATTTTTCATTTATAATTTTCATTTCTTTCACAAAATTGCTTTGAAAAGAAAAAATTAACAGGAAAATTAATCATTCATCTTTTATGAGGAATCGATTACTGAAATTGCTTTTTTAGCAGTTGAAGACAACTTTTTTATCATTCAAATTAACGTTTAAATTACTAAACAGATTATAAATGTATGAGTGAATTGCTATGACTTATTGAAAAGAATATTCTATAAAGTTTCTGTGAAGAAGTTGACAGTAGATATTTCAATTTTTTTTAATCAAAGTATTTCTTAAATAATCTCTAGAGAGATGGGAGAAGGGGAGGCTGATAGTTCCTTTTATTGTTCCTTTTGAATTAATATCGTCAGTGCTCTCATTACATAAATCCTAATGAATAAACGAAATTAATTAACAATCTTGCCGGTGGGTTTCTTTCCAGAATGTGGTGGTGGTAGGTTGGTGTATTTTCAATTGTAGGAAGAGAGATGTTGCATTATATAAACCCTATTTTCCCTTTACAGCAATTATTTTAATCGTGGTACCTTAGATACCTAATTGAAGCTTACGAACCAGCAAGTATGCTTTATCCAGGATGAGTAAGAGCAAGAAAAACTGGAAGATAAAAGAGAAAAAAATCTCCATCTTTGATTTGAAAGTGAATATTATTAGAGCAAAATATATTATATATATAGCAAAATATATATATAATATATTAGTCACGCAAATATTTTAGGTCGATGCTTTCTTAAAATCTTTAGGATTCATCTGTTCAAATCTTTTCCTGAATATGAAAAATCTTTGAATAATTTTCATCGTTTATACTCCCAATTTTTTTCCCATTTGTTGCGGTTATTTTAATTGACCTTTGTTAGGCTTGATATAAAAGTGACTTTAATGACCCAAATGGTTAAAAAAGATCATTTGTGCTGTTATATTTGAGAATCTATTAGATTAAAGTGATAGAAAATAACAGAATGAAATCCTTTTACAGAATGCACCATCTATAATCTCTTAAGGTAAGGTTCGAAGTATCACCAATATAAACGTGTATAACATGAACTCAAATACAGTGCTGGGAAAAGCAATTCCAGATTGCAGAATAATCCGTAATTAATGTTCTAAAAAGTTTTTTGAAAAGCATTTCAATTTTTTGCTTCTAAATAGGAAAATTAGCATAAATTATGGATTACATGCAATCCTCTTGAAAAATATGGAAATGAAGGGATGACCAAAAGGTGATCTTTATGATGACAACTTCCAACAAATGCTGAAGAAAAAATGGGGGTCGTTTAAAAGGTTGATGAATGACTGCTATTATTATGATTAGTTTATCAATTTGTCAAGGCAAATCAGAATTTTTTCTAATAAGAAGCAATTTATTTTGCCTTAGTTAGATTCTTTTCGATGAAATACGAATTGAATTTTGCGAGTAAAGGGTTACCATATATATAATATATATATAATAGTTTGGAAAGCAACATTTTGAATCTTTCTAATCTAAGTTGAGTGGGAGAACATGTTGCGACAAAGTAGGCTTATATGGAGTTTTCTATAAACCTCTTCCACGTCCGATTCCATATTTTCATTAATTGAGATTTATATCTGCCGGACGTGGAGCAATGATCATTGATGAGTATGAGCTTCATCAATGTTTTTTTTCGTGCTTTCCGAATGGGACATGATAAAAATTGTTTCTGGCATTAAAGTTTGGTGGTGTTGGTTTGTATCATGGAATCTGTTAGCTCGCTTACAGATTCATTCAGCTAAGAGTCCTAAAAGCTCTAGATAACGACATTTCTGATCAGTAATACAACAAAAGAAGAGGAGATAAAGAATTGATAATATGACTGCTGCTAGGAGGGCAAACCCCTTAATTGATCAAGGTTAGGCCAGTCAATCATGTAGTGATATATGATAATGAGATGTGGTACATGGAAAATAATTATACTAGATAAATGTGGTTAATGAAGTGAAATGATTATCTTTACCAGCTGGAAGGTGTTTTCTGTAAAAAGAATAATTCGTCTGCACAACATCTGTTATGGTAAGGGTACTTGAGGATAATCAATCGATAGCACATTATCGAGAAAAAATCTACAAATGAGAGCTAAAGCAGCTCTTAATTTTTTGATTTTAGTAATGCTTTAAATTTTAATTTGAAGAAATTTTTTTTCTGCTATAAAAGAGAACAAGTGTTAGACAACATTATGGAGCACGTAATTAATGTTGAGGACACATCTGCATAACATCTGTTACAATAAGGGTACTTGAGAATAACCAATGGAAAGCACATTATTCGGCTTCAAAACGGCGTATGTTAATTAAAACGAAGATCAGGGCTGCATAATGTAGTTTTACAAGTTTTATTCAGTTTTTTAATGTATTTAAATTTTAAGAGATTTTAAACAAATTAAGGTTCACTGGATTGTTTGCATTTAATACAGATCTGTTCATTGTACTAATTTCTAATTATGATGAACTTTCGAAGATTATATAACCTTATAGAAGTCGGTGAAAAATTGGATTGAAGTAACAGTTTTGAATAATTTTTTTACAAAGCTGGTAAAATCCGATCTCTAAGGTTGGCAGGAAGTTATAAGCTCCCTAAACCACTGTTAACAATACAACAGGTAGTTACGCTCAAAGATATAATCAAAATTGCTAAAATTTTAATTTTATATAGGGAGCATTAATTTTTCCGGTTTAAAGTTTCAAGATTTTTTCTTTTCAGATAACCGTTTTCTTGGGTTTCATTTCACTGAAGAACCCACAGATACGGTAGCAAAATCTGGACGGATAGAGTTGAATTGTCAATATGCCGTATTTACGAAGAATATTGCGTCTCGCATAGAATGGCGGAAAGATGGTGCCGAGCTTGGTACATTACCATCTGCGGGAAAAGTGTAAGTTGCATTGAATGGAACTTCATATGCATGCCTAAAACTAATCGTACATATTTCTTTGCATCGAATAAAATAAAATTCATCGAATTTGAATTGAAGATATTTACCCAATGAAAAAATAATTTTTTTGTTTAATTTTGTAGATTTTGTAAAATTCAACAGGAATGGGAAGGTTGTTATAAGAAAGAAGCAAATTAATAAATTCTAGCAAATCATTTTTGCTGTTTATTAAGAATAAATGTTCATCGTATTTGGTATTATCAGTTCATTATCTTTAAATTAAAAATGACCATTGCTTCTAGAGTCCAAAAATTAATTTTGGGTAATTTATATCGATGTGGAAGTGAATAGTAGTTGGACGAATTACTGTTTGCTTGCTAAATTTTGCTAAATTTTTGAACAAATTATAAATTTTAAAATGGATATCTTCAATATTCATTTTGTTAGGAGCGAATTGATGATAAAGTCCGCGATTAATCATATATTTAACACTCTATTTGTCCCAAATCATATGCTCGTTATTTATTGTTCTGTACCAGTTCGCGTTATTCCTACACTCCGGCGATGATTGTAATTTTGCTTTCCACAGTTTGCTTACAAATGATTTTTCATGAACATAGCAAAATAAATCATTTCTTGGCTGTAAAATTCGGTTTCCCTTATTTCTGAAATTAACTGTAATTCTTGTCCTGAAAGATTCATTTAACAGAAATTTAGAAATTCGATAAAAATGAGCTGAAAAGGAAAAATGCTTAAAAGGATTTCGAAAATAGTAGCCATTTCTAGGATGTTTTCTAAGTTACGTGATTTGGGACATACGGAAGAAAAAGTGGTATCCCGTGATTTTCTAATCCGTATTTTTTTCTTCCAAAAAATTTTTCTAATTATTTCTCTATTTGAAAGATTTATTCGGCGAATTCACCTGTCTCTGTTACTTTCCTTTTGTGAAATATTTAGATTTTAAAATGTCTAATTTGTTCTAAGTTTAATTACCTGGTTTCTCCATTATTTTTTAATTTTCGAATAATTTCTTTTTCTGACCAAACGGAGATTTAATCGATGGATTTTTACTGCATCATAAGTCTGATGGACAATCGAAATATAGGGAGTTTATATGGAAATTTGTCGGGTATTATGAGTATCGCTTAGAATTAAAGAGGCACACATTACTCAATATTGCTGGGATAGGTCGCTGGGGATTCGTGATGAATGGATAAAATAGCTTAAAATGGACATTGTTTAAGTAGTCAGTCTGGTTTGCTGTCTAATTTATGTCGTCTGACTTGAGGAATTAGGAATTATTTATGATGGGACATCCAGTGGTCGACAATTGACAGCGAGGGCTGGTCAAGATTGTAGAAGCTTGAATGTTTCGTTATTATTGCTGAAGACACAGGCTGAAATGGTTGCAATAAATTAAGCTTTCTGGATCGTGTACCAGGGACATGAGAAAAAACAATTCAATCAGTATGAAAGTTCTGTTACTCTTACAACGAACCACATCAATAGTTTAGTTAAACATTGGATCGATGAATCATTAAATAAATTTATTTCTGTAGAAAAATGTGCATTTTATGAAAAAATTCCATTCCTTCTTTTTCTTGTTGGGGATCAAACAACAATAAATAAAAAATTGAAAGTATGCAAAAATGTGTATTTCAAAATTAAAAACATATTATTTCAAAAAAATCTCGTAAGACAATGTGTTTTTTGCTGCAGAAGGGTGTCGTGAAGCCTTCAAATAAATGTTAATTTTGTCAAAAATTTCGAAGAAGTGTTACCTTCATCAGATTTATGGCATTTACAGCATTCCTTTCTTACTAAATATCTTATTTCTCTTGAACATTCATTATTGTTCTGTCTCTTCTGTGATGGATAATGGGATAGAATAGATTACTAATACTAATAATGGTTTTTTTTTTATTAGTCATGATTTTTTCTTCTCATTTAAGCAGAAAAGCATAGGCATTCGATAAGATGAGAAGGAGCGCAAACAGGAAATGATGAAGGAATTTGAAAATTTTTAGAAACTTTTCTTGAGCAGTTCTTTTGATGCAAGTTTTTCATGCATGTTATTCAATATAATATCGATTTTATAATTCTTTGAGCTCTAACTAATCAACGGTTTATAAAAGATCTTTGATTTTATAAATCCTGATCTGTTAGGCTATAAAACCATTATCTGAATGGAACAGAGAAGTTTCCCATTGAATTCTATAACTATGTATCATTTATTTAATTAAGTGTTAGTTATTGATCTATTTTACGGCTTCCTAAATAGTGTTTTGAGTCTTCAATTTCATTATTTACTATAAAATATTAGATTGTACAGTAAACTTGCAATAGGATCATACTAATATGATAGTGCTTATGAGTCACACGAATTGTTCACTATTTGATGTAAAACACGAATAGATTGTGAATGTAAATATAATTACAGAAAAATTAACTCAACAATTCATACCTTTTGATAATCATTATTTTCTGTTGTTATTCGATCATGCTAACAACCAATTTTCCTCGGCAAAATGGAAATAATGGTGGAATACTGTGTGATATGAGTATATACTGTGAAACAAAAGAGCAAGTAACTAAAATCCTGTTTCGTAACTTTTACATTTCGACATTAAGTTCTATGTGGAAGGTTAGCAAACGTGACTGCAGTCGAATGTATGTTGTATTACAATATGAATATACATGAAGTTGAATCTTAGTTGGATTATTTTTAAAAAACGTTCTTTAAAAATGTGGTATTTCAAAGGAATTTCCACTTTTTTTCATCTCTGTCCACTAATTTTCTATGTTATGATGCTCATCAATAATAATATGTTTTCTTTTGTTCCTCAATATCTCACATTCATTGCTCATTGCGCAAATGTCCTTGCTGTATAACATGATTCATTAGTGGACCACCACCGAAACTTACAATCTCAGTCAAAAAACGGAAGCATTCAGACGTATAAGTAGAATAAATACTCTCGCGATGTCTTTAATTTTCCTCTCCAGTTAGGACGGGAATTCTATAATTCGCTGATAAACCAAAAGTTAAATTTCAGCGTTTTTATCAAAATTCTAATGGATAAAAAAAATATTGACAAACTTAATATTAAATTCAATGATAACTATCAGCACATTATAGTATGTCTCAGAATGCATGAATGAATTTTTTGAAAAAAGTCATCGACAGATGTAATTCGCTTATTATGGTTTGATTAATTAGTTCAACATAATGAAAATATTGAAATGCAAAAAATATTGAAATTGTTGAAAGAGCTGATCAATTTCGTTAAAATTAAGCGACCATTCTGCAACACTTGCAATTTGGTTAGAAATGTTTCAAGCAAGTTAGGATGTTGTCTTCACGCCTGAAAGCATTCTGATAATACCGCTTTCGGGTGATCAAATTGAAACAACAAACACTAGCATGCACATCTAGAGGATAATGAAAGGAGCGGTTGAGGTGTTGTTCGTGTTTCGGGAATATTCATGGTTTTAGCAGGCGACAGCAATGGCATGATAACATTTTCAGATGGGGTTGTTTAAATTGTGTGGAGAGGAAGTTTCGGGAAATTCATGTTTCTATCATTTACTATTATCACATTTCTTCATCAAAAAAGAATGAAGTAATAACAGAAATTGCCGGGTATCTGAAGGCCAAATTTTTCCCTAAAAAAAAGGTTTTGCGGAGAATGGGAAGCCATTCTGGGAAGAAAAATGAAATAAAATGTTAAATCAAACATTTTTTTAGAAGACGGGGGATTCTAGGTTGTTCGGGTAGGTTCGAAATTTTTTCTTTTCATTCACTGAATATTAATATTTATTATATTTGCAACTGATTTGTTTACTTCTGAAATTCTTTGTGATTATATTGTGGGGAATGTTAATTTTGTGGCCAAGTGAATGTTTCAGTTCATCTGATTATTTGAAGCTTTTTACTTCTTTTTTCATTTTAGTGCGGTAAAAGTGCATAACAGCCCAAGTACGTGAACTCTTTTTTTTTGTAATTACATGCATTGTTTGTGTATAGTTTATTTAATTTTTATTCCTTAATTAATAGCATTAATTTATTAAGGTCTGTGGCATCTTCTGGTTTATTAATTATCGAAAATGTTGGACCCTCCGATGAAGGCTTATATCAGTGCGCAGTTCACATAACGGACGAAAATAGTTTCGTTTGGACGTATCTTTCCCGGAGAGCAACTGTTCGGCTACCTTCTCTTAGCAGGTTTTATCCTTTTTTTACAATCACTCCTGTACGCACGACACCTTTGTTGAAGTGTTCGGACTTATTATTTTATGTTTTTGATCGTTTGTTTATTAGAGTTATCTGCATGTTAAGCAAAATTTTCCCATTAATGCATTTATTTTTAGGTTTTCTCGATGAATTTAATAATTACAGGTTCGAAATACAACCAGAAGATCGCAGAGTACATGTCGGGCAGAGTGTTGCTTTTGCGTGCATGCTGGTTAGTAAATTTTCTTCATCTTCTGTTTCGTTGCTTTGATGTTTAAAGTTTCGAAATTTTTGAAAACATACTTCCATTTATTTAGTATTAATTTAGGATGAATTGAAATCCAGAGTTGGGAGAGATTTAAATTTTTTGTTCAGTAAAATGAGTAATAAGTATTTGCAGGATTCTCAACCTTCAGCTCACGTCGAATGGTTTTTCAATGGCAAACGACTTAGTGATGGTATGTTTTTCCTTTGCTGCTTTTCTCCTTGTTTTGGGAATTTTCTGATAAGAACATAGTATTGATAAGTAAAATCAAAGTCAGTTGGTTTATTGGATTACATAGAGATTTATGATTGATTGGTAGGAACAAGATTTCAGTTTTTATCATAATTTAATTTGCAATTTGAAACATACAAAAATTAAAATTATATTCGTTCATATAAATTTCATGTTTCGTTTAAAAAAGGGCTTCTGAAACATTTCTTTTTAAGAGCTTCTTAATAGAAGATAAGAAATTCACTTTATTTTAATTTTACTCATATTTCAACCTTTCTGTTTGGGTTTTTTGCAATGATATAAAAGAAAATTTATGAATGAATTCATGATTTTTTTTTTGGAGATGGAACATTTTATTAACAATCGATGCCTTGTGTTTCGGAAGACAAAGTTACTGTTGAGATTTTTAGTTACAGGTGATGATAGTTCTATAACAATATTTCCGGTTACTTCGACGCTTGAGATAAGCAGTGTGTTACCCAGGCATGAAGGTGCTTATCGTTGTGTTGCAACAAATGAGGGGAAAACTCGTGCGAGCCGTGATGCTCAACTTACTATAAAGCCTGAAAATAGTGGTAATTGTAATGATTCCATTTATAATCGAGTAAATTTCATAATTTAATTTTTGCTAATCATTGTGCGAAGGCATATATGGTACTCTTTTGACGTAACTGTGCTCATAATACAGTCGAGTTATTTAAATCATTTTTTGTTTATACAGATTGAGCATAATCTTTCTTCCAGAATCTATTGTATAATTCTGTCAGTGAAATATTTGAAACCTTGAGACGTTCAGTACTAACTTTGCAGTTGGCAATGAATTTTCGGAGCCATATTTTGTTTTGGAACCGCGAAGTGACGTGATAAATGAAGGCGAATCGGTGGTACTAGAATGTTTGGTTAATGGATGGCCACGGCCAGATGTCAGATGGTTGAAAGGTGCCGAGACTGTATCAATCACTGGAGACAGGGTAAATATTGTTATTTCCTACGCATTTCTATGTTGGTCTCTCTCTCAGTGTTGTGAAAACTACATTCCATAGTGCGTGTACATTTCATATGCATATTCTTTTACGGATCTTTTAGATGCGTCAATTGGGTTTATCTTCGTTCATGATTCTAAAAGCGAAAGCACAGGATACAGGTGTTTATACATGCAGAGCAAGTAATAGTCAAGAATCGTTAGATGCGTCGGCTACTGTGCAAGTTAAAGGTATATATTGCTTTTCTTCTAACGGATTTAAAAAATTATAAGCTCGAATTTAGCTAATCATTCAGATGGAAGTAGAACATTTTTCATCTTTTTTCTGAGGAGTTTATTTCGCGTAATTATCGTTTTGTAATTTTTTTTCGAACTAAAATGGAAACATAAAAAGAAAATGAATGATACTTCTTGAAAATAGAGTCTCAGCCATATTCCCCTTCTTTACGAATAAGAAGTTTTCTACTCTTTATACCTTCTTCCTAATGTCTTTATCTTTCCTCGTCATCTCTTGTTTTTGTTAACAAAAAGAAGCAAGCTTCTAAGTGCTCCAGTTTAATCTTAACTTTTTTGCTTGTTGCATTTAATTATTTATAAATACAAAATTATTGGATGTTTTACGATTTTCTTTCAGTGGCACCGAAAATTGTATCCGAGCCAAACAGCGTTGTGGCACAAGAAACAACGGATGTTGAGGTTCTTTTATATATGTTTATCTAAAAGGCCTTGAGTTCTTTAAAAATTAAAATGAATATCTAAAAGCTGCTGAAGAAATTGTAAATTTATGCTAATTTACCCACTTAACCCACTTCTAGTTCAATTGCGAAGCTTCGGGAGAACCTGGTCCGGCTATCAGTTGGTATAAAAATGGCGAAGCAATCATCGCGAGTGAATATTTTGTGGTAAAAATTTATTTTTAAAAGAATAGATGAGAAATGTAATTTTGAGTAGTTTTTCATAACCCATTAATACAGAATTTATAATAATGTCAACTGGGCTAAAATGGTGTGATGAAAATTCTCTAAATTTCCAAGCCCCAGTTTCTTTCGATAAAAAAATTATCGTTTTACATGAAATTAGCGAGATCAAAGCTGAATTAGTAGCCGGCCCTTGTTTAAAATCAATTTCAATAGTCTACTTTTTTGTCTTCGACAGATAGAAGCAACTCGCTTACGAGTTCTCGGATTAGTACGAAACGATCAGGGTGTATATCAGTGCATTGCTGAAAATGATGCTGGGTCTGTGCAATCGAATGCTCAGTTAATTGTTGATAGCTCCGGTAACTTTTAAAGTACTGATTTTTTAAAATTGATTGTCATAATGCATGGCTCTATTTACGGCGTACTTAGTTATTTCTTTTAAGTTGTAGGCTAAATATGCATTGTGTTTTTTGCTCTATGTGTAATTTCTTCATAAAATTTTTTTTCCTAATTTTAAATGAACCAAATATCAAAATTTTTGCATGTAGTGATCTTCGGCTCTTTAAGCATTCCACAATTTTCTATTATCTTGCATCATATTTATGTAACATGGTTTTAATCCATATTTCTGGGTTATCATATGCTCGATTCTACCTGTTTTTTGCTTAGGATTTTAGCTGTAATAGTGTTACTTTATAGAGGAATTACTGCAACTTTATGCCCTAAAGTTTTATACAATGAATGAAACGACATCTATTTCGGAAGAAATTATGAATATTAACAACACGGGTGAGAGGAGTGTGCATGAGAGTGTGTGTACGGTTGCCTTTTAATTAGTTTATTGCTTTTTACTATCCTTCATTCAAAAAAGTAAAAGGGAGAATATTCTTATCTGAATGATTGATTCCAAATTTTTATAGTATTCCCTAACTTTTTTATATTTAGAGCATAACCGATATTTTTTTTTTGGAATTTATCCAGTAACCGATGATCGTTTGTTAGCTTTTTAATGCTTTAATTTTTAACCCATACACGATTAATAGCATTTAACCGTAAATCTAAAGTATGCTCGTACTCATTTGATTTTTTATTTGTTTGCTGTTAGGGCCAACCCATGAAAGTCAAATTTAATTTGAGAATTGTGTTGAAACTAGTCACATATGCGAGAAAATTTTCACTATAACCCTTCTTTTTGTCAAGGCTCATTCATTTGTTTTGAAAAACCTAATTTAGATTCATTTTCGATGGCTGCTTCAAGTGGACAGCCAAAATTACCATCAGAACCGCTAGGTGTTCGTGCAAACGTTGTTGGAAGTCGGTTTGTGGTATTGAATTGGGATCCTCCTGTACAACGGCATGGTGCTGTTTTAGCTTATCATATTTTCTACAAGGAACAAAATTCTTCAAGGTTATTACATGTTTTTGATCAATAGTATAATTTTGTTATGGAAAATGAGAAAGTTTTAAGAATTAAACAATTATTTGTAGCAAAATCTGTTTTTATCTCTAGAGAAATTAAATGATTCAGTGGCTGCTGTTTTGTGTTAGAGCTGCTATAGCAGGAGCCTTTCTAGAGAATTTTATTTGTGCATGTTGCATGTTTCACAACGTCTAAAAGTAGGCTAAATTTAGGGAGCGGATGCTGAATTCATCAACAACATCGTTCACGGTGACTCCTTTGCAACCGAATACTACCTACATTTTCCGATTGCTTGCCGAAAATGAAGCGGGTATGGGAGAGTCAAGTTCTCATATTCTTATTACGACGACAGAGGAAAAGGTTTCTTATTTTATGGGTCACTAATTTTGGCAAGGAGAAACGATTCTGCTTAAGTGGAGTTGCTCTTATGGACCATTATGAGTTTATTGGCATCACAGGACTTGTTTTTCCTGTTTGAAAAGATCTGTTGAATACAGTGTGTCATAACTTTAAAATGAAGTGCGAAAATTAGGAAATTTTAAGACAGTTCCTGGTAAAGTGAAAAGTCTACGTGGCACGGCTTTGAGTCCGGAAACTGTCGAAGTATCTTGGGAACCACCAGGTGGCAATGGACCTGAGCCAATACAGTACAAATTGTTCTACATTCGGAAGGATCATGAACCGAATGAAAAAGAAACGCAGATTGTGGTTTGTTTTATTGTTAATTTTTTGCTTTGTTTCGAAATATTTAATGCTGCTAACAACATATAGATTTTTTATTACTCTTGGTGCTGAAAAGGAATTCGATAATGATACCTTGTTATCAGATGAAAAAGACGTCTTACACTCTTCATGGTATGGAGAAGTATGTCGAATATATCATTCGAGTCGAGGCAGAAGGTGTAAATGGTGCTGGTTTAAGCTCTGAACCAATTATTGTAAGAACACTGTCTGATTTACCATCATTACCTCCTAGCGATGTTAGGTATGTTATGCACTACCGTGAAAGTATTATTCTGTTTTGATTCTAGGTGGTACATTTTTTCGACATAGTTTTATTTTTGTTTGTGAACCATTTAAGTATCCAAGCTGTTCGTAAAAATCATCAGCATTATGATAGAGTCCTCACAACTTGACTTGCAGAGCTGAAGCAATTTCAACTACTTCTATTCTTGTACAGTGGATGCCACTATCAGCGGAAGATAGGAACGGTGTTCTGACTGGGTACCGAATAAAGTATAAAACAAAGTTGCGCGGTGCAAAAGGCAATACATTGGTAGTTGATGGAAACAACAGTTCATATACCATATCAGGTCTCGAACCTGGTACACAATATATGCTTCGAGTTGCTGCTGTTAATCAGGTTTTTTGCTGAATTTGTTAATGGAATTATCAGGTGCCGAAGACAAGAATATCACTTCATCTTCCGTTTGCAGAATTTCCAGAACTGTCAAAATAATATTGGACACTTAAACAATTGAATTAAAATTTTTAATGACCTGCAGTTTTAATGATTAGAGAGCGTTTTATGACTTTATTTTCTCATCACATAATAAGGATTTATTGAGTAAACAATAGAAAATTAATTTTCATTTCAAGAAGTGGTGGCTGCTAAGATTTATCCATAATATTTCAGAATGGATCTGGTCCAAATTCAGATTGGCTTCATGTTGATACACCGTTGGAAGACAAAGATGAAGGACAAGTGGCTGGACCGCCATTGTCGCTTAAAGTTCAGCCATCTCTGGATTCAATTCAGCTTTCATGGCTACCGCCTAGAGATGACAGTGTGATGATCCGTGGTTACCTAGTGAGTTTTTGTTTGCTTCATACTGTGGTTGTTGACATTTCAACGGGGATCGGTTTTACGGTATAATTTGCTCAATAACTATAGAAATTGAAGAGCGAAAAATGCTTTTTCAAATATAATAATATTTAATTAATGTCTTACGGATATTGTGATGCTTGTATTAAATATACAGTGTAAAAAAGATTCCATCTCCGACGAAGTATAATCTGATTTGGCTTATTCTGCAGCAGACTGAAGAATTTGGAGAATCAAATGTTTCAGATTGGTTGGGGAATTAACATCCCAGACGTAGACCAAGTGAAAGTTCCAGCAAGTTTGCGGCTATATACGATTAATGGTTTAAGACCGGGCCGTGATTATGTGATTTCTTTACGCGCATACAACATGATAGGAAATGGTTTTCCAATCTATGAAACAGTTCGAACACTTTCTCCGGATTCTAAATCCATTGCAAATGGACAACAAAATAACAAAGATTCAGGGCGAAGTGAAACGCCAGTTGGTGTTAGGGCACTGACACTTTCGTCATCATCGATCCGAGTGACGTGGACTGATGCTGAAATGGATATACCTCACTTAAGACAATACACTGTGCGATATGGTTCCAGGTTTGAGGTTTTTCAACAGTAGATTTTGGAAATTATTTTTAAAATAGCTTTTTTTCGAGCTTACTTAATTTTGAATATGTTAGGTATAAGCTAGCTGATTTTATCGCCCGCACCTATCTAACAAATTCCGGAATCAGTTTAAACTTACGCAATGTTGAGCAGTCAATGCTTGATAAACAAATTTGTTAGCAGAGCGGTGCTCGTTAAAGTAAAATTTATTCTACATTTTATTATTGAGCTTAATAATAGCTTTTAATTCAGTGGCGAGAGTGGTGGACAACGGCGTTATATCAATACATCTGAACTTGAAGTAGTTATCGAAGGATTGCGGCCCAATACGCAGTACGAATTTGCGGTACGAGTCAATGCTGGAAAGTAAGAATTTTACATTATTTCAATCAAAAAGATATATTTGAAAATGCTTTTATTTTCTTCTATTTACTTATTGTGGGTGTAGTCGTTTTGCTAATAAAATCATTTTAAACTGGCTTCTTCAGGTCTGGAAAATCGTTTCCGAAAATTAATTTAAAAGTTATTTGTAATAGCGTCGTTACCAACATTCATTTTAATATTGCTAAAATTGAATGGCTAAACATACAAATAAACATATATTTTGTCGATAAAATAATCAAACGGTATACTTCTGATAATAAAATTACTGTTTATTTATCAATGGATTAAGGCATTAGTCCTTATGCACCGTTCTGTTATCGTACGCCACATATCTTTCCCTTCCTCAAGCATTAGGAATACTTGTTCTTAATTGCTAAAAGTGCTCGGCATAAATCTAAAATTAGTATCCTACATTGACATACCTCAGATATAAAGCAAATTCGTTTAAATCGAGTTTCATGAGAATGAAACAATATTTGGATAACATCGATATTTAAGCATCGAAATGGACAATAGTTTTCGATCTTAAAGAGAAAAAGTTAATCTGACATCGCGACTCGTAGTGAAAAGGTGGCGCAGTCGGTGTCAGTGTGGCGTAGTAGCTTTACCTGGTCGGTTCAGTTCAAAGATTATGTTTCCCATGAAATAATAGTCATTAAAGAAGCCAGTGATGAGTGTGTCATGCTAATCATGAAGGAAATTCGGTTATTTCCATTAACCATGTTGTAAAACAACATAACTGAGGCTTCTTATTGCGGCACAAAAGTTAACGTGGAAAAGATTGAAGTTTGAAAGATTTAGTTGAAAAGAGAACTCTCTGACTTTTGTGTGTTTTGAAGGTCATCATCCATGTGGTCTATGACTGCAGTAAATTCAACAGCCCCAGCACCACCTTCGAGTGCACCACGTGACCTGACCATCATGCAGCCAACCGATGGCGATCCACAAACATTGATATTGAACTGGCAACCTCCGAAGTATGCTAATGGCGAAATTGAGGGTATGAAAATTTGGCCATATTTTGGAAGAGTTTAAAAATATGCTTGCTTGGCACTTCGTGTTAAATTACTTCTGGTAGTGTAAATTTGACTTGCAATTTTTAGTTTTTGGTAAACAATCCTCTCATTTATTAATAGATGAATTATTATATTGATATGCGAAATGATCGAGTTTTCAGCGGTCTATTTAACTTTGTGTGTTATAGGACTGAGTTATAGGCAAAAAGTCGAAATGTTATGGCAAGCAGTTGGCTTTTTATCACAATATTCCAAGCATTTTTCATAATTTAAATTTATCTTAAAGAAATTTAGAAATTATGATATAGCAATGGAAAAGGATGTGCTATGAAAAGTCATGTGTGGAAATATTTTTTAATTTTAAAATTTTGTTGCAGAGTATTTGGTGTATTATGCAGATCGATCAGATGCACCGGATAAGGACTGGATTCTGGATGGAGTAAAAGGTGACCATTTATCAATCAAACTAACCAATTTATTGCCACGACAGACGTATTTCTTTAAAGTTCAAGCGCGTAATATCAAAGGATATGGTCCTTTGTCTCCAACGTTGCAATTTGTCCCTGGTGCACCACCACCACGATTATTCCAAGTTTGCTTTCAAATCATTTTTTTCGCAAGTAACCATTTTGACGTTGCAATAAATGTGAAAATTTTTTGTTATCCAACGATACTGGACAACTTAAAAACCTCACTGTTTACTTTTTTAAGGGATGCCTTTGACCACAAGATTTCAAATTACAATTGTATTATTAACAGCTGTTATATTATTCATACATTAAAAAAGATTTTTTTTTAAAGTTTTCATTTCAGAGCATTGACACCAATTTGGAAACTCCTCGCCTGGCATTGTTTTCTACGCCAGCTTATCTGGCACTCATGGCGGCAACTATCGTTCTGCTAATGATATTACTGGTCATTGTGGTTTGGTATGTTAGATCAAAGAATGGCAAGAAGTCAGCAGCTTCAGGATATATGCGTGGAAGAAAACAGATGAGAAATGGCAAAGGCCCGCCCGATTTATGGATTAATCATCACAGTGGAGGACACCAAATACATGAGCCGGGTACTTTTTACGAGCTTCTAAAAATTTACGCTAGTTTGTCTTTCAAACTGTAAATTAAACTCTGATTGATTTTAAATATTTATCTTTGTTCTTTCAGCTACTTGGCTATCAGTAGTTTATGTTGCTTTATTTGTATGTGCTTTTTGCTTGGTTATTTTGTTCACTGCTGTAACTGCAGGCAAATTTTGCCGTAAGATTAAAGACCGATGGCGTTGCCATATTATTTTGATAAGAATGGGGAGAAAATCAACTTTGTTTCTCCTAAATTTTCACAGTGAACATCTATGTGAGCTCCTATTATTCCTCCTATTGTAAGCCTTAGTCAGAGTATCTGCTATATTGCCTTTTGTCGTCTGTAGTAAGTCAAATTCCATAATTGTGATGTTTGAACAGTGTCGCATGATAAAATTACAATTCTTTTTTGCTGATCATTATAAGTTAGAATTAATAGACTGTGAGTATTTGTTGTGTGTAGTCCTTCTGTTCTATCAAAAACATGGCATCATTTGCATCATTCTATTCTGATGCACTATTAAATTATTTCAGTCTCAAGATCATGTCAGTTTTGAAGTTTGCAATTCTTTAATTATCAGTTGATTAGCTGCGATCAGTAGATTGTAAAACACATCAAAATTCGCATGTTTGTAATTGGGAACCGGAATGTGGATCATTATAGAGAATCTGATTGAAGAGGCTCTTGCAACATCGTCAAGCAATTTAAATCACAGCGGTGATGCGACTGAAATGATCAATTCGCCACGATCTCAATATCTTGCTTACCAAGGTGCTGCTTCCCTTTCCTTTACAAAGTTCACATTTTGTCCATATTTTTCGTCTCGTTTGACAGATTTCATTTTGCTTTGAATTTTCATTGTTTATTTATTACCACAGAAAATTTAAAAGAAAGGAAAAAAATGTTTGCAATGATAGATATTTTGCCTTCATTTTGCTTCACATGCATTTCTGAAACGCATGCATATATTTTTCAAAATTTTATATTCAGATCTTTATGAATCCCTCAGATAATGTGGTTGAATGACATTTCCTTTTTTGGGTAACATGTAAACGGATGACGTACTAACTGGTTTTTTAGCATTGTTAATTAATTTGCTATTTCATTTTAATTTTTTAGATGGTTATATTCTTCTTAGCTCTTTGCTGCTAGATAATTGAAATAACTTCAAGCGTATATGCACCTTTAATCTAGTTTTCGTGTCCATTGCAGCTCATATATATTTTGTACTTGTGCGCACTGAATATTAAGCTTTTGTAGCATGCTAAAATTTCATTACAAGTAGGAGGGGTAATGTTTAGCTTATATGTCATTTGATTATAGGACAAAAATACATTTAATATCAATACAGCATGCAATGTGATTTTTTTAGTGTGGCTGTAATGTTTTTTAATATAGTATAGTGTTATTCAATGTAATTGCATGCGAACCATGTGATCTGTGAAGTTTTGTAATGTAAGCTATAGAAAAACACATAACTCTCGGTTCATTGTGCACTTTCTCCGATGGAAGGTTACCGAATTTCAGCTCACTTCATCGATGCCGAGTACATTGAATCGAGAATGACTCAGTCGGCTAACGATGGTATCATTCAACGACGGCGGCCTGTGGGAAAAGCAGAACTGTTCTCTACTCATGCCGTTGTGTCACAAAATCCATTAAAAGGTGATTGTAAGTGTGGTCGTATTGGTAGTAGTGCTACTGTATTGCTTGTTAAGGCTTAGAGTGTTCACATTCCCTTTATGTATAGTTTATGTATAGTTCGTTGCCTTAAGAGACAGTTTAACACTGCTTATATCATCAATACTCAGTTTGTGCTGCAAATCCAAAAAAATATAGGTTACTTTCTTTTCGTCATCTGTCTTCACCTTGAGTTTTTTTTGTCAAATATTTTTACAATTTATGCCATGATGCACTTGCAAATTTCACTTAGATAATACTTGAATCTCTGTCTAAAATACTTTAAACACTTCCGACGGGATTTTATACGATGAAATTGAATTGCGAATGCAAGTTGAGAGAGCGATTTTGGCGATATTTAGACGGATAGTCTATGTATTTTTGCTACAAACTGGAATGCCAAGAAACTGTGCCTATATTTATTTTTCTGGACCTATTTCTATTCACTTTCGTGGCACGCCGCACTTTTTCATAAACACGATAAATTTTAATAATTTATAGCTTCGTCTTGAATTTTTTCTTCCCAACATTCCAGTAAGCATTAGATTTAGGTAATGGTACTTTAACACGAAGTTATCATCAGTCATCGACCAGTCTTGAAGGACGACAAAGAACTCCTCAAATTCTCTACACACATGCAGGCCGACATCAGGTTTTTGTTTGAGAATAAGCATTCTGCATTTACGTGCTCACGTTTTGGTTATTATATCATGGAGAAAAAGATATTTTGAGTAAAAGAAGTTAGTAATAACGACTAGATATTCAACCTGACACATGCAGACATACGAAATTCATACATTTGCCCAGGAAATTTATTTTAAAATATCGAAAAAATCAGATATTTTATAAAGTTTTGTGCGAAAATCAGGTACTTTATAAAGTCAGACTGATATAAGTGCAATGATGTAAGCAGTGATGAAGTAATTTAGGGGTCAAAACGAATTAAGGCTACGGTGTTGTATTGCCAATATTGTGCAGGGATAGTTTGTGTGACATAATTAAACCGGTTGCACAGTAAATTCAATTGAAGAGCGAACATTTATTTAAGTTCCAGTAGTTATAAAATGCTAAAAATTTATTTTCTCTAGGTAGCTAAAATCGATTTTTCCGACCATAGCTCGACGTACAGTTCGTCTCAGGCACTTCACATATCGACTCCACCTCCACCTCAGTTACCTAATCAAGGACCACCCGTTGCTCCACCCGCTCAACTGCTCAGCAACGATGGTTATAGGACGTTACGCAAAAATTCAGTAAATTCAAATCCGCTGAAATCATTTACCCAACTTGCTGGAGCACCACCACCAATTACTCCCATATCAGGTGTGTTTTTTTGAAGAAGAGAGCTAGATCGAATTTTAATTATTTATGTTACAGTTTCCTTAGATCTTCACTAACTACTTAGTGCCTGTTCCATATCTAATGTTTCAATATTTACTTGTGATTAGTTGAACATCAAAAGTACGATCTAAGATGAGCATTACCTAGGATCAGGTGAACGAATGGCACATGTCGTTAGACCTCTAGTTGTTGCATCACCAAATACTAGAAACGGAAAACCTGCTGGTGTTGTTATTGGTCAGAAATCATCTAATGTTCCTGTGGGACGTGCAGCTGCACAACCTCGTGTTAACGTCAATAATATTTATGCACCATATGCATCTTGTGCGGTGCCGGAGAAAATCGCATTGCAGCGTGAAAATGTTATTGAAGCACAACCATTGCAGGTTCTTTGCTTGTTTCTCTAAAACTGTAAAATTTTGAATTATTGATCTCATACATTTATTGCTGGCGGCTTATTTGATTCTTTTGATCTTTGAATGCAGTGATATTGATCCAAGAAATTTCGATTCCGTCAGTTATTAAAGTGTAGAAGCTTAAGTTTAGAATCATTACATTTTTTTCTGCTAAAGTGTTTTCAAATTTCAGGCTTCAGCTTCAACAGAGGAGCTGAATGCCCAAATGGAAAATCTGGATACAATGATCGATGATTTACAAGCGCTTCAACATGAATTCAGTGCAGCTACATAGTTAATAATGTTGGTTATGATATTTAAGATATCACTAACTCACCATTTATTTCTCAAAAATTCCTCAGCAAGCTGGTCGATATCGATCTCAGTTCTCGGTGTGTTTTATTAAATGAATGCATATTAATCCGGATGTATAGCAGCACTCGATGAATGGTCACTTTTTTTAGCTTTTGTCACATCCATTTTGTATTGTGCTGGATTTTGTGCATCGACAAGTGGAGTTAAGGCAATTAGAGAGATAATAGATGATAGGATAACCGTTAGAATTGCAGGTCACTGTAGTTGTGACTATGATGGCAGCTCTGGTGTCATTCTTGTAAAAGTTTTGTTATCATTCTCCTTCTTGATCATCCTTCATTGCAAATAAGTTTTTTCTTTGGGTGCAGTAGCTAATCTAAAAAGTTATTAAATCTTCTGTAGTACTTGTCGATGCTTTATTCAAATAAAGGCGTAAAATTGCGCCTTGTTTTATTTTGTCGTTTTTTAGAATTTTTTCACTAAGATTCATTAAAATTATGAACCGCTTCTTCTCATACATAAATAATATTGTTGTAGGGATTTATTATTGTTACTAGCACGTTGTCAAATTAATTGAAATTCTTTGTCGTCAAGGTATCTAGCTAATTGGCGTCATTCCACGTTTGCACACTAGGTTAATTAGAAACAACTTCATACATTCTATAAATTTATGAATCCAAAGTGTTTGCAAAACTAAATGTAAATTCAAATCTGAGAAGGCTAAATAAAAAACAGATATATATGGGACATGTGCATCTGTTTCTTATTCTATCCTTTTTGCATATGGGAGGTGATTTTTTGTGATCAGTTTTATTACTTGGCATGCATCAAGATAAAAAGCTAATCTCGTACTAAGCACTAAAAGCTTGTAGAGATTCATTCGATACCATATTTCTTAAGCATTATAAGGATTAAGGAGATAAAGAAATGGAAGTCAATTAAATTTTTCCTATTTCTTGTCTAGGGTCAAGCACATTTGAAAAGCATTGTATTTCATGCTGTTCTATTGTTTTTTCCTTTAAGAAAATTTGCACTATTTTCCTTACTCCCAAATATCCAAGTGATTTTCGTTAAATCTTTCATAAGTTTATTTATTGGTCAGCAATCAAACTTTACTGCCCTATTTGATCGAATACTTTCAATTCTCCGAATTTTTTAGGTTTTTGAATTGCGATCTCTTCTTCATTTAAAATTTCAAAAAATTTCGATACATGAAAGATATTCAAAACGGCTGTTTCGCAATATCTTTCCTATGCCTTTCGGAATTTGCTTGCCTTAGAAAGGATCGGCAATTTGCAATTTAGAAGTTTGTGACCTCTGTAATTGATTTGGATATATTGCTCATTGGTTACAAACTAACATTTAATAGAGATTTACGCATTTAAAACGCAAATAAATTGTTTGGAACATTGAACTATTGATTTGATGTTTGTTGTTGATATGATATTGAAGTTTCAAATCTGTTACAAAAATTTTATGTGTAAAACATTAGTTCATTTATGATTTTCTCTGTATTAATTTACTTTCTTCGATACTTTTGAAATAGTTGTGAAACTCAATGAAATCATTTTACAGGTTAGAGCCCGAAATTTGATAAAAATAATAACTGTCCAACAATTTGTGCTTTCTTTTTCTTTTTCTCTCTTCTTTTATGATGCAAGTAATTGAACATTTCGCTTTCATATTTTTGTTCATCCTTTGTTATGCATTAAAATTTTGTATGTATCTACTACCACTGATTTCCCTTATGTGGAATAAATGGTTTTTTTCAATCTCGTTTCTTGAACCATTAAAAAAAAGGAATAAATTAAGGATTCAATTCAGTAACAGATGATACCTCTGTTTGTGGTAATCAGTACAACTTGTTAATCAGAAAGAAGAATATATGAAAGCGGTTGATTCATTTCTAATTATTTGTTTATACCTTTGTGCACTTCCAATGTGGCTTTTTCCTTTATTTGGTATTTTATTTATTAGTAATATTCATGGGCAAGGATGGCAATGTTACGATTTACTAAAGAAATGCATCAATAGCAATGATAGTTTTCTGGATATCGATAAGATTAACTCAAGCAATATCAATTATTTTTGTGGAAATTATACACAATCAATTATTCCATGTGTAGCAAACAAAGTAAGTTATGCAGATTTTTTTTTTGTTTATTGTTAATTTTTTAATGGATATTGCTGACAGCCGTTTTATACTGCCCTTAATGGGATAATTTTTTAACATAACTAGCAATACTTGCTAACTGAAATGTGAGTGAAATAATCGATAATTATGTATTTGTTTTCTTTCTTTTAAATATCAATTTTGAGATTGTTCCATGATCATATTTTTACCTTTTAAAGAAATGAAATATTTTTTTTTATTCTTTCATGTTTATAATTGTGTCTACGGTTTTGCTGATTGAGACAAAATATGAAATTGAAGATTCGAAATCAAATTTCGAAGTTAGACCGATACGGCGCGGCATCATTATATCATTTATTTTTCCAGATGAAAGAGAAACCCGGTGCTACTTATTATGATAGATTCCTAATTCTTCGTAAATGTATCAAAAATGATCGATCAGAACAGAATAATTCGGTATAAGATTTAGAACAAAGAAATTAAAAAAAAATAATAATTTATTGATATTTCAAAATGATCACGCGGCAGCATTTTCAGGAAAACACAATGAATACGATTAAAATTCTACGTTTATATCTATATAGCTGTATTTATAATAGTATGGCAGATATGTCACAGAGCAGTTGTTTTAAGTAATTAATTTTATATATTTCTAATTTTCATTTGTTGCATAAACCTTAAGTAATTTTTGCGATAATATTATTAATGCGAACTCCCACATAAATTACCCAAAAATTTATGGAAAATTTAAATTATTAATTACTAATTAAATTATAATAATTTTATTGACACTCTTAAATTTTCAGTAAATTAGTTCGAAATTGTGTAGAAAAAAGTCCAACAACTCGTAAATGCTATTATTGGCCGTGTAAAAGTGAAAATTTTCTAACACTTAGAAGATTCAATCTTTTTCTTCCGAAAGAATACGAAGAAAATGACAACGATAAAAATTTCATTGAAGCAAGTAAAGAATTAGAAAAGTTTAATTTGAAAGTAAGATTAGAGAGAGGGAGAGAGAGAGAGGAATTTTTTCAATTTAAATAGTTCATAACTTATTGATATAATCACAATTTCATACTAATAATTTCTCCTACATCTTGATATCTTATTTAAATAAAACGATTATAGCGAATGAATGCGTATAAAGATATAATAAATAATGTTATAGAAAGCTGATAAAGAACTCTAATTATAGCTGATAATGATGATAAGGATAAGAAATGGAAAAGTAGCGAAGTTGAGATTGCAAATAATTCTACCATTCGAAACGGGAATTGTCAAGAAATAAAATGGAAATTTATCATCAATTTAGTCGTAAATTTGTATTTTGCACATTTATTTATAATTGAATCAATGGACTAAAATATCAATCTGTGAAAAGATGAAATAATTAAAATGCTTGTTAATTGCCTTCTTCCTTCCATTCATTTATCCATCATTTTCTTCTTATCAAGTTTATATTTCACATAATTTATAAAATTTCAACTTCTATCAATTCAATCAAATGATAATGAAGAGAAATAATTACACGATGAAATAAATTACCAAAGCTATTATTATAACAAATAGCAACAATGCTAAAGATGGAAAAAATGTGTTACTTATGTAAAAAGTGATAATTAATGTATTACACATTAAAAAAATGATAAGTGATGACAACCACATGATAAGAATTAATTAATTACAGTGATTAAATCATCATTAATTGAGCTAATTATAATAGAAGCATGATAATTTTTCTAAAAATTACACTTAAACAAGACAAATAAAAATAATGAAATAAATTTTAGAAACATTTATCAATCACCACATATATATATATGTGGTATATATATATATATATATATATATATGGTGGTATATATATATATATATATGGTAATTGAAAAAAAAGAGCGCCCCTCTGAGAAATTATTCATACAATTTGAATTGCAATTAAAGTTGGGACTTCAAAACACTTGATCAATATGCATCGATACGTGTAACGAGTAGAATGACGTAGAAGAAGCGTATGCACAACACTGAAATAAAACTGAAAATTTTTAGATGAGAGAAAGAGAGCACTTCGCCATTTTTTGATAGAAGCTTTATCGTTCAACGTTGCATCCGAAGAAACATCAATTATCCCAATGTGATATACCTTACTTAAATAAAATTAATTAAATCACAAGATAACTGATGATGGATTGCCAGTCTTCCATATGAAATCAATATAGGATTACTGATATCGAAACACTACTTTTATTGGATTAGGTAATCAATTTCAGTCCGCTAAAATGATTAAAAAATTAGCCTCACTTCTAGGTTCCCTCATGTTTGTTGTTTAATTTCGTCATTACTTAAAATCTACGCATTAATTAACACCTCAGAAGTTCTTAACTCTTTTTTTGCCATAAATCAAATATATAGTAAAAGTTCAAAAAATTCAATATTTATTTCTTTATAAAATTGCATTTATAATAATAAGATACTGGTACACACTCATTGTTTCAAAGTGAAACTTTATTATAATATTATCATTTAGCCATTTGCATATTTGATTTCAGGGGATTTGTTTGCAAAAAATTAAACTTCAGCGTGACGTCGAAAATTGGAACTTTTTCCTGCTATCCTTCTACTATCCAATAAAATGTATGAGATTACTTTTCATTTCAGCATCTTTGAATCAGTTAAATCATCAAAAATATGAGCTATTTTTTTGCTGTTAGTAATGGAACTTTGTAAAATTTAGAAAAGTAATCGGAAAAATTTTCACTAATAACGACGAACTTTGAGGATTATTAGATCATAATTAATGAATATTTTCAGAATCAGCTCGGTCATTCAAATTTCTAATTAATTCTTTGGCTCACTTCCAGGTTAACTCTTCCGATCCAATAAATATAAGATAATGCTTCTCATTTTTAAGACTTTTTCACCAGTTTATTTCATCAAAAAATACAATCATGAAAGTCACAGCGTGCCGAAATAAATTTGATAGTGATAGCGAAAGGGAGAGAAGCGAATTTACTAACGGTAATGAAAAAACTCGTAAATTCCCTGACAAACTATTATCGTATTTGGTAGTACCTACATCTGTTAACAAACTTCCATATTTTCTTCGTGAGAAATCTTGCCGCTATTCGAAATCTTGCCGTATTACGTGTAACACGAATCAGATCGGTAAGATCATATTCTGAATCCAATTCGACGACAACTCACCCTTATCATTATGCCGATTATTCGCAGTGCATCATTATTGTAGCAATTTCTACTATTTTTAGTTTCTCTCCTGATGGTTATTAAATGACTGGCGGTTGTCAAAAAATAACTACTCAAGTCATTACTCTCAAAATACCAACAATTTAAGCTATAGGTAATGCTATCTCCCTTGACAGATCATATAACCACTGTATTATTTCGACATCAACTCGATATTTAGTCCTATGGTGTGGCTCATTTTTTGTAGCCAATTCTGTATAAGCTCAACTTCCCTACTGCCAAAACTTTCATGAATCAAATCCTATGACAGCGGAAGAATAAATAGTAACAACATTTCGCATCCCAGAGAACCATTCTTCTTTCCATGACATGAAATGAATTTTGGGAATGAAAGAAGGATCCAAAGAGGGAAATTGAACAGAGTTCCCTTGAAACTTATGATATCAAAGCAATATAATAAAATAAACTACAAAATAATTAAAACAACGGATCTAAAAATACAAAATTAATCCCACAAATAGACGTAGAAACCAATAATTACTGAATACAAAATAATTCCAATGTAAGAATAACAGAGCTACAGATTAAAATTTAAATTCAACTTCGAAAGACTATTAACCTGCTAACTGGAAATGGAACGGAAATACGGCAGTTTTACTGAAGATATTATTGAAGGAAAGATGAAAGTCTAATAATCCAACTAAATATAATGCAGACAATGAAATTGATTATCCACTAAATAGATAATATATTAATAAGAAAACAATTCCATTTAAGCACACTTTGGCGTGCAAAACCATCACAATAGAAACACACACCACAGACAAACTTCAGACTAAACCAAAAACAAAAATTCAGAGATATTAAAAAATTAAATAAATTCTTGGTTTCTTTCCTTCATTTTCTAAAACAATGCTACAGAGAGAGAGAGAGAGAAAATCAAGAGAAAAAAAGATCAAAGAATTTTTGAAAGCTCAAATAAATTTCATCGTATATTCTCAATGGCTCATCTTTAATTTCATATCGAAATTAGAATTAACGGCAGTCCTAAAATTCCCATATACTTTAATGAAAAAATTAAAACCAAAAGAATTTTCAATGTGTAACGGTCGATCTATTGGAAAGAGAATTCAAATATAATGAATAAATCAAAGCATCTTCTGAAGCCTTCCCATAAACAATCTAGCATGCAAATGAAAAATCTCATCCAGGAACAAACAGTATTCCCAATTCTCAAATTGAAGGTCCGAAATTTTCTTAAACCAATAAGAATCAAAGTTCTTTCAGAAAAAATCAATTTTCGCTAACTCCTAATAAGTGAAGTTACTGAGTTATTTATTTCTTCATAAGAAATTATTAAATGATATTCAGTTTAAAAACAATTCTCCAACATAAGAAAATCACAATTCATACGTCTAAAATTGTATAGATTAACAACATTAGCAGCTCAATTAATTTCAGATAGAACAATTTTTCAAAAAACAGAATTGAAACAAATGTCCCATATCAGATGCATTTTCACGGATTTCTAGAAAAACACCATAGCAAATACCTTAACACCGCTTCTTTATGCTTTAAAGATCCTATGAATTTAAAGAATTCAAGAAACTGAATAAAACACATTTAAATTATATTAGAAACATTTCCCCTGAGGTCAAATTTGTTCTAAAAAGATTTCAAGTTTTCAATGAATTTAGACAAACAAAAAGGAAATGAAATAGAATTAGAAAACATAATCTTCGTCAGCCATATCAATTGCCCAACGAAATTTTTCACGCTGCGTTTTGTTGAAAATTTTTTCAACTGGTACTTGATACTTTTTACACCAGGCAACTGATATCCGCGGATCCAAATAATTCAGTTTTGATGTAGAAAGAGCAATCTGCTTATTTTCATCCTGAAATTACGGTTCTAACCACGTCCAACGAAATCTCAACTATCCATCAAATGCTACTCTTCATCTTTGTTCAGCATTATCATTTTCTAAGATTTAAAAGGTAAATTGCTTTTCCAGAAATTTACCTTATCTGTCCGTTGAATTTTTAATTTTCTCAACTGCTCTTTGATACGATCAACACGCTTGGATGCACGTTGTTTGGCCGCATCACCACGTGCTTTTTCTAGTTCTTCCTAAAAACGAGTATCCAATAAAGAGAAAGAACTCATTAACTACAAAAATAGATTTTGAAACCAAATTTAAAATGAAAACTGTATGAAATTTAACCTTAGCTTCTTTTAGTTCCGCTTTCTTTGCTTTTATTTTCGCCCCCAAATTTTCCATGCTTTTTTCATGACTTTTCGGCACAGCACGTTGGTGATTACATAAAATTGCAACCTGACGATTCGCTCTATTATAACAGAGTAGTAGCTCAGGCACTGCGGAATCCTCTTCAAATGCAATTTATTGAATAAACATAATATGATGCAATTCTCTTGTGATCCATCAAATCATCGCTCCATATCCAACTTATTCAGCAAAAAAGTTACTAGAGATTGCTTGGAGTTGAAAAACTATCGGATGAGAGAAAAAAAAAATCAAATCTTCTGCAAAAACAATTTCCTACACCATTATTTGTGACTGGTTCTCAGTCTTGAAAATAACTGACCTTTGGTTAATTTATCCAATTGCTGTTGCAGCGTAATCGATGCGTTATATGTACGAAAAACTTTAGCAGTTAATCCTGGCATCAAGCTTTGCAAATATTTATTCAGCGACGCAGTCTGCAACAAAAATTTGATAGACTATAAAAATCAGGACGATAAAATTGAATTATTTAAAAAATCTTTGCTAATTAAAGTAAGTCTTGCAAGTTCTTAACAGTAATGAACAGCACATCAGTTACAACTTTGTAGCCATTTTGAATGAAGAGATAGCTAGTAAAAATGAAAATTCCTTTACAGTTTTTCAAAATAACGTTATGTATACCAATAGGAAGTGGTAGATAAGTGCTTCAATTTTCCAAAATAATTGATAATAAAATTTCAGACTATGCGAAAAAAAAGAGAAAAAGGAAACATGCCAATAATTCAGAATATGTTCGAGAGAACTTACATCAAGGCGATCGAAAAGATCATCGCCACCGCTTTTATTTTCCATGAAAAGTTTCAAATTTTTAAAAACTCGCTTCTCCACCGGAACTTTATTATAATATCGAATACTGTCTTTACCAAGAAAATCAAATTCGACCACATAACTGAAAATAACATGCAACTTTCTACAGACTTTAATTAGCAAATCAAAACTTTACAAAATGGCAAATCCGTTAGTAAGTCATATTCAGATATTAAAAATCTTCGCATCTCTTTTTTAACATTATATGGAGGACAGAGAGCCGATTATATAACCTACTCGTTATCGTCCAACTTTTCATGAAGTTGAATATGTTCGCATCGTAGTGAACAACAACCAACGGTATCTGCTGCTTCATCCACATCTTTTTCATTACCCGCACGAAGCGCTAACTAAAATTTGTATTTACAAGCAGAAAAAAATCTTACTGAATATATAAAGCTGAAAAAAATCACATGCCTTATCAATGAAATAAAGTGCTACTGCTCGCTGTCGTACGCGCATCTCTTTACTTTTCAAATCTTTGGTATAATTTTCCCGAATATTTCCAACAATACCCTTTAATCGTCTTGCAGTTTCAAATTTTTCGTAATCTTTTTCACCCTGAAAATTGAATATCGATTTTTCGTAAAATGTCCCGAAATTTTTATGAAAAATATTCTACCTCTAAAAAATTGATTGCTACTCTCTTCTCTCTTTTATTCATTTATAAAAGTCTTTTACAAGATTCCAATCAAATTTTTAACATAATCGCGAAACATTACCTTGATTTTCGACGATGGATTTAACATAATGTATTTGATGGAACCTAAAATATTATCGGTCCATGAACACAACCATGTCACCGTATTATCATGACGCACTTCTTTCCATCGGTGGCCTTCGGGAGGTTTTGGTATTTCTGAATCCCTGCAATATAAGAGATACTTAAAAATTGCAACAATCTGAAGTTGAAAACATTTCTTAACCATGATAATATAGAGCAAATGAACCTTAACGAATAATGTAATTATATTTAATCGTAATCAGTGTATTTAAAAAGCGTATGATATGCAGTTGTTATCTTTCGAAACGTAACTTAGGAAGAGTTCATATTCCAGTCATAACATATAAAGCAGATCGCAAGTGTTAAAAAAGGAAAGAGAATCTTTGACCGATTCCTCAGAACTCAAAAAAAAAGTTACTTTGAACAATTAATAATAACGTCTTCCGGATTGACTCGTCTCTTTAAACGACCCATTTTAGGATGACCACCACGTCCACGAAACAAGTCTGGAGGTTCAATTCGAAAGTTTCCTATTTTCTGTTTATGTCCATCAATATATGCAACTCCATACATTTTTGCTTCCTCTTGCTTAACCTAAACATAAAAATCAATAATATACTCACTCTGACCAGAAAATCACTTCTTTCTCTAATTCTCTTTCCAAACCGAACCTCTTTAATTTTTTGCTTCTCTTCCTTACTTAAAGACCTTCGTTCTTCTCTTATCTTTACATAATGATCATGCATTTCTCGGAAATCACATTTCATTAAATCTGTAATCTTTTCGCGCTCAGCAGGGGTCATCACCTGAAATCAAGAGTGATATATTTTAGAAGACAGGAAAGGTAAAGGAATATCTGATAAATTTGTGCATTAAGCATCAAGAGTGCAAACCTTCCTCCAGTCCATAAAAAAATTTTTGTTGAAAGTTTCTTTTGTTGTATATTCATGTTCTAATATCTTTGCATAAAAAGATGCAACTTCCTCCGTCAATGGTGCCAATTTCATTACCTATAATAAATATTACAATTTCACTACCTATAATAAAAATTACAGTAAAACTTCAGTTTGATATCATTCTTCAACAAGCCAGTAAACAACTTTTGCTTACCTTTCCATCATATTTGAAGTGAACCGATTCGGGAAGTGGTACATAGGGTGGGGCAAAAATCGGTCCTTTGTGGGATAAACTATACCACTTGATGCCACTTGGTTTCTTTTCTTCTTGCCACCTGAAAAGTAAACAACGCTAAAAGCCAATTTTCCAGCGGCAGCATTACTTTACAATTTATAAAATTGAAACACTTCTAACAAATTTAATAAATTTCAATTTAAGCGATTAAAAAAAAACCATTTCCAAATTTCCTCCTCTTCTTCCTCTCGTCTTTTCCGCTTATTTGATGTAATGCCATTGGTTTTTTCACTCTTGACATGTGCTTTCTCGGAATTCGAAGAAGTTGAGGCTTTCTTTGTTTCAGTTGAATTTTTCCGCTTCACTTTTTTCTTCTGTAATTAACCGAACAAATTAAACAATTTTAATTAATTGAATAAATTAATCAATTTAAAGCAGATTCATAATATTTAAATTTATGAGTACTAAAAGAACTTTAGGACTACAGCTGACCTCCAATTTATAATCTTCATCGTCTGATTCTCTTTTTTTCCTTTTCTTGGTCAATGTGGCAGCTCGCACGCTCAACGGCACATCATCATCGCTTTCCAGTTCTGCTTTGATCCCTTTTTTTGTCGGTAAAGGGGTAGATAACGATGGCAGTGGTTTTTTCACTCGATCGCTCGATGAGGTAGCTAATACCTCCTTGAATAACTCTTTATGTGACTGAAAATAGACAACTATTTTTTTCTTAGTAATATCAAAAGTGTTCTCAAAAACGACAACAGACCGATAGTTAGGCATTGAATGATAAAGAGTGGTGATATTTTCTAGTTTGCATTACCAAACGAATGTACGATAGTATGAAATATTTGATTATATAAAAGGAATGAAAAGCAAAAAAATCTAAAAAATAATTTTAACCTTTTGTGATAAGGACACATGAACATTATCATCATCATTATCGCGTTTATTTTTCATGATTTTCAATTTTTTAGCAAGCGGTATATCATCATCATCGATAATTATTTTTGCCTTCCGTGACAATGGAACATCATCGTCATCGGATATGTCCTCCTTTTTCAATTCATTCAACGTTCCAGCGCATGTTCTACAAAGAACAAAAAATCGAACTGCTGATGACAAGAAAGAAAATTTAGAAGGAACACAAACCGATAGAAAACGAGAACAAATCAGTCGTTTTCTTTCCTGTAGATTATGACTAATTACTATCCAATTAGTAATTGAAAATTATCTCAATCCAATTAGATTTACTTCTTTATTTATAATTGTTCAGTTATTAACAAAATTCAAAGATTTCGACAAATGTTCACAAAATTTTATGTGATTGAAATTGTGTTTTCATAGCGTTTAGTCATACTTTCAACATCACAAAATTCCATCGCATCGAAAAATTAGATTTATGAGAAGTACAAATTAGAAAAAATATTAACCTTTCACCATTTGAGTAAGAACCTGAATTCGGATTTTGTAATACAGGTGAAATTGCAGCCATAGCTGAAGAACACAAATTATCATTACTCATAATTTTAAACAAAATCATCAATGTGTGCAACGAGTTATAAAATTAATTCAGTCAGAAGCGCAGATGAACGAGCGATTTCTTTTCGCTTCACATATTGTTGTCTGATTTCAAGAGAATACAGAAACTACAGAAACTAGTAAAAGCTAGAAATTGAAATCCTTCCAGCTAAGAGTTTCATCCAACATTTCTTTTTCTCGTTATCACGTTATCTTTTTTTAATGTCTGACTATGGGATTTAAACGAACGAAGTAATTTAATATACCTCTGATAGTTGCATTGCTAATAGAATCTTCAGTAAAAGTGAATAATGTAATCAAATTTCATACTAATTTCAAAGATTGGAGTGCTACAGAATAAAACTAACAGGAAAAATCCTTCGACAAGTTAGGAAATTCGTAAGAGACCAAAGTTGCTATTTCTACCATTTTGCATGTCACTTCTTATGACCTCTTATTCATAACATTCACTGACCCTAACTGCAGAACTTGCTTTCCTTTTCAATTCCGTTCAATAGTTTTTTTTTCACTTGATGAGAAGGATGAAAAGCGCCTTTATCTCATTAACAAAAGCGCCTAAACTAGTTATTTGAGAAATTTTTGCGCGCTTTCCTTGTCACTCAGTGTATAAGAAAACCAAAACTATCCTTAAGCGGCCGCATCATGAAAAAAAGATAACTGCTTAGGATTATATCATAACCCCGAGTTCATTTACATCTTCCAGATTCGGATTTCCTTCAGATTATCTTTTCTATTTGCTTCCGTTTTACTGGTCATGCAAAAAAAAACTGTAGAAAGATGAAACGAGCGAGCCGCGAATTTTCGTCTAATTTTTGCAAATAACTTTCCGGAACTAGTAGAAATAATTTCGTAAGATAACTCTTCAGTTAATTACATCCTTACCTTTTTCATTTTTTTCTCATTTTAAATCTTCTTTTGATCACTGACCAGATTCTCTAGCAAAATAAAAGATCTTTTTCCGGCTGATCACGAAATTTCCTATAGACTGACAGAAAGCGGGAATGTGGAATATGGCGTATTTCCTACAGTTTTCCCAGAAAAAGCACAAAATTTTCAAAAATTTTTGAATGACGATAATTCATATAAAAACAAAGCAATTTCAGCTCCGGTGGAAAACGTGGTAAAGTCGATCAATAAATCGACAACTAATATGTAGCCGACAAAAATCGACGAATTGGAATTTCATAATAACCTGCGAGAATCACTAAACATACGGAATTCACCGTAAACTCCCACGGACTCAGTATACTAATAGAAGCGAACACCCAACCCTCATATCGGTGGCACAAAAACTAAGTCCATGTGTAAATTGGAAGATAGCCTCTGGAGATGCTGCCCGTCATCTTGCTATTGATCGTCAGCCAATGATGAATTTTTTATTTCAGTGGATTACGGTAACTTGGCAATCTACCAACATTTTGAATTGTGACAAACTAATATCTTTAGAATTAGTCTATACGAGTATATGTTGTATCTGCTTGTTCTTGTTTATGTCTTACCGTTTATGTTGATTCCTGTTACTTATTTACTGGAATGAGGGAATGATTTTAAAGCAATGTATGTGAAAAAGGTTATAATTCGATGGAACATTATTTTGGTTGTTAGGCATGAAATCATGACATCACTCTTGTGATGTCCCTTAATAAACATTCTCGAGAAATATTATATCTAATCGTCACCATTGTGATCGTTTGGATGATTCCAATTGATTATAGACGATCAGCTTATAGAAAGCATGAAGCTTCTTGTCCTATTCTCCAGTGTGCTTTAACAGCGCTCAGCTACGACCATTTCCCATCTGAAGGATATTCCAAGACTGAATCTCACGAGGGATCAGGTTGAGATTGCAATATATTTCAGATATTCCAATTTTAGAGTAACGGATAGCACAGATCAGCAAAAATGTAGAAATGGGATGTTTGTTATAGACGCTATACTATGTGTTATTTAGTCAACCCCAGACTAAACGAAGGATGTGGATGATACTTGATACTTGAATTGTTTCAGTTGCTGTTTATTAGAGATAAGTTTTGTAACTTAAAAAAATGGCAGTTTGTTAAGTATTATTTTCACTACTTTTGAACTCAATTGATAAATTATCATTATTAGCATCCCATTAATTCCACAAAATGAGCAAATTATGTTGTACATATTAAGATAGGATTACGAGATTCCTGTATGTTTATGTTTACACTGTAGCCATATATGCTTAGTGTTTGTACGGTATCAATATCAGTATTAACTGTATCTGTTAGTTCACGCTTGCCAGTAATATTACTCGGTGTTGGTGTAATTTTAAAATATCAGATTTAAGATTTTTTTTTGTTGAATTATTCATTTTGAAATATTTAAAAATTTACACATTTAACAGTGAAATAGTTACATGATGAATTTCTAAATCATGCTTGTTAAGATGAAAATAAATATAATATAAGCTGTATGGAATTGAACGAAAATGTTATATCTGATATGCTAATATTAATTTTTGCAATTGTTTTTTATTAGTAAAGATTCTACTTTCGGGGAATTCAATATGGAAAGTTAAGATTTAGAATATTATTTATTTACAGACAAGCGAAAATGCCGAGAACAAATGTATATTCAGAAGTAACAATAGCAAATATTCGACTGGCAGTACGTCAGGTGGTTACTGACTTTTGCGCTAGCCCAGAGCGAACTATTGAAAGTGTGGTAAATGGTCAATTTGAGTAAGTCATTTACAAAATTGGAATTAATTTTCAATTTGGTTCAATCTATGACTTTGTGCCTGGTTATTCTAATTTATGTTGGCAATAGAGGTTTTTCCTAACTGGTGTGTACCTAATAGTTATCATTTTTATTTAACTGAAAAGTTTTAGAAATTTTGTTGAACCAATTCAGCGGCTCGTCTTAGCTCACCTTGAACATATATATAGACAACTGCAGGTAAGTAATGAATATTTTGATCTTTGATTTCGACGAAATACATTTTTATAGTTATTCAGGAAGTATGTTGCCCTCAGGGCATATTGATATATGACTTAATCCCCTATCTTAGGTATATGGCCTGGAAAAACTTTGGGAAAGATTATTTTAAACAGCGATGAAAAATACTATAATCCGGTTATGGCCTTTATGTCAATCTGTTTATATGTTTCAGTACATCACATTGTCACCTTCAAACGAATCCGACTTACGCGAATCTGTGTTAAGGTTCTTGAGCGAGCATAATAGCGAATTGGAAAAAGATATAGTTCAACGTTTTGGTATATTTTATGTTTATTTATAAGTTAAAACTAAACTTCAAATTGTGCCATCCTTAGTAACCTGAAAATGGGGAGCTTCTCTGTTCGTTTTAAATGTTATGCATTAAAAAATTCATTCGTTTTAAGTGTTATGCATTAAAAAACTCGAAACTTTGAGTTTGAAAGCAGTCACAACTTGAAAGTGTGCTACATCTCGCTTGAGAAAATTTTGTATGTTAAATTTCCATTAATTCTTATCCATATCCTGTACCATAGATTAGAATTTTATTTCCTGATCAAAGATAGAACATGAATTTCTTTATTCCAAAGTTGTATAAATGTTTTCTCAATTTATGTTATGATTCAAAGTGTTAATGTTCTATATTTCTGCATATGGTGTATTAACATGTTCTTTATTGTTGAAGTATGTTGAATTTAAATCGAAATTGTGTTGATATTGTTTATGCAGCAGTTTTTTGTTTTTTGTAGAGAAAGACTATGTTTCATCACGAGGACATATACATGATGATCAGAAATTTAGAACTCGTTCTGTAATGCCAGTTAATCCAACATCCACAACTGTTGATGTTCCACGTTTGGAGAATCTTATTAGTGGTGATTCATCGAGGTTAGCAAATCGTAATCTATGTGAAAATTTTCATTTTCCATGTTGGGTTTTTTTGTTTCTTTGTAAATAATTTCTTTAATTTTAGAGAGAGTATTAGTGACAAGCATCGAAAATCAGCAAAAAAAGTACAGAATTCAAATTCGTTTCCTTTCTCAAAAAGTACTTATTCAACTACGTCGTCTACATCAAATAACTCGTCCTTATCATTGGGTGATTCACTGCTACAGCCAGTTCGGGGAAGCGAAAGCAGCAGACAGGAACTGGTCTTATCTGAAAGGAAGGTAAGTATATCTTCTTTTTCCTCAATTTTCATAACACCGTACTCCGTTTCTTCAATGGATTAGCAACACTTATGAAGTATTAATTGCTTTATTTAGAAGCTCTTAGATTATTATCTTGAGTCAAATGCTAGATGTCTATATGAGTCGGGAGCTAACCAATGGAACCATTGTCAATGAAATTTTTTCAAATAAATTGTTGCGTTACAACCAAATTTTTAAGAACGCTCTTAATTTTTTTAGTCGAATACTCTTTCGTCGCGCGATGTTACTGAGCGATTACTCCAACCCATGACAAGCAATAAGGATGCAAATGCGAATGACGAAATCTTGGTGGAAATTAGAAAAGCAACCGATGATGCGCTTCCTGTTGTTTTAGAAAAAGAATTCATAGCCAGTGTTCCATCGGTAGAAGAAGCAACCATATATACGACTTTAGCAAAAGTTAGCTTAATATTGTTACTATTTTTTTTAAATAGAATTTATTATTTTATGTTTGTCTTTCAATTATTGCATTTGCTTAAGTTTTAAATGAACGTTGAAACTATAGCCATGCTACCTCTTGGGCTGTTGTTTGGAGATATATAATATGAATTGTTTCTGTTTATGCAATAAAGCTCGTTGTTTAATGTTTTTTTGTCACCTTACGGAGTTTCAAATTGTAAAATTACATATGATCATATGAAAGATCCATTCGCTGGAACCTTTAAGAATATAAAGTGAGTTATCGCTCTTTTCTAATTTCAGGTAAAATCAAACATACCAACCAGTTTATGCTCGTCGTTACGTTCAGATGACGACAAAGTGACGGTACGATATATTCCTGAAAAAATTCCCACAACAGATGCAGCTGTTTCTACTGATCCTGTATTTATGGATAATCAATCAGTAGAAAAGATTGAAGTCGGTGTCAATACTGTTATAGAAATGGCTAGCAATACAGCGGATGGTAGTTCAAGTTCAAACACAGCCTCTGATAATAGTGCTGGACAGCTACCGAAGCGATTGTTTGATACTGTTCTGCAGAGGTTAATTTTTTCTAAAGTAAAGTTAAGCTTTTTTATCAATGTATATTTCTTATCTTCTGACTGTTTTTGCGGATATGTGTTTATTTTTAATTGAAAATTCCAAAAGAAAAGCGCTAAGGAATGTTATATTAAGATAATTTTTTGTAGGCCTTCATTAAAAATTGTCTCGCTGCGGCCTGATGGAAGTATCGTTCCTACAGATAATTCAACGTCGCAGCATTTTCCCAGTGTTAGAGAATGGACGCCAGCAACCAATAAAGGGAATGCAGAAAAATCAGTTCTAGTTTCGGAAGAAATTGATGACATAGCTAGTGAACCAGACCTAAGTCATTCAGAGCACAATAGAATAGGGAGATTAGGTAGCAGATTTTTCTCATCTTGCAAATCATTCTTTCAATTTACTTTTCAGAAATTTAGCTTCAGATTTGATCTTTATTGATATGTTAGTAAAGCAATTTTTCTGATTTATACGATTTTGAAGTATATTTTCATATCATTAATGAAATCACGGACCTGTTGCCACTTCTTACTTGTTATCCGTGATATTAAGAGAAGAGATTTTTTGTTTCCTTCATTAAAACATCAAATTATAACAGTGTAATTTTGTGTGTTTTTTTTAAGCAACGGAAGTACTGCAGAAGAATTTTCAGTTCCAGTTTTTTTCAAACTATTTTATGATTGAGTCATTTCTGTATTATAGACTTTTTGATGTTACTAACATTTTTCTTGCTTTAGATAGTGTATCAGCATCGACATCACGACCTGATCTCCTCGAAGAAGATTTGAATACTTTGGCAAACATTTCACCACTTCCACATTCTTAACATATTGAGCATTCTTGTGAAGTTGTAAGGAGAAAAAAGAGGAAGTAAAGGAGAAGGTAAATTAGGAAATGACATTAGAAATAATGTTTCTCATGACAGGAAGCAAAGTACTATAGCATCTATTCATTTGTAGAAAAAATTAACAGCGAAGGTGGAAGACCTTTTAGAAAACACTCATTCATCCTTCCGATTCTATCAACAACTGGTTTAAAAACTTCGAAAAAAAATGAATTATTTATTACTTTCGATATGGCAGCTTCCTCTTTATATGTTTTCCAGACGGACAATCTCTCGATATACGAACATTTCCTATTATTTTGTCCAATTTTGAACTGCTTATCTGCAATATTAATTATATAAGGAATGAAATTTTATGTTTTAGATACAAAATTCAGACTAATGGAAATCGGGATGACTTTTCTTTTCGCATTAATTTTTCTGTTTTCTTGATTAGATTACCATCAGTTTGTTAAATAAAGACTTTATTTGTACGTTCGTGTACACTATTCATTCGAATAAAGTTCATTAAATTTTAATAGGCAACTTAATGAGGTAATGTGTCTCATTGACTGCAATATTTTTCTCTCTTCAACATAATTTTTTCTTTGATATAATATAATTGTGATGTACTGCAGAATCAGTCACGAAAAGTTTGATTTTAGGTAGCAGTTTTGAAACCCGATTAAAGAAATGTCGTTTAGTTGAAGTTTTTTCATAAGGATTCTATCTGGCTAGTGAACAGTACTAATGTTATTTAAATAAGACCCAAAAACAACCATCTTGTAAAGGTCCGAAAAGGGAAAGGTAAGTAGTATTTGGATTGAAGTCGCAAACTGGCACATCTTTTTTTCGTTTTGCGATCAACTGCTTTTAAATTTCAGTTACATCGATTTTCTGTTAAGATTTAGAAAGAGGAATCTGAATTTTTGACTTTGAGTTTTAAATACATTATCTTTTTTTGCTCTCCGAGTGGAATCTAGTTAAGAAGGATTTGGTTTGTTCGAGGAAATCGGTTTCAGAAATAGAACAAAATGAGTGCATATGCACTCTGTATGTTTATATCTGAAGTTATTTGAAAGCAAGCATTGCAGAGGAGTTTTGGCATTTCTCAGATCGTTTCTTAATAAAAGTGGACTGATATGCTATGAATATCTGTAGTGCTTCCAGGTAATTCATAATAACTTTTGATTTTCTTGCAGAATTTAGCCAATCATTTTCTAAAAGCATTAGTTAAATTTTCCGAGTTAATTGGTTTTTTCTTCATTCCGCTTCATGGATGATCTTGTATTATACGGCGACAGAGAATTTTTTTTGTCATTCAAGATGTCTTTCGAATTTCTTATTATCGCTAGAATATTATTGATGGTACGAGTGTAGATAAAAATTGATTCATGATAATTATATTTATATCAGTCTTATTTTAAAATCGTCAAAAATATGTACCGAAAAGCTGAACTTGTTGAGTTGTTGTGAAGATTGGTAGAAAAGGGCTTTAGTGGTCTAGTTTTAAGAGTTCATATGATTAAAAAATTAGTAATTCTATGCTTTTTTAGTCCTTATATGAATAAGAAGGCTGCTCGGGGCGAAAAATATGAGCCGACACGATATGAGCATGTTGCAAATATCCTCTCTCACGGAGTAAGTTAACTTTTCGAAGTTTTTAAATTTTTCATGATAACTCCATCGTTGAGGCAGTTTACGCCGAAAGCTTCTGTTGCTCATTTTTAGTTCAACTTAGCACTAATCCTTCAAAAAAGTCAAGCTGAATAGCTGAAGTCTTGGTTTTTTTCCCCTTAGTAGATATTCCTTTCATAGATGCATTTCGACAGCAACTGGTAGGAATAACTTGAAAGGTGCTGGAAGTCCGTTTACTGCTTTCAATTCGCTTCGTATTTTTGAATTTTTTATGCTGCTCTGTTTTTACTATTAGTTTCAATTTCTTCTTAAAATCATTGCGCATATCTTCGCTGTTTTCTTAAATTTCCTCAGAAATTTAAATATGCAGGTAGCAATACTTTTGAGTATGTGTGGAACGCAGTGGTTAATCGATGCATCACGTCATGAGTTAGAACGAAATGCGTCCATAATTTATTGTTTTTTCACTACGGTATATTTTTGGATGTTTTTCCATTTATATTAAAGCTTTTCAAGATTCATCCTTTTCATCTCATTTCACATTTTCATAAAAATCGTTTTTTTGGTCCAATTTCTATATAATTTCGAATTGTTTCAGGTACTTTTCATAACATCAACAACTTATCACACATGTGAACTTCTTTTTCGTCCGAACAAAAAGTATGGTATATTAGTGGAAGTAGTTGCTCATTTTTAATAAATCCTAATTTGATGTTTGCTTCAACTTTGCTGGTAAACTGATATAAATTAGCAATATTTCATTTGGATTATTCTCTTTTCGTAAATATCTGTGATTTCTTTATTTATTTAATATGAATAATTTTTGTTTTTTTCGGAATAAATCTTTTGTTTCTTTTTTGTAGGAAATTCCGTTATTATCTGCACATAATCGATCGCGCCGCCATCTACTTTTTTATTGCTGCTTCATATACACCATGGTTTACGTTAAGACGCTATGAATCTTCGGGAATTGATTTCAAATGGCTTGTTTGGCTGTTTGCATTTTTGGGTACCATCTATCAGTGTATGTTCTATGAAAGGTAGATTTAAGTTCTTTTACTGCTACAAAGTATTTCAATCATTTCATTTAAACATTCGTTCCGCACATTCTCACATTTTTTATATTTAACTTTCATTCATGACTTAAAAGAAATTTTTCGAAACTCTGAAAAATTCACTGAATTTCATTTCTGAATTTAATATTATAGAAGTGGAAGTAATTTTTTTCAGTTCTTATTTTTTGAAGATCAATTTCAGATTCAAAACGATGGAAACTTTATTGTATATTATCTTTGCTGTCGTACCTTTCTTTGCTATATACAGCATGGTGTGTTGCATTTCTTTTTTAAGGTATATAAAAGGGGAGGAATTTATTTCAAAATAACTCATGAACTTTTTCAAATTTTAGAGCGATTTAAGTGATCTAACTTTAATGCTAGCTGCTGGCATTGTTTACACGATAGGCGTCATTTTTTTTAAATCAGACGGTATCATACCTTTTGCGCATACATTTTGGCATCTTCATGTTGTTGTTGGTAAGTGTATTAAATCTATTAGGTGCAACTTTTTAAATAACATTTATATCATCTTAATTTGCGTGCCTAATCATGCACTAATTAACAGTAGCATCGAAAATTTAAATGAGAGTTGCAATGTTTGTGTAAGATATTCTGTTTATTGCTAGTAAACTATCGCAGTACTAAATAACATCAAAGCACTTGTATACTTCATACTTCATTAATGTCCTAATAATATGGCTAGATAGAAGTTGTCTTTAATTTTGTTGTTTATGGTTAGATAGAAATCATCTTCAAGCTGGTTGTTTATGGTTAGATAGAAATCGTCTTTAATTTGAATTTGTTGTTTGGGTCGTTATTGCTTGAAGAATAGCTTTCTAAGATGCAAGTATTTCATTTAAGGTGCATCATTACATTGGTATGCCGTTTACAGCATGCTTCTTGGACCAGATAATCAACTTTCATTCAAGCAAGAATAAAAGTAAAAGTAAAGGATTACCAAAATACGTTTTAAGAATGCAGTATTACTTAAGTGTACGGGCAGTTATTATCGCCGATCTCAACTTATCTAGCATTTAATCACTGATGGATGATAATTGTTGCCATGGTTCTGCATAATAACATGCATTTTGATAGTTGTGTATCTCTTATTTTCTCAGTAGTAAAAATGTATTGCGTAGACTATTTTATATTACATTACTAATGTATTTATAAATTAAATTAATATGTGCATCTCATGTATCGGTAGACGTGTAATTCTGTACGTTGAAACAAATGTTTTCATTTTTTGTGTGCCGGAATTTCTAACAGTTCTAGTATTTTACATATTATGCTTAATGAGATTTGGTGAAGAAAAATTCGGTTTATTTTTAGATTACGGTTTCTTTTATAGCTTTGCTTTGAATAAATCTTGATATTGTCTAATAGTTTTCACAATTTTCCGCTATTATTAAAAGCCATGAGATGCCTAATATTGAAACGAAATTAAAAAGAACTAATATCATGAAGGTATAGCCTGATTAGGCATATTATTCTTCAACGCTGAAAACATTTATCTTCTTCGATATTGCTAATTACAAAAGTTTCTTAAAACAATGAAAAAAAACAATTAATTTATACGTAGCTCACATTTGTAGATTAAACATCTTTTTATAGTTTCCGTTTTGAAAAAAAAAACTGTTAGTGTTCTAAGTAACCCATGGTTAGTTCAATCTGCAGATATGGGTTACGTTGACTGATTCTTAACTATATGCGAACGTGATATGCTATGAGAAGCATAGGAAAATGAATTTCAAACTGTAGTTGTTGGGTCATGTTAGGGGACAGAAAAAGAATTCAAACTATGGGAGTACCGGTCGTCTAATTTGATTTTTCCAATCTTGAAATTGATGATTTCCTATTTGGATGAATTTTTCGGAAATCTTATGTGAAGTTTTTTAAATTGTTTCTTAATGTTGTAAAACGTTTGGAAATATGACCGAAAAATGACCTTGAGACGGGTTGAGTGATTATTATATTTCGTTCTCGTCGTTAGGTATCGTTATGTTTCCTCCATTGTTTCGAATTTATTTTGAATTTTATTGAATTTTTTTTCCGTCCTTCGAATTCATACGCCGTATTCTCATTTCAGATTCATCATCTTATCATATTAATTTAAAAATTTTTAACTGTTTGTTGTCTAGAAATATGTAATTTTGAGGGATTGATAAAATTAATCATGACATATGTGGATATTTTTTGTCCAGAGAAATATTAATTTTTTTTAATTAAAATGTAATCCTTGGAGTTTACCACTCTCTGAACTTGGAAAACCTGAAACTTTAGTGGCAACTTTTTCAGATTTTTCTCTCCTCTCCTGATAACTTGATCGATTAATCTCACATTATTTAAGGCGCAAATAGAAATTAACTTTTTATTTGTTTCCTTATCTTTTAAAATAATTTATTCAGTCCTTTGTTTTATTCACTACTTTCAATATGGATAATTTCAAAACCAAATTTGTTTAAATATATTGTTCAACTTCATGGGATAATTAATGATGAAGCATTTCAAGTTGTTGAAATTTCCACTTCATACCTCACTTTGTCTGACCAATTCCTCATCAATGCTATTTATCTATTTCTTCTTTTCTCTTTTGATGTTTATCATGACATTTTTTTTTTCCTTAGAGTAATATGAGTATACCATAAATTAATATGAGTTTAGCAAAATCAGTCCTAAACATACAACAGATGTTGTCGTAGTTTACTTTATCGATTTGATATAAGTTAATATTGATGTAAATTAAAGATGAAGTGTAGGACAATAATTGTTTCATTGGTTCATTTAAATGATTTCAATTTTTGTATCGATTTTATTTATATTCTTACGCTTACTAGATGAACATAGTAAGGTTTTAAAAAGTAATTTAAATTGTTAAAAACGAAATGGAAGAAGTCGTTTAAAGCGGAACGTGAAAGCAAAGCAAAGACAATGACTAAAATTTGATATGAAATAGATTTGTTGTACATTGTTTGCCATTATTGATAAAGTAAACTTCAGGTATTTTTATCAAACTTCAGTAACTTCAGGTATTCAGGTAGTTCACTCGGTATTTCAGATCAATTAATTAAATAGTGGATTTAATTAAGATGAGCTTTATTAATGATATTAAAATAATTCCATTCATTTAATATCGAAAAGATAAAAATTGAAGAAATTTTTCGATTAAGAAAAAAGCTTTAATAAAATTCATTCCTAAACAAATTAGCATAAAAAATATTGTAAAATAAATAATTTCACTTTAAACATTTTATGAAATTTTTGAAAAGAAAAAATAACATAAAAAGTTTACCGATATTTATTGAAATGAAGAAAATATTAATGTTAGAAAGAAAATTAGCATACTTCTAAAGAAGATGTCAAATATGAAATGAATTATTCCTATGATAACATTACTAATAGATATGATAAATGATAATTGATAAAAATCATAAAAATCAATATAATCTTTGATTAATATTGATATATTAATTATATGAATTAAATTCAATCTTAACTATCTTTTAGTATATAATTAATGATTTTAAAGGTTGCCACTAGAGACAGAGAGAAATAAATGCCAATTTCACCTGCATTATTATTATACGCTTTCTACAGGTAAACCCATTAATTTTCCTTTTCATTTCTCACTTTTCCATTTCCCTTAGCAATCATTTTAAAATGTACGAAAGAGGAAGAGAGAAATGAATTTGTCACAGTTAAAGGTCAACAAAAAAAAAATTTAATAATTTTGAAATGAATCGACCTGTTTTACCTCAATCATTCCATTCTCACGATGAAACAGGTGAATTAAAGATGTAATTACATTGTTCGACTATAATTGTGTCTTATATTTTTTGGGAGGTTTATTTTATTATCAAAAATTTATTTCTATCGAGAAAAGATGAAAAGTTTGAAATGAGTTATTTTAAAGTGTAATAATTCAGTCTTTTATATTATCTTCATCATTCTCTTATTGATGGAAGATAAATCAAAAATTTATTTAGTCCTTTTTATTTTTACATTTTTTATTTTGAAGTACAAAAATTGAAAGAATTAAAAATTTGATAAATGCTCGATAGGATTTCAATTGTACGATTGAGATGACAATGATCAGTAAGAGAGAGAGAGAGAGAGAGAGAGAGAGAGAGAGAGGGAATATGTCAAATCTTTTTAAAACAAGAAATGAGAAGGCTTATCGGTAGTAAGTCTTAAAAAGATCTTCCAGCTTTTCTTTAAAAACATTTGCGCCTACTCATCCAAAGGACTTCCAGCTTCTTTTTAAAAACATTTGCGCTTACTTATCCAAATCGCTAATTATTCGTCAGGTAATGGGAATAAAATGAAAGGTTTATTTGGAATAAAATCCTTCCTTAACAATTCCATATCAACTTTTATCCTTTTTTTCTAGCAAAAATATTGAAATAAAAATTTTGACCTCATTTGTATTCAATATTAGTTAATGATTTAATTAATTATCCATAAATATAGCAAAAACTTTCAAATTCTTTGTATCGAATTATTATAACAAAGGTAAACTAATTAAGATAAGAAAATGGGTAAACCCGTTTCATCATCTTATCCTACTGGTTCTTTTAAAAAGCTTATTTTTCTAACTTCATTTATCAATAATTTGAAAAACATATTATTTATTTCGAATATTTCATAACGCATTCTTGGGAGTAAATAATAAAATGAAAGGTATAAATAAACAATAAATAAAAATAAGTAAATAAATAGATAAATATAAAATAAGATGATAATGATTATCCTAAACTTTTCATATCATTTATTTCTATGTTATATTTCTAGTTTGGTTCCACTAAGATACGCTCATTCACTCGTCTCTTAGTTTCATTTTATTTTCAATCGTTCATTCCTATGATCAATAAATAAATAGATGAATAAATAAAAATAAATAAAGAATAGATAAATAAATTAAAACAAGTAAATAAATAGATGAATATAAAACAGATAAATAATAAATAGATAAATAAATAAATAATAAATAGATGAATAAATAAATAAATATGAAAATAAATAAATAAAGAATAAATAAAAATAAGCAAATAAATAGATAAATATGAAATAAATAAATAAATAATAAATAGATAAATAAATAAATGAATGAATGAATAAATAATAAATAGATAAAAAAATAAATAAGTAAATAAATAGAAGAATAAATGAATAAATAAAAATAAGTAAGTAAATAAATAAATATGAAACAAATAAATAAATGCATATATGCATGTATTCTTGAAAATATTAGGAAATAGAAGGAATTATTAGCCGATGAGTCATAAATAATTTAAATTTTAGCAAAGCAAAAGGAAAAAAAATTAGCAACAAAAAATGTAAAACTTTTCTATTAGTTTGCAATATTTGTTGAACAAAAGTTTTCATCATCATCATCATCATCATCATCACATTTAATTATTAATTATTTTTAAGTATCAAAAAAAAATAGCTAACTATAAATAATAATTAAACTTTTTTTCCCATATCTTCTTCATTCCATTCATTTTTCTACCTAAAAGAACTTTCATATTCATTATGCATTATCACAATATCATTTATCATTACGCTGTCAGAATTTCCGAAGCGCTAATGTCCATCAATGTAATTCACAACAACACAAATGCAATCATCAAAATTTTTCTCTATCGATTAACACAAAAAAGAAAGAAGCCATCATATTTAATCGTTGAAAAAGAAAGAGCAATTTTCTACAACAACGAAATTGTTATAGGCTTTTTTTTCTCTTAGCTATTAAATATGATGACTTTTTCTTCTTCCCTTAAATATGGCCTAAATTACAAATGCTTGTAGTATGAGTTGAGAGAGATGATAAAATATCATAGCAAAATGAGAAGTATCGGGTATCGGGTATCGGGGATCGGGTATCGGAGGAAAATGGTAAAAAAATATCTCTCACAAATGATGATGATCTTCATTATTTATTACATTTTTTTCTTCTCCCTCTCTTCTCTTTCTTTCTCTTTCTTTCTTTCTTTCTTTCTTTTTCCGCTGATCATTTGTTTGATTCATTTGGTACTGCGCGCCTTTTCAGTATCATTTGAAAAAGTCTTTTCTTAATAAAACCTTTGTAAATGATTGTATTCTATTGGCAACAATGATTTAATATCTTATGCGTTCAAATATTTAAAAGGTTGAATGAAAAGACGTTGTTGTTTCATTACCGATCGGTAAGCGCATTGTTTCATTATTACGTTATCTGTTGGCTGTTGTCGTTGAATTAATTATTTATTTATTTATCAATTTATTCTATTCCACTTTTTCTTTTTGCAGTGAAAAATCTAATTAATTATTTGTTAGAAAAGGATTAATTATGGAATTTGGTGCTACTATGAAACACTATGAAACAGGTAATTAAGCTAATTTTTATTTTATTATTTAAAATTTTAATTATTTATTAATTTCTTTTGTGTTTTTTTAAATTTATTTATACTGTTTAACGAAATTTCGAAATATGTTAGTTTTGTTTAAAAAAAATTTAGATTTAATCATAAATTTAATAAGTGAGGATTGTTTTTCAAATTCAGTTTGCAGTATTTCTAAGCGTATATTTTTCAAGAAGCTTACTTGGGTAAATGCAACAGTGATTTTAAAGCTAAAGTCAGATATGGTTATTTATCAATTAGAATAATATGATAATATAACATATCGGTTAGTATTTTTGTTGCTATCTGAAAAGAAATGATTTTAAATTTTACGAAAGAAATTTGAAAATTAAATTTCAAGAGGTGATGATCATACAAAAGAAAATGTTTTTACTTTAATTAACAAATGAAATTTCAGGAAGTGATAGTGTTGGACAACATCAACAGTTTAGTTCAGCAACTGTTGCCATACGTGCTCAAAAAAAGATTTTTTCCAAAATTATTTCAAGGAATAATGTGAAGCTATTTGTGGATGATGCAACTATTCGCTTATTCGATCATCTCTATCAAGTTTTGAAGACAACATACAATAAAATGATCGCTGAAAAGGTGAATTAAATTTCATAATTGTCTACAATTTCGAATTCAAAAATTTTATTGCTAATAGTTTTTACCAAAGTAGTGGAAGAATAGGAAAAGGCATTTTTTTCTCCATATTTTCCATGCAATGATTGATTTGATTGGTTGATTAAGAAAAGCTGATCTAAATTATATCAATCAAAAGATGAATCCAATGGAATAATTTAATAATTTTAAACTTAAAGCATGCGCAATATTAGAATAATAAAAGAAAAAACATATGAGAGCATTAATAATAAGATTATAATAATTATAGCAAGAATTGCTGTAATATTTGTAATTTACAGGTGGTGAAAAATATTATCAAACTTATTGTCAAGCTGGGCGTAGTTATGCGAAATGAGCAACTTACCATAGAGCAACAAAATCAACTTGCAAAAATTCAACGACAAATGCATCAACTTTGTCTTACAGTTATTTCATTTGGTAAAGTAGCATTCTCATATGACTATGCATATTTGAATGCACTACTCAAGGAAACTTATCGTCGATTACTTCCATTGATAGAACAGATCCTTAGCGGCAAATCCAAACAACGCTTAGATATGATTTTTGAACATCTATGTAAGGTGAATTTTCCAGCCTTTATATAGTAAATTTTCTAATTTTTAGGTAAATTTTTCAATCTTTACAAGTTACATGAATTGCATATGAGATGTATATGATTGAAACGAAATGATATCAATAGAGCAATTCCATTTATTAGCTATTATGAAATAACAATTGTTGATAAGTTTATTAAGAGTCATGAAATTATGATAGGTATTGCTAGAGCTCAATTTCTTGTTTGCACAGGACTCGGTATTGGATTCACTCTTTCGCGCAGATGGTCAGCATTGGAAACTTCTTCCGAATGTTGTAATGGACCTCGAAGTACTCATTGATAGAGAAAAATTATAATTTGAAAAGCGGGCAATCATGAGAACTACATACATGTTCAGAACAGGTCATATCTTATTTTGTAATATATTTATATTTCCATATCTAAATGTTAGTGTCATGAATTATACAGAAAAGCATATCTGGGATGCAACTTTTTAATTTAGATTTTCTGATCCAGAGAACCTGCAAGAAATATTCAAATCCCGAATATGCCATATTGTAATGTTGTATATAATTCTTTTATTACGTTAAGTGGCATTCCTTAAATCATGTGTGAAACCAGAATTGAGCCATATCAAAAGTAGAATGAAAAACTTTGGTTATGATCTCACTTCTGAAAATTAGTTACATAGTTAAACCATAAGCTCAACCGCAAACTGGCCATCCTTTTCAATGTTTTTGTGTAGTTTCTACCCTTGTTATATCTTTTAATTGTATTCAAATATTTTGTCTTCAGAGAGTCAAACTATTTTTCATTCAACCATCATTTTATTTCATTATTTCGAAGTGATACGTAAATTATTTAGCAAAATTCTTAGTTCCAAACATGTAACAATAAAACTACAGGCCATGACTCCTCTTTCTCACGAAAATTGTATAATTAGAAACTATAAGGTAATAAATATACTATGGAAGGATACCAAAAAAGCCCTGATGGATCAACGACTGTTCAAGTCCTCTCTCCTCTTTACCTCTGTCTTGTTACGAAAATTCCCATTAAATCTATTAATCAAATATGAATTCTTTTTTCGCTCTTCGTGATGCTGAAAATCTTCTGATATACGGAAAAAAAATATGAGGGAACGCTCCATTCAAATTTCGAGCAACATCACAACTCCAAATATCTTAGAAAAACGAACGACGAAAGGAAGTTCTTATGTCTTTTCTTGAATATAGCTAATAGTGTTAAGTCAGCATGGAGCTAAATATCCTTCATTTCGTAATTAGAACAATATATGAGAAGTACTAAATGGGGCTTCAAATTATGCTTAATTCAAATCACACTGTTTAAAATAAAATGAATGAATTGAAATGCAGAAAAGAAGATATAGGAATAAAACAGCCTTTAATCCAGAGCCATCCTTGAAAAAGCAAAAAAAGATAATGAAACGAAAGTGAGCTTATTCCATAGGAAATATAAAGAAATGATGGGAAAACCTAAGAGGCAACATAATTGTAATTAAACTTGCAAAAAGAACCAAGCCAAAGAAAACGGATATTTTGGAGAATTGCACGGCAAACAATTATATTTACATAATGCAAATCAACCCAAAAAATTTCCCGCATTATTAAATTAAGAACATTCAACTTTAAAAGCAAACATGCCAATTTTAATCACAACATAATTGTAACTTATGAGAGATAGGAATTTGATTGAAAATAGGTTCATAAGAGAGACATACCTACGAAATGTATTTAACAATGCAGATTCAATCTTCACGAATTTTCAATATCCGAATTCGGAATGAATGGTGCTCGCACGAAACGGCACTCTTCAATTTTGCTATAACTTCGTCTTCGGCTTTCACTCAATTTGCTGCGGCACATGAGTTGAAAAGCATGCAAGGAATCGCTATTCCTGGATAGATATGAGCAGTGTCAGGCTGAAATAGGTAAAAAACTTGGCAGTCGATAAAAATTTTTAATGTCATTCCACAGCCTAGGTACATAAATGATAAATTCTAGTTTACATAATATTTTTTCTGTTCACAGATGTGGCATTCAACGAAGTAAGCAGTTACCATTAAAGAAATTGGAATCTATTGCGCCAAAGTAAAGTTACCACCCGATCATGCTCTCATTAGCAGTCCTTACATTATCATTCAGAAAGACATCTTAATCTTCTTCTAAGAATTTAAAATTTATTAAATCATCGTAGATGGCTGACCAATAAGAGTTCCACGAAATACATCGTCGTTGTTAGATGCCAAATATATTATATCTAAAAATCTTAAAATCATTGTTGAATATTTCTATTGCGCTTGCTTACTTTGATAAAAACTAAGTTGAGAAAAATATTAGTTCTCACAATGTTGATGATTCCAATCATAACGATCAGTTATACTTTCATTTAAATTTTCTGCTCTTTCTGCCGGTCGATGAATGTTTCATCAGCTTCTGCTGTAATTCCTTGTATTAATCATCTTCCGCAAGTGGATATACAAAAACAAATCCATTAGTATAATCAATCCGCAAAATACGCACATTGAAACAACTATCAAGAGACAAAACCAAGTTTACAGGTGGCTCTTTCGTCCTTGCCATCAGGCGGACTAAAATTAAACGAGTTTACTTCAAGGTATATATCAACTTGGATGACATTTATGGAGGTGAAAATATAATAAAAGTCCGAGCTTAATTAAAAACTTTTTTTATAAAAAAGATTTTATTCGGAATGGTTTATTAAAATCCTATTCATTTCATTTTCTGGAAATATAATCAATTATTTCGTATTGATAGATTGCATTGAATCTTATCTTTTATGATTGTTCTTTTATTGTCGTAGGTAAATCAGCTTTTATCTCCGTTTATATCATCTAAGATCACATATCATAATCTCATAAAACGTGCAACAATCAAGGAAAGACTTCTTTTCACAATCTGATTGCCAATGTCACTTTGGTGCGCAATGAATCAAATTGGTGGTAAAGACAATCAGAATAAAGCTTCAGAATCTCCCTCCTTCTCACCATCCAAAAAATCTGTAGGCAATAATTGCGCAATCAGAACATTTATTTTAATCATTTTGCTAATTAAGCTAGCACCAAAATAGCTAATGTTGCGAATTGCAAATTCAATTTTCAAAAATACTTTTCTAACCCCAATTTTTCATGTTTGGGAATAATTTATAAAATTTTGGAACTTTCACTTCAACTAATGAAACTTCATTTGTTTAGCTTATTTAAAATCAAGGTGATGAATGTAATTTTGAATTCCATAGTTTCTTTATTTTCCAAGAAAACCATTCCGTTTTAAGACAAACCTGAAAAGCCATCTCGGCGCAACCACATTGACTTTATACGTACTTCATTTTCAGCTATCCAATTCTGAATCGCAAGTTGTATGAGTCTGTGCTTTCATCTTCGAAGCAATAATAATAAAGTTAAGAAACGCCTGAAATCCATCCTTACATCAGGTCACGTAAGTAACAACACTGTGCAGATTGCATCAATCTACCCCGGTAGAACATTTAAGAGAGCGATCAATAGCAATAGCACACTATTTCTTCTATTTCTAAAATTTATGGCATAAAAAATCCATTCCAAAAAGTTGTGCATTCAGTATCGTACCACTCACTCAGTGCAACAATGATTTTTAGAAATAGTCATGATATCTGTCCTACTCATTCAAGATCTTCAGTACATATACTAGTATGACAGGGATTTCGTGACAGGGATTTCAATGACAATGATATGATGGATCAATGGATCAATGGATCAATGACAAGGAATTCGCAAAACTTTTGAACGATGTGATGCATCTCTAACTTTATTTAAAACATCAACTATTCGTATCATTCAGTGCAACAACTTTCAGAGATAAAGAAGGATTATTAGATATGGATCGTGTTACAGATTTTCCTGATTCGTTCGAGATTTCCAATATATATACCAGTATCTCCTGAACTTTTTCAAAACTTTTAAACGACGTAATGCATCTTCTTGCCTTGTCATAGAATATCTTTTTTACATTCTTTGAATATCTCAACGGTAGAATCCAATCCCTGTCATCCACTAACGAACGAGCTGTTTCAGAACATTGGTAGCTTGCGGATTCCTCTTCCAATATTTCACATTGGTGACGGCCATTTGAGAGGTACCCGTAAATTTCCAGCGTATTTTTCTCTTTACTGTTCTATTGGTTTTCAATAATCAGTTCGATGAAATTTCGAAAATTTCCCGATCCGGATGAAAATTATGATTGGTTGACCTGTGTTGCAACATTCCCGGGAGGTAGAGAGTTTACTGTTTATTGGTTTTAAATGTCCGGTCCGATGAAACCTCAGAAATTTACCACTTCGAATAAAAATAGAAAAAGAAAGTCTTTTTTTTATTCGAATTGGCCAATTCGTAGAAGAAAAAGAAAGTTTAGAACGATGAAAAGAGGAGATGTTTGTCATGATGCTGACTGTCGAAGTGATCAATCTTTTCTAGACTTGTGTTCATGTCCACAAATTCAGATGATTGTGTCGCTCGCAATATTGATGCTAAATTGCAGCAGGTGAAATTTTATTCATTCGTTTCCGTATTGACCTCAGAAAGTAACTTTTTTTGATAATCTTGTTATTAATTAAATTAGTTGAATTGTTTGCTAGATTGGTGTTGTCAATCAAATTTAATTGCTGTGTGATGTTTAATTCTTTGCACTATTTTTAGTTATATTTTCAATACAGTTTGATGGTTCACAATCTTCGTTATAATACACATGTTACTGTATTTGATATTAATGAATTTTGAAATCCTTTGGTTTAGGATAGTGATTGGTTAAAGACTTTTGAAGAAAATCTGAAGAAAAGTAGAAATTTGAATAATGATATCACAGCATTACTGGAAAGCTTTCGAAATCGGCTGGTGCAGTTGGATCAGAGCATTGTTCCACTGTATGAAAAAACAGCACTCTTACGACAAAAACAAACAAGTGAGTTATTTCACTAATTTCTCTGAAATTGTATTTTCTATACATTATATTACTGAAGAAAAATAATACTCAGTGAAAGGGAGAAAGGGCCGGTCGCTTGATTTGATACGAAAATAAATCACTTTTGCTAATGCTAATAGATTTAATACTAATAAGATAATGAAGATAATGCTAATAGATTTAACTATAGATCCTAACTTTTTTTATTTAATTATTTACAGACATTCGAAAGGTATTAAAGACTGTCGATGCGATGCAGCAATTTTATGGTCGCGCTGCAGAATTAGAATGTTCAATACGTGAAGAGAATGCCTCTGTGGAAAGGGAACAGTTCATTGAAAGAATGGAACAGCTAGCTGAGACTATTTCTTTCTTTTCCTCCCATCCAACATATCAAAATCAACTCGATAGCATGGTTTTTTTTTGTTTACAAATTGAAAAAACAGCATAAAACTATTTCGAGTTCAGTTTTTAATTTATTAGGAAAACTTAGTTCTATGTTTTCTTACACTATTTACTGCGGAAAGATCGATTTAGATTCAGTATTAAAGTGTTCTCGAATTTAACTTAGATATCTGAAGCTGAAAAAGCCTGTGACATATTTGCTTATTAAAACCTGGCAGTCCGAAGCTGCAGCAGCTTGGTTAACAAGAGGAACGAAGTGACTGACATAAGTCACCGTAAGCTTTATTAGGGAAGTTTATATACACTGTCATTGGCATATGCTAAGCTAACACTGAAATGAATGGCGCCTGGTGATTGTGACCAAATTACTAGGACATGGATTTTTCCAGTTAAGCTATTCTCACTTTAAGACATGAAGCAAAATTGAGCTTAGTTCAAAGCAAGTAATTGTCATTCATAAACAATTTATTTTAATCCTTTTATATATTGTGTGTTCCTTCTAGTTTTTATTTCCCTTCAGAGGATGACTTTTGAATCTGGTTGCTGTGCACTTGAGAAAGAATTTCGGAACATCCTACTTGCAAATTCAGTAGTTTTGGATGCAGCAATTATCAGCGAATCCCTAGATAACGAATACGGCTAGTTTTTAAAATTGATAGGAAGTGCTGTCTTGTGGAGATTGTTTATTTAAACTTTTTTTATCTAATCACTTAAAATGCATTATTAATATTAATTCACTAATATTTTAAAGATATTTATAGAAACCAAAGCTCCAAATAGTTTTTTTCAAGTTGAGAAGACTTTTTGAATCTTAGATCTCTGCATTATTAATACAAATTTCAATTTTTTCTTAGCTATATACCATACCATCATATGATATTTAGTTTAGTACGTCTCTAGAAATAGCTTAACTACATCCTTCACATGTAGCGAATTATTAATAATGTAAGCTCTTCATCATTCATCTTAATTTACCCACTGGTTAGAGTATTAGTGATAAGAACCATATTCATTCATAAAATTCGGAAAAATATGAAGAGAAAATTGGTGAGCACTTAAATCGAGATATGAATTAAAGTGTGATTTAAGAAGTAATAAGTACTCGGCTGCGTGGGCTTGTCACGTTACGCAATATTGAACAGTGTGCACAAATAGCTCGTTGGTTGTTAACGTATAATCCAGAAGGTTCTGTGATTAAAACATATGCTGATATTCGATGCGATAATATGCTTCGAACTCTGACTGCTGCTAGTCAACAAGGATTCTCTTCAAACAGTAAAATCAATATTTCGTTGTCTTCAAAATCAGCAGGGTCGTTGAAGCAGTAAGTTTATATTTGTTGCTGCTTTATCGATAACCCTAATAGTTTTTTAGCAGTTCTGAATTCATTAAGGAATTATCAGTGATTTACATTCGTCGTTTGAAGTACAGTTTCTCAGATTTTAAAGCGCGTAGAACATAAATAATGAAGAAGATCATGTTATACTTGAGATTATTGTTTCAGAGCTATACGAAAGGCAACTGGTCGTTCTTCTGAAAGATATGGTTCTCATTTTAGTCTTTATTAATGCTGTTATTAATATTGACACATAAATTGTAATGCCGTTGTTATTATTAACACGTAAATTGTGTGAAGCGTTTCTCAGAATTCAAGATTCGAAACTTTATTTCCTTATGTTACTTTAGTAGTGACACTTTCTTTTTTTATAATTATTAAGTGGATTATAAAAGTACTTATCAGATTCAGTATGGGAATGGCGTGCATCAGACGCTGCTGTTGAAAATATTTTGGTTTTGTTTGGAACATTACTTGGACTTATAGAGGTTCTTTTTTTAATTTAACCGCTTAAATTGAATTCAGATCTTAATATGGAAGGCACAACTAATGATGATTCTGATATCAGCTGGCAAAAAATTTAAATTTTCATTTAGTGATACTTCAGATTGAAGCAGAAGTGTTAAGTAAAGTGATAGCAGACGTAAGTGCCGAAGCCAGAGTGCAGCAGTTATTATTTGGTCGTCCATTATTGTATGTTCTGGAACGTGGAAGCAATCTAATGGATGGAATCAGTTGCTCTCTAACTCCATTTTTACCTCTTCTCAAGCATATTAATGCGCATTATTTACAGTTACTATCTCTTGGGAATGTATGTTTCTTGTTCATGATATTTTGACTCAGTTTACTAAACCTTGTGCCGATTTTGGTACTTGCCGTTTCGTATATTTTATTGCAAGATATGACAGTTTTCTAGGAATTAATTTAAATTAGATTGTAGGATAGAATTTGATGTCCTCGGATTTCTGTGTTAAACTCTTTATATCAGTGTTCACTTTGCTATACAGCTGAGAAGCCAAGAAACTATCTGAATCATATCAATAAACGTTTTATCATTATAGTCTAGTTTGATCTACGTGACTTTGGAACCACTGGATCTTTAATCCAAATATTTTCAAATCTTTTGAGATTAAAATAGCTTGGTCTCAAACTAACACACATAAAGAAGCCAAAAGTTGGAATAGTAAAGTTTTCCATGAAGAGCTAGTTCCAAATATAAATTTTCCTCCAGAAACTTTCCTCCAAAATTAGTGATAGAACTACGGAATTCAGATAATGCAAAATGAAACAGCTATGTTGTTTGCAGAACGCTGTTGAGGATGTGCCATATGAGAGTTTCGTGAAAAAGGTTAACGACAAATCAAAAGATGCTCTTGACGGCTTTTTCGATCTTCTAACAAATGATCCCAATAAATTTGTGCCTACGGATGGCAATGTACATCAAATTACATCGAATGTCAGTGATTTATGTGGATTCAAATCAAATTCCTCAATCTTGAAAAAGAAATTGCTTTTATAAAAAATTCTTACTTTTCAGACACTAAATTTCCTCAATAGTTTGATGGATTATCGACAAACAGTAACAAGTTTATTGATCGCGACAGGTGCAAAAGGGAATCCGGCAACTCATTTTCCGCGACTTTTCGGTATTTCCTTTTCCTTGTAATAATTGTGGAAAAAACTGTTTTCGTCCACAGAATAAGATCCATATTACAACAACGAAGTGATAATATGTAATTTAAGGACTGTAGATAATTTTAGACTGTTGCTCTAATAAATCAGCGTGCATAATAAATCAAAATGAACATCAACTTTTGTGGAACTAAAAGAAATATCAATCCAATAAAATTATTCATTTTCATTTCTAATCACTATTGTTTCCGCTGCTTATTGTGGTAGCATTTGAATCAAAAATGAATACGGCCATTGACCTAAATTTTTGTAGCACGCGCATTATCTGCATTGGGTTTAAATTTGAAAATCAAAGCGGGAACATATGGGGATGAAACATTGGCTGCCGTTTTTCTCCTAAACAATAATAATTATATTCACAATGCCCTTCAAAGTAATGGAATGTTCGCGGTCGTTGGTGAGCATAACTCTCAAGTGCGCTCTTTCTATCGTTCTGAGATCAGTGCATACAGCAAAAAATATCTCCAAAGGTATTTCCAAGAAGAAAAAATCCTCAATTTAATTTCTTTGCTTTATTGTCTCCATATTTTGTGTGTTTATTTATCTACTTGTGACCACGATAAGAATTTTTTATTGTTAAAAGATAATTCTGCTGCATTTATGAAGTTATTCAAAACTTAAATAGCTTCAGTTAACGGAATTGTGTAAATCTATACAAAAGTCTAAAATTTCTAATCTGTTTAAATTACTACATAATTTTTAACATTTCAGTTGGAACCGTGTTGTTTCAATCATAACAGTAGATTTGTCTACTTTTGACGACAGAACTGCCCTAAAAAATGCACTCATGGTTTGTTTCGTTGTTTAATATCTATTCCTTCTATTTTAAACGGTATTACTTCGAAATGTAAATATCGTTTGAATCGTTAAAATCGTTAAAATCGTTAAAAATTATATTCAGTTTTTCGTGCTTTATCTTCACTTTTCGGTTACTTTATTGCGGGCTAACTGCTTCCTAGGAAAATAATCGTTTACTAGAATTTGATGCTTTTCAAAGAAAAGCGTAATGTCGAAATAGTTGCAGGCATTCAATGCTGAATTGGGAAGATTGATTAATGCACAGCAGGATTACTGTTTTTCTGATGTGAGATTGGCTCATGATATCAAATCAGAAATAAAATCATTAATTTGCGAGCCTTATGCAGAAGTTTACGCGCGGTAAATTCTCCACAGTTTTATACATTCCAGTTTTTAGCGAAAATCTGTGTCAAATCTCACAAAAAACTCTTTACTTTAATCGCATTTATTCTTTGGCATTGTATTATATTCCATAAAATCCATTTATTCACCTCGTTGGCTCAGAAGATCGAGTAGTGCTAAAATTATAGTGAGATATCCATTATAAGGCTGAGATAACGAAAACGACATAGCTTGCTTTTTTACATTAAAGGCAAGTTTGTCGTTGCTTAAGGTTTATGAAACATAGAAGGATTAAAGTCCCTGCTTATCATTCCAAAAAAGCAGTAATCAAAACTTTACCATTAATGAGTAGAAATTCCCTCTACAATAAAATTTTAAATTCCCAAGCGTAGGTAGCTAACGGACGAGACGGCCATGTTACCGCAACTTTATATTATTAAATATGACTCAGCTAAGTGATTACTGAACGCAATAAAGAATGTGTTGTTTCAGAGTAATGCGTTCCACAGTATCGAAAGGTACCGAGAAGTACTTGAAGTACACACCTGAATTGCTTGGCATTGTTATTGACAGACTTTTTGATGTCACAGCGTAATCCACTCATGTTCGTTTGCAATCTTCTTAAATTATTATTTTCAAGCATTTTTAAAAATAAAATACATGGATCACTCGACTACGACTATTACTGAATATTTAGCATCTGTCTGGTCACTAAAACTTCCAAACACACAAAAGTAATATAAGGAATTTGGGGTACATCGTAAGGAGGAACCGAGAAAAGTTCGCTGAAGCAAATCCCTTTGAATGTTTTTGCAACTTTTCAACCAGCAGTTCAGTAACTCTGCTTTTCAAAATTCGGATGTTGTGAGTCATATGTGATATATTTCCTAGGCAGTTATTTAAATTTAATGAAATGTACGATATTGATGAATTCAGCTCCTTTGTATTGCATTTCAGCATTCTACTTATATTTTCTTATTTTTGTTAATAAAGAATAAAATAGATCCATGTATTATATCTATATCCAATGTACTATATCCTAAAACATTGGGATGTTAAGTTCCTCCTTCCTTATACTTTTAATCCCATCCATGACAATTCATCTATGACAATTTAATAAGTATGCAGCAATTCTTATGTACATTCATTTATTTAAAAAAAATCGAACATTTCAAAATTATATCATTGTTTCCAAATACAACTATTTGTCACGCTTCTTCAGTTAAGTTGCCATGGTACTACAAAGGCAAGATTCAAGCCAAAAAAACATCTGCACAACCGTACATCGAAAGTAAAGCTCATATGCTCAACTATCACAATAACTATTCAAAAGTTTATGTACCAGTAGCTGGGAAATCCTTTTAGTGATTGAATTCCATCTGATTTCTTTCATAGTTGACTAACTGAGTTCCTACCAAATACCTGCAATAATGGTGACTGCGTCAAGAAATATTTACCAAGATTGTCTTTATTCCTCAGCAAGACGAAGCTTACCCAGTTCAACTCATAATAAATAGATTCTATGATTTTAAAAACTAAGTTTTAATACCAAGGCTGGACGTCGAAACTTCGATATCACTGGAAGAATGTCAGTTCTCCAACATCTCCCCAAGACCCTAATTCATGCTGCGGGAAAAGAATCTCCTAAAAATTTGAAAGCTTACTTGTCATTTCGAATTTTCTCCGCCAAAGCCTTAAGCTTTGTGCATTGCCAATAAACGAAATAAACGCAAAACACGCAGAGCAGCGTAGCCGGGTATGAATAACGCAAAAATACAATTTGTTCTTCGTTTGAAACATTTATGGCCATAGAAATTAATGAACAGACAACACGTGGCGCCGAGAGATACATTGACAAGCAAGCAAGAATTGGCGCAACCAGCTGCTTATACAAATAATGAACACGCAAGCCACGAATGCCGTCAGCATATAACTAAAATAATTAGCTAAAAAAACTATAACGGATAAAGGCAGATAAGTTGGAACAATATTCCTTCGCATTTGATAAAAAACAAGTTCTCAGTAATGGATTAGAAACAAAATTCCGAAGAATCCTCGAGTAGCCAAATTAAAAAGCAAAGATGCAATTGATTCCTAAAGAATCAAATCAAAAAGAAAAAGAAAACTTCACCTGCTCAAACACATGCTTCATCCACCAGTTAGGCCCCATCATCACAGCTGCACAAAATATTTTACAATGCAGGATACCCATTGCCCAGTGTTGCCATGGAAAAAGAAGTGATGTTTGGTATGGTGCATTACGTATTGGACTGATTACAGCTAGATGGAAAGATATTCCAGCGAGAAGTGGTATTACTATTAAAATCGGAACAGATACAGCACACAGTTTAACAGCTGTAAGTGCCATATTACGAAAAGCTGAGAATAAGAAGAACGTCCCTTGAGGAGCATATTCAAGAACTAAGAAAAATAATTTCAGCAGGATCCAGCAACCGTACAGTCCAGCCGCTACTGTGTATAAATCGTGGGTATTCGTATGACCTGATATTCGGTGCACTATAAAACGTCCAAATGTCACTGAAATTAGTTTCACTTGCCGTATCGGGATTGCTTAAACTCTGAATTGAATTCCCACTTCTTAGATTTGCATTATATATATATATAAATTTGTCATTGAAAACAAAACTCAATTACATAATTAACGGTATACATTTCGGTGATAGAAGAGCAAAAATCAATATTGCAGTAGGTTTTCTAATTTAACCGAACACAGTCCTTTTGTGTTCTTTGATCATTTAGTACAGTATGCAAAAATCATGAAATGGTACGCATGAATGGCAGGTGAATAAAGCCAGTCAACTACCATTTTGTTTCATGTGTAGGGAGGTACGTGCCTAGAGCATCACGTTTCGGCACGCCTGTAAGTGCTGCTGCCCTACTGACTTACCTCACACCTTCAATTCCGCAACACCATTCAATCGATGTTAGGGATTATAAAAGTCGTTTTGTGAAAACTATAAAGTGACCAGGAATTAAAACTAACCCGGTATCACGCAAAACATGATACTGGTGAACATCGACGTAAGTGAAAGAGCTATGAGCAAAGCAATAACTCGAAGCGAAAAATGTGACGGTTTGTTATAGGCTTGAAATCCCTGTGGTTCTCGAACAAGAAGTAAAGCTTGATGTTGAGCAGCCAAGCCTAATCCAGCTACTGGTTGGGCTGGTGGTTGTTCGCGTCGCTGACGTTCATTCTCGTTTTCCTCCATAGGTAACAAATAATGCTCTAATTGAAGCAGTCGGCCAAAAATACAACACCAAGTGCGTACAACTGTCTTCAAGATCGTTCGTGCGTGAGTCTGTTCAAGTAGAGCTGGAAGTACTACCTGTAATAGATTCGTCTACAGTTAAATCACACAGAAATGTACCAAGCAATTAATTGAATTCAAAACATAAATTTCATTACCTGTAAAACAAGTAGTTCCAAGGACAGTTCGCTAAGAGGAGTTTCGGCAGCCAAACTCAAATTGAATGGCAGTACAGATGGTATATAGCGCGTTATGAAACAAAGCGGAACATAAACTAGAAGCAGAATTGTTGTAAAGAAGATTGACGTTGATGCAATAAGTCGCCTTAGGTGTCGTAAGACCGGGAGTTCAATCATCTAAATATTTAACCGTTTATTTAACTTGCAGTTTTTTACACCTGAAGCAGCAGGAATCTACCAAATTGAATGAATGAGCTTCTTTAAATTCCAACATCTTAAATTACATTTTCACATTCCCAATGGTATCAAAAATACGTTTTCATGATGTAATCATGATACATAACTACATACCTCTTGAATTGGGTTGAATTCTGGATCATTTAAATTTCTTAAAAACCAAAGGACGCCTGGACGAAGCACTTCACGTAGAACCAACACAAAAGAAGCCGAATAGAAAACATAAACCATACCAATAAGCCAGTGCATGAAAAGAGATGATGTTGGTGATACCATAAACGAAGACATACGGCGCGACAAACTTGAAGCAAACAGAGGCTGCAATAGTAGATAAGATACAAATAATAGGAATACTACTTCGTGTAAGAAGCAAACACGTACATCTCATTTGATTAATTATCACATACTTTATATGCTTTGTTATGGAAGTAGAAAAGAATAATTTTGCAGCGAACAATGAATTCAAAAAAGAAAAAAAATGCTAAAATTTTGTGAAACATACCAGCGAACAGATGTCTAACCACCAACCGCATATTATCGGAAAGAAACCAATTTCGGTCAGTACGAGGAGAAAAACTTTCAGGACAAGATAACACATTCCCAGTATTCGATACATTCTGAAAGATAAGGAGTTAAACCGAAAAGTCCCTCTAGAATATGATCTTTTTCCAAAATACCTTTGCAAAAACTTACGGAGCTAATCTGGAGATTTTCGCTGTAATATGAAGACAACGAACAATTAAACTAAGAATGAAGTATCCGAGGAGCACAGATGTAAGCGTCGGAAAATACGCAATTCGAGCTGCTAACCCGATAGTTTTCAGAAAAAAATGACCAAGTTGATAAGGCAAGAATGCTGAAAATATATCATAAAAATAAAAAAATACAATCCTCACTACTTCCAGTTTCATTTTGAAAGTTTAAACAAAGATTCAAATACATAAGAAAAAAACCCAAATTAAAAAAGAGATACCAAATAATACAGTAAATAAGGTATTCAGCGAAATGACCCAGAAAACATGTTCAAGAAACAAGAGTGATCCATCTAAGCCAAGAAGCCTCTGCCAAGTTAATTCATCCGCTACTCTTTCCCACTCTCTCCAGTTGTCATTATCAGCCTGATCCTGAACTGCGATATCTTGACCTTGCTCCACTTCATCTCCTCGCTCTTCTATTTCTCCTTCTTCCATATCATTATTAGCAATTTCGGCCCTTGCTTCACCAACCTGAGCTTTTTAAAAAGATCATTACCCCATTATGACACCCCAAGATAATGGTCACCAACAAAAATAAAAGTCCATTGTACTTATTTACTAAATAATATGAGGTCACAAATTTAAGAAATGAAAATGAAACGTTACATTCCGCAAAAAGTCACTAACTTCACTAACTAACCAAAAGTCACTAACTAACCATAGCATCAATGTTACCATCTAACGCATTCTCCGCATTCGCGCCTCTAGCAACGTCTTCTACGTTAAGCCATTCCTGTGGACCACCATGAATAATTTGCTCGCGTAACCAAACAAGTGATATAAAAGCGCATAGAAAAATCGAAACAATAAAGCAACCCTGAAAAAACGGTGGCAATGAATTTAAATGTAAAAGAAGTCTGTAACTATATCGATTAATGAAAGTGCAAAATGGATGCGTATTTTAATTATTCAAGTTTTTGTCAAAACTTGTCCACAAATATTGATTAAAACACTGGTATTCATGAATGTCAGCATATAAAATACTCATCAGCTATGTTACAAACAAATCTACTACTGTGCTCATAATTTTTCATAAACAGTCACAGAAACTTTAGTTTTTTAGTGTATAGGATCAAATAAAGGACTCATTGTTTCAACCGTCAAATTAAATTATGAACCATTCTATAGCTTATCAATTTATCCAACGTAATCGAATTCAAGTGCTACGAACTAGCAATAAGAACAAGATATTTCCCTACAACCTTTTTTTTAATGAAATTTTTTTGCGACAACTTACTTTAAGACAATCGACCAGCAAATTGTCTAATGAGAATAGTTGAAATGGCAATGATAGCATACTGGACAAAGAAGCGGAAAAAACTATTCTATATATGCGACAAGCTGTTATTGGTACAATACCTAACCAAGCAACCAACACAAGCGTATAAATTGCCCAAGACCGTAATATACGCCCCATGTTAAACAAAATGCCTAAAACTGCGCGAAGTAGAAGAATATGACAGGAAAGATAAGAGAATAATATGAGGTGATATACATTATTACAAAAAAAATATTCTCTTCTGATATGAAACACTTTTTAAAAGATATGTGAACCAAAGAACACAACCCTCTAAAAGGCTTAATTTTGAAAATATAAGCATGAACCTCGTATGATTTCCGAAAGTGGTAAAGTTTGAGGCATATCTGATCGGTAAATAGGTTGAAAAGAATATTTGTGACTACATAATTCGCAAACTTCCTTTTTGCTATATTTCAGCCATTCTAGAAGACAATCCTGATGAACATATTTGATGCTTCCCGTGCAGAGACACGGATAATATAGCGCACTATCACCAGCACTTCTACAAACTCGACATATGTCTAAAATTATGAAACATAAGCATTTCGTCCGCTGTAAGTGTATTGATTACCAACATTAGTTCGTTAACTATTACAATGATTCTAGCAAACCAATAAGCAAAATTTTTCAGCAAAATTGTTATTAAATTAAAATTTTTTTCAAAAGATTTCCAGAACGAAGTTGCTAGTAACATATCCTACTACACAAAAACATTGCAAATCCTTAACAATACTACTAATTTTATGATGATAACCAATGTTCCCGAAGAAATGGTTATCAATGGTTACAACGCAATTTTTTTTGTTTATAAACTTTCGCTCTTTTTTAGAGGAATTTTGTAAAAAAATTTAAGAAGGAAAAATACGAAAAATAACCAGTAGTTTCACCATCATCCACCATTTCTGAAGTGCCAGCAACAGCATTCAATGAAGCATTACCCGAAGTGTTGTCAATACCTTCCATTAATCCCTCTTGAATCCAATGCACAACTGAAATCATTCAAATGCTTTAATGATAATAATGCTTGTCTTACTTGTTGCCAACAGTGTCCGACATGCTCTCTGATATTTTAAAATAGTTTCATTATAAGAAGTACAAAACTTCTATCAAATCCATTTCGCCTATCAGCTTTACAATAGCAATAGATAAGAAAGAATTAAGGTAAAGAGAGTACGAGGGAAAGGAAAAATAGATGATTCTGCAATTACTGTTAGAGATAAAAACAATGTAAAAAAGTTAAAGATTAAAATAAAAAAGCACTAAATACTTTTCGCTAATATTTCTGCCTCACGAAGTAACTAGGTTTAAATAAATGTTTAACAGACAAACACCGGACTATTCATCGATCAAACAGCTTTTCACTCAATCTGACAGTTGTCATTCAGGCAGAACAGATGTAGTGAAAAAAGGAGCGAAATCTAATTTCGGCTTTCGGTATCATATAGGATGAGTAAAATATATGGAAATCACTGAAAAGTCTTCCTCATTCTTGTTCCCTGCCATAGCAACGACTAAGCCACCGCTCTTCATGTACCGCAATCAAACATTATCGTAAAATACAACAAACCGTTTGCTTGTGTAAGCTACAGGCTGCTACTAAATAAATAAATTGAAGTAAAATTATGACAAAAAATATATCAGAATTGGAAATACATCATTTAAATTGATGAAAAAGTGAACCATTACATCAATTACATTTCAAATAGATGACGTCACTAATCTTGATTGGAGGTTTGCCAGGTTTTGAAGAATTTGTCGTAAAAGTAAATTATCAACAATAATTTGAAAAATTTGATCACAATTTCGTATGTAGGAATTCAAAGTTGCTCTCCCTCTTGTATTCGGAAAACCAGCCTTCCACTTCTGGCACTAAATTACAAACAGTACAATGCAAAGACCACAAACAACCCTGATTATTGCATTCGTCTGCGTATCACTTGATTCGGAACGTTGTGAAAAATTTGAAATCGCCTCTAGAGAATTTTGCCTACGTGTAATGAGGATAAGCGTGATAACGCGGCGGAAGAGAATTTGGTTGGTGTTAGTGAATGTGAAACTATATCTTACACTCGATTAGAAAATCTATTGTTAATCTAACATATGTCTAGTTTGTTATACTACCCTCTTCTTCCTTCACTGTGTTACGGATTCATTTTATATCACTTAAATATCTAACATTTCTCGCTGTTTACAGTTCATTTTCAGTAAACAATCAGCCGATAGTGAAGATCGAAGGATAACAGTTTTATGTACGGTGTGAAGTTCATTGAACACGCTTACATCAATCCACATATACATCTGGGCACATAGATATGAATACATATATATATGCGCAAACAGAATCTATCGAAGTACAGATTGGCAAGTGTCCGATAAAATTATCTACTAAGTTAGTAACTAAGTTACTCAGTTAATATTGAAGTTTGGCATGCAATGTAAGATGTATTTTGTTTCAGATGTAATAAATGAGTAATGATAACGAAAGAAGATAGAGAAGAATTTATGGAAAATCCAGAAAAAGTATCATCTGATAACGAGCTCTTCTCGCCTCTTCTGAAACAAATTGATAATGTCGTCATTCAGGTAGGTTACCATTTGCTCTTACGTGTTATGCTTTTGCGTAAATAATGGAATGACAAGAATAGGCTGTTTTGTATGTTTTGTTAGTAAGATCGACGGAGATTATTGGCATTGAAGGTATCAGTCAATAAGGCTCAGTCTCAAAAAGCACATTTAATCATTTACAAATGAAGGGTAGATTCGGTATCGTAAAGTCGGTGTGTGTTTTTCCGCAATATGTTCCAGTTGATTTTTGCGTTCTTTGTTCAAACTAAAATTTATAATTGATTTTAAAGTCACTGATATATAGAATTTGGAATACCCATGGAAAGGTGTGGAGGATACGAAACCGACAGAGTTGGAGTACGAACTTTTCTGTGGTGCTTTGGAATCGTTTTTGTCCAAACCACTCACTGAACTTGTGTAAGTCATTTTTAATTAGTTTTTAATCAGCTCTGATCTTCACTGTACTATTGACTGCCTCCGTTATATATCATAATATTATTGTTAGTTCTTGCTTTTAACTTGTTTCTCTATCAACGGTATAACTTCTCTACGATTCCAGTGACGACTGGACAATTTCTATGGAAACTATCTTACCAACCATACGAAGCAGTATACGAATTTATACCAAAGCTGCATCCTGTGAAGGCACATGCTTTTCCTCAATTTTATTTGTAATTTCATATCAAATTCTCAAATTTTGGAACTTTAAACAAGAAATGAACTTTTGCGTACGTAAAATTTGCTTCGTTTTCGGTTATGATATCTCATTAGCTAACAATCACAATTTTTATTGCTCAAGACAAGTTACAGAAAAGGTACACGAAATGGATGTTGAATTAGCGAGATGGGTTGAATTTGGACTTAACTCATGTCATTCCACATCGAATGCGGGAAACAATCAGATAGTTATGATTGGTTGCAGTCTAACCAAACAGCTGTCAGCTATGCATGAAAAAGATCTGGGCGTGACATTTTCCGTATGTTTACAGAATTGCATTGAGTTATTTGGCTGATCAAACTGATTAGTTTTATTTAATTTAGTTTCTTTAATATATTATTTAGATTAATTACGATTGTAAAAACTATTTATGACATTTTGAGCGCGAGAATATAGTGAAAAATAGAGATTTATCTTCAGGCTCCCCAATATCTGCATTATATTATGGATATTATATCCTCTAAGCAATATAGTTCATCAATGAGATGCGAAGCTGCGCAAGCATTGCTAGATATTCTTTTTCATCCGCTGACATCTTGGAAATTCATGGTGACTGAAATTGAAGGAAATAAATACACACCGTACGAGCAAGTCGTACATCTTTTCATGAAATCAGAGGTTTTCATTTATCATTTCTCAAGTGACTTTTTTGATGAAATATGTTTAAAGCGTTTCGTCTTAATTTAATGAATGTGTTATTATATAGTGGAGACATATTCAAGTATATTCAGTTTGAAGCCATTATCATTTTTCTCGTTACACTTAAATGTTTTGCAGGATGTTCCATTAGATTTGTTAACAGTGCTTCAAAAAATTGCAAGTTATTTTGCATTTAAATACAATACTGATGTTGTAATCAACCATGCACGAAGGTTTTTTATGGAGAAAGATTGTGACATTGATATTGATACTCCTCAGCTGTTCTCATCCTTAAACTTTTTGAACAATTTTTTTTCAAAAATAAGAAATGACTTCAGTTATATGTCATGCGCTGCACATCGAGCCATTGTGAAAAAGTAAGAATTCAAAAAATTCATCCTATCAGTTTAATGCAATCTTTATGCTACTTCTCCATAATCCATAGTCCAATCTTCATAATCCAACGAAGTCCATTGGTTTAAAGTATCTTCAATAAACTGTAGACATACATCAGAAATGACATATGTAGCTTTACTTTACATTCCAGCATACTGCCTTTATACTCTGAAGATATTAAAGGATTTTTTTCATACTTCAGATCACGGATATATTCAATAAAATATCATTTCGAAGGGACTGACCGTGAATAGTTACTGTTACAAAATTATATCTTTTACTTCAAATTTTTTACTTCAAAGTGTGGTAAATAAAATATGTTAAAATTTTTTGATATGTTTTATTTAACACTTTTTTCTTTTTCTTTAACATTTTGAAATGATGTTCCTTTTTCAGTTATTTAATTCCCAATATCTGTGCACATGCTGCATCATCTAGTCAGGATGTGAGAATACGATATTTAGCAGTTCGTTGTCTCCGATTATTATGCGATTTCGATGGCACTGATATCACTAGAGCGGTTTTTCTCTCACACATGGGCACGCAAACAATATCATTAGTTGGAAGATTATTACAGCAAGTATCGGTAGCTCTTTACACAAATTACTCAATTTAAAAAGCTATTTTTTGCATAAGTTCTTGAAGGTAATCATAGGTTTTAACAGGCAATTTTCTTAGCAATAACTTATATTACTGCACGATCTGGTTATTTCCCCAGAAATATCTTTGATATCTTCATTGCATCTTCATTCATTGCGAACTTTTTGGAGTTTCAAATTCTTTAAATATGTTTGTAGAACAAAATCTTTAAAAAAATAAAATTGATGATTTTTGCAAATCTGTTGTAATTAAGATAATAAAAAATCGCGTCGCTATCTTATAAAATTTTTATAAAAGCAGCGTTATTTACATTTGAGTTTCACCCTAACATGTATACATCGCTTTTTAAAATATGGAGTAAAGAAATTTGTTTTTGAGGAAGATAGCAAAGAAGCATCACTGTTGCCTTATGCATTACGAGCAATCGTATTAATTGATCTGCTTGCTGCTGCTGATGAGAAGTAAGTTTTAATCGTTTCCATTTAAATTTTTTAATTTGAATTCGTCTAGATTCAGCTTGAAAAATATTACCTTATTCCAGTAATTTTAGGTGTATTTCTGTGGTCAATGCACCTGAGCGTATAGCTGTTTTGCAAAATATGTTACATATGTTATTAGTCGAAGAAGGCCGTCTTGCGATGATTTGCGCGCTATCATTTGGAGATAATCTCAAACATCTGTTACATATGTGTGATATTCAAAAGTCAGTGTTAACACTCGAAGGACATACCGATGATGACATCAAAACGCGCTTCAGACAAACTGCTACTTATGGATATTTATGTGAAATTCTCTTTGCATTAGCACGAAATCAGTCTAGTGGAACATTCTGGAGAAAGTACGGTCCAGAAATCAATAAACTAATCGATTGTAACCTCATCTCAGCTGCAACATCGCTGAAACAATGGTTTGAACCATTTCGAGAGGAATTAGCGCTTGGCAAGAATATAAATACGTTAAATTTTCTCACAATGAGGTTTGGAGTCTCTTAAACTCATGTAAACTTGGTTGTGAAGATAATTGAAATTGAACATTAAATTATTTATCTTGGTGAAAGATGAGAATTAGAGCGAGATGAAAGCTGGTCTAAGAAGCCAGAAATGTAGAATTTAAATGAACGGCAAATGTGGGTGGAATATTTTTTATACAGTCTAAAAAATTTCAAATGAAGCAAGTAATGCAAAATTAACAACCAATGCGACTAGGGCAGTATTGACGCAATTTAATGCAGAGTATTTTTGGTGTAAGATGAGTACTTCTTTAATATTTTTCTTTTATTATGTGATTTTTTAGAACTTTAAATTTGTATAAATATATTTATAAATTAATATGTCTTCATTTGCCTAATGTCAATTGGAAAATTGTAAAGATTGTATCAAAAAGATTAATGTGCAGGCTTAATTATTATTTTAGGTTAACTTATCACAATGATAAATATGTGGAGGGTGATCCACCGCTAGCATTAGTTACTCTATTACGTCTAATTGATGCAATCTTGGATGAGGCAGAAAATGCAACATTATTTGATGTTTCATCCGACGAAATTCGTTTTGATTACTACGCAAGATTTTATGAAAATGGTGGATTAGAGAAAATTACAAGCGTGTTAAATGTAAGTTTTTTGCAAGAAATAGTGGATGGATCACAACGTCTCTGTATTTGACATTCGGTGATCAAAGTTTCGAAAAATTGTTTATATTTGGAAAAAATTTTCTCAATTTATAGATAGCAAACGCTCAACAAAGTAAACGAATACATTATCGATGTACCGCACTTACCGGTGATTCGTGCATTTATTGCCAGTTTGTTCGTTCAGCAGTAAGTATTATCTACAAGTTATTGTCATCCTTGCGAGCTATCAATCACAATCCTGATAAGCTGATTGTGGATACCTTGTTGGAGACATACACACTCTGTTGCATGGATGAAGCTTCAAGCGATCGCATAGTCAGAGAAATCATTATAAATTCATTTGCTTTATTTATTTTTCCAACCACATCAAATCGACGGAGAATACGGAAAACTGGCCAGCAGTCATTTTTGGAGCTTTTTCTGAATTCTGGGTTTGAGAAGCCTCCAAATTTCTTCGCTACATTGGACATTTTGCTGCAATTATTTCCTTTTCGATCGGGTTTATTGGCAAACATTGTTGGGATTAATGTGCAGGAGTTAATTTCAATGGAGAAATTATGGAGCAGTCGTATTTTAGAGAATGGAAAACAACTACAATTTGCAATTATGGTTTTGTTTAATTTAAACATATTAAATTTATGGAATTTTTGTGTGAAATTATTTTCTAATTTGAACTAATACTACATCTATTAAGCAGGAGGTAATTAGTAAAATTCAGACCAGCCTATCTCTTTTGCTTGTCATTTATTTATTGTTTTTCTAGTTAGGCATCTCGTCTTCGCAGCGATTGAAACGACGTTTATTCGATCTGTTTAAACGTTTGGCATGTTGTTCTGAAAATAATGCATTACGCTTAGTTGAGTGAGTTCTACTATATATAAATATGTAGTCTGGTTGGTTTATATTTAGAAATTATTTTTTAGTCTTTTTAGAACAAATTTTGCTTGCTTACTAAACTTTGATTTTTTCATCTTAAACTCTTCCGTTTTACTGACAGGAGCTTTGGAATTCATAATTTATTCTCTTCCTTTATATTTACTTATTATTTACATATACTTTCATTGTCTTGTATGTCTCAATCTTCTGGCCTTAGTTTGTCATAGTTTTTTTTGTTTTAGTATTCTCATAAAACAAAGCTTACGAATGTTAACATCTTCGGCACATACAGCTATTGTTGATGCTTTCGACGAAGATATTGTGGAGGAAGAATCAAATGTTCGCTTTGGCAATGCCGTTGATCATGTCACGGCTTCGTTTTATGCGTTCTTAGTCATCTGTTCCAGAGAATTTGTGCTTCGAAATGCTATGGTTATCATAGTTTCCCAGCGAAAAAGTTATATTCCTTCCTTGCTGAAGTTCTTCAAACTAGCCAGTCCAAAAACTTTACCTCACGTATCGTTCCAAAAGCACGTCGTTGTGAGTCCGCAAATTTCCATTATCATTAATGTAGAATAATCTATCTTATTGTTAATGATATGAGAAATATGGTTTAAATGGTTATTTATAACTTTTTTCAACCCTTATCTTTAAACTTTCTTTTGAAGCCTCTATTCTCAAATTATTTCGTAGGAAATGAACAATTTCCGTTTGAATGAAAACTCATGGCCATTTTTGTGAATTTCATATAGCAGTTTATTAATTTTTTGATGTCTTTTTAGAAATTTTTTCATAACCTTTGCGTTGCTGACAGTAACGTTGATGGAAAAATCGATTGTTTGCCTCGTGATATCTATATCAGAATATGTGACAGTCTTGTAGAACATTTTGGAAATATGCAGCATAATATAGAAACGATGATGCTGGCACTAGAAAGCATTTGCAGCATAGGACGTTCCTCAGCATTTGGTTGTGCTGTAGTAAGATTTTTAACTTTTCTAAAACGCCTGAAATTTCTATATTTTTCACGTTCTATGAAGGCTCAACAGTTCGGATAGACAAAAGGGTTATTAAGTAAGAACTGTTTTCATCATTAACCAGTATTTCAAAAGTAGGAAATTTGAATACAATAGCTTTTTTGCATAATGTTTTTTTTTTAAGTCTATATAACTCTAATAAAAAATAAGTTAGCGAATGGTACTAAACAAGGTTGCTCTCTCAAGTTTTCATAATTACTTTTTGATTGATTAGAAAATTCTTCATCTTATAAATTTCTAAAACCCATAATCATACAGGTTAGCAATGCTGTGATTAATAACGAAGGTGCTTTGTTGCATTTCATGGATCGTTTTTTGATGGGAGAACCAGTCAGTAAACTACTTTTTGAGGTGGCAACTCATCTCATCAATCTTTTCGAAAACATTTTAAAAAAGGTAAATAACTGCACAAGTGGTAAGTTATCAGACAGCTTCGAGTTTAATTATGTTAGAATATATCTATTTGTTTTTAAACTTCTATTCACGTGAGGTATTTTGTCGCAGTGTGAAATGCTCTTTCAAATGTTGTTGCAAGATGTGGATGCTTTTAGATGAAAACTAAATTGAAAAAAAATCGATCGTTTCATTTCCGCCATCTAAGACTATCATTTCAAATTTTTATTTCGTTATTATCACATACAAATTTTCAATTATAAAGTCATTTTACGAGTTCCATAACATTTTTTATTTTTTGTATCTTTCAGGATTCAGTTAAGTTTGTTATAATGAAGTTGAAGTCTTCTACCGATTCCGAAGAACAACATCCTTTAGTGCGGCTAAAAAATCATTTGGCAGAGTCGGGTTGCTCAAAAGATATGCTGCTGAGTTTGCAAAAAATGCTAAATTCTTCCACCCAAGCAGAACCTATTGAGGGTGAATTTTGATTTCTTTTATGTTTACTATTATTTATTCGCCATTCGTTGTAATTTGGTATTACTGTGGGTGCGAGATTTATTAGATCTTAACTTCAAGAAGTTTTGGCTGTTAAAAAATGTTTCTAAATTTGTCAACCAGAAGATTTACTACTTTAGCAGTACCAGAAGACTTGGAAACTTACGAATGGCCTGAAAATGTGACTATCGTGCAGCAAGTTGATAGCCGACAAATAAATTATCATGTAAAAGACTTGTTCAGTTTGTAAGTTATTGACTGTTTTATTATTTGTTTTTATAAGGAAGGCGTTTTTGTCTTTGAAATGAAAAAAATGGAAGCAATTTCTAGTCTTGATGTATCCTTTACTGGATCTCTTTAAACCAGAAATATTTTTATTTTCGAATTGTCAATACTATATAGGTTTCAAATTGAAATCACAGTTCAATATTTTCTGATTTTAAACAAAAGCGTTTGGAGTTTCATGATTTGTAACTGAAAGATGTGAATCGAGAACTTTAAATATTGCAATAATCTCTTTACTTTGCTAACTTTGCATCTTACAGAGATAATGAAGATTTTCATAATAGTGCTACGCTTTCTACCGTCGATTTAAATATGCTCAATGAAGAATTTTTCCCAGAGATTGCACTACTTTCTGCGAAGAAGTTAGTGTTTATAAATATTCGTTAGAAGCGCGGTAAGGCAAGGATTTCAATGTAGTAAGTGAATGACTGTAAAAGAATAATGATTTAGATGATTACATTGCAGTGAGACTGAAAATCACCTCAATATCGTGTTTAATTATAACCGAAAAGTTTTGCGTACTGCACCGTAGGTTGCTACTGTGGGTCAGTATCTACACTTGACAACTTTTTTTCTGCTACTATAGGTGAGTATCTATACCTGATGAATGAAGCGAAGATGGTTAGCTATCTCTGTGCTTTATTTCAGGTCGGCATCTCCAGTTCAGCTACAGAGTATAAATTCAGTGAGTTTTCATTCATAAACTCATTTTTTTCTAGTTCGGCTAAAGAATAATGAATTTTTCTTCAGAGCAAGACTATTTTTGAATAAGGCTCACTTCTGAGGAGCATTACAAATGTGAATAAAATAGTAAATTAATTACTGATATGTTTAATTTGATTAAAGTAATTGAATCAACCGAATTAAATAATGGAATCCATATATAATAGATGGATCTCATTATCTAAGGACTTTTTGCAAATGAATTTTATGAAATATCCTTTTGATATGTTTGGTCACAAAAAAACAATGCAGTTTTAACTTTTGCAAGGTAAAGTTATAATAAATTTTAGGTCCAAAAATGGAAGACGTTTAATTTCGAAGGCCCGAAAAGGTTAGTCTTTATATATAATACTTCAATATTATTTCAAGTGTCAACGAAAAATTGCAGGAAACGTCCATATACGACCAAGAAAATTCCAATGAGACCAAAAATACGTCGCCATTAAATGTATAAAGAGGCGGTTTATCAATTTTGTAAGAAAGAGGTAAACTAAAAGGATATTAATTTAAGCAAATGTTATGGATATGAAAAAATGAAATCTTTCCATAAGAGCATAGATATCAATAAGTCAGATAAACAATAATAAGTTTCGTTTTATGTGTGGATAATGAACGAATAACAATACCTTCATAGCACTCATTAAAGTCATTTTAGTGTATATTGAAGAGGAGATATAATTAATAATAAGTGTTTTCTTGAAATCTGAATTCTTTACTTCAAAACTTTTGGATATTAAAAATAGTAATCATCTACTTCTGCTGATTTCTAGGGAGTCGGTAATTAACATTTCGTTGTGACTGGTTCTGGAATGTTTTCCTTCTTTTCTGAGATTTTCGTTAATTTTAAGATTTAAAAAATTAAAAAATTTTGTGATGACATGTTGAGGTAGAACATTGATGATATGGGATAAATGGATGAAATAATTTTTTAAAAAAGAAGAAACAAATGATGGAGCAAGATGAAGCTTCTAAGCATTGTCAACATTCATTTATGTTGCGGCGAAAGGATTGGCAATTCGATTTCGTAAGACAGAATACAAAAGTTATATTTATTTACATGTCAGAAGTAATTCACGCCTGCGAAATGTGAGTATGTACTTACTCATCGCACTTTACATAACAATTACAGCAATTTGTACAATGATGAAACTTATCATTTTGTGGAAAATACAATTTTAATGGTTTGCAATCAAAATTGTTCCATGAGATCGCTCGTTTACATATTTCATAATTGTTATAATTCCATCAGTGGAGACGAATTTATGCTGTTCAGAGATGAAAAGAATTTGATAAAATTTCAACTATTTGCTCCAAATGATTAGAAAGCTAACAAATTATGCGTCACATTTCTCTATTCCGTTCATCCGCTGAAATGTTGCTACATACAATAATAAACTTTGCCATTAGTGTTGAGTTACTGACGAAAATAATATGTAATCATTTAACTTTATGATCCTTCAAGTTATTATTCCCTTGCTTCTGTGTAATTTCATCATTAATTAGACTCTCCATAATTTCGTCAATGAATATACTTTTCCTTCCTTTGCATTTATAAATATAACTGTTAAATTGCTGTTTAAGCTTTAATTTTAATTTCTAGCATTTTATAGGAGAGGAATGTCACTAAATGTTCCATTTTCATTCGTTTTAGTTGCTCACAAAGACGGCAGTAATAAGCCAGTGGTAATTCAGATGTAGTGTTCCGGAAACTAACAAATTTCCACTTTTTCCATCAACTAATTCAATACTAGTATTGAAATTAATCCTGCTAATAAAATGTTAACCTTTTCGAGAAAATAATTTTTCAAAATCAATATCAGTTATTTTGGTTTCATACTATTTTTATTTTGGCTTTCTCCTCTGACTCATCTTCATGTATCAGAATGATAATATTCATTTCAATCTGTATCCATTCCGGGTTTCTTAACATCAAACCTGAAACACTTCCATTCGCAGTGCTCGTAGTAAGCTAATTTTATCCTTGAATTGCTAACAAAAGTTTAGAATTATTCAAAAAAATTTTGCAAAATTCTATAAAAATTTTAAATAAATTATTAATTATTGGATAAGTAACTTTCATAAGTAATTGGGAATTGAAGAGAACCAGAAATTTGCTCGAAAAAAGGGTTGTGACAATACAAATTGACATACAGAATGTAACAATAACAATACAGTACAGCTTGTATTAGCCATTTTTAAATTAATCATTCTTAAATCAGTTTTAAATTAGAAAGCTATAATTTCTTGGAAGCTATGCAGTTTGCAATTAGTTCCTAAGAAATTATAGGCTGTCTTCCTCTCATGTTCATATTTCATTCTTTTTTTTAAACCTAATTTTTATAATGGTTGAACTAATTTGACAAGGGAAATTCTTACATTTTCGTATCATTTTTATTTTGCAAAATATCTTTCGCGTTGATATCGATTTTCATTAAATGAATTTCTATGCCGTTTTTACCTTAGCCATTGTTACCTGCAGGTGACAATTATATGTTGTATATGAAATTGAATTATTAATTATTAACTGAAATATTACTAAATTATTATTTTACTACTCCTTCATTGTTTGAAAAATTTCGCTAATTTGTAATTCTTAAAATTAAAACAGAAAATTCTCAAAATTATTTCTTAAGAAGCTAAAGAAGTTATTGTTGGACGGTAAGACCAGTACAGACTAATATGATGTAAGCTACCGTACTATAATTCATTTGTACATCATACTGGTTTTGGCGTGGCAGTGGAACACAACTGGTTACTTTTCATATGTACTTCTGTAGAAATGTAAATTGCAATAATAAAGTTAAAATTGATAAACTTATTCATCTAAAATTGCTTATCAACATATAGTATAATAAAAATCCTGAAGAGTTCCACAATCCGATAGTTTTAATAAATATTGATAAAATTTTTAATGAATGCTGATAAAAAAAATCTTAATGAATACTGATAAAATTTCTTTGTGAGCTAAACTGAAATCATATAAAACACATAAATTCCAGATAATTCAGTGAATTTTCAACAATCTTTCAGTGCAATGATACATTCAATTAATTGTAATTAATTTTCGGATTTGGCTAGGAAAAAATGGAACTGATATACAATTTCCACTTTTAGAAGCATTTGAATATAATATCTCTCCCCGATTCCTTATGCATACGGTGATACATCCAATCTGTCATCAGTATTTGATCATCAAAGTTTAGATGATGAATAAAATTTTACCACACATTTCTCATACTTTTTCCTTTATCGAAGAAACTTAAAAAGTATGAAAAGTGCTTTTAGAAAAACAAAGAAGAAATACAAATTTAGGAACTAACCATCATTACGTTAAAATATTTATCTATCATTAATCTGCCATATCATCATCATCATCATCATTAGCCGAATATCACAAACTCTCTTACTTTCTTACAAAATGAAAACACAGGTGAAAATTTGAAATAATTTTCAGTCAATTTAAATTAAACTTTTTTCATTCATCCATACAAATAGTTGCTTCCTTATCAAATATTAAAGTGACAAAAATATATGTTGTGTATCAAAGTGATAAAAATATATGTTATATATTTGCAGATATTTCACACAAATTGCTAATTATATGAAATGAAGAAGTTGTAAAGGAAAAACATTTCATCTCATAACAATCCTTCCCGCTTAATGTTTTCTTCAAAAATTTTCAAAATATGAAACTATCACTTCGATATAATTTCTCTTATGGAAAACAAGTTTTAATTCATCATCATCATCATCATCTATGGATAGTTATAGTTGCTCCTTTTAAACGGGCCTCTTTCTTTTTTTGCAAAAAAATTAATTGTAAGAGCAACTGGTTCGATCAAAGGAGGATTGTCGTCAATAAAGGAAATGACTTTGATCTTCAAAAATTGCAATCAAGAAAAACAGAAACTTTTATTTGCCAGAATTTCCATATGGAGATTTATAACAGAAATTACTAATTTTCTTCCTCCTTCCCTCTCACAAACATTTCCTTCCCCTAATATAAACCTTTTTTTTGACCTTTTTCATTCTTCTGATAACAATAGTTAATGTAATTGTTGTCATTTCCTTATTTACTCTACTTTCTCCTGTAGCCTAAAAACCTTCATCCTGTTATCCTAACCATCAACCATACATTTCTTTTTACACCTTTAAAAAAATTTCTCAGTGTGCAATTCAAAATTGCATCTTCATCTTTGCACACCATTTACATTTGTTTTTCCTCCTCTATTCACATTCTCTCTCTCTTTCTCTCTCTCATTGTTTGGTTGCTTCTTTTATTATAGTTTGTCAGTAAAATATTTCGTTGACTTTCAATTCTTTTTTTAATTAGAATTTACGCAGCAAACTCGAAAATAATTCCAAACTTTTGAATGTGTACACAATGCCATGATTAGCTGCGGGTGGTAAAAACAAAAGAATTAGAAAAATTTTTGTAAAGGGAAAAAGCTAAAGCAAACTTTAGCTAAACTAAATAATACTATATCTAATGCAGCAAGCCTGTAGGCTTGTGATAAGGATAGATGATAGGATAGAATGATTTTTAAAGACAAGACTGAATTTATAAAAACAATTAGATGAAAACTGTCAGAAAGTAAGAAAAGAACAGTTGTAATTTGATTTAACTTAAAAACAAAAAATTCTTTTCACTCACCAATAATTCACCAAATATGCAAATTTAATATTTTAGCATCAAATTTATCAATCTTTTTTCTTCCAGAAATATTCCCCATTTATCAATACCTATTTGGATCTTTCGAATGACAATTAAATTACAAAATGATTTCTTGTTATCAGTACATCGTATCCAATTAAGTCTCAACACTTATAAAGATATCCATCCATCCATCCGTCCATCCACTCGTCCACCGTAGCGTGTCAATTCGTCCGCTAATCCGTCCATCATCATTGATATGCTTGTCCATTCATCACTACAAGAGTCTTACAAAAGAGTAAAGGATGCAGAAAGTTACGCCTATAACGCAATAAAACTACAAGATAAATTTATTTGTAAGCGATCAATACACACACACACACACACACGCACACATACACATACATACGTCTGCATGCATGTATATATTTTAACAGACATTGTCTACATCGGTCTATTCATTTGTCTGTCTGTCTATCTGTTAGTGTGATATAAGTAATGCGCAGATATGAAAATATATTGTAGGATGGTGTAGTGCGAAATGCGTGAAATGAAAAAAAGGCGTTCGGAAGGGGAAAGGGGGCAATGGAAGCTTTTCGCTTTGAGCTCCCAGACGAATATGTAATGCACATGGAAGCAAATGGGCCGAAATGAAGTGAACTTCCAATCGCACACAATCGCAATCAACTTCAACATCGTGGAAGATCGGGTCATAGCCTTTATTGTTATACCTGAATGATATTAATGAATGAACCGGTGAAATGATCGAGTCTTTCTAAGGAACAATACCATATATATTCCCTAAATTAACCAATCCTCTTTCCGTTAGCAACAATTCAAACTATTTATTTGTCCCTTCTTTTCTCTCTTCATTTTCCCAACTGAAAGGAATGTGTAACGTAACGCGCAGACATACATATAAGCCCATGCAGACTGAGGCATTTTGCTTTGCATGCATATCGATGCATGTCTCACCATGTCTGGGATGGGATAATCGGTATCTGGAAGAATGAAATTCATGTATCACTGACTCGGTTCGTTCGTTCGGTTTAGCCGGCCGGCATAGATAGATCTGAAAAAGAATTTGTAACTCATTTCATATCCGTTGCATTATATTTTCAATTTCATCTCTTCCAGTGTTTTATTTTCTACTATTAATGGTTGTGTTATTGTAATAAATATAATTGCAATCAGATCAGTGTTTAATCCGGAAAATTTAGCATCTTATAATTCAATCCGAAATATAGCAGGATCATTTCATGTCACCATTACATGTTATATACTTCGGTGGTTCATTTCATGTCTTAATTCTTTATACCTAATTTCATGCTCATTTAGGAATTTCAATTTCCTCTATCGATGGTCTTCTTCTTGACTACAATGATGATCCAAAAATAATAATTCGAAAAAAAAGAGTGCTAATTAATCTAGCTGATTATTCAGTGTAGTAGTAACTACCATAGGAATAATATCAGATCCCAAAAAGTTCTTATAGGCTACACCTGCAATCAGGTCCAGACAGCACGCAAGGCATGTACTTTAACACATTTATTATTTATAATGCACTCTTTAATGTCTCAACCACACCAAGACCTAACCGGGAAAATAATCATGCATAATCTTTTTAACAGCATTCTGTGAACTTATCCTGTTTGAAGATGCTAGTACAAGATATCAATCATCCATAAGTAGTGTCACTTATCCATGAAATTACAGCATTCTAAGCCATTTCACTATAGTAATGATTATATAGTACAGGTGAAACTTATTCATGAAAAAGGTAAAGTGGAAAAATTATCAGGCGCAAAAAAAATATATTAAATATTTAGGGAAATGTTTAATGATACCAAAATATGGAAATTTTTTCAACAATAATAATGGTACCATGCATCATCCATCAATATAATCTTATCAAGTCAAAATGAGGTAAGAAGAGAAAATTTAGATATTCAGAATTACTTTAACTGAATCAAAATTTGGTAAATTCATTGATGAAAAGTAGCAGAAATTTTTAAAAACTTGTTTTTCTCCTTTCCTTTGTTCAAAACTTTTCCCACCTTCATTTCTCTTCAACTCCTTCATCTAACTAAGTCTTCGTCTCTCCTCCACCTTTTTGTTGAAGAATAAGGGCATTTGAAAATAACGCTTAACAATAATTCCTTTCTGAGATATTTATTAACCGAGAACTAAATGATACCTATTTAGTTTTATTCTATTACAGTAATGAAATTATTCATTCTATACTTCCCATAAAAGATTACACACTTTTCTTCCTCACTTCATTCGTTATCATTATCAAGATAGGATGACGAATCATTCTCGATTCTATTAATCAAAAGAAATAAGCTAAATACAATTGTACATTTTTCAATAAGCACCCTATAAACTATTTGGGATTTTCCCTTTAATCAATTTTACTTAAATATTTCTTCTATGATAATCAATAATTTATTACCAATACCAGTATCATTATCAGCATTTAGCAACAACAATAACATTGATTTTTTCCGGAAGTAATTTATAAACTGTTCATTTAGCAAAGGACAAACACATTCACCTTTCTATATCATACTGGTGGCATTCCCGATTTTCATAAGACCTCTTCGGAGTAATCGATAAAGAGGATGTCATCAAAGTTGATTATAGTAATTAGTAAAGAAAGGTTAAAATAGAAATGACGTCAATTGCTGACAAAACGTTACAACATAAATTTGATAGCTATGTTTAGTCGAATGAAACAAATGGCGTTTGATGTTTCTGCGATGTCTGTGATAAGAATAATCGAAGCATTTCTTTTTTAAAGATTGATAAAAAGTAGCGAATTAACTGAAAGTAATGGATAAAGTAAGATTTTCCATTTAATCCTCCATTTTATCAATTATAACTTCTTAGCTATTTGAATTCACGGATTAATTTATTGTAATTGTAATGAATTGCAAAATATTAGAAAAAGATAATTCAAGAAAGAGAGAGAGAGAGAGAGAGAGAGAGAGAGAGAGAGAGAGAGGGAGAGAGAGAGAATATTTGTGTGTGAAAAAGCAAGTGATATTTTAGTCTTGCATGAAATCTTACGAAGCTAGACATATTTCAATTGGGAAAAAAAACTTTTCGATAAAGTTTCATTCATTTTATTTCGTTCATCTAGTTGCTATAAAAAGTGGAAAAGAAGAAGGAGAAGTGTAACGGGATTATTAGTCAGAAATGAGGAGACATTTATCTGGTTGTCAGATATCGTAAAGACTCTCACTTTCCAATCGTAAGATGCATGAAGGCATTTAAAAGTGTGAAAAGAAAGCAGGCTGTCTGTTTGTAATATAATTGATTTTAGATTATACAATGTTGCTAACGTCAATTTTTAAATGTGTCCTTGGTTTACGAGACAAGAGAAAGTGCAATTGTATATCCTATCATTCGAAAAAAAGTGAAAAATCCTTTACCTCGGGAAAAGAGAGAATACCTTTCATATTCATTCTTTCAGACGAGGAAAAAGGCCTATCCTTTCGTTCTCTCTCTCTCTCATCCAATAGTAAGTATATATCACCACATATATCTCCATAAATTCAACACACACACACACATTCCCTAAGCACAAACTATTACTGATTCATTTTTTGTTAGAAAAAAGAAGTGAGATAAAGAAGGAAAAGCATCATCCAATATGTAACTTCACATATAAGGTTGACATAGACACATTATTATTTCATTCATATTTCATAGCTGTATACTTTATCAAAACTGTTTGTTTATTTTTGTTATCACTAAATGATTGACTATATAATGTTATTATCATACTATTCTATAGTTTGTACTTTTTCAATATGATATATGTTAAGATGATTCTAGTCAGTTTATTGGGAATATAGCTGATGAAAAAATCAATTAGTTATTGAAAGAGTAATAAGATGATGTAATATAATGATATATCGATAATCATTTAAATGAAAATATAGGAATGGGATTGCTCAAGATGAGATAATATATCTATCAAAATATTTTCGAATTGAAATAGCCGTATGAGTAAGAAAAAAAAAATACTTTCAATGTAGCTGTATCTTCTCCAAGGAAATCCTATCATGTATCATATATTACTCACTTCATTGATCCATCATCCTTTCTTCCATTTTTAATTATCTTGTAGTATCCAGGATGATTATCAGCATTATAGCAATCTAATTAACTTATCTTCTTGATAAAACTGAAACTATGAGAGAATCATTTCAAATTATTGGCTCATTTTTATTCTTTACATGGATGACGCCCTTATAACATTATTATCCATAATAAAAAAACAGGTATAGACAGTGAAGTATATGAATTGGTACATTTCAATTTCCACTCGTCCCTTCTTTTTCCTTTCCGTTCTCGCTTTCCACTTAATGGGTATAGTAAGCGTGACGGGCTGTGGAAGAGGAAGAGGAAAAATGTAGGAGGACATCAAGCATACGGGCAATCACAATGATTACAGGTGATGTTGCTGCTTTTGATCATTGCTGCATTTCGCTAAAACGCCCATTCTTGTATAACTGAACTGTGTGTGTAGCTCTTATGTGTCTCTCTCTATGTATTGAAAGTAGGAGAAAAAATTTGAAATGAAACCTTTCGATGAATGTATGCGTTTTTTCATTTCCTAATTTTATTTTGAAGCATTATTTCCTGATGCAACTACTAGAGAAACAAATGCCACCAAGAATGTTCATTTTTTATCCTACACGTCCATTTTCCATCATAAGTTGCACAATTTTTGATCCTTACACATCTCATATTACTCTTCTTCATTCTCCTATTCCTTACAGCTTATCTTATAGCTTATTTTTTGCAAGTAACAAATGAATTTCATGCTTAACTTTTTATCATCCATATCTATCTTCTTTACTGATAACTGGATTAATCCTATCGTTCTCTTTTCATCATTTCCTTCCAATATTTTCCTTTTCTACTACTTCAATTTAGTGTTCTCACAAAAATGTCGCAATATTTTTTTCCAAACATATGACGCTGAACATTTAGTGTTTTTGAAAATTTTTATTTCTACAAACTAACATGTTACGTGAGAATGATATATAAACTTGCATGCTGCAGGAAGAATAATTTCTTGTAACAATCAATTAGTTTTGTGAGTATAGGCATACAACAACACATATGCATAACAGTAGTTCAAAAATTTTTTTCTGTTTCGTTTGAAATTCCTTTACAGTGATCTATTCTCCAAAAAATAATTGCCGTTCAATGCTTAATGATCTGTCAATAAGAAATCTGGAATAAGCTAAAAATGCTCACCTGAAAATATTGCTGACGAATGTCGAAATGCGCTATCCTTAATATCTAAATCTATTGATGTGATGATTAGCTGGTAATAGGCTTTCTTACGATAAAGCAAGATAAACCAACAGCTTGCCTTTGTAACCAATAAGTGATTTGAATGTAATAGTAATATAGTACTTTTTCCTTTATTTCATCAAAGACTACATGTAATTCTACTATTTTTCTTGATACTCTTACTTCCCCTTTTTCCAAAGATATTGTTTAACCTTGAAAATGAGACCAAAGTAGTTCATCAAGGATTGTTCTTTATATTCAATCCTAAACCTCAGAAAATGATTAGAATTGCAAGCGTGTCCGAGTGGGGCAATCGCATAAGGTGAATGAATAGATCACACCAAGGCCATCTTATCATTTTCGGCTTACAAGGCTTTCGAAGAAATTATACTTCGTGGAACCACGATCATAAATGGTAGAACTTTTTATATGGAATTCTTTTACAAATTATTTTAATTTCTGTGGAATTAGTATGTGATCTTTTCTACATTTCCAATTTTTATCTCATCTATTATGCTTTTCAATATCGAACAGAGTAAATCGAATTAGCCAGTGTTCAATTTATAGTTTTTGCATCTCTTATTCATTCCAGTCATAATGAAAATTTTTATAATCTCTGAATTCATGAATTTTTTTACTCTGGAATTCCTTGAAGCAATTATACTAAACTAATTATATCCATGTGGCTCCCCAACTGGAAATACAATACTTCGTATAAATAAACATAGAATAAATATCTGCATAGGAAACGACTTCTTTACATTATCCATAAATATATACTAATATTTAATAGAAATATTTCTAAAAATGCGACATTAATCATAATCGAAAGCAATACCAGTCAGGTAGATCGAATTGAAAGATTTAGCTGCCAGAATTGTTGCGAATTTTTTGTAGGTTTATGATATGTCTAGTATACGGATATCACACTATCGAAGGCAATCTGCACAAAACATCCACGGAGGTATCCAACATTACCCACAGTACTGTGGGTATCGTTAAAGTATTAAAAAAGCAGAAACTCCAACCTAGTTTTTCTGAATTTAGTCATTTTATGTTCAATTATTTTGTAGTCTAAACACTTTCTGTCCATCTTTTCTATCATATCTTTCTACGAACAAATCTACATAGAATATCTAGAAAGACATTGACTTGGATTATAGAAAGCATTACTGTGGCAATTGATTATGTATTACTAATCATAAAAAAATAAAAACCATATAAAAAAATCAGAAACCTTTTTCATTCTATATTATTGAATTAAAAATGATCTGAAGTAACTTTCAATGGAAATCATTGACGCATCATGGAAGATATCACCTATCTGAAATAACTATTGAAAATTCGTTGCAAACATATATTCACATTGTTAATTTCCGATCAATTCTTTACTTTTTTATGCTTCTAGATTGCTAAACCATTTCTTCGATCTGTTCAATGTAACTGCTGGAATTTACAAGTAAGATTAAACAAAAAAAGACGATGAAGCTATTTGTTTTCAAGGAAAAAAAAGTGGTAAGATTTTGTAAATCATTATCAGCAAAAATTAGTGGCTAATGTTGGAATGTATGCTACAAGTGGTAGTAGATATGGCAGCGTAGCTATAGTTTTTCTAGTGAGCAATTCAACAATCGTAATTGATCCCTCGAAATTGGTCAATTTTGTATCCAGCAACAGCAACGAAAATGAATTTAAAGCTCGACTTCAGACACGAAGGGGAGAGAGAGAGGGAGAGAAAGGAAAGGACCCGACCTGGTATATAAGTCAATTTTAATTTTAGATCGATGGTACAGTGGCTAAGAAGACAGCGTCATCGATAATCTTTCCCCATATTCAAGTTATGCATTCTAGTACTGCTAGGATTCTTGTGTGTTAAGCGAAAATAACGTAAGTATGGTTTTAGCACCTCTTACCTTCAGACCAGTTTCATTGTACATTTCCTATCTTTTCGTAACAGGAAAAAGTGCTTTGATTTATCATGGAGCTCAAGTAGGGCTGGTAAATCTTTACATATCATATGAGCAATTTTTTACGTGTAATTGCATACGATACGTGTACGCACGTATCTGCAATAAATGTACATGGATGTGTAACGTCTCTTTCCCGTGCACAATTAAGAATGAAACAACCTCTTCGTTGACAAGATGACAGCTCGCTGTCATCTATCACCTGTCACCAGCATAATTTCAAATTCGCTGGTCCGTCCAACCACAGTGAAGACACAAGATGGCCCGGCCTCTTTCTAATTTCTATTACTTGGGTGGGCTTTTTTTTTGGTTGGACGAATTGTTGTTTGGTTGCATGTTGCGAAGAGAGGAAATAAGAATGCTCATTTTGATTTACACAAAAGATCAAGTTAGAAGGTTACTCGTACTCATTATCCAGACTCTTGAATGCGCTTTTACGCTGGAAATATCCATTCATCAACATTCCAAAAAAGATTCTTTCTTTTGTTCAATCTCTTAACTACTATTGAGTGAGTTTAATTGTGAGTTATGCGAGCTAGTTTCAATCAGAACAATCAAATCAGATAAATATGTACGGTCATGGTTTGTTTAAAATTCCAGATACCAAAACGTCACTATTATCAGCAATATAATGAAATGAATAGATCGAATTTCTTAGGATATGTTCAATTGGATTATTGATTGGCCGGCATATATTTAACACATTTATCTTTATGCTTAACGTTTTTTTTTTTCAAATGTTTGCGTGGATCGTGGTCCTTCTATGAATCACGATTGAAATATAACACAGTTTGTATGTTGCAGGATTATAGTGAAAATAATAACTGAAAGGAAAGGTAGACAAACCTAATATTGGGGCCAAAATAATAATTGTGCGATCGTTTCTATGCAATTTCTATGAATGGTGCGCCAGGGGGTTCTCGGCAGTCGCAGAAAGCACCATCGGAAGGCGGTCTTATCCGCGAACCTGCTACTATTCGTGCCCCTGTACAACAACAGCCTGCTGTCTCGGTGGCTATTTTTCCGCAACAGAATGAAGCTGGCCCTAGCTGTCAGGTCTTTTTATATTCTTTCTTATCACAGAGGAATTTCCTCCAGCTTTTTCTTCATAAAATTCACATAAATTTTATGATTTCAGCCCAGCACTATTCCGTCGTCACAGGCATTTCCTAGTATCGTGCAACAACCAGCCACTCTGAGGGAACCATTCTCTATGCTACATCCGTCCGCTGTCCAGCATCCGATGGGTTGGCCGGCACAGTTTGAAATGCAGGTCGAATTATAGGCTGTACTTAAAATTTTTTGTTTGAAGAATATAGGGATGCAACGTGCTCAGTGGTTTTAAAATCGAAACTTGTATTATTAGAAGCAAGAGTGTTTGTATGATTTTGCACACTTGATATATATTATTTTGAATAGCAGCCTTCAGCATATTACTTGAAATTTCATTGATGGGATTACCTGCTCCTCTGATAAAGTAAGCAAAGAAACGATTGTGATGGAAGGCTTCACTTCATATTTCATTACTCATTGAAAGCTTCCTCTTATACGCGAAATGATTTGCAATGGGATGTCATTTGGAATGTATTTAATATCACTGTTACATATGAAGTTTGGGTTTTTTAAGATGTTCTCAGCTTCCAGAAAATTAGTCGCAGTTTCTTCATTCCCTTCTTTTTAACCTTCATTCCTCCTCACTTGCAGTTTTCAGAAGAACTACTGCATCTGAGACTCTTCCGCCTAATGGCTGTTCGATCATAGCATCTGGCTTATGTTGTCCACATTTGCTTTATTCCAAAAGTTTAGTTCTTGGCATGCTTGATTTCTTAGAATTCATTCAAATACTTGTTATAGCTATCGCAATCCGCCTCCTCACAAGTTGCTGCTGGATTGCGCTACTCTCAACCATCAACGAGCCAGCAACCGCCATCTGGAACAGATATGACAGTGGGCGTATCACCACTTTCGTCTCTACCTTCTCCTTCCATTTCCAGTGCCTCATTATTAACGGGTATTGGTTTAAGCCCGGGTTCCGGTTCTGGTTCTGGCCCTGGTTCCGGTTCTGGTCCTGAACCTGGCTCATCTGGGCAATCACCACTTCAAATGTTGGGCGCCATGAATCCAGCTCTTTTGGCACAGTATCAGGTTATACTAGCTGCCGCTGCGCAACAGCATCAAGCTGCTGCAGCGGCAGCTGCGACATTAGCTGCTGTATCTGGTGGACGTTCACCACAAATTAGTAAGTTTAATTCTTATTGCTCGATAAATTTGTTCATATCTCGGATATATTGCCTCCATAATTCATATGTATTACATGTATCCGTCTCACTGCTCCAAACTATGACGCATTTATGTCATGTTACATATTGACATGTTTTCAAACATGAAATCCTCGAGTTGAATATTTCTCATTTTCATTACTGATATCTTAACATGCATCTGCAAAAAATTTGGTCATTTTGGTTAGATTCATAAGTAATTTGAAATATGTATTAGCTTACTCAAACTATTGCTAGAATCGATTTTTACATCAGTGGTTAGAAAATTCGGCTTGGTAATACATTGTAAAAATATTTGTTAGATCAATTCAGTTGATATTTTGTCTTTTTTTAACAAAACATTTCATTTAAAAAATTTGCTTTACATATTTCGAGCTAAGTGGTAATGCATTTTTGAGTTAATATGTTGTTATCATCGCAACTCGTGTTAACTTTCAGGATCGCGTGTAGGACCACCTTCGACACCTATATTAACCCTTGAACAGAATTTACAGCGACATTTATTACAGTTACAACAACAGCAGCAACTTGCAGCTTCGGGCACTACCATCCATTTACTGCCGTCATCACCATTGCATGGTACAACTTTAATGACGCAAATGCATGCTGCATTAGCAGCTGTTGGAGTACTGCCACAACCTCCGCAGGCCCTGCCGACTCATACAACTGCTCAACCTACACATCAACGTGTGACACCAGCTGCCGTAACTCAGTCAATGCCGTCATTAAGTGCCGAAACAAGTTCACGTCCATCACGGGTGGAATTCATACAGCCTCAGCCACTTCTTTCGCGTGCTGCTGTTCCAGCTGCCCGACAAGCTTTATTACTTGCTTCAACTTCTCATGCTGCTGTTGCTGCTGCAACTGTCACCACTATTCCTGCGCCGTCTGCATCTGCATTGCAACTCTCTACGTCACAGCCATATTCCCAAGGTTTTTTCTACTGCGTTTTTATTTATTTAAAAAAAAATGTTCAAGTAGCTTATCTTATCAAAAACAGAAAACTGGAATTCATGTTGTAAAATTAAATGTCACGTAGAGAAAATAAAAGGAGCCTATGATTGATGATAATAAATTGTGGAAATGAGTCTGTGAGTATGAAGATGTGTTGTTGATTTACGAATTTATTGACATTCAAATTCATTTATTTATAATATTGACAGATAAAATGTGGAAAGGCAGGAACGTATTTCTTGAATGATTTGTAGAGTAATTAATTAAAATACCAATTGACCATAAATGTTATTGTAAGACTATTCTTTGGTAGACGAAAAGTTACCGATGCTGTTGCGTTTGTTTGAGATACATCCCGGTACACCTTCCACTCCTAAAATACCGTCATTTTCATTTGTTTATGAGATAAGGGGTTAAATTTGCAAGTTTACTTGTATGTGAGTTTATTTTTATCCTGTTATGTATAATTGAAATATCGACATTTAATAGATTTCACAACAAAAGCAGTGCTTGCATAATGTGTTTTATAGCTCTTGGTCGTGTTGTAATGATGCCACCGCCTCCGCTGCCTCGTGCCCGTCATATTTTAACTCAGGAACGCCGCAGGTAATTCATTACATTGACCTTAAGGCTAATGTACCAGATAAATTAAAGATATATGAACCTTAATCATGAATAAAGTGAAAAGTAACACTGAGTCAAGTATTTCAATAATTATTAGTTTTTGATGATTACTTGATCTCGTCTGCTGGCCTTTATCACAAAATCATGTGCCTCCATTTTTTTGTATCATTGTATACTTCATAATCGATAAATATCTAAATTTCTTATGTCTATTTCCATATTTGTTGATAAAATTGTCATATTTATTTTTTCTGTCACCTCCTTCCTGTCTTTTATATTTTTCTTCGCATTTTCCAAATAGAGTTGTACTCTAGAATGGTTAACTCATTGGAAATTGTGAAAACTTTTTGTTGAAACATGTGTGACGGAACAAAAGACGTGTTTGAAATTTTGCACTCATTTTGATTAACTACAAAATCACTTTGTAGATATGCTCCTTATCAACGTCCCACACCCGCTATTCCGCTGGCCAGTGTTCCATCAATTGCTGCTCCTGTTGCTTCTACCGGTGCTCCAGAACCACCGCCTTTCCAATTGGGAACATTGCCGTCACAACCGTATTATCCTTCTCACTTTATGCGTGGTTTGCTTAAACTCTTTTATGTTTCAAAGTGATTTTCAAGCTTTCCATTGCCGACACATACTTTTACGGGGTATATAATTGATATTGTTAGTTACTAAATTGGTTTGTTTTATATTCTTGGTGTTGCCGTATACATGTTCATTTTCCATAAATAATGCAATAAAATTTTAAAACCAAAAAATTGGGAGTGTCATTTAACCCCTACGCTCTTGGTCGTCGAAGAGAAAGTATTCGCAAGATTCGACTCATATCACTATTATATTTAGATTTAAACTGGTGCATTATTTAATAATACTTTCGTCACAGTAGATAGCATTCGATTTGAGCTTTTACGAGCTTCTTGAGGGCACACTAATAATCACCTCGTCACTACAAAAAAAATACGAGACACTACTCTAGACCACCCTGCACTCATTTTGTACCTTTGAAAATACTGTACTTTTGGGAATTTGTTGGTTTAATAATTTGCTGATCCACTTTTTTCTTTTGCTTGTTTATACTAGTTTTTTTCTCTCCTCAATGTGGAAAATTCTATGTGTAAAAGTTAAGTAGGCAAGAATGAGTGGTACTGTCACTCTGGAAGAGGCATAAATTATCCATTACAGGTTGACGTATAAGAAGGATAATGTGCTTGTAATAAAAAAGTACAAATGGGGTAAGTAAAATATTCATAGCTCACTTTGAAATTTTTTTTGGGGAAAATCAAGTCAATGCCGTTGCTGATTCTTGAGATCTTCAATGAAAGTAACTTTATAATAATTTAAAATCACAGATATATTGTTTTTGTCAGCTACTTTTATCCATTTGATTGTAACTATTATCTTAAGTTTAACTTTTATAATTTTTTTAAGTTTGATAGTAATTTTTTCTGGAATTTAGCTAGATAGCTTATCATTATTGCAGGTACAGTGATACGTCTACAGTCGGGTCAATTGAAAAGGGTTGAAGAAATGAGCACAGAAGATTTTGTTCTATCTGCAGCAATGAAAACAGATCTTGCCATCTGCAACAGTAGAGTCATTCGAATTCAAGAGATTGAAAAAGATCGTCAGGTTCTCGTTACTTTTGCTGTTGGCGAGCAAAGAATTCTGGTGAGATTTTTTAAAAATTTACGATGATGCATTAAAAAACAGGTTGCCATGGCAGTAGTTTCTGCGAGAGCAATCGACAACGCAGTTAAGAATGGTGACAGTTTGAGCTTATTTTAGAGGGACCAAGTACAGTTATTTACGACATGGAATAGAGGGGATATATTTTTACTGAATGACCAAATAGTCTTGATGATTTCACTTTCTTAAGATAGATAGTTAATGTTCATTTCAATATCATATGTGGACGGATATTTCAGGATTTGGTTCAGCTCTGGGTTAAATCAGCCCATTTGAAGGGGAAAAAACTTACCTGCAAAGAAAGTGATTTTTCCCATCTTCAGATGTCGTAATTATTGTTTTTTAGGTTAAATGATAATTTACTTATCATATGGTTTCCCTAAGATTGATTGGCATGATAAAAATGGGTTTGAATTTTATTAAGGTGCATCTTATGGCACAGAGTAATATTAAAACAGTTTTTTCCTAAAAAATTGATTTTTGAAAAAATATTCTTTAAATTTGCTAAAGAATTTCAACTGATTAAAATGATACAACTTTTTTCCCGAGACATGGTAAATGAATGTCTGTCATTGTTTTATATCCCTCTTTTTTTGTTGTGTACCCTCTTTTTTTTCACGTCTTAGCACGAATTTTTCTCTGCGACTTTTAGACCGACTAACCTGATGGGTGGCAATTAAAAGTCGTAAATAGTCTATCCCCATATATGCCATTAAACACCGAGTTCTTAATATTATGTTTTTCTTGGAGATTCAATCTTGAAAGGGTGTGCGTAATTTCAAAAATATTTTCTAAGGGACGCGTTTAAAAACTAATTTTGAAAAAAAATTTGTGGAGTCTTCTGGACCATCAGTTGTTGTTCCATATGGCATCCCAATTTTTCATAAATAGTTACCTGTATTTCACTACTGTTTAAAAAGCAACTCTTTCATTTTGAGATAACAGTTGATAGAACTGTGATTTTACAAAAGTAAGACGTATTTTTTTATCTTTAGGTAACAATAGAGGCAGGAATCGAGCATCCCTACTTTGTGGTTGACCAAGGTTGGGCATCCTGTAGCCCAGAAAGAACGCGTGCCACATATGGATTGATTTGCAGACAGCTAAATGTTAGTTTTTACATAGTGAAAGCATGATAAGAATGGGATGCAATCGAGAAGTTGAGATGAAGCATATTAGTATTGTGTTGATGTTGCAGTATAATCAGTGTGTGTTCCCTAATTTCTTCAGAAACTTCACATCCGACGCAGTCGGAAAACAAATACTGATGCCTGTGCCTGAACATATTTTTATGTGATCATAATAAGATGTCCGTTAATGTGTTTTAAACAATGGAAGCTAGTTAACACTTTTGAGTAGCTAATGTTTTCAATTTATTCTTTTCCAGTTTATTTTCTCGACTTTGTGAACATATTTTCATTAATGTGGTCAGTATAGTTAAATTTGGATTATTCTCTTTGAAAACAATGGAGACAGTCATTTTATATGCTTTAAATAAGTACTTTAGAAATCTTCCAATATATGTAATCAAAATAGTTTTACAGGTTGGTGATGTGTGTATAGCGTTACGTCATGTCGAGGGTGGAGAAACGAGTGGAATAAGTGGTAGAGGTGCGATTCCTCCTCATAGTGGAACCAGAGGAGGATCAGTACCAAGTACATCTGGCATACAGCAATTTTCGCGACCAGCATCGTTAATACAAGAATCTCGTCGGCATCTACCATCCGTTGTTCGTGCTGAAAGAAGACCTGGTGTTCGATCCGCACCGTCGCACGAAATACCGTCCGATGAGTTACCATTGCTTGACATACGTCGACGTTTAAGGAGACGTAGGCATAAATCAGCGCTGTGATAATTTGGTTTGTGCAGTTTCAACTTTATTTTAAATTACAAATCAAATTAATTTAAATAGAGCTTTAATCAATAAGTACGTTTTTTTCTTAAGCCAAATATTTAATTAACTTAAAGAGATTCTAGTTCATTTATCTTCGCTTAATTCAGTGCTTGTTTTGAATTTCACAAAACAAATAAATCTCAAATAAATCATGAACTGACTAGCAAATTTAGAATTCTTGATTGCTTCTTTTTTTCCTGATCAGAATAATGAGCTACTGCAAAGTTATTTCTGGACTGTGAACTTCAAATCGTTATAACTTGGTTATGCAAGTTTTTATTAATCCAAGTTGAAATTATGTCAGTTAGCACATTTTTTTTAATAAGGCATGGGCTTGTTTTTTTCTTGTAGCATAAAAATCTATACATATAAAGCACAGAAGCAACGACTGGTCGTTACGCTCTTCATCAATATTTTTTTTTATTCGTGAAGTCTTTTGAACCACCATTGCACTACTACTCTCTCAAGCAGTTCAAAGGCCAGGCACGTTGTCGGTATTGAGAATTTTAAAATCTCTCTAATTACTCGTAATTCAAAAGTGATATTTTGAACTCAAAATCTCTCTAATTTGCGTGTTACCTAAATCTTTTCCTTAATTTTAAGTAAATATGAAGTAATAAGTCTCCAACAGAAACATAAAGCAAGAAATGAATATTAAAATGATATTAAATATGAACAAATTTATTTGAAAATATATTCCAATATAAAGCAGCAAAATTTAACGATGCAAAAATCGCAGTTACTTTTTCACTAATCTAATAAATTTGACATATGTTGATCGAGCAAATCCGGGTCTTCAACTGCTATCTTTTGATGTGTTTTCTGAGGAACTGAAGTTTTATTTTTTTCATTAACATAGTTCAAATTGAGATAATCTTCTTATTTCTAGAAAAAATAGATGAAATAGGGAAAACTTCTCCTTATTTCACTGTATAAAAACAGCATCGAATATATATATATATATATATATTTCTAAAATATTATAAGAGAAAAAAGCAACATTGAAGCGAATTTATAGAAAGGTCAGCAATTCAATAAATGAATATATATGATTTTGCAGTGTTTCAATCGCATTGTTCGGCCTTGAAATCAGTTGCTGTAGTGCGAGATTAAAAATCAAAAGGTCACTGGGTAAACTACTCCTTTTGTTTGCACAGGAGTTCTGGATACACTTGTTGTGGCAAGTAATGAAAGAGGGATTATTTATTATTCTTGTTCTACCGCTATTACCACTTTTATCTTTTCTGCTGTTGTTCAGAAATCGTGCATATGTTGTGCATAAGATTTTTGTACAGTTACTGATTGGTTGTTGATAATATTAGTTAATTTATGATTAAGCTTTCCTTTTCATTTCATTTTATTCTTCGATCATTTTTGTTAATTATCTTATTCATTTTTTTGTTTAGTACAAGTCTTGCGTAGATTAGAAATTTCATCAACAGATTAGGATTAATAGATTATCTTTTTGTAAAACAGTTTTTTATCTCCAGATAGGTGTTTGTTTGATTACACCGTGGCAACGGTCTAAATTGCTCTGGAAAAACTTCTGATTACTTGTGTTGTAAAGAATTATATTCTGAAAGTAATAGACACCAAACAGAAATTAATTAGAGAAATATCGGCATTTCAAAATTTTATAAACGGAAATTAATAGTTATTTGCGGTAAAATTATTGAACCTAGTATGCACAAATAATAATAGAAATTCTGTCTTTAGAAAAAGCTAGATTTTCCTCACTCATCGCAACGTTTTGTTCTAGAAACCTACAAGGAAGCAAAACTTGCTTATCTGTCGATTCTGTCTTTCATCACTGTTTAATGTCCTTTTCGAAAATATCAAATGTTATTTCATTTCAGAGAAAATAGCTTCTCAGAAGTCTGCAAGCAGAAAATAATAGCCTTACCATATTTGTTTTTGGATAGTGTATTTATCCGGGTTCGCAGTTTATTCGTCTTCAGGGAATTAAAGATAGCGAGCAATATTCTTTCATTTTACTTTCTTAAGCAGGCTGAGTGTTTTGTTCTTTTTTCAAGGATCATACCATTTGGTTAAACTTTTTAAATTTTCATTTTCACATCTTTTTTTGTTAGGAGAAAGATGCTAGGAGAGACGGGAAAGGAGTTTAGGAAAAATTTACTCTCATTTTCGTACAGGAATAATATTTCCACAGTTAGAATTATTAGGTTGGTTTAGTTGCTACCTTTTTTCGTCGTCCTTTTTGTGTCCTTTAGGTAATTTGCAAAAATATATACGTATACACGTATATATTTTAGATTTTTTGGGCATTCACTTATGAAAAAAGGAGAAATTCATAGAACTGGTCATTTTAGGTTTGATAATATCACTGCCTATAGTACAGATGTTCAGAAAAATAGAAATGGGTTAGAGCTTAGAGCACTAAAAGATTTTTAAAATAATCAAATTAGCAATTTCAGAAGTGAAATTAGCGCATGGTACTTTGTTGATGCTAGGATTCGTCTTGTAGTCACTTAAAACTTCCAACATTTGGATTAAACTGTGATTGATTTTTTAAATTGCAAGTAGCACTTATGGTTAAGGAATTCCTTGCAATGCTTTCTCTGTTAATGCAGTATGTATCGATTTACTTCTGCCCGTTGACAGATAGCGGGTGATCTAATGTAAGTAGCTGGAAGCTAGTTGGTATTGTATATTACATGCCACAGTCAACCTTCGAACAATTGTTATTCTGGTACCAGTGTAAGTTAAACTTCATTTACGATTTTTTTTGTAGTAACTATTGTAGTATTCCTATTAGTAGTAGTAGGAGTAGTAGTGATTGTAGTATTAATTGGTAGTAATGCTGTCATCTATAAAAATATCATTATAGCTGTTATAGTAGGAGGAAACATCATTTGTTTAATATGGCTTCTGTTTTCAGCAGCAGTAGGAAAAAGTGGTATTTTTTGTAAAATTTCCTTTTTTCCGATCTTTCATTATAGCACTCACTATAGGTATATATATGTATGTATTATTGTGTTTTTATTAATTTCCGTATTATTAATTTCCATCTCGAATGTGATTTTCAGGGGTTCCTTTTCATTTTTCGATTTTGTACATGTTTTTTGTGATTTTTTAAATATAATTTTGATTTTTGTTGGATAAAACCAGGGCTCTAATTGTACTGCTTTTTTCAGTATAATTTTTCTTCATCTTGTTTGAACCAACATATTTTGTATGTTCATTATATATATACTATATGCAGGTGTATATTAAAAATGAATTAATCATCGGTGAATGAATATATTATATGTATAGGAAGGTGATAATTTTATATCGGGTCAACTGATTGATTAACTTTTGATCGATCAGTTTATTAATCACTGATTTCACACAGATAAGGATTGTATAGGGAAACAAGGAGGTTTACGTGTAATGTTTGTCGTGCCCGCCAATACTCTCACCGGTATTACTCTTTGGTGTTTTCATCTTTTTCTTCCCTTTTTTCTTGTCTTTTTATTTACCCGATAAAAATGTTAATTTTTGTGAAATAAGAATCTTTTCAAATTGCCGAAACATAACTTTTCCACTAATCATTCGCTGTGATAATTTTTACCATTTCTATACATTTGTTTCTCTCATTTTGTTTCTTCCTCATTTCATTCTTTTTTTCATATAGGAGGAGAAATTCATATTTTATCAGAAATTCCCTTGTTAGCTTACTTCATCTTTTGCTGCATCATTATTCCTCCTCCTCCTCCTCCTCCTCCGTCTCCTCTTTCCTCCTCCTCATCTATGTATTCAAGTTTTTTTTCCAACGTGGTTTTATTATTTATATCAGGGAAAATTTAAATTGCTTAGAGTGGAATTTTCTGATCAAAGAAATTTATTATGATTCTTATATGTTTTCAAAAGAAAAGAAGATGGACAATTATTTATATTTGTGTGGAATGATGTACACAGGTAAATATATTATAAACGAATCTATGAGTAGCAAATGCAAAATGAAAAGCTATATGAGCTTATTTTTGGTTTCATGTGATTTTAACGGAATTGCTAAGGTTAAGAGTTAAAATTTTGCAAATCCCAGTTTTTCTCACCTGCCGTTGTGATTATGTTTTTATGATTATAATATCTATGGATCATGTATGTTGTAGAAGCCTAAAAGGCATATGTCCTAAAATTACCACGATTCTCTGTTTTGCCTCAATTGCATTGGCTTTGTGCTTGCGTGACTTATTTTTATAGGATCTTTTTCGTCCTGTATATCACTTCCTTGCTTCTTTCTGTAGGAGGAACCGTCTCGTTAAAATCTAAATAGGATTTTTTTTTGAAGTGGAAAGGAATTTTCAGTTCTTGACATAAAAAATAAAGTATGAAATTACGAAAAGGATTTCACACACAAGATGTTGAACATCAAAGTTAAAAACGGAAAGTACTTATGGGTTTACAAAATCAGTTCAAACTTCAATTTATTTTTGCAGAAAAAGTTTTGATGATTACAGTAAAATACGGGTAATATAGTTTTTGCATAATTCATTGTCGGGGAGCCAGTCGCATGTTGTTTTTTCCACATTCCAATATAATTTAGCTGGACAAGTTTTAGAGACCCATTTCCCATGAGCACATTGATAAAATTTGTGACAGTCGTTTGGGTCTGCCCTGTAGCCAGTAGGACCACCACTATCCTGTAAGCTTACAATCTGAGGATGGTTTGTTTTTCTTATATTAGAGGTAGCAGAAAATACCTTAATGGTTCTTTTGGAAGAACTAAAGATTTTAGAGGCGAAATCAATTTAAGAAAAAACCCGGACCTTGCAAGTTTCATGCTTTGCGTTATCAACAACACTGTCTTTCTCACATCTTCTACTGCTATGAGTGTAAACTAGACCGTTGGGACAAGAATGTAATTCAGATTTGCCATTATTACAAATCCGGTAGGCAGTACGATCCTGTTTATCAGCTTTCACGTTATCTCCAATACAGCTTTCTTCTAACACACAAACTGTATCTCGTACACAATAGCCGTGCTAAAATTATGCTTCCTATAATGATGATATTGGTTGATATGGAATGAAAAAAAAAGCTTGGCAATGGCGTAAATTTGAAAAAGAAAAGATTTGGGAGATAGAATGAGAGCGAATGTTTGCATTTGAGTTTCAAAGAAATTTAGCCATAATTTAAGAAGAGAAGATGAGGGATAGATGGGTGGATGGATAATGAACCTTTCTATCAAATGATGCACAATTCCAGCAAAATTGTTCTTGAAAACGACCATTTCTACATATGAAATAACGTTTATGGTCGATATCATCAGCCATAATATTCCCCTCTTTACATGATGATGATGATTGTAATAGTATGGATGAGATTGCTGAAAAATTTTTATCATAAATTTTAGATGATTTTCATTTTCTTTTTTGCTTAATAAAATTTTGCTTGGAATTATAAAAAAGATTGCAATGGATCGAATATTTGGTATAATCATTTTTTCAACGTCGATATTGATTTTTTGAATTTTTAGAAATTTCAGTAAATTGGTAAAGTGAGGAGTTGTTTTTCTAATTGGATACTTCAAAGAAAGTAATTAACATTTTTCAAAGTTCAAAGTTCAGTTGTTTGAGTGGATACGGTAGTAGAGAGTTAATTTTCATATCACACATTAATTAATTGACTAATTTAAAGAATGGAAAATTAACGATATTAATGCAATTCATCGTTAGAATTAATGATTGAAATAAATTGAAATATTCATTTATCATAGTATCATAGTGATTATAATGGCGTAAATTAAAAAAAGGAAAAAAAAGCATACAAACCTTTGTTATCATCGTTGCAATATGTTGTAACTCGACAATATCCATCAACAAATTGTCGATTGTCTTCACATACTCTTTTATGCCATGTACCATTAATGCAAATCTGATAGTGGCCACAAATTTCACTTTCAATCGTTCTTCCATTACGACAACGTGATAGATCACAATGATACCTAAAAAGTAGTAAGCATAGAATATTTTTACAACCATTTTGTTTTTTGAAATTCAATGTTTTAATTCAGCTCAACTTCAAATCTATCTTTAAATATCTTTTGCTTTTATGAGTAATAACAATTCACAATCTTTCCTACTCTTTCTGGCATTGTCCACTTTCATCATTAAATTCATAATTATCTTTGCAATATCGATCCTTATATCCATCTATTGCACATTCGAAATAACGATTACAATCATATTCATTGCGAATTTTACTACCAAATTGGCAAGGCTATAATTATATTTTTATTATTTAATAAGAAATATGATTGAAAAGTAGCAAATTATGAATAATTAATTCTCTATCTTTCTCTCTATATATATTGATTGATTGATTGATTTATGCTTGTGCTACAGTAATGCCACCATTTTGGGTGCTTACTCATTTGCGCTTTCGAAATATTTCTACATTAGATGGTTTAATTACCCAATGTAATTGTTGATTCCTTTCCATTTTCATTTCTGATTGAAAAAGCGATGATAATGGGGCAGTAGTAATACCGTAATCGATTATACTTAGATAATTATTATTGGATGATACACATTGATCCGAAATAACGCATTTCTTCGTCATTACATCTAAATGAATTACTCAATTCATTTTACATTAAATGTTTATACAAAAAATATTCAAATTAATATGACGCAAGATATAATTGATTTTTCATTTAAATTTTCAATTTTTAATTTCTTTTTTTGTCTTTGCAAATTTTAACTTAATTTTAAAATTTATACAGTAAAAAATTACTTGTTATCCAATTATTTCATGGTGTATAAACTATTCGATAACATTTGAAATAATTAAATAAAAATTAACAACTCTTTCTTTCTCTCTCTCTCTCTTTTCTTCTTTTTTTCATTATCATTATATTTTTCATTATATTTTATTAAAAATAAAATATTAGATATCAAGAGAAAAAAAGGAAATTTCCTCATTTCTTGAACAAATTTACCAAAAGCATATCCCGGGAGGCATTTCATCGTTATCCAAGAGCCTTGTAAACATTTCAAATATTCATTGCATATTCCACCACCAATCAAATGCTGAAATTTCATCATTTCTGTTTTTCTTTTCCTCTCTTTTCTTCTCTTTCAAATAACAATTTATTAAAGTAAATCGATGAATTATTTTTGTTAACGTTTTCAAATAAAATTTTCACTTTCTAAACAACAAATTAATATTATTCTTTTATTTTCTTTAAAACAACAATTAACAAATATTTTCTAAAAATATATTTAATTAATAATTTTTTTTTAAACTGAAAATGAAAAATTATCGTTAACTTACCTGTCCGTGATTACATTTTGCACGTTTGAATACTTTACAGTCAGTCGTATGATGACATCGTTTTAATTGTTGATTCCAAAAATTTCCAACTTTACATTGTCTATTTTTCCATTTCTTTCCAATACATATCGCATAATTACGGCAATCTTGTGGATTAGCTACCGTATCACCTTCACTACATTTTTCTTCTACAGTTTGCGAGGCATGATCACTATTATAGCGGCATCCTTTGCACAACTCTACTATTTCATTGTTTAAAATTAAATTATATTTTAGGAAATTATCATCTAAGCAATGATCATTATCTATAAAATGAGTTCATAATTAAAATAAGTAATTGCTTCTATAAGATATTAATGAATAATGTAATTGCAATTGCATAGGATTAGTTAAAATGTTTTTATGCAAATTATGTAACTAACAATTTAAATGAAATTCTATTTAAAATTTTAAAAAAGAAAGGAGAACATTTTCAACGAAACAAAATAGGAAATAATTACCAGTTGGATATGTCATACATGATATTTTATGCCATTTTCCACCAGAACATTGATAATAAAATTTACAGTCAAAGCTGTCAATAACTTCACCTTCTTTACATGCCTTATTCTATAAAAAAAAAACTTGTTGAAGTTCAATATTTTTGAAAAACTTCTTTCATTAAATTCATTTTTTTCCTATAATTTTTAGTTGTTAAACTTTTACTTCATACTATTTGATTTTTCTTTGCGATAATACTATCATGTTTCTTGCTACTAATTCATTTCTGTTGTAATCTGATCAATTTCATTTATTTCCATCTGTCTTTTTGATTTTAATCTTTCACAACGAAATTCAACAACTAACTGATGAAGATAAACAAGCATTATCAGGAATGCATTGTTGTGCTTCATTGTCCCATCGATAGAACGGTGGACAAAAACGATGTTCGACGATACCATTCGAAGAACAAATCAAATATTCGTTACATTTCAATTGAAATGATTGGCCTATTTTGCATTCCTGCAAACTAAATAATCATTAATTTTATAATTTTTGATTTTTTACAAAATTTTGTTGTAAATTTTAAATTACAAGAATTACGATAATGAATGATAATTTATAGAAATGCATAAATATTTTAATTGAACGAATAAAAAGCATTTACAAATGGATGAGCACAAGATGGATCTTTCTGACACATTTGATTGGTTTCAAAATACATCATTCCAGTTGGACAACTATGATCCTCCCAATGACCATTTTTGCAAACAGAATACTAAAATTAAAATTTTATTAATTAATCATCATTCGTTCAACTTCTACAACTCCGGTTTGATGACACTTTTGAATTTGAATATAACAAAAAAAGAAATATAATATGAGATAGCAATCGGAATACTGATATTAACATTTCTCTTGTTCTTTCATCTTTTAGATGCTACTGTAATGGTTTAAAAAGAACCTAAAATTGTTATGCCAAAAGAACTTAAAGCAGAATTAGCAAGGGATGATAATTAAACGAATCACTGTCTTCGTTGCATGAATGAAGTGATGTATGCCGTTTCTCGCCATCTTGACATTTCCAACACTGACTGCTGGCCTGATATATCGGAATACAACGACCGTTGAAGAAGATGAAGCCTTTAGAGCAAACGAATTCCTCCGGTACTTGATCTCGGCAATATATGAATTGTCTATTGCATTCACCGAATGATACCATTCTCCACTTTCGATTTCTAAAGCAATTCTATTTTTAAAATTTCCGAATTTACTCGTTTTTTTCCTCTTCAATAAGTCATTTCAGAGTCGTAAAGGAAAATAAAAAGTGTTAACTTCGTAAATTTTCTCTAAAATAATTTTAGTATTATTAAAAATAAGGAAGTGATTGGAAATGCTAAACTTATGATACTGAGAATAATGATTTCTTCATGCTTTTTTTCTTTGTATATTATGAGAAGAATTTAAATCATTTTCTTTCTGTTTGAATTTATATTCTTAAAATCGGTTACTACTTGCATAAATCTGGCATTATGCAACGATCGTCGATATTTCGTTGCCTACACTTCATCAATTTGGCATCATAAATGAATCCATTTTCACAATAAATGATATCCTTAATTAATTTGCCACATCTAACGTACCTAAATATTTTTACATTATTAATGAAACTATTTCTAAATTTTGAATATTCGGAAAGACATATATGAAAATATTTTTTGCTTTATTTAGCAAAATTTACAATTGTTGCTTCAATTATATGGCACAGAGGTATATTGTCAATTGTCAACGATAAAAGCTAACACTGTCACTAACTCTATTTTTTGCTATCAATACTACATCAATTTAAATGAGTAAAATTATGTTAATGCAAAATTGAAAAATGTGTCAGTTCCCAATCTCTCTCAATCCAATCAAATTCTTTCGATAGGACCGATATAAATTTATCGAAATATCTTGTTTTAATAAATCATTGTTTTCAACAAAATTTAATTTCTAAATGCTTTAATTTCTTAAACTTAAATGTTTGAATTATTAAACCTTAAAAGTTTCAAAAATCTAAACTTCAAAAAAAAACATGAAATAATTTGCATATAAAACGAATAAATCCTTCACCAGGTGATGCATTGCACCTGCGGAAGCATCATTACTTTATAGTTTTGTTTTGTTACATACTGGTGATTACAATACATTTCAATGGCATGTTGTCTTAATGGAGCAGATTGTTTCAGTGAAATTTTATCAGCTGCACAACTTGGCGGATAAACAAAACAACCAAATGGTCGTTGTAACATTATCATTCCTGTTGAATAAGTATAGTATAATTAATTGGTGGTTATCTTTTATATCACAAACAAACTTGAGCAATAGAAAATAGAAAACAAATTCTTAAGGTAATACTTCCAATAACAGAAAATTACAAACATTGCAGTAACAAAAATTTACGCTTACCTGGCAAACATGTAATTCCAAATCCTTCATTATAATTTTTGCAGACATAAGCTTGTCGAGAACATATCATCTTTGGAAACATATATATTCCTACGCCATTATCGTAGCAAAAATTCATTTCCTATGATAAACAATTTGATAATGATAAAAAGTTAATTTGCTTAATCATAAAAATATTCATTCACCTTTGAACTAAATGAAAATTTCACTTTTTCATTTAAAGAAAAGTGAATATAAAATTTTATTAAAATTCATTAATTATAGAAACTCATTAAATACCTTAAAAAGTTTTTCTGTTTCAAAATTAATTTTTCCCATTCGTTTACTCCAAATATTTATGCAATCATTTTGTGCAACTTCACAAATTGTTCCATTAAAAATCTGCAAAAGAATAATGAATGATAATTTTTAATTTCAAATTTTTAATTTCATATTTTTTAATTTCATATTCTTTTATCAATATTTATAAGGTGTTCAGGAAGTTTGAAAGTAAAGTTTGTTAATTAAAATAAAATTAGTTAAATATTATAAATTATTATTATTATTAGTCAATTTGATGGACCTTTCCAATCGAACATTCCTCAAGAATGGCCGATACGCAATGACCAGTTGAATTATAGGAGCATCGAACATATGCATTACTGCATGCTCCAAGTGGAATCAATGCATGTCCATTACAAATCTCTTTAAATGTGATCCGTTCTGGATCATTTGCATAACTGTGCTGTTCTTGAAAATGCCATATTTTATGTATGAAATGTGAGCAATTGAAATTAATTGAAATTTTAGAAAATAATCTTTTTGCAAATTTTATATTTAACAACAACATTTCGATTAATCAATTCAATACTAAGGGCAACTTATCAAATTATCAGAATTATCCATTCGATATGGGATGACTATTCGATTCCACAAATTCCGTTCCTAGAAAAAATCAAATTTCAACAAATTTTTTTTTGAAAAACTTTGAAAGGATTGAACTCAAACTTGAATTCAAGCTAGAGGAAGTTAATATTGAAATGAAATAATTTAGTCTTTAAGATCTTATCAAAGAAACGGCCAGTATACATCAAATGATTAGAATTTCCCTTTATTGTATTATCTCAAATTCTATTACTCTTAAATTATTAGCGTCCTTAACTAATTAGCGCTATAATGAAATGCTTGTAATCTTCATGATAAGAGTCATATCTTTGTTATCTTATCAAGTTTGCTTAAATTAAGTTTAAACTTATTTCACTTTAATTTATTCAATTCATTCTATACAATTCAATAAACATTATAGCAAGTAGTATAGTTTAGAAAAAGGCATTTAAATTAAATATGAATAAATCATTGATAAATTTCTTTTAAACATTTTCATCTGCTTCTCTCTCATTTAGTCAATATTTCTCTTTTACTGATAACACAGCTATTATTATAATTTAAAGTTTGTTGATAATCTAGTAGTGTTAATAACTTATTATTCTATCAATTGATAGGATAGGAAATTTGAGAAGAAATAAAAATTTTATTATTTTATATTACAATTCTTTGTTACATTCTCTTGTGGAGTGATAATTTTTGAGAAGAAATTACCATGCTATTAATAGCATTATACTAATTATTAATTAAAATTTTTAATTCGAATTTTTAAAATATCTGAAATTTTCTCAAAAACGCTTTAAATTATTTTCAGTTTTATTTGACAAAAAAATAAAATGCAATTATCATTTTCAATAAAGCAATCAAAATTCAAATTCATTTCAATGAGTAATTAATTATTTTACCTGATGAAAATTTGATGTTGAATTGCAGCAAACGAATATAATAAATAAATAAGTTATTGATATGATGAATTTATTATAATTTGCCATTTACTTTAACAATTTTCAATAAATATTTTCTTAAAAACAAATTTTTATAAAATTTAAAAATTTAAAATTTTATATTAAGCGAATGATTTTTTCGTTTTAAATTCATTAATGATAATAAATTTAATTAATTTTATTAGAATTAGTAAAAAGAAAGGAAAACGATAATGGAAATTTCTTTTGTAGAAATAATTTAATGAAAGAAAAAAAAGCTAAAAGCTTATATATATATGTTTTTGGATTCGTTGTAATTAATTAAAGTTTAATGAAAAGAACAAAACAATTGAAATGAACAAAGTTTGCCATCAAAAAAAGTCATTCATTCGACTTTTGATGAATAAACAACATTTTATTGCAATGATTTGTCGTTTCTTTTTTAACCTTTAATTTTCATTGATGATATTTTCCGGATGCATCCATTTCCGTTTTATTTTCATTTCAGGTATTTGTTGTTATCACTGTTAGCAATATTATATTAGCGAACTTTTTTTTTACTGTTATTAATACAAAAGATTAATTTCTTCGGCAGTATTTAATCTGTTTATCAGACGATGATAATATTAAAAATTAAATCGATAAGAGATAATTTTTTAATTTACAAATTAAAAAATTAAATATTTCAATCAGATGTAACAGATAATTACATTCATTCATCGTTTTCTGATAATTCTTTCAGTATAAAAATCATCTTTTAAAATATTTACAATAATATTTTAAAAGAGGAAAAAAGAACTTATGTTGAATGCAAATGATAAGTGTTAATTCTCTCAAATATACTATGATATTTGATATATATATCATATATCATAGTATATCATATCACTATATATCATTTCTCCTTTCAATTCATCTCAAAATTTGGCTCACATTAGCATAAAATGTGTAATAGAAAGTAGTATCAATATCACTATCATTTTATTTAACTGATAATATTTATCAATAATATAAATCTAATTTCCTTTTTACAAACATCAACACATAAGCGACAGAAGCGCAAGGTCATTCCAATTACATGTCAATATAACTGCTCCTCATTTCGTACAAATCTCGCTTCAAATATTTCATTATTAATTTAAAAATTTTTCTCTTCACAAATAATTTCCTTCTTTAAAAATTATATTACTTAATGAGCGAACATTTTTGATTTTGAAATTCGTTCCTTTTTTATTTGCATGAAATTTTACTTTTCTTCTTTTCATTTCATTCATTATTCATCTATTGTTCTTAAATAATTTAAATTAAATTTAGAAAGTTTTCTTTTCTTTGCAGAATTATAATTGGTTTTAAATTATGATTTGAATTTGTCATTTGAGAACTTTATAAATAAGTTAATTATTGAAGTGATATTTGTCACCTATCTTCTATGAATCAATGGACCCAAACTTTGCAATTCAATAAGGTTAATTTTAGGGTGGCTTAATTCTTTTGTTTTTACTTCGATAAATTACTTCTTTTGTTTTTACTTCAATAAATTAGTTTAGCTGTTAAAACTTCAAATTTTCATCTGCATTTTTAATAATTTTGAAAGTTATTAAAGTGACATTTGTCACTTATTTTTTTAATTGTTTTTATCATTAAAATTTTAATTTGAAATTAATTTAGCTATTCAATTAAATTTAAGATGACAATGATAACATAATATGTGACAGTGTTACCAACTCATATCATTGCTCACCTGTTCATTCTTTTGTCCCCTCTTATTTCATTGTGTAACGTTTGACAGAAAATAATTTTTTTACATTTAACAGTGATTGAATTTCCTTTTTAAAAAAGTAAGTCTTCATTACATATCTTTCCCTACAAAATTATCATACCTGAAGAAGAGAGAGAGAGAGAGAGAGAAAGGGAGAGAAAATAGAAAGAGAGAGAAAGATAAGAGCGATTTTTGATCATTTAATGTAACCTCACAAAATGCATCTTTTCTACAGTTCCATTATTTTTGTATGTTAACGAAATAAAATTTTATACTGAAATTGATACTTTATAATAAATAGGCGCTGCGCAAAAGGCCATTAAATATTCGCTTTTTTTTTAAAAAAAAAGATTTGTCATTCTTTCTTATGCGAGTGGACAGACAGAAACAGACAGAGACAGACAGAGACAGACAGTTTGACCTAATTTTTTGATATTTTTCAATTTGTATCTTCCAAAGATCTTTCTTTCTTTTTTGTTAAGAATTTTACATATTTTATATTAATCATACAAAATTGTATTTAATATAAAATTATAGAATGGAATTTGAGTAATAGCGATCGATGTATTCATTCGTTTTGGTTTACCAAATAAATTACTTCCGAAATGTGTGCTCATTAAACCGGATGTATTAAAAAGAAACAATACGTTCCAGTTTACTTAACTTTTATCATTATAAAGTTGGTACGAAAGAAAGTATTGTAAGACTGGAAACAATGAATATTGTATTATAAATGCAGTAAGATAAATTTTTACTCTTCAATCCTTTATATGATATATACAATTTTTGCATTTGAATAAATGAATGTTAAAACGTTTGTGTTTGTGTAATTAATTGATTTCTATGGAAATTATTAATTATGAATATATTTAATTGAATTGACTAATATAATTCATCGTTAATTTATTTCATTTTATCGAATAATAGAATAATAATAATGATGATAATGGTGATGATGATGGTAATGATAATGATGATGATGATGATGATGATGATAATGACAATAATAATGATGATGATGATGATAATAATGATAAAGGCAATAGTTAAACAGATAGAAATAATGATAGCAACAGCTAAGAAAAGTTATTAACAGATAAGAAATGAGAAAGAATTGAAATTATCTTTAACATATTAACACTTATGGTAATTTTCAGAGTAACTTAATTTAATTCAAACTTATAAGTTCGTTTCCGTTCAATGAAAAAGACGACAAAGAGTGCTATAAATGAAATTTATGTGAAAGAGTTCTTCTGATAAAACTCGTTTCTCTTTCTTTCCTCTTTCCAAACATTCCTTTCTTTTCTGTCTTTTCTGACCGTTTAAAAACACTTCCAAAATGAGCTCAATACGTGACAGCCATAAGGTGTAAAGAGTTGAAGGCAAAAAAGAAAAATAATTTGTACCATTATTTTAATTTACTCTTACGAATGTAATACACACTGAATACAAATACTTTAGCGTAGTTATTTATAAAAGAGAAATTGCACTTACGTATAATAATTCTTCTTCATTATCAATCATTATCATTATTACTATTGTTATTATCATCATTATTATCAACTATTGTAAATCTTCTCCATTATTAATCATTATCATTATTATTGCTATTATCATCTATTGTAAATATGACATAAAGTATATTTTAATATTGTTTTCAATATTACTTGTCACACCTTTCAATGGATAATTTGTTTTCCCTTTTCATTTCCATTTTGTAATCTTTTTTCTTAATCTAATATAATAGAGAGCTATGATCTAACGTTTTCTTTTCTTCTTTTTAGTATGAAAGAAAAATGCTTTTCAAAAATATCATACCTTTCACTTTGTTTTCGACACTATGCACAGGTACCTATGTGTGTGTTGTGTGTGTGTTTGTATGTTGTGTGTGTGTTATGTGTGTTTTTATCTATGTCTCTATGTGTAACAATTGTGGTAACAATAAAGATTATGATGACAACAAGGAGATTATGACACATTGCAATTAATTTCATTTATCGTTGATTTAAAATCGTCTGTATCTCATATACCATTATTGCTCATACATTAAGATAATTTTAAATTTAACTATGCTAAGACATACACCAATCATATGTGTGCTGTTGTAACAATGAGTTTAGTGACAGTATAGCTATATCAATAAGATTAGCTAGAACAATAAACCTAATTTATATCAATAAAGATTATCATTGACTTATTGCTGTACATATTATTGATATGTTTATTCAATTTCTCCTTCAATAATATTTTCTAACATTAAACAAAATTTTGATGAAATTTAATAAATATTTATTAAATTTCTCATTCAACGCTAAATTGTTCGGTAAAAGAATTGGTAAACATTAAGAGAATAAAGAAAAAGAAAAATTAACAAAATTATTTTGTATTATATTGATTATTTTCAGAGTACAACAAAACTGTTCATTTATTTATTGTTTTTTTTTTTCAAAATGGCTGACACTAACTAATTAGGGTGACCAGAACTAATGAGATAATATAGTATACAGCAAACGTTCTTCTGTTTGCTAAAAGATTTTTCACTTTGGCTGAAAATGGCTGAAACTAACTAATGAGATGATATCGTATACAGCACTAACTAATTATTACTATTTCAGATAATATAATATACAACGATTTTGCATTTAAATAAATGAAACATTTAAATTTAATTAATTATTAAATTTCGATCATTAATTTTTCATTTTTTAAATAGAGAAAAAGTTTAATGAAATATTTGATATTGATGCTGGCATTTATTTATAAATTATTGATAACAAACGAATAACACAATAAAAAGAAAAGAAAAAGAGTTGTTTAGTTGAATTAGAGAGAAATTAAATTTGTTGTTTACACAAATAGGGTCAAGAACAAAACATGTTTCGTCAAAGTGGTAAAATCTTTTAGTAAACAGAATAACGCTTGTTGAAGCGTAAGACATTCATCCACCCATTTCTCTTAATTTTCCATTTCTTTTTATATTTCATTTATTTGCTAACAATTCATTCAATTCCTCTTATGGATTCTTTTTTTAATCGAAAAATGTTCCAATCATTGTTGACAGTTTGTTAAGAGAAATTTATTTTTTTTATTTTTAAATTTTTGCAAAAATAAAATATCACTTATTTATTTTTCATTGAGATACTTTTTGCATTTGCAATTGAAATTTTGTATAAAAAGAAGAAAAATTGAATATCTCATTTAATCGTTTTGCATTTTGCAGAAACTGTCTCCGTTGTTGACACCTTTTCATTTCCGTCCTTCTTTTTTGCATTGGAAAAAACTTTGATAGATAATTTTTCTTCTATGTTATTTTATTTTCTCACAAATAAAAACAAATTTCGAAATAATGTTATTTACAATAATATTATATTAATTAAGGCATTTGATAGTTTCGCCACTGAGATATTTTTATTTATTCCAATTTAATATTTGAAGTTTCAGCAATTTATGGAATTGAATACAATTGAATGCTAAAATCATGAGTGAGTAATCGGATAGCTAAACAATCGGAAGACATCAAACGAGGTAATAGTATATGATTTTAAAGCAATCTTTTTGGATTGTTATTTAGTGATCACTTTCTCATCTGGCATATCTATATCACTTTTATTGCTATCTTTTGCAATGACAAATGACAGATTCTCATCTGGAAATGATAGACTCTTTGCATTTCTCATGCTTCACCCTATTATTATAAATTAGTCCCTTATCCAGTCTTAAATTATATCCTTGAAAAGAAGGAGTTTGTTACTTTTCACTTTATATTAATTAAATTTCTTGAATTAAAACCTTTGACAGTTTAAAATAGAATTTGCGAAAATACGTTAATACTATTGTGAATTTTGATAATTATAGTTCAAAAGGACATAATCTGTCAATAAAATTCATTCTAAGGTTTAATAACCGGTTTACATAGTTGTCATTAATATGAATGTATAATAAATGTTGTTGCTATTGTCGCATTAATTGTGTTTATTTGAAGAACATTTCTACATGTGTTTCGTTTGTAAATGTAATAAAAATTCAAATATATAAATAATTTTTAAATTAATCAAAACTTTTTCTTATTATCGAATTTTTAGGATAAAATTTCCGATATTCTGACAGTGTAATATCTCTAATTAACTTTTAATATAAATTATTTCATCAAATGATAAGAGTAATTAAAAGTCTCACCAATTATTACCTACAAAAATATGCATTAAATTTTAGTATACTTTTCATTTTCGAATATACCATTAAATTTTAATTCTTATAAATTCATTTCAATTACTGATTCTAAAAAATTTTTTCACACATATATAATGATCATATTTTTATTAATTAAAATTTGTAAATACTTTTCGAAATTTCTAATTTTAGAAAGAATTTTGATTAAATGAATTACGCTGGCATGCATGCATCATGCACTCATTCATGCATGCAACATATACCACACAAATCTTATTCGATGATTAACGGTTCCTTTAGGAAATTATTATTTCATAGAGCTCAATGATAATAATTATTGTAAAGTTTAGACGAGTAAAAAAAGAAATGCTATAATTGGCTTCGGCGATATTCGTATCGCTCGTCCGATCGGTTCGCCTATAAAAGGTCAAAGGAGTCTAATTTTTTTTTTCTTTTGTTGGTAAATTTACGATTTCTCCGTTTTTCATTCCTTTTTTTCTCTTATTCTCTCAACAAAATTCATCAACCTCATTTGTTCCCTTGCGAATCTTTCCTTTTCCACTTCGTTTCATCTTCTTCCTCTTCTACATTCTTCCATTATCTGATATATTTATCACCAAAATAGACTACTAAGTAAAATTATTTTATTCATTTATTTATTTCCTTATTTATTTACACTTACAATTGTTGATCGAATGATAAATTAAATGAAAATGAAATTTGTTTATTTGTTTATTTATTTATTTATTTATATATTTATTTATTACAATTTTTTGAGAGAATAGTAAAGAGAGAGAGGAAATTGCGAATAATAAAGAAATTTGAAATTTATAAAAAAATAAATATCTAAATATCGAATTAGAATAGAAAAGATAGAAGAAATTATTCTTTAGAGTTTTCGGTAATTTTTTACATCTAAATTAAGATATTACCAAACTGTAATTCTAAGCCTTTTTTTTCACTTATACCATACCATATTTTTCACTTATACCATATACCATAGGATATTTTTCACTTATACCATACCATATTTTCACTTATGCTTATACCACAACATATTTTTCACTTACACCACCATTTTTCATTTATACCATATTTTTCACTGATACCATATACCATTTCACTTATATTATACCATATTTTTCAGTTATACCATATCATACTTTTCATTTATACTATATTTTTCACTTATACCACTCAAAGCATTTTTTTCACTCATTATAGTTAGAGAATGATTGATCAAATAATGCTTTCCGGATTACATTGTATTCCGGTACGAGCATTCCTTTCTTCGATTCTTATCATTTATTTATTTGAAAATTTTCTTTCTATTAAAAATGCGAAAAAAATATTTTCAAAATAAAGATAAATATTTATGTTTATGAAAAAAGAACGAGTTTTTTAATTGAATAATTTTCTTCGTTTCAATTTTGTTAATTTTAAAAGAATAAAAATTCTTTTTAAAAAATACAAAAGCAATTTTCGTCTTTCTTTTCAATGTCGAAAATATGCCATTATCGTTGAAACTTATCGTAATCTAATCAAATTATACATTATGTTGATTTACTCAGAGAAAATTAATTTGCAAAATGCGGAAATTATTTTTAATATTAATTAGTAGGCTTTTTTTTCCTAATTACCGTATCGTACAAAGTAAAATTTAGTGAAAATGAAATATGTCATTTTAACCAATGTTTTTTTTTTTTTTTTAAATGTAAATTTTAGGTAATGAACAAAGAAATGGCGGAAATGGATCAGAGAGGTGGAATAACGGAATCTACGACAACAATAAAAACGGTAAAACGACAAAACAGGTGCTGTTGTAGCCTATTACATGTAACCACCGCTACATTGCTGATTGCTTGCTTGGAACTATGTTATTTTTCATATGAGGTATGAATTTATGAATAATATCAGAAAGATTAATCGATTTCTCCCAGAATTATAATTATTAATTGATTGGAGAACTTTTTTTTTATTCATTATAATTGTTCTAATTTAGATTTTTTCAACAATATACCATCTTGTTCAAACGGGTGAGCAATATCTTCTTTCGTTATCCATATCACTATTCGGTATACTTCTTGCTCTTATTGCTTCAATCCTACTTTTCATTGGTATCAAAACATCAACTCCATATTTACTGGTACCACATTTACTAATGCAGGTAATATTTAGCTTTCTTTTATTAAATCAGGTAAGTATTAATGCAAGTGCCTGTTGATTTTGTCTTGAAATCTGAAATGTTTTTTTAAAAATTAACAAAACTTGAACTGTAGATCTATAATAATATAATTAGTTTATATTCTATAACTATTATGAAATATCTACTAATGACTTATCTATAAGATACAGGACAGGAATAGATATTAAATTTGACACTTATTATATGACTGTAACCTATCCTTTACCTGTACATATTCCTTTTGTTTGCTTTAAATTGCTGTTATTAGTTGGGAATAGCAATTTTTTGTTCAATTCAATTTGTTGTTTATTCACAATTTCCAAGCAATTCGATATTTTTTATGAAAAATAAATGGAAAAATTTTTTTCTAATTTTTTCAAATTTCAACAAAATTTCAGGCTGCAGCAATATGTATGCTATCACTTGTTTGTTTGTTTTGTATATTTGCTCTAATGGCTGGAACAAGTTTGGATTTTAGGTAAAATGTTTTTATTAGTTTGAAGAAAAAAGTATTGTTAGAGTTTTTTACTACTTCCGAGAATTAATTTGATTTGTAGAGAATTCATCTCTCAAATGAATTTTCTAACAAAAAATTATCCTTATTCATAAATTAACTTTAATAACTGATAGTATTGAAAATCATTTCATTATAACTTATACTCTCTGCCGGAATTTCCTTATTTTAATAAAGGCCAAACAGGCTATACATTAGGCTTTTGAAGAACAGCTCGGAATATCATTTGCGTCATAGCCTTTCTTTTTATATAATCATTATCAAAGCTGTTTAAGTTTTATCATTTCAAATCATTTTATCCGATAATACTATCATCGCTCTGTACATATATATGCAAAATTAGCTTCAAATAATCAAATTTGAATTCGATATGATAAATTTTTGAATTAAAAAAAGCTCATTATATTGGCATTTTTTAGATAAATTGACAACATTTTTTAATTTGAAAAATTCTTACATAATCGAATTTACCAATGAAACAAACCAAATTATTGATGCATTCATAATTTAAAAAAAGTCTTATTTAATTGTAAACAAAATTCCATGTCAATTTCAGGATTGTTAATATGGAAGACAATACAGCTGGTGATTTAACATTGAGTATGACGGGCAAATCAACCCATGAACTAATTTATGTATCTCAAACTTTTGCTTTGATCTTATCCTTTAGTTGTATATTTCTACTTTTACTCGGTTTAGTGCAGGTTACACTTTTTAATATTTCTCTTCAAATTAAAAATTCTAACAACAAAGTAATTTCATTCTAGAAATAATGAAAGGAAATAATTATATACATTATTAAAATTAGCAATAGTTATTAAATGAAATTTCGCTTTACAAAAAATTGAAAGCATAACCAATTTTGAAATAAAAATTTACATCTTTTAATTACAGGTATGGATGATTATTATTGTTTTTCGATGTTTTTCACACTTACAAGAAAAAGCCATCCTAAAAACTCAATGTATTACCGTAAATAATGGCGCAAATAGGATAGGACGAGCTACCAAAAGGCAAAGTTGCACAACAAATGATGCGGAAAATAATAATTATTTTTCATTGGAAATGAATTCGACAAAATTTATCCGCGACGATTGAAAATGATTAATCCATTTTCTCAGAGTTACAAATAATTCATGGAATTTTCTCGAAAATAAGAGCTTTCATATTATTTCCTACAGATGTATCATGCGATTGGGAACAGTCTTTTGCGATGATCTCATCATTTCAACGTGTCATTTATTAATTGTTGTGTTTTTTTGAATGAAGAAAATTTCGTAATTAAATATGATTTTTCACATCAATCAATCAATCAATCAATCACACATACATTTTTTTTTCCGACTTTTAAGGAAGCGATAATTTAAAGTGATCAAAATCTTCAACGTGACAGCTTAATTGTAATGATAGAGAGAAATACCCTTAAACTTCTCTAATATCAATTTTAAAAGATTTTGAAGATTAGGAAAAGAAACAATCTTTATTATAAACTTTTTTTTTGTTTTCGAAAAGTTCAAAATTTTTCAAAATTCTCTTCCATTTATAAGTTTCACTTCAAAAGCTATAAATTTCAAAATTTGATTGACATTTTTCAAAAATTTCTAGTGAAGTCAACAATTTTATACTTTTAATCTTAATCCCTTCTCTCATTTTCCTTTACCCAAATTATGCATCAATAAGTTAAATGAAGTTATGATGGATAGAATCCACATTGTTTACTTATCAGAATTTGCAACATTGAATGAATGAAATTTTGACAAACTAAAAAAGTGAACCGATATCACACATACCTAATTCAACAACGATAATTATATTTATGAAATTTGAATTGATTCAAATTTCAGTGCAATATAATTTTACATTAGCATGGCTAAAATTTCATCATCGTACAAGCTATTGCAAATTATGATCAATCTAAATGATCAATAATTTTGATGACAAATTATTCCATTTTCTAGGTTAATAACTGAATATTCAAATCATCTATCAGATCTTCAAAAACAGCTTATCTGATAATATATAAGTTAGCTGTAAAGTAGGCTAATAGAATCTAAAATAATTAATTACTCATTCGTTAATTTGTATCCAACTTTTTCAAAGAATATTTTCCTCATTTTAGAATAAGAAAAGAAATTTAAAAATAGCTGAAACATATAGCTATTTTTTTCTTTTTAAATTATTTCAAAATTAAACTGATTTTGAAATAATTTTTTGATGACGTACGAATGGCAATTCTTGATTTCTATGTAATTTGAATTTGATCGATAAGCTAACTGAAATCAAAACATAACCATAATTCAAATTTTCTCTCTTCCATTTCTTTACATATTGTTTACGCATAAATTTATTTATATACGAAAAACCAATTATCGATTAGTTGTTAATTGACGTAAGAACACTATATGACCTATGTATTAAATAAAATTGAAGGTAATAGAGGAAGAATGAATTTTTGAATTTGTTGAAATGATTGTTCCATTACATTTTGAATATTGCTGTTCAACAACTCTTCTTCCATTCCACGCATTCATTTCTTTTCCTTTTACATTCATATCATGATTTTTTTACTACTTCATCACTTTGGAGCAGGAAAAAAAGGAAGACGAAATTGATGAAACCAACAAAAATTCTATTATCGATTGAAGAAGCACTTTATTGATAAGCTATGGTAGCTACTGAAATCTTATTTATCTCCTATTGAATTTCAGTTAATTACTTATGAATACTTATGAATACTTTAGATAATTTTAAACTTTACTGCAAACAAGAACAGAAGATCAGAATCACAAGAAGTAATTCATAGAATCCATACAATCGCAATGATATATCTATCATTCATTGTATAATTGAGTAACAACAAAAAAGTAAAAATTATTTTCGCAGGAATAATTTTAAACAATGTCAAGTAAAAATGAATTATGAAATATTGTATAAATAAGCTTAAATTTAAGTGCAATAAGTTTAGGCCTTGAAAGGTATGAAAATAAGCTTAAATTGAAATATTTAGCTTAAGCTTAAGTAAACTAAAAAAATGATCAAATTCTTTTTATTTGATATTTAGCTATAAGGTAGTAATTTTAATATAATCAAATTAAAATTCTATCTAGACAATTTAACCTTAAGTCTAAAGTCTAACCTTAAGATCGAGCGTAGATCTCAAGATTATAATACTCCTAGAAAATCCCAAGTGAAAAATATCAAAATATCTAAGAAGCAAGAAAATATTTCTAAGAAAATCTGCTTATTGTTCGGTTACTGTATTTGCAAATTATTGATCGTACAAACCGGACAATTGGTAAAGACAGATTGATGTTAAAAAGGACAGGTAGGTTTTTTTTAACACGATGAAATTAGTGGCTGTTAGAAATTCTGTACATAAATATATGCCCCTTAAATTTCCTACTAAAAATCACTCCTCATAAAATTAATTAAATAGCCTACAAAATTCTAAGCAAATTGAGAATAGCCTAATTAATCGGTTAGTTTGAGAATGGATAAACTACTAAGCATGTTGAGGTCAATTTTTATTTTATTCCAGGTAGCACTAATAGGTAGCCTTTCTTCTACTTTTACTTTTCATTATTATTCATAATCATCTCCGCCTTTATCGATATTTCTGGTTTTAATTGAAAAAACCTGCTTTGCGTAAGCATTATAGCATTGATTCGAATCAGATAGTTTTTAAGGACACTGAACTTTTCCTCTTCCTCTCTACTCACACGCTTTACTTTTTAAAAATAATCGTTAAAAAAAATTGGCATTTAAAATAAACCAGTCAACAAAAAATTTTCTATTCTTTAGCGATTGCAGTTCTTAGTCAGCTCCATTCCTTACCCATAATTCTTAATTATATTATTGATTTGCTTATCAGTACTTCCGAGAATGCTTTTGTTAATCGAATTGAATTATCCTTTAATTTTTATCTTCGATAAAATCCTACAACTCCTATCTTCTTTTTTTCCTTCTTAACTTTATTCGCCATAATTTTCAACCCATAAAATAATACATTTTCTATCATAGTTCAGAATGCTTCGGTAATCTTTCTGAAATCTTCAATGCTTTTTCAAATGTATATCAAATAACTTGGATTGAAAATTTGTGGAACTCTTCCTGAACTACCCAATGAATAATAATTAAGATTTAGAAGTTTCGATTTTATCAAAAAGAGATTCCGTTTCCTTATGATTGAATGAATCTTGTTCCCCCATTCAATACTCTATGATTATTTATTATACCATTCAAATTATTTCCAAAATCTTTGTTATTCATCATTGTAATGTGTAACATTGTAACACTGTCATTGTAACATTTTGTAACACTGTCACTCGTAGCGCAATTTGTAACTTCCGTTTAACAGGATAAGAATATTCATTTACAACAACATCAAAGCTCATATCAAAACTTGCTAAAAAAATCCATGCGTGAATTTTAGCATTAATATAAATAAAGCAAGTTGCATTTCTGTCATATTCTACAATGTCGCAACATCGTAAAACAATGACAACTGTTCATTAGGAAAAATTCGACAATCAGAAGGCAAACGATGTGAAAGATGATATTTTAATTATTACTATGACTTTTATTTGAACATACATAAATGCTATTTTATTTAAAATTATTCCTAAAGAAAAAAATCTTACTATATTTATTTTATTTTCAGATTTTGAATGGAAAACGGAGAAAAGCATTAGTGTGATAGATTACTAATATCGATTATGGTATTTTCCAACACAAATCGACGATCGAGTGTTCTAGTAGGGAAGCGTTCGATGCAACTCTTCGAAGAATCAGGAGAAAAAGAATCGAAGTTTGTTTCGATTTCATTTTATCTTTCAAATCATCATTAAGTTAATGATAATATCATCAAGTACAATTGAGTGCTATTTCAGGTTTGTGAAATTTATTATTAATGTGTACAACAAATGGGGTTTCTGGATCACTCGTTATTCTTGGCCTGCTATGATCTCTTGCCTATTGATTTCGATGCTTGCACTTTTCAAAATATATTTTACACCGTTAGTTCTTCAATTTATACTCTACCTAGGGACAAAGATGAAAGACTTTGGAATTTTGATAAACTTCAGGAATGGAAATCTCTTGAAGGTTATTAAAGGATTACAACAGGAAATCATAAGTGAAGAATTATGCTTGAGAAATCATACTACAATTATAGACAAAGCAATGATCTGGAAGGTTATTCACCATTCGAAGCGCGCTCTCGCATTGAATATAACAAATATTTGAACTTTTTCTCAGGACATGGTTTAGCTGCAACCACATTATTGTATATTACAGCCAAAGATGGTAATTCGATGCTTCGACCAAGCCATCTTAATAACACTATAGAGGTAGGTTCAATATCATTACAGTTTCCTATTTATTCTATTTGTGACATTTTCAGGTAATCTTCAAGAATACTTCTAATATATAATATTGAAAGAAATGAAATAAAAGAAATAAGCATGGCCTCGGAATAGGATTACATTTATAGGTGCTACATTTGGCTGAAAACAATATCACATTATACGATCCAATTACACGTCAAAATCTATCTTTCAATGAATTCTGCAAAGAATTTTGTGATATAAATGAACCCGTATTACAGTTTTACGTAAGTTAATACATTTCCTAATCTTAGTTTGATCAGATATCAGCATTTTATATAACTTATTCGACAGTAACAATCTACTTTGTTTACTCGTTCTGCAAATTTTATAAATAGGCCGTTTATTTGGATCATCTAAAAATATCTTAGTGAGCGTTCTTACTATCTATTTCAATTTAAATTATCCATAAAACATTGTTTACAAAAAAAAACTTACTATCAGAACTGATAAAGACAATTGATAAATTACAAAAAATCTGAAGCTTCAAATACCTTTTCGTCTTCTCAGAAGTCACTGGCAGATAATGTCTAATCTGGAAATGAAACAATTATAATGCCTTGTTTAACAGATTAACGAGTGTTATACATTTATCTAGTTAATGATGATAATATGATCTAGGGAGACTTATTAGTATTTTGATTCAAGCTAATTAATGATTGATTTTGATTACTCGTACTTCTGTAATATGACATTATCACAATACTGCAATTTTTTTCTCCTTTCTACTTTTTTCTTCATGGCTTAATTTATCAAAATATAATTGCAATTCTTGGAATATCAATATTAATGAGAATTTTAGAATGCATATATGATGCAGAAGTGGAATCTGCAGAATGGTGATCGTCCAAATCGATATTTACAATTAAATTATCCCATTAGTACTCTATTTGGTCGTGAGATAACGATTCAAGTACTTTTAACTTTTAATTTTAATCAATATATTTGTTACATGAATTTATGAAAAACTCAGGAATATGAGCAATGCAATAATTCAGTAGGTCACTGTTGTCAGAAAGACAAAAAGTTCATTTTTATTGTTAGTGCAAGAAAAGATATCACAATAGTTGGGGAGATATATTCTGCATGTTACCTAGCAAGCAAAAAGTTCCATCACATTGTTGCTCTACACTATTTACATACTTGAATTCAAGGCATTTTCATAATCCAAATACTGTCACTATGATTCCAACAAAAGTTTTCAGTTCATTTCTACCAGAAGGAATGAAGTTATAGCATATTAAAATAATGCATTTTTAGCCATACTTTTTTGGTGTGGAATTATACAACGGAAATGAAACAAAAGAGGATATCAATAAAGAAACGGAAGGCATACTTCAATTGTTCGGTAATGATACAAATGTTGATTTATTGCTAGACTGGAATGAGACATATCCGGCGGTGACGAATATGAAATCAGTGAAGATGATCGCATTACAATTTCGTGCTCTGGAAAAACCTCAATGGAGCAGGGATGAAATGAAGCAATGGGAGATGAGTGTCGTTCATTTCTTCGAGTATTCACATTTTATAATTTTTTCACCTTACTATTACCGTGACTTAGAAAGTTTTTAAAAATATCTTGTTTAAAAATATCTTGTCATAGATATATATATCTTAAAGGGTAGATATATATCTTTTAAAGGATTCGAGCGTTCGCTAAAAATATCTTCTGCTCATATTCTTTAATATCTTGTCTTTAATATCTTGTTTAAAAATATCTTGTCATATTCTTTAAATCATTTAACCATCGCTTAACTTATCAAATCAATCGATCCTTACAGGAATTATCAATCAGAGCATTTGATGATTTATGTCATTTCTACCACTTATATCGAGAAAGAAATGATTCGTGCCGGAATATCATTGTTGCCGTATCTAACTGTTGGCTTTATCATCATGTGTACCTGTTCTGTAATTACTGTAGTTGTTCGAGCTGCTTACATGCATCAAAATAATATATTTAAGGTCAATTTATTCATTTACTTTCTTATTTAATTTCTCATTTATGTATTTATTTTACTTTCTTCAACCTTTCAAACCGACATCCCTAATTTTCAATACTAAAATACTTATCAATGATATCATTACGATATAATTAATGATTTACAGCAGCAGTAGAATCAAATATATTCATACTATAGGGAATGTTTGCTATATTACCTGACGTAGTGAATCATGTATTTCAGATTTTTCTGGCGGTGATGGCTTGCGCTACGCCATTGCTAGCATGTTGTACAGCACTAGCAGTATTATTTCTGTGTGGTATGAGATTCTCCTCAATACTTTGCGTCATACCTTTTCTGGTCCTATCTGTTGGTAAGAGAAAAAATGAATTTTTAAAATGATAAAGAGTTGTAATTAATTTGAAGAGCTTTAATTCGTACTGAATAATTAACCAAGAATAGTTCAGGTATTGATAATTCATATCTAATGATCCATGAATGGCAACGTGTGACGAAAGAAATACGAAGTGGTGAGAAGAAGAGTGAAACTGTTGGACATCGAATGTCTGAGGTTGGTTTTTTTCGAATCTTATTAATTAGGCATATTACTTAAAGCAACCTTTGTAGACTGTTAATAGATATGACATTTCAGGTACTTAGTGAAGTTGGTCCCGCAATACTAATTTCTGCGATAACCAATATATTAGCTGATACTGTTGGCTGTTTCACATCTTCTCCTGAAATCCGTCTTTTGTGTATTGGAAATTTATTCTCTATGTTTATGGCATATTTATATCAGGTAAATATTACATTTCAAAATATTCTATTCCTATTTTTGCAATGATTTCATTGAATTCCTCTTTTAGATGTCTTTTTATTCTGCTCTGATGTCTGTTATTGGGAAATTTGAGATTGAAGCAGAGAAGAATGAAGATAATACTACAAATATTACAATAGAGAAAAGTCAAGTGAGTATCAGAAAAGGCAGCGAGGTTATCGTTTTTTTCATAAATAATTTAACACTACATAGGAAAGCTTACTTTCTTGGTATCTGTATTGCGAAGAGTAAAGTTGAAGACATTAGTTATTATAACTCAAGATCAGGATTAAATTTCCAACTCTTTGCTTCATTCTGCTTTTGGAATATGATAATATGTTGAGTATAGGCTATGACGATTTCTATAACATCGATTACTTGCGTCAGTTATTACTGATAACTACATATGCACTATCCTCTTGAGGAATTTTACAACTGTTCTGATCCTACTGATAATTTCCCATGATAACTAATCAATTTTTCAGCTTAGAAATTCAAGATTTCATGATAAGTCAAAGCTGTATGTCAGTAAATACATGGGAATATACGCTGATATCATTTCACGTCCAGTGATAGCAACGCTTATCATTATTCTTTACATTACTTATATTATCATATTTGTATGGGTAAGTAATTTGTTTCTTTTGTTTACCTATCTTACTGATGAATGTATGAATGTTCTTTAGAGAATGTATCACTTTTCAGTTAGCCAATTCTCCACTTTTTTTCAATTAGCCGTGGTAATTTATCATTTATCAACAATTACTGATTCCTACCATACTTATCTTCTCACTTTATTTTCTGTTGTAAGCGAATGTTTGTTTTTGTAAATATTATCAGATATATCAATATCAACCATCGTCATTATTTCAGGGGATAGCACGAATGAATATCAGTCTTACTTCTGAGAAGCTATTTCCAGCAGATTCTCCGCTGATAAAGGTTTTTGTTACGGACTATTTACTAATATTTGCCTAGATGATTCTGAGCTACCTATTACAGATCTATAATTTATCTTTATAGCTTAATGAGCTACGCGAAGAATATGAAATACCGCTCTTTACGATGGCAACGGTATTTGTGGATGTGCCTACAGATTCGTCTCAAAAACCACCACTTCTTCTGATGGACAAAATGGTTCAAGATTTCGAAAGCCTTGACGGTAGCTGGGGATCCAATGGAACTATGTATTTTATGCGCGATTTCGCCTTATTCCAGAATTTTTTACGATGTTTGTTTTTAATTTATTTTGCTTTTGGTTAATCCCAATTTCTGACCATGCAGTTCACATTTGGGAGTAGGACTAGTAGACCTTAAACATAATTTCATTCTCGAATATTTGTTCATTTCAGTAAATAATGATTATGATTCTGATTCATTGGATGATGTCAGCATGACAACAATCGAACCTGATGTTTTATCTAAATTCAATATTGATGATCTAGAAAATTTCTTAGCATGGCCAGAATATGATTTTTGGTCCGCCTTCGTCCAATTGCAAAACGTTAGCGCCGATGGAAAGTTAGTACTAATGTATATCTAACTTTCGCTCAAATTTCAAATGCATCTTTATGATAATCATTAGAATGATATGATAACATTACGCAATAAGATTACATTGCTTTATAAATGCATTTTCAGATCAATTCAGATATGTCCGGTATTATTGACCTATTTATAAGATGGTGAATTATTTCAGACAAAAAAAAATGAGACGATTTTTCTTCACCACAGCCTATCACGATAAAAATTTGAAGGAGTGGACGATGCGGGGGAAATTACTGAAACAATGGCGTGCTATCGTGGACAAGCCTATATAGTATGTTCTGCTACTTCAAAGTACTATAAGTTTATTGGGAAGGGAAGATGAAGAAAACTAGAATAGAAGAAGGTATCAGGTAAGCTAATAAGTAGCCAGAATTGTATAGTCTTATCAAATTTTATTCATTTCCCTTGATGAGAAGTTATAGAGTGTGTACTATTTCAATTTTCTTTTTTATCAGTTTTTATTAATATAGCAAATCATTCAACGCTGCCGTATTCCATCACGACGCCATTTTTTTGGATCTGATCGATAATATGGCAACGGATACGTGGCAATCGATAGCGGGGACGTTGGTTTGTATGGCTGTGGTATGCTTCCTCTTTCTTCGGAATATGCTTACAGTGGTTATTGCAACTGCTTCTGTTCTTTCTGTGTCCATTGGTAGGTCAGCCTAATTTATCAAGAATATCAAACTGATGATGCAATGCGAAATAGATAAAGAGCTTAGAATTATAGCCTGAGCGCAATTGAATAGTATATAATGAGTTTGCGAAACAGTTTCGTTATTTTTTCGATCACAATATGTGGAAGGATAAGCTATTCTTAATGAGTGCTTTTGTTTGCATAACTTAGAAAGTTTGATCGATTGATTGCCCTACAAGAATTATTTAAAGGTAACACAATTCCAGACTGTACTCATTAAATATAAACAACTCTGTTGCATGTTTGCTGTTGCAGGTATCTTGGGCACGCTATCCTGGTGGGATGTTGATTTGGATCCTATTTCAATGGCCGCCATGATAATATCTATTGGCTTTAGTGTTGATATTCCAGCACATGTTGCTTATCATTACTGCAAAGCTAGTAAGCATTGTCTGCCCATATTGCACTATATACTTTATGTCCGCTTTGTCTGTTCTAAAAAAAGGCTTATATTTTTGATCATCCTACATTTAGGCGGAAATTCGACACTTCAAATTAGAATTGGCAATTGTCTTACTTCAGTGGGATTCCCAGCAGTGCAAACAGCATTGTCCACCATACTGTGTGTATACAGCTTATGGTTCGCCGAAATTTATATGTCGCAGGTATTTCTATTATAAACTAGATGAATTCCAAAGTATTTGAGTCTGTTAGAATACTTCTTCATTGTTCATGACATCCATTAATCTTCAAATTTAGGTTTTTGTGAAAACAGTGGTTTCGTCGGTCATATTATGCAATTTACATGGTCTTGTGATCCTACCAGCTATACTTTCAATAATTCATCAGACTAGAGCTCGATTCGACCAAAATAAAACCTACAGTACACCAGCTGAGCGTGCTGCAAATAAACAGTTGAAAAAAGCTAGAGATAGAGCGGCCAAGATAGCACAAATACAGGGAAGAAATAGAAATCAGCCAGACCTGAAAACGGACCGACCATCAATTCCTGATTTCAATGTCATACCTTAGAAACTGAATTAGGGTGGACGAGATCAAGCATCTCTAGATTGAGATGCTATTTATGTGTGCACTAAGCTCTTCATATCCAAGACGTCTCGACATTACAAATCAATTTCAGTTGAAGAAAGCATTGATTCAAAATTGGACGGTCAAATTTTACTTATCCATTAAACTATTACCAAGCTCAAGCTAGCTTAAATGAAGCTGGTACGTAAGAAATGAAGCTGTATGTAGCAGCTTTTCACCATATATAACCGTTTTTAATGCATATATAAATGAAAACATACTATTCGTAAAACGAGACGAATTGTCCAATCTATTTTTTGAATTGTATAGTTAATGTTAGGTGATGCTCACTCTCCTTCCTATTCCGCGATCCAAAGCTCGAAGCATTCCAAAATATAAATTTTTATAAAAACAATCTTATAGGATTTCAGCATGGCCGGCCATTGAGGACTCATTCAGGAAAACATAGTCTTGACTTGAGTGAGATATAGATTAAAATCTGATATCCAGCATGCTATTTGGGTCTTAATAAATTAAAAATCGGAGTCTATTGAAAAGACAAACTGTGATTCGGGTGCGTCACCTCTCATATGAAGTGTTGTACATCATTCTTCAATTTGTTGGTTTCAAATTTTATTCAGATAACTCATTAATAAAAGTGGTATTGTCCATTGCCAGTGGGCCGGTGACCACTGAGGGAACAAATAAACACGAAAAAAAGTAATAACTCAGGACCTGGAATAAAAACATGAGCATGATTAGAAGGGAAACAATTAACCTACAGTTTCGGACAACATAGGCATCCCAATTTAATCAGTGAACTCGGTTGGTATAAAGAACATTTGGCAGTTAACATTGTTTACATAGTGATGATGATACTAAAAATAGAATCGTCTAGTACCATGAGAAGTATACGAAAAAAAGACACTATTCAATTCAATCCAATCTCTGCTCAATAATGCCTGCTGCAATAGTCTCTCCAGCATAGCGAAGTGTTACTCGGCCAAGTGCTCTGCATTCAGAATATCGTTCTAAACTTACAGCTCGTTCTGTTCGAATTTCGATCATTCCACTCATATTTTTTGCTAGTGTTCTAAAATAAGCAACGGTTATGAATATATTGGCCTGACGATTACGACAGATTAAGACATCTTAGTAATTACATATCTTTATCCTCCCAGACAACATAGATTCGGTCTGACACATATATACGCATACACATATACAGTACGATCTTCTTTTTCGACATACATGGATAGGCAATGGTGAATAATAAATCCCAAAAAAGATTGCTTCATCCAAAAAAGAAGATTACTATGAATAAGAGAATAAAACAAAAAACGTCAAATAAAAAACCTAGGTTTTTGCCTTATTACTTCGCCCGTAGACTTATTCAGTTCTGCCTTCAACATTGTGATAGTGCAAGGCTCACACAACGAATGTGCGAAAAGCTCAGCTTTAGTGCCTTTCATAATCGGAACAACAACGTCGAAAACAACAATGCGCACCAGATATTTCTTTCCAGGAATAAGACATTCCTGCAACCAACACAAAGAATTTTAGATATAGGAAGTAAAATCCATTAGGGATAAATTTTAATCCACATTATGCTATACATTAAATGTTCTGACTACAGAAAGTGCACTGATTTACTTATCATCTTGTGAATAAAACCAATAGTAGTGAATTATTAATAAACAAGATTTTTTAATGTCCGAAAAAAACACAAAATCATTCCTGCGAAGTCTTCTAATCTGGCTAATATACTAAAAGAAATGAGAAGTGGATAATGTAAGAAACAACAGTATAACCTGTCCACCGCGGCAAAGAACGTATCCAACGCTTACGGAATCGGGTTCAATGCTTGAAACAGGTGATAGAGTCACTATAGCCTGGTCACCAGCAAACCCAATGCCTTTTTTCGAATTGGCATCCACAACTATTCCTGCAAACAAATCTGAAGTGTAAGTTCTGTATTATTTTTTTATTAAGACTTAAAACTAGTCTTACATAGTGAAATTAGAGACGTGAACAAAATGAAAAGGATAATGACGATACCTTTAACAATTACAGGATCTGCATTCGGCATTATGTACACTTTCTCATCATTTTCTATAAAACCGGCCTCAATTTTTATACTTACTGAAAGCGTTGACATAGAGGCTTTGTATATATCATTAATTACAGCTCGAAAATGACGATCCTGTGACCGTATTGGTACCTGCAGTTCATCTAAAAAGACAATACAGTTAGTCTATTTTACACTACATTTGTCTTATTAGCAGTGTTTATGATCCACTCTTTAAAGTACACAGCGTACTTTTTTACAAGGATATTGATAATATCTTCTTCCTTTCAAACAAATCTAACGATACATATTCTTAAAAACCTTAAGACCTTAAGAATCTTCTCACCCATTAATTGCAACAACGTTGGTCCTTGATACCAGTTGCGCAAAGAGTGGCCATCAGATGGTGTTTTTGTTAAATTAATTCCATCCAATCCAGAGAGCGGAACAAATTTAACTGTTGAATAGGCAGCTTGCTTCCTTAGAAAAATTTTCAGAGTAGCACAAAGTTCATCGTACCGTTGCTGAGACCAATGCACCGTATCCATCTTATTTATGGCAACCAATAGCTCACCTACTCCTGTAAAAAAATTTGTGCTACCTCTCTTTTAGCATAATATAAGCAAATATTTAAGAGTTTTGATGTTGTAGGACCGAATCTTATTAATTATACAACATTAAGGGACAGGTTTATATAAATTAATCTTACAGCAAAGCATAAACTTACCCAATGATCTAAGTAAAATAGCATGCTCCCTCGTCTGGCCCCCCTGACTAAATCCAGTCTCGAACTCTCCACAAGTTGCATTGATAACAAGTATACCAGCATCTGCTTCAGCAGCACCTAAAGCACTGATAAATGAATTATCAATAATCCTATAATTCTCTCGAAATCGAAATCTCAATTCAGTCCGAAATACGATTCTATTTAATATGGAACTCTTCAGTCCACATTAAGTAGGAACCTCTTCTGGATTTCATTAAGAATACTTTTTAATCTCCCACAGCCTTAAAACAATAGCATATTCAAAAAGGAAAGAAACCAATTATAAAATGAATAACACCTGTAATCATATTAGGGATGAAGTCCCTGTGACCTGGTGCATCCAAAATGAAGATTTTTCGATGTTCAGTTTCGAAGATTGTCCGTGCAATATCCATTGTTACACCTCGTTCCCTCTCTTCCTAAGCTAGATTTATTTACCCATATAAAACAATACAAGGAAATGCAAATTCATGTTCGGAAATCACCTTCACACAAAGAAGTCATTAGTTTTTACTAAGAAGCAATGGATTCAAACGACAATGTACCAGTGTATCGTCAAGGATCCAAGCATATGCAAACGATGCTTTGCCAATCTTAGCTGATTCTTTTTTGTATTTATGCATAGCTCGCTCATCGACATTACCCATCTGTAACATTACATCTTACATAGGCATAATAGTATGAAGTGATGGATAAAAATCATTCCCTGTGAATAAATGATGGTAAAGTTAATCCTTTGGAATACATTAATGGCAACAAACTTTTTTGAATGTAAAGTACACAAAGTCAATATTTTTTGATTTAACAGCCAGTGACTCGGATATTTTCAGCTAGTGAGAACCTCCATCCGGCATAATGATATGCCACATAGAATGTAAACTGTACAGTGAGATACATTAATTTTAAACTGTACAATGATATACATTAATTTTTAACGTGAAACGTATTCCATACTTTTATCCTATCTGTTCCAAATCCATATTAAAAAAAAAAATTTAAAGGTATACTTGATATAGAAGATGCCCCACCAACGTACTTTTACCAGCATCTACATGGCCAACAATGACCACATTGACTATTGGCTTCTTTTCTTGAAAGGATTGTTTCGCTCTAAAATATTCATTGTTGGACTACTCAGGAACCCGCATTCGCCATTCTTGAAAGCAGTTCATTTTAACACTTCTTTAACAATTTAATGTTGTTCGTAAATTAAAGAACAGTATATATAATGGAAAATCTAAACAATATATGATAAACTGACCTAGGGGACTGAACAACAGCATTTAGTGCAGCATCGAGAGCAACTAATCTCTTGCTACTATCACTCGTCCTTAGTACTTGGTCTGGAAATTTTTTCTTACGTGTATTGCTTTCCATGCCTTCTGACAGTTGCAAGTTCTCCATTTGTGATATCTCTGGTAAGTGTTCACTATTGCCATTCTGTTATAACACAACGTATTAGTTGATAAATCAGTATCATGTTGGGTACTAGCACACACTGCCAGTTATTGGGAGTTTCTAACAGCAATTTCTAGAACTTTTAGTACCCAGTTCCATATTTACTTTCCCAAGAAAATTGATCAAAGCAAACATTTCAAATACAAATCAACATTAAACATATAATATCAAATCTTTTAAGCGGCTACTTACCGTGCTTGCTTTCTCAGATTTTTGCTTTATCATCTGATCCATAAGTCGATTCTTCTTACTCTTACATTTAACTGGTTGATGACCTTTTGACGCATTCCCTTCTGCTAACTCTAAACTTAAAACAGTGTTCAGCATGGAGCATAAAAATATCACAAGTCAGAATACTACATCCCTCATTATAAAAAAAGAAAAACTGAACCGGATATAAGTACTCATCATTTCAAACTTACCATCTTTTCCAGCTCTCTGAACATGTATCTTGGTGGAGTAGCTATCTCTAGAATCATCAATAACATCATCAACCAGTTCCGGAAGGCCTTCTTCAGAAATAAAATCTGCGATACAAACCCCGGTTTTATTATTGAAAGAGTTCATATGCGTCCGCTTATATATATATTCTTCTAAAAAGAAGAGTTACAGACGATACATTAAATAAATTGCAAGTCTAAAGAGAAACAAAATGATAAAAAGTTAACCGTCATATTTTATGGAGCATTAAATCATTAAAAGTCATTTTAGAGAATGAGAATGGATATACACTAGTGAGTATAACTGTGCATTACATCAATAATAGATCCACAAGTAAAGCGAGCTCATTGAGTTATAGTGAAGTAACAAGTAGAGTTGTCACTACAGGATATTAGACTAAACTTACTATTCACTTCTTGGTAATCAGTCTCATGGAATTGTAATTCCACAACAAAAAGCAAACAAAGCTAAATAAGAACAGCAACAATGAATTTCTCAATGTAACAAAACAGCAACATACAGTACACATATCAGTGTCTTAAATGTAAGTTACTACGTTTACAATGTTAAATAGTGAGAGATACCTGCACCCGAAAAAACTGCTTCATCGTCCGTTGAAACACTATATCGATGGGATTCATCATCTTCGTCATCTCGCTCTTAAATACAACGTTAAGGAATACGAGTTTCTGCCTAACCTATTCACTCATAAAGAATATGGAACATAATGTCATCCAAAAGCTCTATTTTGATATGAGGAAAGCGTCATTATGTGGGAGTTATATAAATATCTGTGAAAAAGAATACATTAGAAATGGTATAAATTAGAAACTGACATCATCTGTAACTAAAAGTAATAAATAAGATCGATAAACTAACCTTCGTCATAGTTCATCTTACGAATATTGCGATGTCGAGACATTACTCAATTTCTGAAATTAACAATGAACATAATCATGTTATCAACGAAGAAACTTCCATCCATACCATTTCTCTTTATTGTCTATAAATGAAATACCAAATGATTATCACCACGTAATATTCGACCAATTATATACACTAAAAATGAATGAACAGACAGGTTATCAGTAACATCAGATAATAAAAGCAGTATCACCTCATAGTGAAACTAATCTACAACCCAACCATTTGTCAGGTAAATATTTCTAAATAACATATTCAATGTTAACGTCTTGTACGAAAATTGATAGAAAAATAGTGCTAGCATCCAATAAAAATAAATAAGCCAAGTTTTAGATATATCAATTCCCACATAAGTTACTTGGAGCAAATGAGGACTACGTGAAGGCAGAAAAGAACGGCCAACCGCGAACCATCATCAGACGTAATGAATGAACCTTTCCAAACTTGCTGAAAATAGCGAAGGAGACTATCGTTGATCATCTCTCGCCTATTCCTCGGCTTTTAGCTATATTTAACAAATGAAATGAAGACTGTAGCCAAGTAATAAAGGTACCACAAATATATTTATCGCCACTAGAGCACGAAGAAAACAAGTAAATGATTCCATGCAGCATTGAAGGCATTGTGAAATATTCCACCATGAACGCAAGTCACCATCAATCAATACATTCTCTTTCTTCAAATCAAAGTTTAATATACACCAAATAATTATTCCATCTTCAATTCTTCTCCACAACAGTTTCTAGAGGTCAGTGATATGTGCTGAATCACACTCTTAATTGATGAAAAACTTATTACACCTTGCAAATTGTCATTTTTTTCTCTATTTAATGTCATTATTCTGATTATGCATATTATTATATTTACTCTTTGATATATCCATGAATGAAAAGTTGATCATCAATCCGATAACCTTTTCCATTTGTGGATAGCTCATCGCTCTAACATCATCAATTCGTTATCACATATTGACGACTGTCATATAGGTTTACAATAACCTACATGATATTGCAAAATATTTAGCTTTCTTTCGCTTACAATTTTGATTTCCTCTTAACTTTAATTCTTTCAATGTGATTATGCGTTCAAAGACTATTAAGCTTCAATTTTCCCTTTCGGTCTCTCTGATAAGTTATTTGCAAATTTTACTTTAAAGCTTATTTAAGCTTATGAAACTACTTGGAATTACAAAACTCGAATTAAAAGATTGAAATTATACAATGGAATGGAAGTGAATTGAATTTAGAATTTAATTGAGCCGATTTAAACTTAAAGATTTAATTCTGTTAGAAGAAGGTTAATTATCAGGAAATTACTTTTCACGATTTATTTTGCTTTATTTTTTATTTCAAAAATCAAAAGCTTAACTTTATGAGAAATAAAATATCAATACAAAACTATATTAAATTCCAATTCCGATTCATCATTTTATTAGTTATTGATTATTGGAAAGCTTTCGTCTATTTTCTACAGTAAAATATTAATTAACTCATCGATGCCAATGGGAAACTTTTTTTGATGTTAAAATTTGAATAACTCAACGTGCAGAGAAATAAACACATTCCCCTCTTAAAATATGTGTTGGGAAATTTCAGGAACAAAAGTTTGATTTCAGGTATTTCAAAATTAAATATTTTGTAAGAAATAGTTCATTCCATAATGTCGCTGAAAAACAAATGGATGATCGTTCATTCCCTAATTTTTACATTTGCATGGTGAAAACGAGACATTCTGAGAAAACTTCCTTTCAAATACAAAAAAGTGCGCCTTCTGAATAACTGCAAAAATAACCACGTTAAAAATGTTGTGCAATTTAAAGCAAACTTAAGTTCAAATTTTGAATTGTACGAATTTCTGAAAAAAGAATTTGATTTCAATTATTTCAAAATTAAGAAAAAACAGCTTTCCATATAACTCTATGATCGAATCCGATGTTTTTTGCAGTCATTTACATCACTTTCTTCCTGCTATTTATCTCCAATATAACCATTTGATAATGAATAAAATGTTTTAGAGTTCTGATTTAGATTTTATTCAAAATTTATTTTACTTATTTCTCGCTTAATAAATCCAATTCCGTACAAAATGTAGTACAAAGTATCTTACAGGAAATCCTTTGATGGTTCATTCCAAGATATAAATCTTTAAGAACAATATGAAATTAGATCTATTCATAAATGCTGTCATCTGAAAACTGAACACAAGAATCAATCCTCGACAAAAATTGCAATATAATTAATTCACTTTAGAATGCCTTGGAATAATAAAATGATGTGTATTTCGTGAAATCTGCATTTCAGAATACAAAAATAAAGCATTTAAGATTTTAGTGCAAAGATTATGCTTCTCCTAGAACAGTAGAAATCTACGAAATAGGAAAATTATTGGAAACAATAGGCCTTGTAAGAAAAATAACACAATATCTAAGTATTGTTATGGGTCATATAGTAATAGAAGCAGCCATAACAATTTCAGATGCAAAGAAAACATTCGGAAAAGCTATATTCTTCATCTTGGAATAAAACTTTCTTGGTTTATCCTTTTTGTCAAACCACAAAAAAGAGATAGGAAAAAAAGATCAAAAAATTAAAATAGCAAAACTGGCAGTTGAAATAAGCATTAGAATCAATATAAGAATGAAAAACATTATTTATGAATAAGAATTTCCTTAAAGCAAACAAAATTTTAGTAATTGTTATTACAATTAATTATTAATTTGTAGTTAATATATAACATGAAATATTTCGAAAGACTTTCTTTTCAAGCAATATGCGTAACTATAAAATTGCGAGCATTAAATATACAATAAATAAAATAGAACCTCTTATTTCCAGCAAAAGAAATGCCAACAAATATGGGGAAAAATATTTCAATTAATGCAATCTTTCGAAATAAGTAAATAAATGAACCAAAACACCAGATAACCAGAGGTTAGATGGCAAACATCAAAGTTTCCTATGTTTATTTATTATGTTTCAAATTCACTTATTTTACCTTTAAATAGTAGGCTACACAAATTTATACTTTATCGAGATTTTAGAAGATTCAGTTTATACCATCATATTAATTAGTGCTTCTTTGCTGATCAGTTATGGAGAGTTTAGAAAATTGTCCCACCATAATTTTTTTATTCTATCAGTCTCATCATGAATGCTTCTGTAATATCGACAAAAAAAAATTTCCAATTTATGATTCTTTAATTGACTGTCAATTGTGCAAGCATCCTGTTTATTCCTCTTTATCTATATTCCGGCAGGAATTTCCAAGAGTGTTGGGATTTCAAATTGATAAAAATGGGTTTATTCTATTGTTTGAGCAATTTCTCAATCAAAACCGAAACCTTTTTATCCATTGTACATCTTCTCAGAACACGGCAAAGCAATCTTAATTTTGCTTAAATTAAATTTTAATAATACGTGCTCTGAATCCAAGTTAATTCTCTTTTCAAAAAATCAATTAGAAAGAGAAATTGTTAATTATAAATTATTCCAGGCATTGAAAAGACTGATTAGACTGCTCTATTATCACTTCCGCATCCTTTCCGCCGGCAAAAGTATCAGCCATTCTACCTTCTTCCTTTACATCAGTTGCACGGAAAGACATATCATATCTGCAATTCACTATCATAAAATGAGTAGACTTTATAATTTATGAAACATATGTAATTTCATGAAAGTGTCCAATTTTCCATTTTCAGTTTTAGAAATTCACCAAAGACCTCGAAAAATTCCAAAAGTATCAAAACAACTGTCTTGAAAAAATCAATATTAATGAAATCGAAACGGAACAGTTGCAATGACGTAGCAATAAATTCTGTTGCTTGAACATTTTATAAAACAAAACCAATGAAGCAGAAAAACCAACAGAAAGCAGTGCAGCTTATCAAGTTTCCGAAAAAGCAAATCGTACTGTTCATCAAGTTGACCATCATCACTATAAAAGAAATTTTAAATAATCAATAATCATTATCGTAGTGATACATCGTGATCGTAGTGATACATCGTGATAAATAATCAATAAAAAAGCAACCTGAAGATGGAGAAATTTGGGGTTTGTATTTTATGCAATTTAACATGGAATGCAGTCAAATTTTCCATTTTCTCTCGTGCTTTCCGCATCATTTTCAATTTTTCTTCATCCACTGGAAAAAAATACATTAAGAAGAAACTGTGGAAGTACATCAAATAGCAAAATTATTTGTCTTCTTGTTCTATTCTCTAGTTTTTTCCATTTATAAACAGGCTCCGCAATTCTAATTTTACGAGGAAACTGGAAAAGGGACCAGTATCTTCATCTCTATATTTTGGTCAATGAGTTGATAAGTAGCAAACTGAAGCTTTTTGTCATAAACTTCAGTTTTATGAAATAAAACACTAGTTTTAAACTCCCTCGAAAAAAAGTCGCGACCTTATCAACTCTAGTAAATTCGTGTTTTTCTAAATCATCGATTTTTAGGTTCCAGATCAATCAGACATTCCTTAAATGAGAGCATCAGTGCTCGACTTATTTCCACTTTCAACATATTATTTGCTATACATTGCGGTAAGTGTCAACAAACTAAACTTACAAGCACACATTCTTCCCGATCGAAAATTATCCACCAATTCAGTAAGCGATTGTTCTAGAGCTTCAATTTCAGCCACATTATCCGGCTCTAGATCTATTTGATCCAGACCATTTATCACATTACTAGTTTTTCTAAGTGTATCGTTGGTTTCATTATTCACTTTCTGATCGGTTTTATCTATTTCATCAATGGGTAGCGTTACATCAGTTATCATTTCATATCATTCATCCTGAATAATATAATATAGTAACTGTCGGCTTAAACAATTCTATATTATCACAATGCAATAAGTATTCCCTAATCCATAAAGCAATCGTATGCTTTCAAGAAAACGCTACATTTAGACATTGCACAAACTTATGAAGGATTTCGATAATTAAAAGAGCAATAGAACATCATGACTAAGCTATTTGCTTCATCATAACATTCGTTTCGTTATAAATGATGAATATTCCGAAGACACCAACGAAATGAAACATACGACGTCAACCACGACTTCACGTTTAGGTATTCCATGAAAGATAATATAAAGTACCAAAAAATAAATTTTAGCAAATTGTATATTAACAATAGCAACATAGACTACATGCACTCTCCACTTTCTTCTTGTCTAATGCATTTATATAAAGAATTGATAAGTTTATCGATCTCTAATGAATCTATAAAACCAATGTTATTTTCTATGTTGCAAACTCTGCAAACTCTATCAGAGTTTGCATATATTTTCCGTTAAATTTTAGCATTCTCTGTAACCTCTTCATATTACATTATATATCATTCAATGTAATTGTTTATTATTCTAAACAAATACGTTTGTTTAAGACAATGAAAAATTCAAAGTTTGTTAAATCTATGAGAAAGACGAAAAAAATTGTTGAATTTTTCATGAAAGAATTATTGAAAAAAATTGAGAGTTAAATTATTTTGAAATTATGAGTAAATTTAATTAAAAAGAACTGAACTTATAACAGGAATTTATTTTGGTTGCAAACTTAAGTATGGTACTTTATGATATCCCAAACCAATAAGATTACTAAAATCAGAAATATAGAGAAGAAATTGAAGAATTGATATGAATTTTCCTGATAATCTTTTTTCCGTATGGTATTTTATGATATTCCAAATTAACAAGCCTAATAAAATTACTTTATAATATTCCAAATTAACAAGCCTAATAAAACCAGAAATATAAGCAAAAAATTGAAGAACTGGCATGAATTTTCCCGATAATCTTTTTCGTAGTATTCAAGAGTTTTTGTATCATAGCCTAGTCTACAAATTTTTTTGTCTCATATTCATTTCGAGACTAGTTTAATGTTACCTGTATTCAAAATTAGTTAAATTCTCTTCACAATTTACATCAATTAATATCGTTGTAACCTCTTGTTTCTAGAAATGCTACAATTTTTGGCTTTAGCAAAATTTATCACAACTTTAAATTAATACTCTCTCCACTACAACTCGTATTCTTTGTTCAATTATTTCTAATTAATTTTATTTTTATTATTTTGTTATTTTTATTATTTTATTATTTAAATTAATTTTATTTTGTTTATCTATTTCCTCAGTGAATCGTATCATCATTGGTTGGTTATTTTCGAGGCATCATCTCTCATTATTACATTTTGAATAATTAGGTTAATGGATAACGATAAATAACAAACTTAAAATTATTCATTAACAAATATAACTCTTAAAAAAGTTAATTACTACATGACAGTCTATTCATTTGCAATACAATCAATCATAAATTTCTTTTCATCTTCTAAGAAAAAGTCAAATTTATCATACAATTTCCCTATATCTCATTTCTTTCATCATTGCAAAATAACGTAAAAACAAAGGAGGGAGAAGCCGAAAAATGTTTGCTAATCGATAAAAGCTTAATAACATTTAATTAAAATTAAGTGAAGAAAAAAAAGCGAAAATTAATATTTATCATATCATCTTCGTTATCATTTTTAATCATTTAGCTCTACAAAATGGTAAAAAAAAAACTATCTAATTTATGTGATTAGCTTTATCAGTTAGTTTCTAATTATTCTAATAATAATTGTAACTTTTATCTATCAAAATTTTTACAATCAATTAAAAAAATTTCTCTTTTCAACTAATGTTTTTTTTTTTTATTCTAATTTCTAATTAATAATTTTGAATTATTTTATTTGATGGAAAAAAATTGAATCAAAATGATTGGGTCATAAATCATTCATTGTAAAATAATTGGGTCAAAATGATAAATAGTTGACCCAAATAGATCAGATCACATCAGTACCTATCCATCATTAAATGAATGTTTATAATGTTAATGGAACAAAAAATAATATATTTAATTCATTCATAATCCAGTCAATAAATGAATTAAATCTAATAATTCTTTCTCTCTCTCTCTCTCTGTCTCTTTTCCATTTATTTATGTTACTAATACATAGTAATGCTTTATTTAAATGATAAAAAAAAAATGTGATAATAATGATCGATACTGATATTATCATTTGAATTGATTATTTTACTTTTGATTTGATAATATAATTATCACAGATTATTTGTTATTTAATTAATTGCTTTGTATAATAGAAGAAAATATATTCAAATGTTCTATGCTAAGAAATTCTCAAACTTTATCGTTTTGTTTTTGAATTTCAAAATTATTCGTTGAATATAAACAATAGCTAAAGTATAAGCAAATTTTTGTATGATTTTTAATTAAAACAATTAAAAATTTGGAAATATTAATTTATATGTTATTAATTAAATCAAAAAATTTTACAATTAGAAAATTAAAAATTATAATTTCTATTGTTTGATATGATTTTGAATGAAATTTTTAGGTTTTAATTTCAAGAAAAAGATTTACATTAAGCAATTGGTCAGTAAAGTAAATATCTAACTGATTGCTAAAATTAACATTCATTTTCTTATTATCAACTCATAATTATAGATAATTACCACAGCTAAAATTTATGATTTAACTTTTCATCCGTTGTAGCCATATATATTTCAATTGATTTATCTAGAGGTAAGCTATTATTGATCGAGAATAAATTTGCTCCGGTAATTAAGACATCAATGTTTGACAACAACAATGACAACTACACCGATCAATATTAGCTATCTCTTTTATTATCATGTCATCATCACCTATCATCATCATCAACAAAAGGTCATTTCATCTAATCAGCACAAGGCCTTCTAATTTATCCAATCAAAAAAACCGTTAACATATTTAGTTGAAGTATGATTGTAGAATTAATAAGAAGGGTTGATTCCGGATAGTTCCGGATGAATGAAATCGTTTCAAAAATGTATGTAATATGTGTAACCTTATATTTCGTACTACCATATTACCATATTACCATATTACCTATTTGCTTTCCTTTTTTTCTTGCTTTTTTCCCCGAAAAAACTGATAATGATAACAAATTGATAATGTTAACATGGCGCTACAGCTGTCATTTATCTTTTCATCTGATATAATTCATCTTCCGATTTCAGTGCATGCTAAAAATATAAATTTAAGAATTGTCTTACAAGTCTTCATTCGATCATTAATTAAATGTTATCTTAAATGATTACTTACACTTAATTTAACTGTTCCATTTTAACTCTCTTTCCCACATCAAATATTCACTAAATTAGGTAATTAATTTGAAAGTTAACGGTAGAAAAGTTCATGTTATGACAATACTTATAATAACACTTATTATGACAACACTTGCCATTAATAATTCTTCAATGTAATTCATTTTCTTTAATTTCTTACTGTTTTAATAAACTATCAAACATTTTAGAATAAAAAGTAATGGTACTTCATTTATCCATCAAATAATAATCCTACAGTATTACTAAATGTTGTAATGACTAAATGTTGTAATGATAAAATGTTGACAGACTAATTCATTTCTATTCTTTTAAAAATTTACCTGAAATAAAAAATGCCATCTTTTTTTTCTTGAAAGATAATAAAAGGATTTAATAAGACAAATGTAAAATAATGTGATCTAATCTCTTCATTGATAGTAATCACAACAATGTGTTCGAATCTCTTTACTGATAATGATCACAACAATATGTTCGAATCTCATCACTGATAATAATCGCAGCAAATGAACAACAGATCATAATGACTAAATATCATAATAATGACTAAATATCATTTCATATACTTCACTCATTAATATCTTGGCAAATTCTTTGTCTTTGTTCCAATATTTAAATATACTAAAAATTTTAATTTTTTAAATTTAAAATTATAATTCAAATTTTTTATGTTTTGCTCAAAATTCTTTGTTTAAAATTTAAAAAGAAAAGAATTTAAACAAACAAAAACAATCGTAATAAACAAATTTTGAAAATATAAAAAAACATATTCTCTTAGTTTATAACTTTTTCTAATTTCCAAAATAATAATGAAATTTCATTATATTATTGATGGTAGCAATATATTCAATATATATCACTTAAGCAAATATCGTACTACTAATCAAATTTGAATTTGCAATTAAAACTTATGAAATGTATAAGTGATTTGTATAAGTGATTATTTAAATTAAAATATATGCCTAAGATTATTACCAACCTTCATATTAAAATTGCCTTTTACGATTAAAATTTTCAAAGTTTTTATAATTGCTAAAATTTATCTTAGGCATATGTTTTAATTTGAACAAATTTATTTGTAAGTTATAAATGTTCGAATTCAAATTTATCAATTCTTCAAATAATTTCTTTTCTTTTGTTTCATTTTTCCATTACGTATTGCATTCATTTCTTTCCATCTAATAAAACTTTACTTTTTCATTAAATTTTAAACATAAATTAAATTATTTACTGCATCTAAAACAAAAATGTATTTTTTTGTTATATTAAAAATTTTTTAATTATTACTATTATCTCATTGGAATTAGGATAATTAAGAAAGTCAAAGAAAAAAATTTAATTTAAATTAATCCGGAAAATTTCAATCGATCATTAAGTCTTATTCCTATTATTAAATATCATTAGAATTTGACTGTTCAATATTTCGTTTATTTCAAACTTATGATAGTCAAATAAGCTAAAATTGAAATTCATCAACTTTATGCTTAAAGATTATTGGTTAAACGAATTTCGAAAAAATGTTAGATAGTCAATCAAAACATTTTAGGATATTCAAAAATACTAATCAATAAATTCTCCCATTTCTCAATTTCGAAATTAGTACCTTTAATCACTGCCAACATTTGTAATCTAAAACTAACTGCTTCTCTGACTTCTTCATTTTCTCAGAACGTTGCACAACAATTTTCATTCGCATCTAACATTTCTCTCCCTCTCTCTCTCCCTCTTCCTATATCCTGCTTACTCGATATTACTCCTAATCACTAAACATTACAAATGTGATTTTTTGCAAATTTTCTCAATCCATCCATTCCCATCAATTTTTTAATCCTCATACTATTCTCTCACTGCTTTTACTTCTCTTTCCATAACTTCTTAAATTTTCCTCAATCTCAAATTCTCCCCAAAAGTATTTTATTTCTTATCCGCTGTTTCGAAAAATTTGCAATTGGAATATTATGAAAATTACTCTTCCCTTGCTCATACCACTTCACTTTTTCATGTCATTGCCTTATGTCACTTATCTTTCACCTGTTCTACGTATTTGACGTCTTTTTGTTTTATTGACTTAGTTTCTTGTTTAGTTTTTGAAGGACTGAATAAAAAAAAGACGTAAGTACAGAAAAACTTAAGTGTTAAGTGTGAATAAGTTAAACATATGTTTTCGTATATTGTATTGATTTCACTTGTGAAAATAATTGGCTGACAGGTAAATAATAAGACTACTTCATTAGCAGCTCATAAGCAATGATTGGATTAAGATCTGCACACTTATTACTTCCTTATTTGTTTATTAATTAACAAATTTTATGCTCAATTTATACCTTGAGTGACTAAATTGAATAAATTTATTGACATGCTAAATTTTTTGCTCTGATACACTTATTCATTTACATAATGAATCGCTTGCCAGCTTACTACCTAACTGTGAATGTTTACTTATTTTTCCTTCACTTGTTTAATCCTTATTTTCTTGACTACTCACAAACCGTCTAAGAGTTTGTAAATGCTAAATATTAATAGGGAGTTTTATAATTAGTGATTCACAATTTCTCCTGCTAATAGTAATGAAAATGATAATAAGAGCAACAGATGATTATAATGGTAATATTTTTAGTAATCAGTAGCATTGTTATAAGCATTAGCATTAGATGGGGAATTGTCGATATATTATTAGACATATTAAATAACTCTAATTCCGTTGTTGAACTTATCGAATCTTTTGTGACTCATACAGTTTTCCTACTCTTTTCCTCTTTTAAACTGCTAATAAATAACACTTACAGCAAGCAGTCATTCTATCAATCATTATCGATTTCCTGTTTGGTGTTTTGTGCTGACCGGACATTGTCCTTCTGGTCAGTGTAATTATTTCATCGATAACAGCGATAGCAAAAGCAGCGACGACGACAAGCTAACTGTTTTTCAGTTCCTGTTCATTCGTTTTATTCTCCTTGTCTTCCTTAAAGCAATGATTCGACGAAGTCCGCGATTTTGGTTTCTCAACTGCTGCATTTCGCCACAATCAGAAGTATGTTTATCGTAATTTATATACATAAACAACTGCTGAATACTTTACGGATGCTTCTTCACTTCACTAATTGTGATGAAATAAACGGGCCACTACCTCAACATTTTGATGGTTTTGTTATAGTTTTGTTTCTTTTTTGTGTGCTGGTAATTGTTGATTTGTAAATTTCAAACTGGCATATAAAATAGGATAAATTTGTCAACCGATTCAAAAATAGGTGCAAATTAATTTTTAAATCAATGCTTAGACATGACAGGTTCATGATAGATTCATAGCATTCTTACTTGTTCGGCTAAAATCAAGTAATTTTTTGATATTATATCAAAAAAGACATCTTCATTTTTAAAATAGCGAAGATCAATTAATGACCATTAGTTTTAATCACTCGCTATTTAGTTAGAATTAAGCTGGATAACGACCGGTCAGCACAAAACACCAAAACAGGAAATCGATGATGATTGATAGGGTGACTGTTTGCTGTAAATGTTATTTATTATCAATTTAAAAGAGGAAGGAGAAAAACTTTTTTTTAGAAAGAGAAAAATTCTTTGCAGATAGCTCGAATAAGGATAGATCGTTCAATGATTGGCGGTCCAACGGATTTCCGGCATATTGGACATATGGGTGCAAATGATATCAATGCTACATTCAATGTGATTTATTCATTAAATTTTTTGCACTTTTTGGAACAAACAAGACATTAATTATACATTTTCAACACTCTATTTATCATTGTTTGTTTTAGATTTTAAGAAGCTTTATTTTCCTAATTTTTCGAGACACAAGTTTGCACATTAGTTGGGGCATATTTTATTTTATTTACGCGTTAACTTTTGATAGCACTTTAATGCATTATGTAGTATCCTAAGGTGTCACAGTTTCAATTTTTGTGTACTAAAAATTAAAGCTGTTAGTTATTTCTATTTCGAGGTTTTAATTCCAGGTCGATGAAGTAAGTTGTTTGCTGAGGTCAAAAGGTGATGACTCTTATTCATTGCCGGTGCCACAACATCTTCGGGCAAATGATGTACCTATTAGAGGTAGTTTTCGAACCTTTGGCTATTTAAGTGTTTCTTATAAGTCACTGCAAAAAATGAGGTAATTGCATATGTTGTGAAGGATATAAGCATTAGGCTTCTTTAGATTCAAAACATCAAATTAAGAAATAAAGTCCATTAACATTATGAAAAACAAGCAGAGTTTCCAAAACAGAATGCAAAGGTCGCCTAAGTTTAACTTAGGCTGACAATCCTGGGAAGCAAGTAATTTTGGTTCTTTTTTCAGCTCAATAACATCTTGGATACTTTTCTTAATGGGTTAAATATCTGATCAATGGACGTGATGCCAAGATCGACTTATATTTTCTTTCATTAACGTTATTTGTGGTTTTTATTCTACATTTCTACATTGAGTGCTCAACGAATCAATGCTATCACTGCTGTTGCATTGTTTATTATGTCATTCTGAATTGTTTCAACACAGTCAGAAAATGCCGAAAATATTTGAAAATGTTGGATCCAGTGAAGCTTATTTTAGTTTTCATTTATATGTTTTTGAGCAACTTTCATGATCTTGCCCAGAAAGATTTTACCTTTTGGCCTGATCTGTTTGCTTCGCTTATACCGTTACTGTAAATATTTGCATTTAATCTTCTGCCTGCTTTTATAATTATATTCCTTATTTTAAAATATGAACATATATGTGAGAGGTGTTTGTTTTGTCGGTTCTCGGGTATAACACTTCAAGTTGGTGGAAATTATTTGATTTGATTTCTCCTTTTTCCTTTTTATCAACATTCTATTCCTGTTCTTATTAAGCAGCAAAAGATAGAAGTGTGTCTTTGCTATGTTCATCCGGAAATTTTCTTATAAATTTGCACTCTGAAATTTTTAATAAATTTGCACCAAATATTGTTTTATTAAAAATGAATTTTTCTTCTTACGCTGTGGTGTTCCGAGCGCAACTTGTCAAAAGAAAAAGGATGCAAGTTTGCACTCGAAGTGTAGTTAAAATTTGTATTCCTTTACTTCAGGTATTTACACCACTTATTATATTTCTGCGTCCGGTAGTGCAACATAATAGTATTAGTATTGTTAATAGCTTGATTGGATGTCGTGATTTTTTCATTTTTCCCATTTTCTCATTTAAACATATCATTTTGCTACATTGTACATTTTTCGTTTAATAATCGAAATGCCGTCCTTCTACATCCCCCTAAAAGTTTGTCATTTATGCATATTCCTGTCATACTATTTTCCGCTGATTCACACTGCTGTACATTTTATGCAAATAAAATATATGGACAATTTGCTCGTTTAATTTTTTAATTTTTTTGAACATGAAATCGGTATAGAATATTACCGTTGGATCTTACAATGTTACCATTCTTTTTCATAGTACTTCTAAGGATAAGTGACATGTCTTAATGAAATGTATCTGTATTTAAGTATCTGTTAACTGTTCAAAGAGATAAGAAATTCCAAATTTAACAAGACTAGATTACCAGTATGAGTATCATCAATTGTTTTTTCTTTTTTTTTTGTAGAATATAAAAGCAATTAAATCAGCTTAGCCAATTTACCATAAATTTTACTTTTACCTCTTAACATATATTGTAGGATCATGGGGCGAGAAAAAAAAGATTTAAAGCACTTTTCGAACATTAATGCGATACTGTTTGAAAATATGAGATGTAAATATAAAGTTTCTATAGAAGTACAAAGTTGAAAAGTAAAAGCAAAGCGAACAATCAGATTTCTCGTTTTTACAAATATAGATCAGGAGCCAAGCAATCAGGTCATTCCATGTTATGTCAATCAGGTCTTTCCGGTGGCATTTCTTTCCAGTTTTTCGCGTACTTCTTCCAAAGTGATACGTTTACTAGTTAGTCGTAATATCTTCGACCTTGATCGAGCACCCTACAAAACAACTTAAGCTAACAATTCAAAAGTTTTCAATTACAAACAAATGATGCAATAAACTCTTTTTCGTGTTTTAGTAGGTCAAAGATTATGTAAAGTGCATGTTGCGTTATACACATAAGATACCCGAAAGCTATTATTCATGTATCGAAATTTGAAGCTATGTTTTGGACAAGACTTGGACTTTCATTCTTTGCAAATTTTAGATTTTGCTTTGTGATTTTTTAGTACTTTTGCCAAATACTTGAAAATCAGTTATATTGTGCTAATTTTTCCTAATATTTCAAATATTTTCGAAACTTGTCAAAATTTTAAAACATTTCCAAAATTCAAAATTTTCGAAAACACAACAACTTGTTTATCGTAATGGATATCATTGTTTAAGATATCACTGTTTGCTACACATTGATTAATTACTTCTTTGTTTTTTAACTTAGTTTGATCTGTCTATCAATTCAAGAAGAATGTTTTTCCACTTTTCCTATTCCTATATTTTCCTTATCTATGCCATCTTTTAACTATTTTGCTGCTATAAATAGTTTGAAAAAAAAACAGCGCGGATGAAATTTACTGTATCAAACGTAATTTCATTTTTACGCAACCCCAGAATATCCATCATAGCATAAATCAGTGTTTCATTCGCTTGACCATCACGTGCAGGTGCAGCAATCGCAAGTTCAATTTCGTTCGCACCAATACATAAAACAGAAAATGTTATCATCATACCATTTTTAGTGAAGTTAAAAGTTCACTTCCAAGTTCTTTCTACGCAATAAATATAACTAAATTCAGCTTTAATTACCATCTAATTGTGGAAATGTGGGATATGGAAAAATGAATAAATTAAAGTATTCTCGTTTCGATCTCAGTAACTTAATAATTATTTTTTGTAAATAGGAAATTGCTTAACAAGGATTAACAAATTGCTGCACCTATAACACGTGTTCTTTTTGCATTAGGTTTTGCATGTATCTTGAGAATGATTTCGCCATTTTTACTCATTGATATGGCGCTTTCTTCCGGTTTTTCCTGGAAGTTCCGAAGTTTGCTATCTTTCTAAAGTTATCTGTCATACCGAATGAATTACTGAAGGAAGAAAATCACATTTAACTATTATAACTAGTCTTTTCAATACGATTTTGAAACTTATTATTATCTTCAACACATAATACAATTTTGAAACTTATCATTATTTCAACACACTTTTGCCACTTGCTTGTTGTAAAATTTCACTCGTTCAATATACAAAATATCATGAGAAAGAATTTTTCCTTCGTTACAAATTTAAAATAAGCATTTTTAATGGAATTTAATTTCTGAATAATATCAAATTATGTTAAACAAACCTTATTTAATATATTCGTTGTCATTGCGACCGTTCTTGCTACTTTATTTTTTGCCCAATTTTCTAATCGTAACTCACCTCTAAATTCACTAAGATAAGGGTTTCTTTGTTTATCATTGCTAAAAATATTATGTTTTATCTGTTCACCAAACATACTTATAATCTAGCTCTCTAATTTTCTTCTTATTACTTTCTCTTTCTCATTCTTTGGAATATTCTTCTTCCTATTTGGTTTGATTTGTAAACTTTACCAGTAATGCATATAACTTCGTAACTTAAGCTTTGTTACCTGTTGTAAATGCGACAATTCAGATATATTCGAGTAAGCATTTATCCGGAAAACAATTCTTTATTTCCAGAATTTACTCTCCTTTTCCACATTTCTCTCTTTATATTTTAATGCAAAATTGCCAAAAAAGTTCCTGAAAATTAACCATATTTAAAATAAACGAATTATAAAATCAGTCTTATACAGTTTGTTAAAATAAATAGCAAATACACCGAGATCGAGTTTCAATTTTAAATTTCAATTGGACATAATTATCGAGCTATTCTTCATTGAACATCTATTCTTCCCATTTGGATATAATTATTTAGCTATTCTTCATTGAACAACTAGGTGTTCGATAGGTGTTCAATCTTCTCACTTGAACATAATTATTTAGTTATTCTATTGTATTTATTGATATCTGTTGTCGTAACTTAATATTTCTATTCCTCTCCTTCCTATGTAATAGAATTCATTTTCCTTTTTTTTGAAAAAAGCAAATTGTAAATAAATGAATCACAGGCCAAGGAATGAATCAATACGAAAGGTATCACATTTTAGAAGGGCGAATTTGAAGAATCGAAGTAGCTTAACCATTATGAAACAACTCTTCCATATGTCTCTGATGATTAATGTTAATATACTTGATTGGGAAATTATTAAATCAATAACTATTGCAGATTGTCATATGCATATGCTTAAATTAGATCAAAAAAATTTTTTTAAGATTGAGTTATCATATAACTTGAAACAACGAAAGTGAAAATGGTTGATCACGGTGAGACAACGAGGAAAGATCGTCCATATTCTCGTGAAAAAGAATATGTGACATTGGATCAGTTATTTCAATACCTACAATCTTTTATCATTGTACAATGGGTAATAGTGATCTTTTGATTTATTAAAAAATTATACTTGATTGGCAAATATTTAAATATATTGTATTTCACATGTTTTGCTCACATTTTGCTATGCTACTAATATTTCACTGCAACCTTGCATAATTTAACCTATAATTTATTTTATTCTATTTTAGATTCTTAACATATACAATGAAATCAAGCATAGTAATAAAAATGTGGAGGAAACATTTGATAAAGTTGAAGAAGGATTCAAAAGAGCGTATGTTCATTCAATGGATCTTTACAATCGATATCAGGAGATTAATGTGAATGGTATGTTTATATCATCTGGATTAGGTATTTAGTTAAGAAGTATTGTTAGAATAAGGTAAAACTTATCTGGTGATAAATGAAATTATTGAAAAAATATAATTTTGTAAGCAATAAATTAAAAATGTGTCAAATAAAAGTTTATTGGCAGTTTATTTTCCAGCGAATTTCAGATCAAACAAAGCATTTACTGGAAACCATGCTTACATTTGGTGTGGGTATTATGGTGATAATGATACGACTTAATCTAACAATCTTAATTGCCATAGTTACTATGCTCTTCAACGCCATATTGAATGGAAAAACAGCAATGGAGCATGCCTCCAAATCAACATCGGTTTCTACTTCAAGCTTTTATTCTTTTCTAAAAAATGGAATTAGTATACTTTCCAAAAAATTATTTCTGATATTGTAAGTCTTTGTTGGGGAATTAAATTAATGCTTGACGATATCTAGCACTTAGTGTAGTGTGCCCAAATTTCTTTACCTTGAAATATGGTCTTTTATTGTAGGAAACCAGTTTATATTCAAACGACCATTAAGTTATAGCGTTGCATGGTTGTCAGTAATTAACTGACTATATGAACTTCCTTAGGATTGATGTGTTCTCGTAGTTACAATTATTATCAAGAGATCTCCGAAGGAATTAGTACTCTACATCATTTCATCACATTCTAGCATAAATGTTTATTGATAAATGCGAAATTTTAATGAAAAAAGCTTCTTAAGTGCAAAGATTAAGAAGAAATTAGAAAAAAAGTTTAAATTAAAGTATAAATTTTGCAAGGTAATTGAAAAGTATGCAAAATAACAATCAAATAGATTATATTTTTCATCAACAGTGAAATAAAAATTTTTTAGAATGCACAAGAAACAGCTCGACAGTTGGTAACCGATTTATCTGAAAAAGTGCAGCAAATTTCACGAGTAAGTTCTGTATGATGCTGACAAAGATATAAATTAAATATTATTTATAATTGAAAAAATTTATCCATTAGATTGTAGAATAGACTGCAGGCTTATTCTTGATTATCAATAGATTATAGGCTCATTCTTGATTATATTTCTCTTTACCAGTTTTTTCAAGATCTTATTTTGATTCTTAATCTTCGTGGCAATGTTTCATGATAACATAATGACTCAATTATTTGAAGGAATATATGCTACGTGCTAAAAGAGGTAAAAAAGAAAGTAACAAAAGCATACTCGCGGTTACTATAACAGTGCACGGGGAAAGAAAGTCATATTAAGAAATTAACCTGTTCTAAAAATTTGCATTAGTGAAGAAAAGATATGTCGTTTTAAGGTTTCGACGGGGAAAGTTGAGGAACAAGCAAATCGCATTTTGGATGAGGCGAACAGGATAGCCCATTCGACAATGGGTGTATCACTGGAAAGCGATAATACCGAAAAAACACCCTGGAATCGTTTCCAAGATCTTAGTCATCGTATTTTAGAAAATTCGAAGAACTGTGTTGGAGGATTCTGTTGGGCACAATTTGATGCACAAAGCATTGTACAATGCTTGAGTGATTCCATTTCGCTGGTATGGTTTTTTATTTTTTATTTAAACATAGATAATAGTTTTAGAACTGTTGCAGGTGACATATCATCATAAGCATCCATAACATGCCTTAAATTGCCACACAATGCGTCTAAAACAATTGAAGAATATATGTAATCGAAAGCTCTGAAGAGTTGTTTTCCTCATCAAGGAATAATTCAAAAGAAATGAATAGTGTAATTCTATGAGATATAAATTCAACAAGATTTTACGGAAATTGATATATACCGAAGAACATGGCTAAAAAGAGAAATTGAAAATATTGCAAGGAATTGAAATATCATCTTGAAAGAATCATTCATATATCAATATATCGCAAGAAATTGATTTTCAGAAGAAATACTAGAAAAAAAATTGTTAATGCGTTTTAATTTCCAGGCTGACATTGTACGTAAAAATAAGTCGTGGGTGGCTGGTAAGGTTGGGGAGGTGCGGACATCACTGAATGAACTGAAGGTATTTTTGGAGACGGAAGGAAAATGCTTGAAAAAGAATCCCGAAGAGATGCTAATGCGCTATTTGCAACGAACTTCATCTGTTTTACCTGAGCGACTTTGCATGTTGGAAAAAACAACTGGAAAAGTAATTTTTGATCTATACAGTTATTTCAGTTTATGTCTTTACAATTGATTGAAGATGGAGAAAAACTTTATTTATTTTACATTCTTTCTTTTTACCTCTTCTTTTTTCTTTTTTCTTTTACTGTTATCACCTATTACCCTTCCCTCTAATTTTTCCTGCAGTCACCTTTTTACTTATAATGGCTTTTCGTGTAATTCCCCTACAGTTAATGTTGTCATCTTTGAAATTATGGTAGCAGGAGAATAAGCAAGATATTGTGTCATCTAGTTAGCGTATTTACATTACTAATTATTCGTACTTCAGGTATTGAATGAACAGGCTACAAATAAACTTGTTACTTTAATATCTTATATCGAAAAATTGAATGAAAAGTTGATGGAAGCTGACAATGTGCACGAATTGAAAGATGAAGTAAGGCTCTTTCTTCGAGATTATGTTTAAAAACCTCAATTTCAACAAGTGATTTGTGTTAGCCTTCATTTTTTGCAAAAAAACCTTTTCAACTATTCCCATTTCATCCAATTTTCCTTTTCTAATAAAAAAATCGTAATTTATAGGTCCTCAAGGAGGCACATGACCGTCTAGTTGATTTGCTGCAATGGTTAACAGATCACATTAACTGCAATGATAGTAGTCATACAGGAAATTCGGAATCGTTCGATGATGAATTAAACTAATTAAAGTGGCTATGATTATTAATAAAAAACTGCGCCAATTTAACATAACTTTATACTTCCTCATAATATCATGATTTAATGCAGTTTAGCCTGTTAGACAAATCAAAAATTATTTCTCAATATACTATTTCCAGCATACATATTCAAGAAGCGGTATGAAAATTTAATAGAATTGGGGATCTTATCTCAAGTGTAATTCTTTGAATACTTTTAGTGAATAGAAGTTGTGATGGAAAAAAAGTAACTTTTGATCTACTAGTGATGTCAATTGTGAGAGAGAAATAACACTTCTCGTAAAACGGAGATTCGGAGAATGCAAACACTGTAGAACTGTTAGATCTTAAAAATTGGGTGACCTGCGTTGCAAAAGAACTATCGGAAAGCCAGCACTAAGAAATCTCCACTTGATATTAAATTTTTCCAATTTAATTAGAGAGAAGATGACAGAAAGAGTCACATACTATTTCGTTATTTTTTCATGTGTTTACTTCTCTTCCGAGTGCATCTAATTAATGACGTTTATTTCGGTGTGCACTGAATGTTTTCATGTTACATCTCATTACTTTGTTATCATGTACTTTGAATTTCTTTTGTACTTTAGAATTAATAATCATTACTTGTTACTTTAGCAGGTATTTTTTCATCTGATTGAAATAAGGTCTTGGTTCCATTCATTCACTCCACAATAAACGACAATGAGTTTATCAGTATGCTTGAAGAACGCACCATGAAAATATGTATACATTCAAGTAAAAATGTACGACCTAACTATAATTGGTTAAAGTAAATGGAATAAATTGCAGCAAGAAATTAATCGTTAGGATGGCTACAGCTAAGATCATCTACCAGAACATCCATGCAGAATAACCGAAGCAACCTTAACTCTGAATGATAAACAACATACGCGACTAGCAATTAAAGCTTGAGGAGACGATCTATGTGGCACTAATGAGATGTAACTTGCTTGGTTCTATAAATTTCCTATTTCAGTTTCATAAATTTTAAGGGAGATCAAAGAACAGATAATTACTTTAAAAGCTAAAGAACTGCAGAGATGTGAAATCCTATACGAAAGACGAGTAGTTTTAAGTCTTTGGAATGGCAGAGAAAAAGAAGTAATGAAGAAAGTATTTATTGTTGTACCGCAATCTCAATCAGCAATTAATACATATATTAAAAACGGCAACAACAATACCAGGCAACGTTTTGTCCCACCTTCTTGAAAAATACGTTAGATCTGATATTGGAATCAAATGAACAAATTTGGTCCTAACAAGTTTTTAATCAAAAATTACCCATGTTCGGATGTACCAGCACGAATATTAAAATTCCACAATTCTCTTGAGAATTTCAAGGCAATATTGAGATTCTGCTGATAGAAACTTAGGGAATAACTTCAAATATTTCAACAATATACTTGACATCAAATACTTCAATACTCCTCTAATCACAAATACTACTGCACAAATATTACAATATTGAGGAACATTTCGGGATTCATTCATTTTTGAACAGTAAGAGTCGCTTTAATTCATATATTCGAAAGATTATCCAAATATAAGTTTTGCAATAATGACGAAGATGTTGACAGCAATAAGTGGCACTTAAAAAAAGAACTGCTTTTACCTCGAAACAGAAATTATTAAACAAATCATATTTTCTGTGAGCTACTGAAATAATTCCTAATTATCCGAAAGAAAATTCCTAAATAGATGCAAAGTTGAAGAGGAAATATGTTAGCGGAGAAATTACTGTTTAAATAACTGTTATTAACAACATCCCATACTCTGAAATTTTTACAATTTTTCACTTCAATGACATTAGAGTACTAAAGGAATCCCTGCTGGAATTTCATAGAGGAGTGAGTTACTCGGTCTAAATAAAAAAGTCTAAATAGGATGATGGTGATAAACAGTTGTAATAATTAACGGAGGAGGGGTAATTAATTCTTCGTTCATACTAACCTCGCATAACTGTTTGTATTGCAGTAATGAGGTTCACTATTTGCACTTTAAAAGATGATGGATTCACAACTTCGAAAGAATTGCTCGGCACCGAAAGACCGATCTGAAAATATATTTACCATTTGAGTTCCATTTCACGAATTACCAGCTTTCTAAAACATTTTACTTAATTACTCGAACTAACGAAGATATCCCATATTTATTGCGGCAATACCTTAATCAATTATATTCATATCGAAGTCCATAACTATGGAAGTTAAAATGAATTCATCGCGGCTAAGAATAAAGAAAATACCAAGAAATCGAGGGAAAAAGTTCCACCTTATTTAAAAAGCGCTCCTTATTGAGTACAGCGATTCCATTTAAGACAAGTAAACCTGCTTCCAACAAACCATAAAATGAAATAAACATCCTTGTTCAATTGCAGACAATATGAAATTCCAGAAATCAGCACAAAGTTTGACTGGAAACAAGACCTCTCAGCCTGACCGCCAGTTCAACCTTCATATAAAAGTTAAATTTATCCCTAACAAGATGATAATTTCCCCTTCGCTTGCTTAGCCGAAACAGGATTAAACACCACTTTAATATTACGAAATTTAAGTGACTGCCAAAATAGAAATTTACCACCAGTTACAGCAAATTGTGCAAGCCCGTATCTCACATTTGTTACAGTACTAGCAAACAATATTTATGCTTTTCTTATTTGCTTAGCAAATAAGTTAAATATGTCACGTGGGCAAGGGGGAAATGTTTCGTTTTTGAGAAAACCCTATATAAGAGGAGTCGACAACCGAATGTTAAAATGCGTACTCTATCTATGCTAATCAAATAATTTCCAGATCAATAACACCAACCTGAGAGGCATATCATTTTCGCTTCTACAGGCTCTTTGATAATAATACAACAAAAATTGATAAATATTCTGGCACTACTCAAATGCTACAAATACTGATGCCATGGACATTAATTTGAATTCGATTTTTATCGTGTAGTGGAATTTGATGCTGAACACGCAGAGTACCAACAAAATTCCAGGAAGTGAAAGGAAACTTATCATAAAAAGAAGTATCGATATAACATCGTATGTAAAACATACGAGAAAGATAATTCACTAATCAATACTAAATGATTAATAATTATAGCAATGCACAGTAAGTACTCCACGGATGTGAGGACAAAAATATAACATTGCTCCCGTTTACGCTATATTATGTAAAGAAATTTCAGAATTAGTTTAAAAACGAATATACCAGTAAGCGATCAATCACAGCTGAAATCATAAACTACTTATTTTAGGCAAAAGTACATCATTCGAATCCCAAGAAACCAACATCATCAATTCCTGTTACCAAAAAATTTGAAATCTTTTCTATATAAACTCAATTAAGGAATCAAAGTAGTGCAAAGGAAATTAATTGTATGCGAAGTTTGATTGAAAATTACGTGAAATTCAACATATTTCCCACTGCAGTAATGATCTGACATGCACTACCAACTTCCTAATGTTTTATCTTGTGTCGAGTACGTGATAATTGGATACGTATTGTTTGGCAAAAAATATTCAGCACTAATGAAAATATCAGAAATAAGATGTAAGTGACACGAGATGTTATATGAAGAGCAGAAGTTTTAAACGACATTCCACAAGTATCACAAAACGATTCACATGAATATCTTGAAAAAAAATGAAAGACAGTTAGAAAAAAAGACGTACTATCTGCAAAAAGTTATAAATGTGATCAAAGAACAAAAACACGCAAGAGTTGGTTAGCGGGATAAATTTCTCCTGTTCTAGGGCAAACAATTTCATCTGATGCATTAAGCAACTTCTCAATCGAGTTCGCACCATAAACATAACCATTCGGTAGCATAAACGGCTCATTTTCATCATCCATTGGTTCTCCCGAATAAGCACACATCAGTCTGTAAATGGAATGTTCTACAAAAACTCTCATTAAAACGATCCTGCAACACTGCGTCTGTATTTCAGAGAGCTTCAGAAAAACGTAAAAATGCTGCCACATGTTAACCCAGTGTAAAATTTAAATCAAGGAGTGAGTAAAACAGAATGGTCTAGTAAATAACATGCGCTCTCTCCGAGAATTTCCAGTATCACAAGAGGGGAAATCTGCACTGAAATATTCTCTAAAGTATTTTTGTTCAGTGTGAATGCACAATTGCGCACATCAAACAAGTTCTATATGAGTTTATCTCTCCAACTACTATGTTTGTAACATATATCTTGCAGCCCAGCATGTCAATTCAAATTAACTACTACACTTCAGTAGAGCAAAGAAAAAATGAGAGCAAATTAACGACAGTTATTTGCAAACATAATATTTAAAAATCGAATATATTCAGAAGCTTACTTTGAATTAGAAACATGAGAATGGGGTAAGTCTTCTGCAAGTTCGTGCATGTCAGGACGACAAGTTGGACAGCGAGAATCTGGATCCGGATGACACTGTGGACTTTTGTAAGCTGATAATCCCATACATAGACAGGCATTAAAAGATGAATACTCCATGAGCTAAACAAATAAAATAAAAGCAACGATAAAATATCACATGGTATAAAAAACGACGCTATAATTCTTTGTATAATAATCATTGCTGCGCTATTATGTTCACCAAGAGTTGACTAAGCTAATCCTATCAACAGTGTACATTTGGAATCAGTTGCAACTTCCCTTGAGCTATGGACGTCAGTTGCAACTTCCCGTTAGCTATGATCACGAACAACGTTCGTGACAACTAACCTTATATACACGAGCATTTTCTTGTTTAAACAATTCAATCAGCTGATCCCAGCGCTTTTCACTAAAATATTCGTTGTAAGCACGACTTTTGGACGGAATTCCGAAACCAATAAGACCCATAACCTTCAAGAAAGAAGAATGAAATTACTAAAAGAACAACAGCTTTGTGCCTATATCACATAAAGACGTCAAATTATAATTTATCAGAATCAGAGATGTTCGGGTATCGAATATAAAATATTGAAAACGATGAGTTGCAAAGTTTCAATTAAATTGAACAAATTTCATTCTCTCCTATTCGCCAACCAATTACTCCCAAAAATTCACAAATTTCGTCAGCATCAATATTGAAGGATAATGGATTTCTTTCTGCTTCTCTCCTCAAGTGTGCAATCTTATCCAATAAAAGAACATAATCAGTTACTTTCACAACTTGTTCGCTCCACTGATCTTTCGATAAATTGGCCAAAAATTTTCTGGCATAATGTACAGCCTCTAAACGTTCACCTGAAATATCAGTTTTTTTTTCATAGAATCTACCATATCATATGCATATGATGGAATTCAAAATGTAATACGATTTAGAGACAATTTTTTATCCTCCTAAAAGATTTTGCAAATTTTCAGTCCATGAGAGAGTCCATAATTGAAGCCAGCCAAATTGTATGTGAATATAAAAAAGCTTACCTCGTCGTACTAACTCAATACAATCCTGCAAGCGAACCGTCGTTTCTAGGGTGCTTTTCAAGCGACGTAACTTCGACTTGTTATCAGCAATCCATTCTAAGCATCGATCGGTTTCATGGCGCGATAAGCTATCTTCTACCTGCAAAACCTCCTCAAGAAACCCATTAAATTCTTTAAAACCACCTCAAGAAATTCATGAAATTTTTTGAAATATTGGCTTCATGATGAGAATAATTTAATGCGTCGATATTTAATGAGTCTCTCATTAAATATAGACGCATTAAATTACCTTCAACTGTAAAACTAAACCAGATATTACCAGTCAAAGATATAATTCAAGCAGTATGGGATAGGAAGATGGAACGAGTCCACTTACCTGCTTCGCAATCATGAAAACAGTTTTATTACACATATCTTCCACGTTCGCCTGTTCGGCTAATTTTTGTGCAGTTTCGAAATAACCTGAACGTAGCAAATAATCGATAATCAAGCGACTAATGCGCTGACTACGCCAAGTTTCCTGTTTCAAAACATCAGTCGTGTTAGCCTGAAAATTAATATTGCCGCTCTTTAGTTTTGCACTTCCACTAACTGATTTATCAACATTGAACGAAAATTAATGTGAAAGTTAAGTACTACTTATACTTATTTCATTCCTGAATGCCCCATTTTGGAAATACGCTTTCAATGAAAATATTCCAGTGTTTTTTGGATATCCAAAAATCATAGACTTACTTTTTAGGATGACTACTACATAGCGCTTTTTAGTAAATGTTCTTACTAATTCAAAAGCATTATTAACACCACGATTAGCAGATGCATAATTTCCAAAAGCAATAAAAGACATCGATTACACCTGTTAACAATAGATTATTCGTAACCAATCACAAATTCATCCCTTCATGTTTGATATATGCCGCGTCCCATCATCCCTACCACTGAACCATTTCCGATACTAGATAAAAAAATAGTTCAGAAATTCATGAACCTGCTGCAGATATTTGACTCGCGTATCCAAGAGATCAATCAATTCCATTTCTTCATCGGTGATTTGCTTGAATGTACCAAAAAGTTCTTCAAAGCGTCCAAAATAAGTATCCATTTTTTCCCTAATCTATAATTTTACAAATTTGGATCAAAATTTAATGCACAGTAAAAGCCATATGCAATAATAACAAAGAAATCGCATTGTGAATGATTGAGTAAAATACAGTTTCAACAGCCATCAATCCATTTTCATTTGCAATGAAGACATCTTTCCTTGTTTTTAAGTTTGTTTCCCAAAGAAAAAAAAAATTTTTTTCCAATGCCGTAGTCAAATATGAAATTAAACCAAATATTTCGGTTAAATAACATTTTTCATCAAAACGCTTACTAAAGAATCCGTTATCAGGTCACCCTATGCTATGATCTTCATGAAAATGAAATATATGAAAATTGTGAGCGGATAAAAGGATAAAAACTTACTTCGCGTTTGTAAATAGTCTTATTACCGTCACCTCTCATAGCTTTTGCTACCAAATCAGCACTTTCCTTCAGATAATGATTATTTTTTTCTATTGTTTTTTGCGAGGAACGAAACCGTTTGTTGAACAATTCATATGGCACTTTAAGTGATGTATATTCGAGCGCTGTGATTTCATCTGGCTTCAACTGCTCCGAACTTTGAGCTAAATATGCAAGCTGTTACTTGAAATTAAAAAATACGAAATAGATCTTTTCATGTTATTTATAAGAAATGACAATAAAAATCAGTAACAATTACGAGAATTTGAATCCTGAGACGGTGAACTGGAGGACATCATGGGTTTCCTTTTAATATATACTTTCTTCCCTTTCAACTCCAGTAGAAAACACCAACACCTGTCAACGAACGTTAGTATTGATTTCGAAAATATATGAACAAATTTTGAGAACGCACAACAATCTCTTCTTATTAATTCAGTAAATGTTGACTTACTATCATCATATCTAATGTTCCACATTAGTCAACATTTACGGAAATAATAAGAAGAGATAAAAAATTGATATTTGAAACTGAGTGGTGTTGATTTGGTCATCTATGGAAAGTTCACTAGATCTGAACAATTCAGTACCGGATCCAATCAGGAAAGCCCAAGGAAAAAAAGCAAAAAGATTAAAATAATGATCAAGAATCACATGAATCAAAAAACATTCTTGATTCCTACTCATCTGTCGAAAACACGACAAACAATCAAGTCAACCTACCAACCGTTACCGCTTAATGCCTCTTCCGCAAGAATTATATAACAGTGATGTAAAGTTAATTAATGTCTTCATTTATTAAATCGAACAAATGAAATATAAGTACCAAAAATGGGAACAAGAATGTTCCCATTTGTAAACAAATGAAATATAAGTACCAAAAATGGGGATATTCTTGTTCCCATTTTTGGTACTCATATTTCATTTAATACAACTCCAACAAGAATCGTCCACCTCATCGAAAATCCACGAGACTACGAGATATGAGCTATGAAATATGGAAAGTTGTTTCAAAAGTTATAATACCTGATACAGCGTAATAGTTCTACTACAATTTAATTTACAAATTCATACGGAGTATACGTGGGATAATATTTCTACGCGTGGTATACTCAGCAGCGTATCTTTTAGACGCTAATGCTAATGTAATAGTTATTAAGTGGGAATATTAAGTTGTTGTATTTTCATAAACGATGCTAGTAATTCTTCTCCCTATACATAAAATTATAAGTTGAAGCACGACTTATGTAAAAATAGAAATGTGTATTAATAGATATTCTTCTGGATGATTAAATATGAAGTTTGAAGCTATATTTGAATAATGGAATTAGTTCAGATCATACGAAATTAAGAGACAATGACGGATAAATTTGACGGTGTCTTGAAGTTGTCAATGATTTCATAGGAATTAACGTCGTTCGTGAAAGAAATAAAAGAAATCGTTATGTTGTAAAAATTAATGTTAAACCTTATTGTTTTAACTATAATTACCAACTTTAGATTTTCTAAGCAAGGAAGATTCCATAAAAGCTTCAATTACAGCTTTTGTCATTCTAATGCATGGCAGCATTACTTTGAATAGAATCCATTTATTTACGTATTATTATAAGCCTTCACAATATTACTGCATGTCGGAGAAACCGAATTATATATCGAAATAAATTTATATTAAATCCATTAGATTAAACAATGTCTCATTTGAATATTTCTTAAACAAATATAAAACTATTACAATTTCATATCTTCAATAAGAAATTTATCCAAATCTTCTATTTACAGCTGAGCTTATTTGCTTTGTTTACAATGTTATAGTTTGTAAACAAATAATATGGGTATCTCCTGATATGTTGAAATGTGCTCCCAATTTCATCGCTAACATCTTCCAATTTAATAGCCATATTCATATTCGTTTGTCAATAACTCTTTATCCAATTAACTTTCTTTTGTTCAAAACCATATCTACTTACAATATTGAAATATTACAAAGATTTTCCAATATGACAGTTACTCACTCTTATAAGAATTTTTCACAATGTTAAAAACCAAATCCCACTATGTAAAGGGCGAAGATCATCCTACACGACATCTCTTCATTTACTATAATACGCTTGGCTGCAATCCAAAGTGCCTACTATACAATTAGTTAAACCCTTTATTCGACACAGCTTTTCGGCGAGAGTATCAGCAAGTGTCCATCGGCTGGTATCGCGCATTTATATTCAATCCTTACATTCAAATTCTTCACTTATTTTCGCAGATGTTCATTTTTTCCACTTCACCTCCTTCATTTCTTAAACAATACACGAAATCATCAGTATATTGCCAGTATAGATTAATTACTTTGTGTAACGTAGTTGTTAGCAAATAAAATTCGTTACAATAGACTCTATTATGCAACACATTCGTCTGTAAAAGCTTCGGATTACAATCAAGAAAGGTGCCTATCTAACACATCCATAAAAAGAATTCATCGACAATTTTTTGGTGTCCAAGATGAGGTCAAATGTCAAATGTCGTAACAAGAACCGGCCAAGAAGAAGATCAAGAAACTCATGAATGAATTCAGAGAATTTGAGTTCTCGCCATAAAATTTAAAATTCGAAATAAGAAAGACATAAATTGTATGGGATGAATTAAATAACAAAATTTCCCAATTGCAAAATAATTTTTGAATTGGGAGATATTTGAAATTATTTCAGAGTAACCACCGCATTTATTTTAATTGGTAATTAATCAAATTTTCTTAATAAATACTAGACAGAATGGAATATTTCATTGTTTCAATGATCAATTAGCATTTTTAATATATTATTGAATAGAATTTATAAAATAGACGAAAATTTTTATGCAATTATAAACGAAAAAGATTTTTTCTTAGTGTGACAATTTGCTTGTTAACAACAAAAATTCATCAAAATTAGTAGGAAAAATATGCAATTTCAACGTTTTTCAACGAAGCAATTAATTTGTTTCGTTAATTAACTTTGCTTTGTTTCGTTAATTAGCTTTGAATTAACTTCGTTTAATTACTATGCAACTAAAAAGTAAAAAATTAATTGAAAAATGAGAAAATGTTTCATTCTTCATTTACTATCAACGTTGATTTGCTCAAAAATTCCATAAACAAAGGGGTCAAAGATGAATTTTTCAATTGTACAATGAATACAATGACAGCTTTTTTCACAATAAATTTCATATTTGATTTAATTTGTCGAATTTTCAACAGAGATATATTCTACGCAAGGCATTTACGGCAACTTTTCCTCGCACCAAAAGAAATATGATAACATTTAAATATCAAATTTCATTAGCATATTTTTTTAAAATGAAGAATTATTGAAATGATTGCTGTTCACTTGAAATTTCAGCAAACGTTACGACACAGAAAGAAATTTTGCATTAACGAATAGCATTCATTACTTGATTTGAGAGATATCAAAGGAAAAATTTTCATAGGAGATCTTTTCTTTTTCATAATTAATAATAAAGGATTATTGGTAAATTATAATCTTCTACTTTTCTGTTAACTTTATATTATTCTTTTTCCTTATCCGTTTTCATCAATCTGAATTTAGAAATGTGAAAATAATAAAATCACAGAAAAACAAAAGGAGTGAATTGTTTCAATAATGAAGTTTACGGTATTCTGTACCGTAAACTATACCTTATAGTACTTATATATATTTTATATATATCTTATAGTACTTATATATATTTTATATATATCTTATAGTACTTATATATATTATATATCTTATAGTGCTTATAGTTTAAAGAAAAATTATGAATTAATGAAAGTGAAACATTTAAAACAATCAATTTGAATGAAAATATTTCATTTTTATTTCGGTCGTGCAAAAAACAGTGATAATACAAATCTTTTAATTGATAACATTTAAAGCAATGAGTTATTGAATGTCTTGAAAATCTATTTGGTGATACCGAGGGTGCAAAGAATACTTGAAAATTTTATTGGCAAATAGTCTGAATTTGAATAATTTCAAATAGTTTGAAATTTTTAATTTTTGTGATGGCAATGTTTCATCGTTTTTTGATGATGATCGCATATTAAATTATTATGTATTCTCTTCGAATGATTTCAATCCATTCCGAGCTGAAAGGATTTGATGACAATTGTGAACATTGCTGCCAGTTATGAACATATTTGCATTAAACCATTATTATTCAAACAAAAAATTTTAAGGTGTAGTGGAGTCAAAACTATTATGCGAAAAAACTGGAGCTTTATGATTATATTTGACCATAGATTATACGGATTACCGGAATGCATAAAAACGGTTCCCTCTGTTCACTTCATTAGATTGGTTGCCTGCTAAAAATATTTTTCGTTACTTATCAATCATGTATCTGTCATACTATTTGGTAGTGCTAATTTTGCCGTTATACGTCGCGCAAATAACGGTATGTGAATAAGATATTGCCTCTCAATATAGAAATTAAATATTCGCAAAGTTTTTAATCATAGCTAAGGACAAAAATAGCTGCTTCCTGTGCACGAAAATTAAACTTTTCATTTCTTATCTATTTCCCTGTTACTTCTAATTAGCCGAATTAATCTGTGATCAAATCTTATAGCAATAATCAAAGTCGAAAGCAAAAGTTTGAAAATTGAATCACCGAACTATTTTTGTTTCATCAATCTGTTAAACTTTCCGTCTCAAATCAACTGTCACAATATAGTACAACTGACAATTTTTTCCAATATTATTACAATTCACCGAGCTACTTTTAAAATATAGAAGTGAGATTCAAAGATTCTACAATGATATCTGCACAATGCCTCTGATTTTGGTGCCCAAAATTCACAGGAAAATAATAATCAAATATATTAACAAATCACTTTGGGTTATTTCAGGTACCAAATGGAGGCGATGAGGGAATACAAGCAGCAATAAGAAATGACGATGAAATAAAGATTGTGGCTAATGACAGTAAAGTAAACGAAAAACGGCACAAATGTGAAGTATGCGGTAAGCAGTTCGGATACACAGGCACTCTGCAACGCCATAAGATGACACATACCGATGAAAAGAATAACAAATGTAACATATGCAATAAAGCGTTCCAAAGGCCCTACAATCTGAAGGGCCACCAATTGATGCATGGAAGCGAACGACCATTCAAATGTTACGTGTGCAACGAAGCATTTCGAAGAACCGGCAGTTTGAAGAGACACTATTTGACTCACGGAAATGTACGACCATACAAATGTCACGTGTGCAATAAAACATTCAATGACTCCAGCAATCTGAAGAGACACATATTGACGCATGGAAACGAACAACCATTCAAATGTCACATATGCAGTAAAGCATTCAAAGAATCCGGGTATCTGAGGAAACACATATTAGTACATGGAAACGAACGACCATTCAAATGTCACGTTTGCAATGAAACATTCAAAGAGTCCATCAAACTGAAGAGACACAATTTGACGCACAGAAACGAACGACCATTCAAATGTTACGTGTGCAATAAAGCATTCAAAAGATCCGACAATTTAAAGAGACATTGTTTGACGCATGGAAACGTGCGGCCATTCGAATGTAAAGTGTGTAGTTGGAAATTCATTCAGAAAGGTGATTTGAATAGACATATTAAAGAGCATAAAAGTTCGGATGAAAAGCTATATTCTACAGTGAGCTCATTAATGATATCGATATCAGATATCATTGAAACAGAAATATCAATAAGGGAAATAATTAAATTCGCAGGACTATAAATTATTGTATTGTGTTGGCTTAAATTATATTTATACATATTTCTTCGGTCATTTATACTTTGTTCACTATTTCCTGATTGAATGTCGAAAGTGATTGATGAAATTGATTGGAAAATTTTGAATTATAATTTGACCCTTGCACTCATTTTTTCACATAAATTTTTATATGTTGTTTAAATTTATTGTGCCAGTATTCTTTTTGTTATCAATTTTGTCTAATCGACTATCGCAGCATCTGCTGACCTACAACCATTTCGCTGATAATTACTAACCATTCCGCTTTCTTTCTCTCAGCCAGTTACAGGATAAACCCTTACAATGTAATTTTCTTTCGATAGAACTTCATCTTGCATTCATTTTTTCACATAAATTTTCATATGATAAACGTCATTAACTATAATTTAACTATGCTTGTTCTTGAAATTGATAAATATGTATGAATAAAGAATGAATGATACATTCAGGTTAGTGATTTCAAATTCAAAATAGTAATGAAATGGTTAAGAATGATTATGTATTTCTAAAATACCGCAAAATGGAAATATCATATTAAATTGGTTATGTTTTATATATTCGTTATTAGCACTAATTCTGTTATATTTTATTTTATTAAATACTAAAAAAATCTTTAAAAAATTCATATTAATTACGTATCGTATTAACTGAATTACTTAACTTTGAAAAATTCATACATTTGAAAAATTCATAAATTGAGTATCGTATCAACTGAATTATTTTATGTGATTATAGATATACGACGCGTCATGCGCTGAAATCTGGCTTAATGTGCAACGATACATATCTTCATCCTTTTTTGGCGATGATTACATATTAAATTAATTATTATTAAATTACATATTAAATTATGATTACATATTAAATATCTTCGAATAATTTCATTCTATTCGGAGCTGAAAAGATTTGATGACAATTGTGAACAATACTGCCAGTTATAATCACATTTTTATGAAACTGTTATTATTCAATGTAAGTAACAAAAAATTTTAAAGTGTGGTAGAGTCAAAATTATTATGCGAAAAGACAGGAGCTTTGTGATTATATTTGATCATTGATCATACGGATTACCGGAATGCATAAAAACGGTTCCCTCTGTTCACTTCATTAGATTGGTTGCCTGCTAAAAATATTTTTCGTTACTTATCAATCATGTATCTGTCATACTATTTGGTAGTGCTAATTTTGCCGTTATACGTCGCGCAAATAACGGTATGTGAATAAGATATTGCCTCTCAATATAGAAATTAAATATTCGCAAAGTTTTTAATCATAGCTAAGGACAAAAATAGCTGCTTCCTGTGCACGAAAATTAAACTTTTCATTTCTTATCTATTTCCCTGTTACTTCTAATTAGCCGAATTAATCTGTGATCAAATCTTATAGCAATAATCAAAGTCGAAAGCAAAAGTTTGAAAATTGAATCACCGAACTATTTTTGTTTCATCAATCTGTTAAACTTTCCGTCTCAAATCAACTGTCACAATATAGTACAACTGACAATTTTTTCCAATATTATTACAATTCACCGAGCTACTTTTAAAATATAGAAGTGAAATTCAAAGATTCTACAATGATATCTGCACAATGCCTCTGATTATTGCTGCTCAAAATCCACAGGAAAATAATAATCAAATATATTAACAAATCACTTTGGGTTATTTCAGGTACCAAATGGAGGCGATGAGGCAATANATTCAAAGATTCTACAATGATATCTGCACAATGCCTCTGATTATTGCTGCTCAAAATCCACAGGAAAATAATAATCAAATATATTAACAAATCACTTTGGGTTATTTCAGGTACCAAATGGAGGCGATGAGGCAATACAAGTAACAGTGAGAAACGACGACGAAATAAGAACTATGGCTGATGGCGGAAAAGTAATCAAAAAATGGTTCGAATGTAAGGTATGCAATAAACCTTTCAAATGGTCCAGCGTTCTAAAGAGACACATATTGATGCATGGAAACGAACGACCATTCAAATGTCACGTGTGCAATAAAACATTCAAAGAGTCCAGCAAACTGAAGAGACACAATTTGACGCACAGAAACGAACGACCATTCAAATGTTACGTGTGCAATAAAGCATTCAAAAGGTCTGGGAATTTGAAGAGACACATATTGATGCACGGAAGCGAACGACCATTTAAATGTCACATGTGCAGTAAAACATTCAAAGTACCCGGGAATCTGAAGAAACACAAATTGACACATGGAAACGTGCGGCCATTCAAATGTAAAGTGTGTAGTTGGAAATTCATTCAGAAAGGTGATTTGAATAGACATATTAAAGCGCATAAAAGTTCGGATGAAAAACTCTATTCTACAGTAAGTTGCTCAATGATATCGATATCAGATATCATTGACACAGAAATATCAATAAGGGAAATAATTAGATTCGCAGGACTATAAATTATTGTATTGTGTTGGCTTAAATTATATTTATACATATTTCTTCTGTCATTTGTACTTTGTCCACTATTTCCTGAATGAATGTCGAATGTGATTGATGAAATTGGATGGTAAATTTTGAATTATAATTTGATGAAACTTCATCTTGCATTCATTTTTTCACATAAGTTTTCATATGATAAATGTTATTAACTGTTTTCACAAAATGAACATCATTAACTATAATTTAACTATGCTTGTTCTGCGGCGCATCATACGCTAAAATCTAACTTACAACGGTACATATTTGTTGTGGATCGCAAGTGGTTCCAATTAATAGATATTCAAATGAACGAAGCCTATCGATGTTTTTTTAATTTGACAAATAGCTTTAAAGAAATTTTTTCTAATTTTGAATAATCCGTAAGTGATAACCTTAGTGATAAGTAATAACATTATACATTTAATTATTTAACAACTGACCTTTTGATTAGGAATTTATTGCAACAAATTATGTCAATACTAATTTCTTCATTATCCATCATCTAAAAAGTATATTATACATTGAATTATGGACACTCATCCGCTAACTTATCAATACTTACTGCAAATTAAGGTTTTTTTGTCTAATGTCAACTATTTAAAATAAATTCGTAAACTAATATGCTTATCTGTTAATGACGAATTTTACAGAACACAAAAAAAATAACTGTTGATGATACGTCAAATAATCGACACACATCTGTCTGAACCTATCATAGTATCCGAAGTTTGTCAAAACTCCTTCAATTATTTAATGTAATTGAAGAAGAAGAGGAAGGGCAGATATACTGCAACTTATTTGCATTTTTGATTCTTTTTAAATTGCCGTAAAAATTTTGAATGTTTTTGAATATTATTTAAGATGAAATTGGAATGGGAAAAAATGTTTATTTATTTATTTATTTATTTATTATATTTAATAGATATAACAAACAATGATGCTATTATACAGTTTAATAGTTCATATTTTAAGCAGTATTTTAAAATTTCAAATAGACAATTCTTTGAAAGTTAATATGTCTCAATGGAAATCGTACAGAGCTGCCTTGTTTCATATTGAGAATATATTTACATTTATAAGAATTGATGGTAATTTTATAGCTATATCGCTAATTCATTTAATTTAACATTGGCTCAGTTAGAAATATAATGTTAAATAATGACAGTATTTGATTTTAATTTTTGGAATATAAAGAAGAAAGATTAAATTAGCATACAGTATACATACAATATACTTTCAGTTTTCAAATAAAATTAATAAATGCAAAATTATGATTTAAAAAGTAACGGATTGCTTAAATTTCAGTCTATATTTCCTATTTCATATTACTCTTTGATATATTTGTTAGAAATAATTACATTTCTAAAATTTTAATTTTGCTATCTTACTGTACTTATAACTTTCCATTCTTTCTCTATTTTTTGTTTTCTTAATAAAATATTACAATATTGCCACTTACAGTAATAAATTAGTGAAAGTTTACGATCACTTGCCAGAAGTGATCGTAAACTTTCGAAAACAATAACGTCAAAAACTTTAATATTAATTATTAATTCATTGGTTAATTGCTTGTAAAATAAGTGCGTACATTTTTTAATTGATCACAATTAAATACGGCAACAATTTTTCTTTCAGTTAAATTTGTTCTCCTTACAGCGTTCGTTATAAACGTTAAAGTGTTATGAGCTTTGATTGATCTAAAAATGCTCTTTTTATTTCAAAGATTCTTTTCTTTGTTTTTATTTCGAAATTTAACTAACAGTCAATTGAATTGCTATAAGCTGTAATAAAGATAAGATTATTTGATAAGGTGAGATTAATTAGTGATAAAAATGATTGGTAGGATGAAATGAACTGATATCCAAATGCTTTTGCAAATAATCATATGATTTTGTTATCAATAAAATATGGCTAACATTGGAATGATTCATTTTCTTTCTCATCTAACAATTATTCTAACTTTAAGATAATTATTATTCAAAATTAAGTGATTAAATTATATATCACTTACCCGCATGATATTGGTGAATCATAAAATGTTAAGCCAGTACCATCGATTCTAATAAGACAACCTGTGAGTAATACATTTAATGAATTTACAATCGAAATTTGAAATTGTTCTTCATTATCACTGGAAGCTATCGAATCGTTTTGTGAGATCTGAAAAATAATTGAAAGATTATTATTGAATTTCTACAATGTTATAAAAATTCTTTGAAAGAAAAGAAATTAAAGTTTATTCTTTAAATAATTTTGATCTTTAACCTTTTAGTTTTGAAAATTAATTAAATTCAATAAATTCTCAAGTTAACAAATAAAATTTACAAATGTCTTATTTCATATTCCTGCAAAATTTTATTTAACCTTTTTTTAAAAGATAAACTAACTTCTTTGATGGATAATATAGGTTTTAAGAGTGTAAGTACTTGCTGTATACATAATCGTTCATCGGTATGTGAAACTTTCGCAAATGCTGTCATCGAAATATTCCAATCTTCCGTAAACATATCACAAAAATGATTAGATGGAATGGTGAATTCCATTTTTTGTTCTAAAATAATTCGTAGTTAAGCAGTAAATTACTGTAATGTGAAGCTATTTTTATATTAAGGCTACTGTAACCCATAATAAGGTTAATAAAGTTAAGGCTGCTGTAACCCATAATAAGGTTATTAAAGTTAAGACTGCTGTAACCCATAATAAGGTTAATAAAGTTAAGGCTGTTGTAACCCATAATAAGGTTAATAAAGTTAAGGCTGCTGTAACCCATAATAAGGTTATTAAAGTTAAGGCTGCTGTAACCCATAATAAGGTTAATAAAGTTAAGGCTGTTGTAACCCATAATAAGGTTAATAAAGTTAAGGCTGTTGTAACCCATAATAAGGTTAATAAAGTTAAGGCTGTTGTAACCCATAATAAGGTTATTAAAGTTAAGGCTGCTGTAACCCATAATAAGGTTATTAAAGTTAAGACTGCTGTAACCCATAATAAGGTTATTAAAGTTAAGACTGCTGTAACCCATAATAAGGTTAATAAAGCTAAGACTGCTGTAACCCATAATAAGGTTAATAAAGTTAAGACTGCTGTAACCCATAATAAGGTTAATAAAGTTAAGGCTGCTGTAAACCATAATAAAATATGGCCTAATGGAATAAGATAATAGTATTCCTGTTGGATAAGGATTGAATAAGGATTGATGAAGCTATTTTTTATGGTTATCTATTAAAACAAAACTAAAATTGTTTAATAATCAAATAATTTTGTTTAATTATATCTTCGACTTACTGTAAAATAATTTTAAAGTAAGCTATTTGACATAAAAAGTTTGCAAAAAGTATATTTAAACTTTAATTTTATCTATCAAATATTCAATTGAAATTTTATGGAAGTAAATATAATTAGCAAAGAAATGAAGTAATTAATTATCACATCACTATCATACTTTGCTTTGATTGTATGATAAACATTTCTTCGAACAAATAAACATGTGTAATAACCAATCCTGTATAACTTGTTAAATCAACCTGGATTTGAGCATTAATCGTTTGTTCAGATAGCGAATTATTTGTAATTATTAGATGTCCATTAATTGGCTTGTCAATACTAATCTGTAAAGTGCTTTTTGGTAATTGATAATTAAACCAGATAATTAATTAAATGTATGATAATTTAAGTGCAAACAATAAAATGATAAAATTATAAAATGTTATAAGCATTTTTTGGACTATTTATCAAAAATAATTAAATTTAGCTTATTTAAGAAATGTTATCATGCTATCATGTTTGTACAAAATTGATAATTGATAACAGAATCACCATTATAATATTATAGTGATAAAAACATTATAGTGATAAAAATTTAACATGATAACATTGTAGTGATAAAAATTTTTAAATTAAGTAGTATTTATTATATTTAGCTTATTTAAATGAAGCATATTTTTCTTTTTAAAGATCTAAACAATATAATTAGCCGCGGAATTGATCTTTCGAGCAGTCTCCGATCAATGGAAAAGAATAAAATGACAAATATTATCATTGGGTATTATTTTCTGGAAACTCTAAGAAAGTTTCAAAAATTTCAATTTCTGTTTATATCTATTCTAATAAAAACTAACACTTTGAAAATTACTTAAATTTAATTCAATATTATTAGCTTTACTATCATGCAATAATGATATGTATTGAATTTGATAACAATTGCTATCAGTTAATGATAAATTCAAATTTGTTGATTGTTTATAATTCGTTGTCACATCAATATCAGCATTCATTGTGGCGATGATAAGATTATTTGTTATCCTGAAGAATTTGATAATATATAAGCTAAAATATGCATTAAGCGCAAATGATCAGTTTTATTGGAAATTTTTTAAGCGCAAAAGATCGCAGAAGCGCAAATGATCAGTCTTACTGTAAATTTTTAATTTTATATCAAAATAAAACAAAATAAGAATTAAGCGAATTTTATTTTCGCTTCCTTCTATAAATTTCAATTTTATAGCAATTTTAAAATAAATGAAAATTTTCAAAAATTTATACTATAAAATAAAATAATGGCAAAAATTAAAAAAATATATATCCAAAGATAATATAGCAAAAATTAGTGATAAACAAAAATATACTTTTTATCAAGCTTTTTGGAATATGCAAAAATTGGATTGCGCGTTATCGGATCACGATAATAATAATTGCAAATAATAGTAGCATTTAATATTCCGTAAAGTTGCTGTCCAAAATATTCATTATCATTTTGCCCTTTCACCTTCTCATCATTATTTTTAATCCGTCGTATCGGAAATAACGCTTTTCCTTGATTTAATAATTCAACCTGTTCTAGAATAAAAATAAAAATCATTGTATTCTATTACTTTCCACAAAAAGATATGAAATTTAAAAAACTGTAAAATTTTTTGAAATAGAAATGAAATTAAAATATGTGATAAAAGTTTCTGAAATGTATTTATGATATATTATCAAATAAAAAATGATCGTTTGATAAGTAAAACTTAATATATTGTGATAAAATGAAAAATGCAAAAAACTTTTAAATGAAATAAACCTTTTGTGGTTGGAGTAGCATCACAGATATGCCATTCACTACCATTTTTTAGCATCTTTGATTGAAGCCATAATTCATTCCAAATATGATAATGCCATATCTAAATTTTTTTTATGGTAAAAATTTTCTTCAATTCAAAGCTTACCGCTAAGTTTGGATTTTATAAAAGTAGTCTTTTGTTTCGGCTAACTATAATCCTAACTATCATACTATTTGTAATAGTAATAATGTTTTCGAATTTCATTTGTACTTTTTGTATTAAACTAATTTTCATTTTATCATAAATTTACAACGCTGCTCTTTATGATTCAATTATTAGCCTTAACTGAAATGCTTGAAATTGATTGATAGGTTATGTTTATGAAAAATTTTGTTTGTTTACTTATAATTATGATTTTTATAATTAATTACTATTTTTTTGTTTAGCCTGAAATTTTAAAATAATTTTTTGCACCAAATAACTTATAATAACAAATTTAAATTTCAAAAGTTATTATTCACTCTAATCTTTAATGCCTAATTAACTATTCGAGCATTTGAACGACTTTTACCTGTTGCTATATTACACCAACTAGTAAAAATGATATCCAAGTATTCCGATATTATACTACAGCGCCACTACCATTCGGATCTAAGCGAATCCCTTCTATATTACAACTTCAATAAATAGTCCTAAACTATATTCTAACAGTAAAGAAAACCCCCACCAAATGATCGACTTTATTACTGTTAACTTCTGATAACTATTCTATAACATCAATGGAAATCAAACCTTTCTATCAAATGATCTTTCAATAACTATTCCACTCTGTCAAAACAATGCTCTCCTTTAAATAATCAAATCGAATAAATAAAATCACGATATTATCATTAAAAAAATATAATTATAAATGAAAGCATTGATGAAAAACATACAGTATCTTTACTTTTTTCCGCAAGCATACCATCAATAATATCTAACTTTATCAATGTACCATCTTCAATTCGTGGAGCAAAATTATAAATAGTTACCATACGAGATGGAATTCCAATACATCGACATACTGTAAGTATTTGTTTTGTAATATTTAAAAATAATCAAACAAAATGCATTTTCTTAATTTCAGTCTAAAACATTCCGATAGATAAATTAGCTAAAAAATATTTGCATAAACATTTTATTTGTTTAACTAAATTAAAATTAAATATTTTAATACAAAACAAAATAAGCATACTTGATGTAAGAAGACCAGCATAACACCACGACTGTCCATAACCAATTTTATTACCCATTCTTTGATATGTTGCCATAATTTCTTTACTACCTGTCCAAGCACTTGGCAAGATTTCATTCTCATAATTGCTTCTGTCGAAATCACTCCATTTAATCTTCAGTATAAATTTGCTAATCTGTAAAATTCAAATTAAAAGAAACTATAGGTAATAACGAATTCAAAGCTTTAAATAAAATTTTATAATTTGAATTTTAATTATTTCTTTGTTCTAACTCAATAATCTGTATGCTGCCATATCAGATTTACACTTACAGCTGCAGCAATTGCTTTAACAATTGTTGAAGCCGATCCAAGTTCATTCATTTTTAGTAAATTATTTGCCATACACAATTCCAATAGATGCAATGTAGTATTAATGCAAATAGCGCTAAATTGTCCCAGAAGCCAAGCATCATTCTGTTGCCATTTGCGCATCATAGCTAACTCATTTAATACATATTCGTCAAGTTCTATCTCATTTGAATAATAAGTTTCATCATCTGAAGTAAAATTTTTTATTCCAAACAATTTATACTTTCAATAAATATAATCTGTCATTCTGTAAATTTAATAGAATGAAATGTTGAAAGATGGAAATTATCGATTGATTATAAATTTACAACGATAAATTAAGATTTAAACTTTTATGCCATGGATTAAACAGGATGCATAAATGGACGATGCATAAATTCGGTGTTTTATCATATCCTATAATCATTTGCCAAAGACCGATTGGAATGTCAGATGGTGTTATAATCTAAATAATTATTACTGATAATTTCCATTGATAATTTTTAATTAACAGCAATGGAGAAGAATAATTTTGAAATAATAATTATAATTAGCAGCTGATAAATTTTGATGGATTTAATCAATGATAGGTATTTTTAATTTTTATTAAATAAAAATTGGGGTTAAAATAATGATTAAAATTCACTTCAAATAATGCTGTATTTGTTGTTAAAATTTTATATGTTGAATGCCAATTCGTCTTTGATATCGCAGGCAAATAACTAAGCCTTACGGCCGAAATTGCAATTTCGTAATTTGCTAATTCTGAAATTTCTTTGGAAATGATTCATTAGAATATGCAAGTATCAAAATTAAAATGCTATATGGTGTTTATGAATCTTTTATTGGAATAAATTTTCAGTATCATAATGTATTGATCATTATATCCCTTTCCTAAAATGAGCTAAAAAAAGCTTCAGATAAATTAATGGTACCATTTTTAAAGCGAATTAAAATTTTATCCAAAATCTCAGGATTGTTATTGTAGCGGAAAATGAAAAATATTGGTGAACCACGTCGATAGATTTTCACTAATTCACCGTCAGCTGTCAATAATCGTTCAAAAGCAGTAGTGTGATGAATTTTGCAAGTTTCATCCGTTTTCATTGTTACTAAAGTATGAAAATCATTCGGCAAGTTAACATCGTTGCTTGAGGTTCTTTCTGTAAACACAAGCGCATTTGTCTTACTTATTTAATTATGAATATTATATTGTAAATCTCTCCCAATAATCGTAGTATATAGTGATTAAAATTAGATTATCAGTTTCTTATTTGTTAAATAGCCAAAAGTTTCGAAATATATCTTATCAAAAACAAATTTAATAAAAAGTGAAAATTTCTATTTCCTGTAGTGATACAAATAATTATGATAAGATATATAAAATATTTTTCAGAATTTTGAAATTATCATTTATCAATGATAATTTTTCATATTCTAATACGCTATCTATTTGTAAACAATATATTTTTCCCATGATAAAATACTTACTTTCAGTAATAAATGTTGATTTAATCGAAGTATCTGTTTCAGTTTCAACCGTCCGATTTGTCATTTTCGATCGTAAATCAGAATTTGAATAATTTGACATTTTTGTTTGACTTCGTTCAGATATTTCCTGTTTAAATTTTTGCGGAATAGTGACAGTTGAAGCTGTTTCATAAAAATTCGTAGCCTTCGGTTTCTTGGTTTTCTTGATTTTTTCACATATAGAAGCAATGGATCCGATTCTCGTCATTTTTTCATCAAATTTTTTTCTCGAAATTTCTTTATCAACCGTACTGGAAGGTGATTCATATGCTTTTAGTATCATCCAGCATGGCCTCTTCGCTTCCTTATCGCTAGTGGAAATGTTGATTATTGTCGGTTTTACATTCCTTGGATTTCGGATGAATACTTCGGCAGTGATCGTTTCATGTTTGCGCCCGTTATAGATTGATGATTTTTGTTTCGGCGATTCTTCGAGGACAGGTGTAATTAATACTGTAGTTGTAGCATTTGATAGAATTGTATTCTGTGGTTTACTTTCCGTTTTTCCAGTAACACGAAAAGTTCTTGAAACCGGAAAAGTTTCAAATTCATCATCCATCCCATTATAACTGTCATTGAGATCTTGAGAATATGGTAGCGATAACTTTGGGCCAATTTCGAGTTCTAAATGTTAGCGCATATATTATAAATTTCAAATTTTTAATCGTAACAAAACATCGATCATATATAGACGTAAACATTGCATGTAATAAATAAATAAATAAATAAATAAATAAACATATCAACTTTTTTCAGTGTACGAATTAATATTATGATTGTATCTTACCGTGCTAGTATCTTGCGTTAATTAACTCTAATATTAATTAAATACATGGACAGGTGTAATTAAGTGCAAAAATAAAACATTCGTTTTGATAAATTTAATAATTTAATAATCGTTTTTAATAATAAATTTAGTTGATAAATTTAATAATTTAATAAATTTTGATAAATTTTAGATTTGTTAAGATAAGCAAATTAAAAAATGGGAAAAAAGATTATAACAAATTAACCTGTATCAGTTGAAGTTATTTCACTCTTTGATACATTTCCATTACCAATCATTAATTCTGAGTTATTTTCTTGTTCCTGACATCTTCCCACAATAAATTTCGATTCACTACCACTATCAATATCATCAGTAATATCATTTAATGAAATATTTTCAACATTTATTGGTATTGTTTCAGATTTCATCAAATCATTTTGTTGAATATGCTGTTCATATGAGTTTTGATCAATCTTTGATGGATCAAATTTTTGTGAAAATTTTTTAATTTCATTTAATTTTTTGAATGTTCTTTTATGCCAATAAGTTGTAATTTTTTTAATTAAATTTTTTGTAATAATTGGATATATTTCAAATCGATTATTTTCAACAGGTATTGTTTGCCATATCGTTTTTTCATCCTTCGCTTTCTTACGATCTTTTAACAATGCTAATCCTTCCATTAATGTATCACGTCCTGTTTCATGATGATTCTCTTCTGACATTAAATTTTTCTCCAGTATTTCATCAAATTTATCAGTTATATTTGCAGGTGCTTCTAAACTGGAACATTGATCATTAAACGTCGAAATTTTCGATAATGGTATTTCGTCAAATTCGCTGCATATATGTTTTGATATAGTATCATGGTAAGCATCAGATACGATTTTTGAATCGTTTGATTTGTTATTCATTGGTTCATTTATGAATGTTAAATGTTTGGATATTTTAGGTTTATCATTCTGAATTTTGCGCATATATTTCCGTTCCGATAAATAATGCTCATGAATCGATCGATGTCTTCTAGTCGTAACAGCCGTTATTGCTGGAGTAATTTTTATTTTACGAGCCCGAAATGGTCCGTAATAAGGAGCATTTGTTGCTTTTAATGAATCTGCGCTATCAGTTGCAATATTTCTAGAATCAGTAATGATACTTGTTTGGAAATTAGGCAAATCTTTTGTGGTTGATTTGGAAACGAATATCGTCGGTATGATGCGAACTGTTCCAAGATTTTCCATATTTTCCACAAATTGATCAATGTGATCTGCGGAATTCCAAACATCCCAGCATTTGTGGCGTGAACAACGACTGCAGCTTTTGCAATATCCATTAGAACTATGACAGCATCGTTGTCTCCTGCGTCCCCTGAGAATATTTTGGGACCAAAGATGTGAAGGATATAATGTCACATAATCGTTAAAGCCACCACAATGATCCGTTGACCTTCGCCAATCTGCCGATGATGATTGCGACCGAAATCGTCGTGAACCATAGCAGTTGCAACAGTCTTCATGGGTGATACGTCGTCGATATTCGCAATTACCAAAATCATCCGTTTCTTTCCATTGTTCTTCACTTTGGGTAAACATCTACAGCGAACAACATCATACAATTATAGGTACAACATCTACAACGAATATTTTGCAATGTTATTTTTAAATTTACTAATTTAAATCTATCAGTAAACTTTTCAAAAATTTCATATAAAATTTGAACTTATAATTAGAGTGATCTTATAAAAACTTTAAAGAGATATCTAACACTTTTCGAAATTTTACCCACAAAATATTTTATAAATCATTGATAAACTAACCAATGGATTGATTAAAGCAAAATGCTGATCGATTGGTATCGTCGTAAATTTTGTTTCGCAGAAGCCATGCTATGCAAACATCTTCCCCAGAATAACCCTTAAAATAGTCAAAGAATCCAACAATCAATTGGACACCAAATAAACATTTATCAGTTATCACCAATTAAAACTGTTTCTCCAGAATAATCCTTAAAATAGCCAAAGAATCCAACAATCAAATCTTAGATACCAAATAAACATTTATCAGTTATCACCAACTAAAATTGTTTCCTCAGAATAACTCTTAAAATAGCCAAAGAATCCCATAGCCAAATTCTTATCAATTATCACCAACTAAAATTGCTTCCATTTTAGTTTAATTAACAATTTTATATGCTTCTATTAATGAGATAATGTAACAAAATATGCAAATATCTAACAAATTGGGAAAATGAAAGAAAAAAATTATTATTAACAAATTAACGCTTCGAATGTAATTTGCATATTATTTCAATTAAAAATAATAATTAAATTAACTCTTAAAAAAAGTAAATGAAAAATTTTTTAATTATTAATTAAAAATTATCAAAAACAATGCAAAATTAATTTTTAATTAAATCAATTTTTTTTCCTAAAAAAATATATATAATAAATGGAAATTATTGCCAGCTACAAAAGTTGAAATATACATTTTATCGCAGGAAAAAAGAAAATGAAATTATTGCCAGCTAGAAAATCATAAAAAAAGGGAGAATGTATTAAACATATTTGAAAAATGTTTCAATTGAAGCAATGAATAATTTGCCATTTATAAGTTATAAATATAAATGTCTGCGTTGGGATGTTTTTGTCCGACTTGAAATGTTTAAATTTTAGAGAATTTGAAATAAAGAATTCTGTGAAATGATTTGCTATATATGAATCATTCATTCATTCATTCAAAGATAATTCGATTTCATTCTTCCATTTTAATGCTGCAACTTTTCATACCTTATATAATATAATAATTAAAGTTATGATGAATCAATCAACAATTAATTAATCAATAATCTATTTTTAAATAATTCAGATATTATTTTTAATGAATTTAAATCGATATAGCTATCAAGATATCAGTAAATCAATAAAAATACCGAAGTGTATAACAGTGTTATTGAAATTATTTTCAAATAGAATCTAATGCACATGTTGTTTACTATTAAGTAATAATAAGTAATAGTTATAGATAATA